GGGTGATCTATCAAAAAAGATTGACGTCGAGACTCGAGGAGAAATTTTGGATTTGAAAAATACTGTAAATAGTATGGTGGATTAACTGAATGTCTTTGCATCCAAAGTAACTAGTGTGGCAAAGGAAGCATGTACAGAGGGTAAGCTGGGTGGTCAAGCAACAATTATTGGTGTCGATGGTACCTGGAAGATTTGACAGACAATGTGAACCTTATGACCAGTAATTTAACCGACCAGTTGCGTTCTATTGTCGCTGTCTGTAAAGATGTAGCACAAGGTGATTTATCCAAGAAGATTGAAGTTGAGGTACATGGCGAAATTGCAGAGCTGAAAAATACAACCAATACCATGGTAGACCAGTTAAGTTCTTTTGCTTCCGAGGTTACACGTGTTGCTATGGAGGTCGGTACGGAAGGTAAGCTAGGTGTTCAAGCGCAAGTCAAGGATATTGAAGGGTTATGGCGTGATATTACCAGCAATGTTAATACGATGGCTTCTAATTTAACAACGCAAGTACGTGCTTTTTCTCAAATTTCTGCTGCTGCGACCGAAAATGATTTCTCAAAGCTTATCACCGTGGAAGCATCTGGTGAAATGGATTCTCTTAAAACCAAGATTAATCAAATGTTCAGTTCCTTGCGTGATGCTATCCATAAAAACAGACAGGCCAGAGAAGCCGCTGAGTTAGCGAACAGATCAAAGAGTGAGTTTTTGGCTAATATGAGTCATGAAATTCGTACCCCCAATGAATGGTATTATCGGTATGACCTCTTTAAACTTGGAAACCGAATCAACACGTCAGCAACGAGAAAACTTGATGATTGTATCCAGTCTCGCCAATAGTTTGTTGAGTATTATAGATGATATTTTTGATATTTCAAAGATTGAAGCTGGTCGTATGACAATTGAATCTATTCCTTTCTCACTTCGTTCCACCATTTTCAGTGTACTCTAGACGTTGGCCGTAAAGGCTAATCAAAAGAAACTCGATTTAATTTATAATGTGTGGATAGTGTTATTCCTGATCAATTGATTGGTGATCCACTTCGTTTGAGACAAGTTATTACTAATTTAATCGGTAACTCTGTCAAATTTACTACTGCTGGCGAAGTAACATTGGAAACCAAGGTTGTTGGTATTGAAGGCGATGATGTCGTTTTTAAGCTTTGTATCCGTGATACTGGTATCGGTATTCAAGAGGATAAACTCAATGTTATTTTTGATACTTCCTACCAGGCCGATGGATCTACTACGTAAGTCTTTTTATATATATATATATATTCTCTTTCTGTCGTTTGGACAATTTTTTAATTATTCCATGTAGTCGTGAATATGGTGGTACTGGCCTCGGATTGTCTATTTCCAAACATTTAGTTCAATTAATGGGTGGTGATCTCTGAGTTGATTCTAAGTATGGTTGCGGATCACAGTTTTATTTTACTCTTAATTTCAAGGGATATCTTAGCAACCGAAACATTTTTTTTTTTTTTTGGACAAATCATGGTCAAGTTGAAATAGAAAAAATGTGGAGACGAAGATTTATTTCAGAAGTAAAAGACGATGTAGTGATTGCTGATTTTGTAGAAGTTAACTGGGTCGAACTATTTTTCAAGGCAATCGAACAAGCAAAAGAAGTTACTACGCAACCCGTTAAAGTCAAAAGAACATTTGCATTATTAGAAGGTTATGGAAAAAATAATGATGCTATTGCACAATCTGTGGCAGAGGGTAGTCCCAGTAAGGTACTTGATTTACAATAGTCACTACTTACAACAATTAATTAATGCCTTGATTTAGAAAAAAGGAGGAAAACAACCAGCTCGAGATGTTTAAAGTGCACCAGATTCCGAAACGTCTGTCCAGCCAACAGAAAAAGGATCTAGTGTAGACACTAATGTCGGATCTAATGACGTCTTCGTCCAAGGCGTTACATTTTTACAGATCATCTACATATCACATGTCGGTTCAACCATGATATCTAGGTCTCGTCTATCATATTTTTATGCCCAATTTTTCTATCTTTTTAAACCCCTACTAAAGAGCAATACACCTTTTCGGGCTTGCACCTGTCAAAACTACTTCTTTTCATCCCTTTCTTATCCTCAGATCTGTGGCCGCTTAGTAGGCGCAATTACCTCATTCTCTTTAATTTTAGTGACTGGGCTAACTATACATACATCACTATAAATAGGCATCCATATAAGACCTCTCTTAAATAAAAATCCTTATCTATTATTTTACTCATATTCCAATACTTTGACTTATTAGTTTTATATAGTATTCAGCTCTATTCTCATTTTGATTAATCCCTTGATTACATTTTATCATTGTATCTTTTATTTTTACGTATACAAGCTATATTAAATCCCATTTATTTATAAGTGTAGTGGATTAGGAAATTAGGTTACACAATTACAAATATCCATAGTAGATACGGATATGGTGGAACCAGATCAGCTCTATCAATCAGGTCCACTATCTTTGACATAACACTAATAATCAATATCTAAAGATAATGTTCTTAACCAATATGATAGCTATCCTTATCATACAATTATTTAATATAAATACCTTTGATATTTTCCCAATTATAAAGAGATCATACTTATTTTAACTTTGAATAAAAGAGTTTTAAAAGTATTCTTTTGTTTTTTTATTTCTTTTTTATAAATCAAACTACCCTTGGTTTATTACAATAAGTTTAGCTTCTGCTTAAACTAGCTGTGGTGCTCACTCAATTCGCAATCCTAAAGACCTTCTTTACTAAAGAAGCACCCTTTATCTCGCCTATACTACTCGCATGCTCTTATTTCAATATCTAGCGAACCATTATGCCAATGTCTCGACTGTATAATACGGAACATTCATAATTAAAGATTACCAAATCATATAAATTGAAATCATTGTCTTACTTATTTCAACCGTGTCATACAGCACCGTTGTGGAATATAACAACTGGATCTGTTCAACGTCAATAAAAAATTAAATTACGTTAGTGATTTGCTCACGTATTGTAAAGATACGACAGAAAAACATTGTTGCTTATTCTTCAAAATATGGGAAAAAAATTGTTTTCATTTTTAAGAACAATTACTCCAGTAAAGCTTCCTTATTATATGACTTTCGTACATGAATTGTCACCAATTACTCTGGCTACTTAACAGCATTCACCTTTTCACTGCCAAACAAGCGTAACACATATAAATCATTAAAAAGTAAGAGAGTAGCAGCATTTATTACAGTAAATCGAAAAATAAAAACATTCAAATAGTTCTAAGTCTTCGATACTTTAAATGTTATTTTTCAGAGCTGGTGTTACACTTTCAACTTTGCTATTCAGAATTTGACACTCAAAACGTTAGCGTATAAATTAAGTCTTAGTTAAGAAAAACAAAGCTTGATACAAATTGCTATAATTTCCATTTTTAAGTGTCATATAATATCCTAGAAAATTAAAATATATGTTACCTTTTATGGCGGTGAGACAAATGACTTGTTACAGGACAAATTGCGTAATAAAATAAACTCTTCATTATTGTGCTCCTCATAATGGCGAGCAAAACGGGTAAAAGATACGGAGCAAGATGCGTAGAGTAAGGCTAATCAAAAGTGCGGTTTCTGTCCGGAAAATAATGAGTACTAAGATGCTAAGAAATGAAAAGATATAATATATATATAAAAATAGAACATCGTTGTGCACATTATAATGGGGAGCAGAACGGGCAAAAGATACGGAGCTAAGCTGGTTATCAGTGCGGTTTCTGTCCGGAAAATAATGAGTACTAAGATGCTAAGAAATGAAAAGATATAATATATATATATAAAAAGAACATCGTTGTGCACATTATAATGGGGAGCAGAACGGGCAAAAGATACGGAGCTAAGCTGGTTATCAGTGCGGTTTCTGTCCGGAAAATAATGAGTACTAAGATGCTAAGAAATGAAAAGATATAATATATATATATAAAAAGAACATCGTTGTGCACATTATAATGGGGAGCAGAACGGGCAAAAGATACGGAGCTAAGCTGGTTATCAGTGCGGTTTCTGTCCGGAAAATAATGAGTACTAAGATGCTAAGAAATGAAAAGATATAATATATATATATAAAAAGAACATCGTTGTGCACATTATAATGGGGAGCAGAACGGGCAAAAGATACGGAGCTAAGCTGGTTATCAGTGCGGTTTCTGTCCGGAAAATAATGAGTACTAAGATGCTAAGAAATGAAAAGATATAATATATATATAAAAAAAGAACATCGTTGTGCACATTATAATGGGGAGCAGAACGGGCAAAAGATACGGAGCTAAGCTGTTTATCAGTGCGGTTTCTGTCCGGAAAATAATGAGTACTAAGATGCTAAGAAATAAAAAATATCATAATGAGGAGAAAAAAGGGCAAAAGCAAAGCTGTCTAACATTACGGTTTCTATTCAGAAAATCATTAGCACGGTTACGAGCAAAACAAACAGAACTACTTACCAACCTTATAGAAGCTGAAGAGATGCACTTCATTCAGAAGTACATACCACTAGAAATATAGTTGTAACAATATACTCGGCGTTTGTTGCTCTCTCTTGATCATTACGTTGAATTTTGATTTCTTTCATAGCCGAATGGACCATAGTACCAGTAGCCGTAATTGAAGGGTAACTCTACTGAATCGGTATGCTACAGCAATATTATGCTCAACGCAATGGTTGTACGGTTAAGTTATCCGTAGTAAGCTAAAGCATGCTCTCTTAAAAGCCTGATCTTTCCATAATCTATTGAGTTATGTTCGCTGAATCTACCTTCGTAATAGAAAGTATCATTTAGACCGCCATTGTTCGTGAGCATAAAATCGAGCCCTACATCTTCAGCGTCTGCATCAAGAGACCACTTTTTTTTCGTAACATTTTATTCTGTAAGAGAAAAGAATATTAGGATAATTATTTAAAGGATACAAAACTGCCTAATTCATCTATATTTTGTCTGCTTACCTTTTTTCAATTAATTGTATGTCTAAGAAAACAGATTACGAACTAGCCATCATAAGCAAATTACGTCTTTTTTTTTTTTTATGAAAGAGACTAGATCTTTAATTGTTAAAGCCAGGCTATCTCTTAAATACCCGAATAAAGAATGACGTCAGAGTTTTCTAAAATAAGCTACAACCATTACTGGAAGGATTCCGGTCACACACTGCTTGTCCACCAGAATTATACAAACTCTTAAAATTTGGCTTACAATCCTGCAATGGAAATGTACAACATCATCTTCTACCGCTGTTTTTACCTAAATATCGGCACCCTTCTCTCATCCAACACTTCAACCCTTTTACAAATATCTTCCAAGTTGTGGACTCTATCCCAAGAAACCTGACCAGCTTAACAATCAACAAACATACCTGCCTCCTACTCCCTCTTACAGATATCTGGATCCCCAATGATCCCACAAACCCTGAAGATATCTTCCTCAACAAACCAGGAACCAACAAACTGTTCGCACACTAACTGTTCCGCATTGACGACAGCAACTCTCATATCATTCGTAAAACCAATAGCACACTCACACAACATCCCAACCTGATCAAACATTTTTTCCGACTATTGGACCAAAACAGCATTATCATGCTAAATTTATTTTTCATTCGACAATGCCTCCCTCCGGATACCCCATTGAACTCGGACTCTACAATATCACCCGAACAAGATTGCCTAGATCTAACACCAGTTGTAGAACATATGTTGACTCCTTTCTATGACAGTATCAAACAATTTTCTGGCATCCGAATCAACATCAATAGATTAGTAAGAGCCCTCTTGACAACCAAACCTATCCCTCCAATTCAGCCAAACGCTCATCCCACAGTAACGGCCTGGACCAAATTCTGGAAAACCAGCCTACACCCAACCCTACGCAACATGTGGTATCGTCTGATACACAACAAGGCCCCGGTCAAATCATTTCTACACCGAATCTTTCTAGACCTTCACGTTAGTCCTAACTGCGATACCTGCCCAGGTATACTAGCAAACTCTGAACATGTCTTCGTTACCTGCCCACCAAGATGGGCTGTATGGACTTCAATTCTACTCCTCTTTAACTAGCTTCAAGACATTTCTGAGGCCGAACAACAAGCAATTATTATCCAAGGCATCTTTCAACTACAGTTCCAAGGACTCATCATCACCATACCCAACTGCAATTTCACACAACTACTAGGAGCGACTTTACACTCACTCTGTCCACTATAGTGTTCGGAATGAAGATCGAAACTCTCGAGCGAGCTTCGATCGTGTTCCAGTCGAAGCTCGCTCGGATGCGTTTTTTTGCAGCTCGAGCTCGCTCGAAGTTTCTTAAGCTCGGCTCGGTTGCGAATACGATAGCTCGAACTCGCTCGCCCTTTTTATTACACAAAGTGCACGTCAAAGTGATGTTAATTACAGAAAATTATGATAATAAAATTGTTATTTATTGAAATAGAAGTTGGAAAAAGAAAAAGAAAACTTTTTTTTTCACCAGCCTTAACACCAAATTCGGATAATTAAATCAAACTATTACTGCATCTATAATTATAATACATTTGGATTTGTGAACATGAAAGTTTTTAGTAATTCTGCTACGTCATGTTACTATGGTTGCTATAAAAAAATTGGCTTAGTTGGGTATAGTGTGCAACACTGTTTCATTTTCTATGGTAAATGTGTTTGTTGGTTGTACAATTAAATAAAGGCCAAAGCATTTTAATTGGAATTATTAGAGCATAAATAAAAAAAAATGATAAAGGGAAGAAAAGATTAAAATCAAGGGGAAATGCCATCTGTAGTCTTTCAAGGACCTTAACTTTAAAGTGACTACTATCGACATTTTAGCCGAGCGAGCTTCGAGCGAGCATCGATCGAAGCTCGCTCGAACCCAAAAAAAGTGGCGTAAGCTCGAGTACAAAAACTCGGTTCGAGCTTCGTTCGAACTGGCGCAAGATCGGTGCAAGCTCGAAAAGTTCGAACACTAGTCCACTATCAAAGGTTGTAGTTCCGCAATATTATATAATTGTTGCAGGTACTGGTATCCCAATCCGTCTTCTCCTGGGCTGGTTTGTTTTGGACTCCTTTTCACTTGTTGTTGTATTTCTTCAAATGTTATGGGTGTCATCATCATGTTGTTTTCTCTTGATGTTACCTTTTTATCAAGTTGTATAGTTTTAAGATAGTCATCTATTTTCTTTTCTTCAACTTGATCTAGTGTATACAGTTGTTGGTAATATTGTCTCACAATTTCACGCATGGCAACTGGATCTGAGGTGTGTGTTTCTTCTACATTTATTTCAATGTTTATATTAACCTGTGTTCCATTGTTTAGCGGTCTTCTGATTGACTTTATGTATTGCTGGTTGGTACGATGTTGATGTATTCTCTTCAGGAAGCTTGCATCTTTTTCCCTTTTCTCTCTCCATCTAAGCCCAGCTTTCAAACCTTCAATTTCTGGTAGTTTTTTTTGAAGTGTACTTAATTGTATATCAATTGGTTCGATGAGTAGCTTTCGTACATTCTGGCTAGGTTCTCCTTAGTATTCGATTTCGCTTTCTTCTCAATATTTTTATAGTAGATTTGCTCTAATTACAATACTCGTATCCATAATTTCGGATTATCTTTTTGGTTGCCTTTTTAATTTTATCCCATTTTTCAGCAGCCGAAGTGTTTTGGTCATGTTTATATTGGTTAATTATCTGTATTGCTTTTTTGCTTATCTGTTCTTGTAGTGCACCGTGTTTGACATAAGCTGGATTGGCTCTCCATAATCCCGGCCCTGTTGGCGATTCTCCTATTGTAAACTTGACATGAAGTATAGAATGATCTGACCATTCAGGACATATTCGTTGAATTCCAGTGTCTTGTAATTGCACATATATTTGTTGTCCCAGATATATAAACATACGTAAAACTATGATTGGTCCGGTTGAATTAATCCCCCTCGTCGGAAAACGCTTTAAAATAGCTACAAGAAAAGTAGAACAATGAACTATTAAAGTTAAAGTGTGTTTAATACAGTAAGACTAACTGCAGTTATGTTTTTATTAATATGAATTGGAAGAGAGATATGGATAAGAAGTTTTTTTTTTTTTTTTGCGCTTTATCAAAAAAATGATTAAGCGGCAGGAACACCGGCCTTTGCACGAGCAGCAGAGATAAGAGCAGCATGAGACCAAGTCAAATCTCTAGCACCAGTGGGAGAACCATTGTTGCGGTTATATTGTTCAGGCATAGAACCGTTTGTAAGAGCATAGTACTTAACAGTAGCTAAAAAGTTATCAGCAGCAAGGGCAACATTTTGGGTCATGGTTCTGAAAGCGGGAGTGTCGACAGTATAAACAGTACCTACAGCGGCGGCACTATCGAATTTCTTGAAGAAGCTCAAACTGATTGAAGTAACTTTGACACTTCCAGCAAGGGTCCATTCTTTGATAGCACGGTAGTAAAGCTCGGCATAAGCACTAGTGGCCAAGTACCAAGGGTTACCTTGTCCGTTTCCATTACCATTGTAAGTATCTTCGGGGTAACGACCGATAGCAGTACCGCGTCCACCACCATTGGTGTTAACGGTATACAAGGAAGCAAACTTGCTTTCAACAGCAACGGCAGTGGCAAGAATTTTATCAGAACCAGGAGTGTAGAAACCATCTTGGACACTACCACTGTTAGCAGCAATTAAAGTAGCGGAATCGAAACCGGCTTTGGAAACACCACCAGTGACACTTTGACTAACGGTAACATAGTTGTTAGAAGAGTTCCAGAATGTGTCAATCTTGGTCTTAATGGCATTGGCAGCGTTTGTGTAGGTTGAAGCACGAGTAGAATCACCATTACGAGAAGCAAAGTTAGCACCGCGAATCAAACCCTTACGCATGACCATTAAGGTATAAAAGTGGACACCGTTGACTTCCTCCCTGATTAATTTTGTTTTGTTATTGGTCTCATAGTTCTTTTTCCTTTTATCTAGTGTATAGCACTTACCATAAATCGAAACAACCGTTAGACCAGGTACTAACAACATAATCCAAATCCTTGAAAATAGCTAATAATTAAAAGCATATGTTAGTCGACTAGTAGGTGAAATGTGTATAGTTTGAAAAATTATCTTACCAGGCTTGAGTGTACCAGTAACGTAAGCAGCATCGGCAGTCTGCTTAAGATAACTATCAGCAATCAAGATAAATGAGGAGGCACGTTCAGCAGGACCATCATTTTGAGGTCTACATAATATGCGTTAGCTCAGTGAAAAATGGACATAAAAACTTTAAGTTTTTACCTTCCCCAAGCGCCAGTATAACTGGAACCATCGGGATTAAACTTGGGCTCACCCAGACAGTTACATGCGGTAGATGTACTTTGAGCATTAATAGAGTAGGTGACATAATCTTTAAGAAGCTTGACAATGGTTGTATTACCAGTGAGAGTGGTGTTGTAATCATTAGCCATTACATAAGAGACTAAAGCAGAATCACGAGTCCAAGAGTAGTAGTAGTCAGGGTTGGCTGTGGATAAAGAGGCAGCAATAAATCCAGCAGCAGCTCCAGAAGGATTAATGTTGCGGAGCATAGCAAATCGACTGACGCTTTCTTGATTCTTAATCCAATCTGTAATAACAGAGTCACCGGATGGGAAAGAAGTAGAGGTAGAAGTAGGGGGGATGGTGGTGCTTGTAGGGGGAGCACTAGTGGTAGGAGTAGATCCGCTTACTTGATAGTTGGCAGAGCCGTTGTTGTCATAATAAGTAACACCGTTGACAACATACTTTTTTTTTGTATTTAATTAGTGGTCGTGCTCTTGACTGCATATAAATTGCATAATTTAAATGAACTTACCTTGACGTAAAATTGCTTAATACCGCTGACAGAACCAGAGAAAGTCCAGTACTCGTAGTTGGAACCGCTAATACTTTCACTGAAAGCAGCAGCAACAACATTACCGTTGTTATTCCAGTTATCAGAGGCATCGGAGTAAATAACACTAACTGTCTTTGTATAAGCAATGTTTTTGATCTACAAAAAAAAGGGGGGGTCAACGCATTGTTTATGATAGATTATCAATGAAAGGGGGAAACACTTACATAGATTTTACCAGAAAAGGTTGAACCAGAATAATCGTAAGATTGAACCTTGACCTCCGAACTGGGAGGACTAGTGGAAACTACAGTGGCAGCAACAAAGTTGACAGAAAGGCAGGCTAAGACCAAGAGAGCAGGCTTCTTGAACAAGCTATTCAAAAGTCTCATTGAAAAAAAAAAGGAAAGAACTAGAGTAAAGAAGAAGAAAAATAAAAAAATAGCTTTCAATGTACCTTATTATATAGGTTTTTTTTTAGAGAGGGACAGAGTTTACATAGACAGTATATGTGATTTGTGTACTGTCGGTATAACTTTAATTCCTAAAACACCTGAATATCATACGGTATTTGCATTATAGATTTACAAATCCCAAATTAAATTTCCCTAATCCATACACAGGGAAATCAGTACACACTCATTTTTATAAAATTGCCTTCCCGCCTTCTAACCAGCTGTTTTTCTTTTTTTTTACCCAAGTACAAAAATAATGTCGATTAAATGTCACAGGTCACACAAATTGACAATTGCATGAGTGGGGGATAAGATTGATCGAATTATATGACATAGATAGATCGCGGTCCTTTCTCAATTTCATTTTCTGGTGCGACCATGAAACATTCACAACAGGCCATCCCGCTTTTTCCAAGCTTTATTCCAAAATAAAAAGTGGCTAGTCGTACGAAAAAAAAATACATTTCAATTAAGTTTAAAAGCCTGTGCAACAGAAAGTGTTTTGACCCAAGCATTCGATCTATTGACTTCTTAACCATCGTCTTGCCTCTACATACATAAAGAAGATATACTTTTGATTTTATAATAGATCACAATTCAATACTTAAACCCTTTTCGCCTCATTAAATATTCCCATATATGATACTTTAAATTGACGGCATCTCCGATGTTAAAATTATAGGTAATTATTGAGTCAATACAACAATATATGGTTTGCTATTGGTCGGACTCGTAGCACTTTCATCTTGGCGGTTATTTTCTAAAACTTTAACAAAAGCTAAATGTATTGTTTTTAACATCCATCTGTAAAGATTGCATATACATTTAAGTTTTACACCTGGTTTCTGTTTTTTTCATCGAACTAAAAAAGTAATCTGAAGTTTAGCTATTCGTTTTGTAAACAAACAATTGATCTCTTGTCATTTGATATACATCTGTTTGTTTTTTTTTTGACAGGAGCACGTATCAGTAGAAATTGTATGAGACTGAAAAATACATAGATAGCAATTTTAAATTCACGTTTACTTTCTTTTCCCACTAATTAAACGTATAAAAATGAGGTATTCTGGCGGAATAAAAATTTGAACTGACAAATGTCTAAAAAATGACCACAAAATTCATTTTATTGTGAAAATTGTTTTGGGGAAGTTGATACCTTTACCAAATAAAAGTGATATCAGCTAAAGCAATAGTGCAATTCAGAAATCCACATTGTTTTGTTAATGCAATTTATCATACATATAATACGAGATCAGAACATTTATACTAATAAATGACGTGATGCTGCTTATGCTCGTTAATATGCGGAATACCGCTGATGCGCCATTCCTGCTCCATTCAGCCATGATGCCTAACAGTAGCTGATTGAAAAGCTGCAGAAAGGAGGCATGGCAAAGTATGTGTTCTATCAAGTAGACTCCTTTAACATTACTCTTTATTTATCGTCAGCAATGCTCCCCAGTTGTCCCATAGTTTAAAACGAAGCTTCTTAGGTATATTATCTGTTGGTTGTACCAAAACAGGATTTCAATCGTACCAATTTAGAGTGAAATACTGGGATGTCTAACTTAATGCGGGTTGTTAAATTTATGACATTAAAAAAAGCGTATTGGTGCTACTTTTCAAAGAGTCAAATAATCCTAAATTGGGAAATGACATTTTTTTTTATAAGTGAGGGCCTGGGCCAGTGTCTTTTCTGACCCCACATGTATGAAGTAATTATCATGCAGTTCCAATGAAAAAGTGACCATAATGGTATACAGCTGGAAAACGGGTAAGGATAAGCACGTTAAGTAGTTATACAATTTTACCAGCGGTCCAGTTTTTTTTTCAGTTACATCTTTAGGGTAGGTATAAGCCAGTGGACTTTGCACAGCGTTAGTTGGTAAGATGATGCGCATACATTGCCGATAAAATAAAATGTGGCATTATTATTATGCCATTCCAGTAATGCAGATGAATGTTTTCACAAATTCATCACATAAATGTAACATATATAAAAATCCAGCGTTCCCGGCCAATGTTTGTTTTATGCCAAAGGTCCGCGGGTTTTACAAGTCTATTGCAATTAAAATAACCGCTTTTGGAACATGTGTATTTCTTTCATACAATTCATGACACTTTTTCTCTAGATGCTATATACAGTGAATGAAATGAAAGAAGAAATGAAAACTTGACTGTAAGCAAATGTTCCAATGGACATTTTTTAATTCACAAATTCAGTTAGAAAGAGCAGGTATCAGCATTTGTATGCAGGTGAAGTGATATTTCATCATTGATATTTCATGGTCACGCTACAACGATAGGCCCACTTGAGTTCCTGATAGTATCTTAGGGAAGATGATGCTGTAAAAATGTAACGAAACACGTCGAGAGATAACTCCAATAAAAACTTTTACGACCGTGACGCGATCGAATTTAAGATCAGTAGGTCAAAACGTAGTGCAAGTCTCATATTATTATTATTTTTTTTTTTTTTTGTACTCAAAAGAAAAAAAGAACACAACATTGTGAGATCCCAAGTAAACATTCTGCAGGACTGGAATAAAATGTACGACTTGCTTGTTGTCCCGTAATTTTTAAGTCTTGCGGGAATTCAGTTTTTACAAATGAAAAATCAAACGGCGCTCTTAAAAAAGTATTCAAACGCATTGACTTTACTTTAACTTTATATAATTACGTCAGATTACCATTTCGTTGTTATGGGGGGATACATAATAATTTTAACAGATCATATACTAGTCAAAAGTACTTTCAAGAAGACCGGTTTTTCCAAAAATATACGTTTGCCATGTTTAGAGTAACCTGAGTGGTGTGGAAATGAATTTGTTCACCAATTCGTGATACCCATGTGAGATGCACGTATGTAACATATGCTCTTTCACTACAGGACCAGCTTGACACATTCCCCCACATTTTTATTTGCTGTACATTATTTAATTTTTAATTGTTTTTAACGAAAATAACTAATGCAAATAAAAAATATGTAAAGCTATCTCTTTGAGTTATTAACCCTGATAAGAAGAGAGAACCTTCTAACCTGCTATTCAAATATAAAGGGTAATTATGACACCGTTTTTTTGGTGTAAAAAATATTTAGGGACACCGGATTGTTTATTTTTTTGAACCACAAAATATTTTCAATGACACAGTCTTTTACTTATCCAGAAAATCTCACATTGACTTAAATGACTAAACAAGACATCCACGATGTTGAAGTGCTAATTTAAGCACTTTCTAGAGATCAGTAGTGATCTTAAGATTAACGATGGCTTCGAGTAAACGCTTAGAAATGAACGAATTTGACTGGGACTACATCAATGTCGTAGAGGATGCAGCAGAAGATGACGAGGAGAACTACCAGACTGGCAGCAGTAAAACTGTCGTAAGTACGAAGAAGGCTTTTAAAAAGGAGTTCCCTGGATTCAAAACATTCGCTGAAAAGCAATCGGCTGAGTATGAAATCCAAGAGTTTTATGAGTGTCAAAACTTACCTTTTGGGACGCTCAGAAGCGATAAAGTGTATTTGAAACTGGTATATAAGCATTTTAGAGAATACCGCACCACTAGAGGCGAAGAAAGTACGGATGGATCAATCTATTTTGATTCAAAAAATAGAAATAGAAGGCAGTAATGATGGGGAGGGTGCCTTAAAAGACCCAATCGTAAGACACGTAAGGTTGGATGTATGGCTTTTATCCAAATCAAATTGGATACGAAAGACAAGGACAATTGCTGGTTTGTGAACAAGACTTGTTTTAACCACATGCACCCCGCCAACAACAACTGCCAGATGTGCCATGTCAATATAAAATTGGAAGCTGATAATCCAAAATTTTCAATCAAGATGAGGCGAAGCGGAAGCACTTCCAGTGCAGTTTTGGAGATAAGGAAGTGGATATGAAAAGTAGAATGTGGCATTATTTGTTATCTAGTTTATTTTAAATAAAGACATATTATACGCGTACTTTAGAACAATTTACAAAAGTCATTGGCATTACATAATTTCTTTCAAAATAAACAGTTTTGTTTGTAGAGGTTGAATACAAGAGACGTTTGCAACCAATCTTACGAATATTCAACCGCAATTCTGTAAATATGGCAGTATTTTCATCGGACTTTTATAGGAAGCCTTGAAACAACAAATCAACATGTTGGATGTTTGACTAACGCAGATAGTATAATACAATCCATTTGATTTATTCACCATCATGGCATTGAGAAAGAGCGTAAGCTATCTAAATGTGCTGTAATCGACGCTACTGGTAAAACAAATTCACACAAAGATGGTGTTATTGAGCTTTGTTGTTGCTGCTTTGTGTTCTATTGAAAGACTTAAGCAGCTGACTACCGTTCCTATTGCCGGCTACTGGATGGACAAGTGAAACGGAGTAGCAATCATAATCCCTCAATTTAATATCACATCATCTCGGCCAAACAAGTGCATGAAAGTAGTGCCAACTTTTAATCAACATACATATAATTATCACACACCGTACTTCCACTGCCAATTCGAGATTTTATAAATGGGCTTACTGCTTTATAAAAATACGTACTTATACAGTGTTTCGCGTTTAAAAATATAAAAAATTTGGTGGTAAAACTTATGAATGATCAGTAAAATTTTGATATCATCAATACAAATGTTACGAAAAAAAAAGGTGGCTTTTTGATATTTAGTGAGTTGGTAAGATTTTATTTACCCTACTAAAGTGTCGTTTCCAGCAAATGGCGGTCTATGACTAGTTTATCTATCGAAATGACAAGAAAACACATAAAACATAGTGTCGTATGTATTTTTGCAGAAAAAGAAAGGTAATAGCTAAAAAACATAAAATAGACCTAATTCTTTTATTTCAATATAAAATCTTTACGCAAACTAAGCATCTTCTTGCTCCATTACTTTTCTTGTCCTTTTACTTGTTGGTGTGAAAAAAGGAGTTATGTGTGACTTATGAGCTGGTGATCTTGGCGGGCTATCGATTGGTCTAAAAGGCGCGCTGATGCCTGACACAATATACTTTCTTTTTTCTTTGTAAACTGCCAACTTGATTTCATTGCTTAACTTTACTAAACTATCTCTCCAAAAGCAAAGATATTGCAGGGTGCTTCTAAAGTCATTCAGCTCCATGATATTTTTCGGTATATACAGATCCTTAACAAAATAAGACACCATAACGTCTTTAAATTGGAAAACGTGCACCATGTAACCTTCCCTTCCTCTCCAGTCCATGTATAAAGTATCACTCGATTGCTTTCTGATGTTGCTGATATTGTTTAAAATACTGATGTTTGTTCTAATATTTTTTGACTGTTGTTTTTTGAAGGTACTATCATTTGCATCTTGTGATTTAAATTCTATGGAGCACAACTCGATAGCTACATCATCGTAATTCGTTTTTGTTAATAAATCAATCTTCCGTCCATTATCCTCAATTTCATTTAGAGTTTGTATCCGTTGAGTATCCTTAGAAACCCTTTCACCATCATATACGGTAATATCTTCATCTTCGAGGAGTATATCTAAGATGTCGGCAAACTTTCGTTGGTACGTCATTTCAGCGTAATTATTATGCTTGGCATCCTCTATTTTCCATTTTTTAAAGTTGTGCACAACTTCTTGAACTATCCGTAGTAACTTATAATGTTCCGATTTTTTGTTTTTTTCCTTGTATTTTTTTTCGTCTAAATGGCCCAATAAATTACAATCGTCCTTATCAAATTGAAACTGTAATAATTCACCAAAGATTTCATCGATAGCAGACACATTGAAAGATGGTTGACGAGACTTCATTTCATCGCACGCTTGGAGAATTTCATCGTAGAATGGTGCTGGGATAAATCGGGCGTATAAATTCACATGATCAGGATCCAATAAGTTGACTGTTTGAGAAAGACATAATTTTAACAATTCAGTTTCATTTACATCCAAATCTTTTTGAGACACTAAGCTGGCAGCTTCATTTAATAGAATGAATGGCAACGTTGGATAATTAGAGAGTGGGATAATTACAACTGGAAAGATTTTGTTTTTCAGCAATCTTTGTTGTGCGTGTGTTGTCAAAATACTTGTATAGAAATTAAATGCTTTATCATAATCCAACATATTGATGCTTTCCTTTCCTTTTCCATTGTCTTCACCATCATCTCTGTCTTCTTCTTTTTCCCCTTCTTCATCTCCTTCTTCTTGTTCTCCTCCTTCTTTTTCTCCATCACCTTTCTTTTCCTCCTCTTTTTCTTCGCCATCAGATTCATTTTTGTCACCTTGGTGTACGAAATCACTTAGATTTGACTGAGCACTAGAAGCATAGTTTCCCAAAGTAGCAACTGAGGTGACAGTGTATTGATGATTTGCCTTTCTAAGCGCTGAGTAAATCTCAAAGATTTCATTAAAAATAACACTCGCAGTTTTGGGTGCATTGACAATTTTTATGGTTGATCTTTGTTGTGCGGCTACGCGATTGTATATATTAACCCAATATCGCATTAAGGTTATAGCATTAGAGGCCAGCATCTTGGAGGAGTGGTTGACTATGTCATCTTTCTTTCTTTTTGAGAACTGATCGAACGTTGGTTTTTTAGTGTACTTGAAGTACAACGAGACGAGTTTTTCTTCTTCGGAATAGTTCATGACTACATCGTTAAAAAAAAAATTTTCTCCAAAAAAAAAAAAAAATGTTTTTTATTAAAGTCTGCAAGCCGAAACGCTAATATAATTGGCCCGGAGAATTGAGTACGTCATTGACATTTTTTATAGCTCAGCTTGTCCAATACAGCTATTTTTTTTTTCTCTAATGATTAACTCAGTAGTATTGTAGGAATCGCTTGATTAGACCAAAGGCTATCAAGGGTAGTAGACCAAAGGCTACGTCCTTAGTGAAATTATAGTTGACTGTGGGATGAGTGTCTCCTGTCTTAAGATTATAAAAGTAGCGTAGATACTAATGAGCAGTATTTAGGATTTATGAAGGTATATTTGTTTTTTGACTATGTTTGCCTATACACTATTAAATTAAATCAACTTTATACCGAGTAACTTTAGCTTTGTTTTTTAAACTCGATCACCTGATAGCTACGTAGGAATCGCTTGATTAGACCAAAGGCTATCAAGGGTAGTAGACCAACGGCTACGTCCTTAGTGAAATTATAGTTGACTGTGGGATGAGTGTCTCCTGTCTTAAGATTATAAAAGTAGCGTAGTAGTTATCAGATGCGTTTGCCTTAGTAGTATCGTAGGAATCGCTTGATTAGACCAAAGGCTATCAAGGGTAGTAGACCAAAGGCTACGTCCTTAGTGAAATTATAGTTGACTGTGGGATGAGTGTCTCCTGTCTTAAGATTATAAAAGTAGCGTAGATACTAATGAGCAGTATTTAGGATTTATGAAGGTATATTTGTTTTTTGACTATGTTTGCCTATACACTATTAAATTAAATCAAATTTATACCGAGTAACTTTAGCTTTGTTTTTTAAACTCGATCACCTGATAGCTACGTAGGAATCGCTTGATTAGACCAAAGGCTATCAAGGGTAGTAGACCAACGGCTACGTCCTTAGTGAAATTATAGTTGACTGTGGGATGAGTGTCTCCTGTCTTAAGATTATAAAAGTAGCGTAGTAGTTATCAGATGCGTTTGCCTTAGTAGTATCGTAGGAATCGCTTGATTAGACCAAAGGCTATCAAGGGTAGTAGACCAAAGGCTACGTCCTTAGTGAAATTATAGTTGACTGTGGGATGAGTGTCTCCTGTCTTAAGATTATAAAAGTAGCGTAGATACTAATGAGCAGTATTTAGGATTTATGAAGGTATATTTGTTTTTTGACTATGTTTGCCTATACACTATTAAATTAAATCAAATTTATACCGAGTAACTTTAGCTTTGTTTTTTAAACTCGATCACCTGATAGCTACGTAGGAATCGCTTGATTAGACCAAAGGCTATCAAGGGTAGTAGACCAACGGCTACGTCCTTAGTGAAATTATAGTTGACTGTGGGATGAGTGTCTCCTGTCTTAAGATTATAAAAGTAGCGTAGTAGTTATCAGATGCGTTTGCCTTAGTAGTATCGTAGGAATCGCTTGATTAGACCAAAGGCTATCAAGGGTAGTAGACCAAAGGCTACGTCCTTAGTGAAATTATAGTTGACTGTGGGATGAGTGTCTCCTGTCTTAAGATTATAAAAGTAGCGTAGATACTAATGAGCAGTATTTAGGATTTATGAAGGTATATTTGTTTTTTGATTATGTTTGCCTATACACTATTAAATTAAATCAACTTTATACCGAGTAACTTTAGCTTTGTTTTTTAAACTCGATCACCTGATAGCTACGTAGGAATCGCTTGATTAGACCAAAGGCTATCAAGGGTAGTAGACCAACGGCTACGTCCTTAGTGAAATTATAGTTGACTGTGGGATGAGTGTCTCCTGTCTTAAGATTATAAAAGTAGCGTAGTAGTTATCAGATGCGTTTGCAAAAACCTTGTGTTATCTTTTGAACTGAAAATAAAATGACCCCTTGCTTCAATGTAAGCAGGTATTCGACTGTTGTCATGTATTCTTACATTGCCCATCACAACTTAATATCTTTTTAATCCTTCTTTATTCATTACATCTAAGATATTCTTCAAGAAGATAAGAGTATGATCTGTATTAGTTCCTTTTTCTGTTTTTACAGTCTTGGATGTTCCAGGAACTTTTATTTTCTTATATACACCCGATTTATCTTGGATATGTCGATAATACCAGCATTACTTATACACCCCATGATAGTAATGCTTGAACCATTTTGAGTTGGGACCTTAACCTTGGCAGGTTTATTTTTAGGGGCCCAAGCTTCTCAAGTATCAAAACGGCAAAGCAGTCTTCTATTTCTACCAACTCATCTACATATACACATATTGCCTAAAAGATTGACAATGAGAACGATAGAGGTAAACATGTATTATTCAAGTCGGTAAAGTAAGTGATATTATTTGTGTAGGTAGGTATTAAAGAAAACTGATAAATAAGGTATTATAATACGTCTATTTGTAAAAAAGGGTGGTGGAGTTTTTTTTCTTTTTTACATCGATCTCCGACTTTCTGTAGTGGTTGAGACGTGAGCAGCTGTCGACAATGTTCTTTTAGGTGCCGGCCCTTGTTGTTGTTTTACGCCCACAACACCACCTCCCATAGATGCGCTCTGAGTATTTGTTGTGGTTTTACGTCGCATGATATTCGAGAATTTTCCATTTGTCTTTTTTTTGGACACCATGGCAGGCGTGGCATCTTTACTTTGAACATGTAATCTCTGAGCGTGACCCACAATACAACTAATCAAATCATTGTAAGTCTCTGCATCCATCTTTAATTGTTCTCGCTGATCTAATAAATGGTCGAGATAATCCGCTGCCTGTCTTTGAAGTCTACTGAGTTCTAGCACCATAGCATTCAATTTTACATCTGGGAACACACGGATAGTTTCTAGAGAAAATCCCCGGGTATTTCATTAAAAAACCATACTCTTTATAACTCTCTTAGTAAAGACATACCTTCTGTCAGTTCACAATAGGCTCTGGCAATATCAATATCCAGTTCCATTTCTTGGTCTGCTTCCTTTTTAGCTTCTTTGGCATGTTCATCCATTTTGCTCGTGACAACTCTTAATCCACCTGTGGCAGATGCAGATCGTAAATGTGTTTGAGAACCGTCGGGAGAAGAAGGTAAAGAAGTGGTGGATGAATTGACCAGACGCTTTCCGTCTACTGTCTGCCTCTTTTTGGTTGTATTAATATGACCTGGTGATCCTAATGGTGAGTGTAGACTTGAAGGTGATTTCTATATAAACCGGGGTAAATAAAAAATGCTGGTATACTTAGTACGTGCAATTACCTCCTCTGCACTAAAAGTGACACCAAGTGCATTAAGGTAGGCTTTGTTTGTTTCCGATCTTGTCCATTGAAATTGTCCCACTGCACCTGTCACTGGATTATAGAATACGGTATCACGCGAGAGTTTAATCCATAAATCACGACTATAGGTTAAGATCAGTAAGCACTCCTGTACATATATATAATCCCTTTCCCTCTTTCTTTTTATTTACCTGCATGGAGTATTTAAAATATCTTTGGGGTTATCCATTTGCTCTACGGGCGATGATATCACATGCGAAGTTTCTTCGCCCCACATGTTGCTGAGATAATTTTCGATAAAGTGGGATCATTTCATGAGGTCTTTCTTCTAGCACTTGGACCTGTACAAAAGAAAGAAAAAACAAATGAGGACATGCTCGGGAAAAGTTCATTTAGTTTCTTTTACATAAAGCTCTGCTTCGGTCGGTGCTTTTGGAGTTACTGGAGGTGGAGGTGGAGTAGGCTCGAAAATCATCAAAGTCGCCAAACTCGTCATCATCCACTGCATCGGCAAAATCATCATCAAACTCGCCAAAGTCATCAAATTCATCTTGTTGTGCTTCATCAAAGTGTAATACTTCCTTGGTAGGTTCGGGTTCGTCGGTGAAGGTGGTGCTTGAGGAATCGAGGGTGGGTGAATCCACTTCTTCTTTAAGACTTCTGGCTGTGCAGGTTCTACATTGACTTGTAAGGACATTCTGTGATTTTACACTATTTTAAAAAAAATATACAACAAAAATGCAAACACACAAAAAGGGAAATACATGAAAAAAAAAATAACTGCCTGAGTACCAAAACGTGACGTTTTCGAATTGCATTGTACTTGAATTTATAATTTCTTAGACCTGTGTGATTACAAATTTAGATGGTGTTCTTATTGTTTTGAATCAATTGTAATTTGTTTTGAGACGATTTATAATTTTATTTGAGACGAAGTGTAACTTTTTTTTTCTGAGATGATAAAGTTTGTAAAGAAATGGCTTGGTATACGAAGCTTGTATGCTTGGAGGTCTGCTTCAAGTGCTTCAACATAAAAAGCTTCAAAAGTAAGAGGTTAGTATCATGCTATATAGTCATGGTACATTTTGTTTGAACTTACGGCCTTTGAAGTAGCAATCTTGATCTTTCCACACAAATCAGTCTTGCCTAAATTACTGGTGAGCCACCTGCCAGCTGCCTATCCTGCTCCCTTACACCAGTATCAGCCAGTCATCAAGTTGTCATGTACTTAAAAATAATACGTGGAGTGGCTGTCACGAGATATATTCCACTTTATCATCGTCAACATTGCTCGAATCTTATTCACGAAAGTGAGAAGTTAGTATCATGCTATCTAGTCATGGTACATTTCGTTTAAACTAACAGCCTTTGGAGTAGCACTCTTCTTGATCTTTTCACACAAAGCAGTCTTGCCTGAAATACTGGAGTCGCCAACTATCAGTTGTCTATCCTGCTCCCTTACACCAGTATCAGGCTGTTATCAAGCTCTTCCTTATTGGTAACAGTTTCAGAAGGTAGCTATTATAAAGATTGACCAAAATTGCAATTGAAAAGGCTAATAGGAGTCAACAAAAGAACTTTTTACTGAAATACATACGCCATCCAGTACTCTCTGCACTCCACAAAGGTTGATTTGCGTTTAAAAATCAAGATTTTCTAAAATAGAAATCAAACTTTTTATTTGACCTCAATCAAATTTTTCATTCCTTTGAGAAAGTAAGCTAGCAGCTTTATCCAATAGGGCGAATGGCGTTGTTGGGTAATCAGAAAGTGGGATATTTATATCTGAAAAGATTTTGTTTTTCAGCAATCTTTGTTGTGCGTGTGTTGTCAAAATACTTGTGTAGAAATTAAATGCTTTATCAGCGTTGTCTTCATCATCATCTCTGTCATCTTCTTTTTCCTCTTCTTTTTCTCTTCTTCTTCTCTTTCTTCTTCTTCTTCTCCTTCTCCTTTCTTTTCCTCCTCTTTTTCTTCACCATCAGGTTCATTGTTGTCATCTTGGTGTACGAAATCACTTATATTTAACTGAGCACTAGAAGCATAGTTTCCCAAAGTAACAATTGAGTTGACAGTGTATTGATGATTTGCGTTTCTAAACGCTGAGTAAATCTCAAATATTTCATTAGAAATAACACTCGCAGTTTTGGGTGCATTGACAATTTTTATGGTTGATCTTTGGTGTGTGGCTACGCGATTGTATATATTAACCCAATATCGCATTAAGGTTACAGCATTAGAGGCCAGCATCTTTGATGAGTGGTTGACTATTTCATCTTTCTTTTTTTTGCAGAACTGATCAAACGTTGGTTTTTTAGTATACTTGAGGTACAACGAGACAATTTTTCTTCTTCAGAACAGTTCATGACTACAGTGTTGGAAATGCCATCGCATTAGAGTTATAGCGTCAGAAGCCAGCATCTTCGGTGAATGATTGACTATTTCATCTTTCTTCTTTTTACAGAACTGATCAAAGGTTGGTTTTTTAGCATACTTGAAGTACAAAGAGACGATTTTTCCTTCTTCAGAACAGTTCATGTCTACATTATTGGAAATGCTAGACCTCAGTATTTTTTTCAAACGTATTTTTTTTATACCACTTACATCAATTCTGGTCAAAAAACAGCAGCCATTTACAGTAAAACTCCTGTTATTCACAGGGAGGTCACCCTCCTATAGCAAAGACTCGCCGCAGCCCCGATATATCTTTTTCGATTTAGCGTCTTTTCAAAGAAACAAGTGTCCTTACTAACTTACCCTTTTACATTATCGGTTACTTTCAGACGATAGAAGAAGTTTTTTAAGGGAAAAGAAAAGGGGAGGAATAAAGTGTGTGAACTAGCTTTATTTATAGGCTGATAAACAAGCTTATGTCAGGTTGATTTAATTGATTGTTTCATCATCCATAATGTTTGGGCCTTTACTTAAAATAGAAACATTGGCAAAAACCCCCAAACAAATCGGAACTTGGTAGTTGTATATCTGCGTTCCAGTAGTAGCTTGTAATGACAGTGAAGCAGATTTTATGGAAAACAGAAATCGATCATCCTATGGTATGTCAATCGACGGACGGTACGCTTATAGTCAAGCCAAATCTAGCCAATAAAAGTGCTAGGAATAGTGTAAGGAGCAAATAGCATTGCTCGAAATAATATGCGCGAAATAGTGTAACTGGGTTTGAAAAGTGTTTTTTCCTTTTTTCTGTGACTTTTGTTTGTCCCCGCGTGTGAATTTTTGACACTTATAAATTGATCTGTTTTTCAAAATAAGCATCTAATCTGTACCAGAATACATATATCATATAATTTTAAGTAAGGAATATCAATTGATTGATAGTTGTCGTTCAATAGACACATTGCTTTCAAATAGTCTAAACTCCAAAGTAGATGTCAAATATTTCTCTCAAGAAAAAAGAACGTCCATACGGCTCTAAAAGTAAACCTGGGTCCAAAGCACCTGGTCCTAATCCGGCTCATCTAGTCAATCAACCCCGTTTAAGCTTTTCAAATGTCACTTCAACACAAGCCGAGAGCAGTAATTCTGAATTAGAAAATTTATCAATTTTACAAGATACATTGGTGATTCAACAATCTCAAGCAACACATACTAATGATGATATTGCAGAAAACAATGAAGAGGTAAAAATTTAACATAAACAATGCCGTGATTTTTGCGACTGACACGTATCCTTGAAAAAGCATATTAGTACAACATCATCTCAAAGCATTGCCACGAGTGAAGATAACAGAAATATTGGCTTAAACATTGCTGACGAGTTATTACCAGATCAATGATTTTTAAAATATTTAGCATGCTGATTGTATACGTAAATTAGAACATTAATCAAGCTGCTGGTGTGGATCTTGATGTCGATCATGCCGAAGATAGTGACGATATTGATGAAACTCAACTTCTTGATGAGCTCACAGAGGAGCAATTTAATGCTCTTGAAAACAGTATTTCTAATATTCCTGAAAATGGATGTCTTGATAATTATCTTGGAGGCATACAGGACAATCTTAAAGGTGGAAATGTACCAAGCCAATACATCAATGGCACATTTTGGATCAGCCCTCCAAGCGTTTCTTTTTTTTTAAAGCAAAAAATCAATCCCGAGCTGCTTTACCGCCCAAGAGTATTTGTATGGCTCCCTCAGTTTTTGAAAAAGACTCCTTTGCACTGTCCAACATGCGCAAAACCACTGCTAGCAAAAGAGTGGGTCCAAAAAACAAAGGCTCGAAGAATAATTGATCTGGATGAGTAAGTTACATAATTGGTTTGAGACTATAGAATGCATACTAACAATAAACATTTCAGCTGTTTCTATCTTTTGAGTGTTCGACTTAAATGTACAAATAAATCAACCGTTCATACATTTATGGGATATACATCTTCAGTTATTAGACAATTACCACCAAGGGTTCAGGCTGATTTCCCTGCTGTGCTTACCCATCGTTCTGGCTTTTCAAAGCAATTAGTAAGGCTCCTACGCACACAATTTCAAAATGCTGCCGGCCCTCATCAAATGCACCAAATATTACGAACAAATCATACAGAAAAATTCGATTCCATTCAATTCCAGTACTATGATGCTTAAAAAGATAAGCTTAATGAACAAAAGATGGCTAAAAAGCTGGTAGGAAATATTTCTACAGCTACAACATACCCGGAGTTCTCGACGTTTAATGTTAGAAATGGATACAACGGATATGTACCTTCAGCCAATTACATAAGTTATGCGTATTGCTCAATCATAGATGATCTCGGGTCTTATATGAATCACCACACGTCACTTTTGAATGGAATAGTTTAAAAACGAAACCATTCTTTTAAGGTATGCACACATCAGAATTCATATCCAAACAACACAAGCCAGCAATTAATTTTTTTTTAGATTATAAAACATGTGGCCAAAATCAATGGGGTGTCAACATTTTCATGTCTGTATACCCTCTTGAACGAATACGAAGAAATTCGCCCACACTTACTTGCACCTACAAAGTCATTGGAACACTTAGCCCCATCTTTCAATAACATGATGGAGAGTTATAAAAAGTATGGCTTTAAAATGCCAGAGCTTTTTTACACGGACAATGTTCTTGGTGATCGGTTGTTCTTGGAATCGACAATACAAACTTCTCTTCTAAAAGACGTTATTCATAAAAATTCAACTTTGACAGAACAAGTCGATTTAAACAGCCCATTCAAAATTAACCCCATAGCCAGATTGCCAGATAACATAACGGTATCAATTTTAAAACTACTATGGACATCAACCAATCATGCCAAAAACTTCTTGATGAATGTTTACAACAGGGTACCATTGCCATTAGATTTGACTGCGAATGGGCTGTAAGAGGTAAAAGATCAGCAATTTCCATCAGTGAGCAGTCTGGTTTGAAGTTCGTTCCTGTTGCTTAGGTGCAAATCGCTTACGGTAATTCTGTCTACTTGATGAGAAAATTTGATCAAGATCCTCACTGATACTCAAATAGCCAAAATCGGAAAAAACGTCAGCGATGATCTAACAAGATTCCGCTATATTGGTCTCCAACAATGCCCTGGTCAACTGGAACTTGGTACCTTTTGCAAAGATAAGGATCTCATTGAAAGAGGAAATACATCTTTGGCCGACATATGCGGGCTTGTTCTGAAGGTGCAGTTACCCAAGGCAAATTTTGTTCCTTGTGGTAATTGGGAAGCCCCAATCCTTTCAGAAGAGCAAATTGATTATGCAGCTTTGGATGCTTGGGTGTCATGCGAAATTTATACCAGATACAAAGATATGCCCACAATTCATCAGAAAGTAACTGTCAACACAACAGCCGGTTCTTTTGTTGCAATTCATATAGACAAATCTGCCTCGTCTTCTGTTGCTGGTTACGGCTATATATGCAATGATGATACTCCTCCTACAAATAATACCCATGAAACAATTCATACCAACAGTGCACTTATTGTAAAAGTTGTGAAGATAACTATTCCTGGATACCCTTTGGAGTGTTACAATGAGGGTCTGACCTTAGGTGATTTCCATGATATACCCTTCACTGTTTATATCGAATGCAAATATCTGTTTACAGCTTCAGAAAGAGTGCATTATTTAGTTTCTGATACTTCTAATACCCCAATCATACAAATACCACCCATTAGCAGCGATACCACTTCTTCACCAATCAATACCAATAAGAATTCTGTCGACTCCCGTGTTTTAAAGGATGGATTTCATATTATGGACATGATTAAAATTAATAAGTCTCATGGAATTCAAAAAGACTTCATGCGTCGTTTCCGTGACATCATGTATGTATGTGACCAAGAGGATAAAGCTTTAGTAGAAAGTTATCTTGAAAGTATTTGTACGGACTGGAAGACACGGATGTTGGTAAACCTTGCTTGGATATTTGAACGTGTAAGAAGACATATACCCCCAGCCGAAGAATTATACCCCGCCTTAAAATTCCTTTTTGAAAGTTACAATCCTCTTAGGTGTGAGCATTCCGGCCTTAAACTCTTTAATGCCGCAGCTGTTGCCATGTCCTTGCATGTTTTGGATTCGGTCAATCAAGGGCATGTCTCAGACGTTGTTAATGGGCCTCCATTATATATCGAAAAAGGCTTGGACAAAAACAATCTCATGACATATAAATGCTCCAGACGAACAAGCTCAGTTGAAGGAGCATGCCATATGAATATTGTTCGAAGGTTTGCTTCTTACAATGCATCAGCTAGATTGATTGACTCAATTTTAGCCGATTACCGGTTATATCATAATCTCAATGTAAGTATTAAATGATTTAACAAATATTTCATAAACTGAAAGTTATTCAACATCATAGATTGGGTCAATTAAAAAGCATCAAGGCCATTATAGTCCTTGGCTTGTACTGGCCATAAATTTATTAAGAACTGAAGTAGGTCGCGATACCGTTATGAATTATACCTGTGAACGTTATGGGAGTTACTTGAATTTTGAAACTTCTGGTGTCGTCGATATACCCAGAACATTTGGCAACTCAATTGGTATTAGACCTACCGAATCTCTTGCTCTAAAAAAAGGTTAAAATAACAAAAGGCCGGATGACAGAACTTGCTTCTTTGCCTGTGGTAGAGCTTCCTAAAATTGGTTTTTCCGCTAACAGGTTCAAATACAAATATCTATCGAATTGTCAAGGCACCTTGTATGCTGTAACTGCTGTTCATACAAAGGAAGAAGTATGCCTTTTGAAACTCTAATTAATACCTAAGGCCAAGAGAGTACATCTTTTTACCAACCTTTTGATTCGAAAAAAACCGAATTTCGAGCTTTTCGCTTTAACATGGAACTCTAAAGATTGCCAACATGATACTAATACTTATCACAAGACACCAGGACATTTAACATCATATTTTAACATTTTAGAAGACAGAAAAAAAAAAACAAAAAAACTGTTCTCAAAAATATAGAAATATCATAAAGTGTTCGAGTACTTGCTGAATCCCCATCCAGGTTTATAAAATCAACGCTTTTCTTAGAGACAGCCAAAGTGCACGTAGTCGCAACGTAAGATCTATGGTTTGGATGTTCTGTAGACATGGGAACAAGGATATACAATCAAAAACAATGTAAAAATTACAAATAAATGTACATCAAACGATTTATACTTATTTTGACAATTCTATTGTCACTCTTTCGCCTTTGACCTCATTTGAATTAAATTTTACGCAGAAATATTAATCTAAAGTCCAAACGAGAAGCTGAAAGTTAGCTTTAAAATACATATACTGGTTTAAATTATGTTAATTGTGATAAATGTGTATATATTTTAAGTTATTAAGTTCTATTGACCTCTTGATATCTATTAAAGTATCATAATCCCAACATTACAACTACGTGCACTCTGGCTGTCCCTAAGAGACCTGTAATATCAATACCTACATTACCCAAACGAATACCCCCATAGAGCAACATTTTCCACTTGGTACAATCAACCCACTGTCACCTCAATTACAGATGATACGCCCTGCATATCATTCCAGACATATTCCGGGCGCCACCCCTCTTACAACACCACTTTCACGCCACGTTACAGCTGAAGTAATCAATCTATCAAATGACAGGAAACGAAAAAGAGTATGTGTGGTATGTATGGTAGATAATTGTCCTGGAAGCTCCAAAAGTTCTCTGTGCAGTAAAAAATGCAGACGATTTAGACAAGAAAGCTGTACAGGTAGACACGTTATACAACCAAAAACTGGGAAGAAAGATTTTGTACAGCTTTTGCCTTGTTTAAATTTATAAATGTAGCTGATAATGTATGCTGGAATTGCTACCCGTCATTATTGGCTACAAACCCATATCACTATTATCTAATAACAAATAAATCATAATCTTTCCCTTAAATCACTGCAATAAATCTCGTAGAAAACAAATAGAACTTTACACGTAAAAAAATTAGGCAAACCCTTATGAACTAAATGAAATCAGATGAATTAAATGAACTAGCCCAACTATGGTTACAAGGCCTTTTTTTTTTAAAAAAATCAATCACGTGATCTAAAAAAGTCGTCGTATGTAGAAATAAAAAAAAGACTTTGCCAAAAAATAGGAAATGTCTAGAACTCCGTATTTTTTTCAAACGTATTTTTTCAAACGTATTTTTTCAAACGTGATGGTCTACACGTCGATTGACATGCCATATCATCTAAACTTCATTGGATGATCGTTTTCTGTTTTCCATAAAATCTGCTTTACTGTCATTACAAGCTGCTACTGGAATGCAGATAGACAATTACCAAGCTCTGACTTGCTTGGGAGGTTTTTGCAACTGTTTCTATTTTAAGTAAAGGCTCAAACATTATGGATGATAAAATAGACAAATGAAATCATCCTGACATAAGCTTGTTTATCAATAAATAAAGCTGGTTCACACACTTTGTTCTTCTCCTTTTCTTTTTCCTTAACATACTTCTTTTATCGTATGAAAGTAACCGATCACATAAAAAGGTTAGTTTAGTAGTGACTCTTGTTTCTTTGAAAAGAAGCTAAATCGAAAAAGATATATAATTGTGATATTGCGGCTGCGGCTAGTCTTTGCAATAGGAGGGCGACCTCCTAGGCAGAGTTCTTGAGTTTTTGGAACTCACGAACCGTGAATAGCTGGGATTGGACTGTAAATAGGTGCAATCATACTGGTCTGCTGGTCTTCTGGCCAGAATTCCTGTAAGTGGTACAAAAAAAATACGTTTGAAAAAAATACGGAGGTCTAGACATTTCCAAAAAATACATACGTTACAACGTTCTTCTTTTTAATTCTAAAAACCATGACAAAGAAATATCAAAGTGATGATCTTGATCGTGTTATACGCGAGGAACAAAATGAACTTTCTACTGCACTTATTCGTGTCTCGTCTGCGTTGGCGAAAGAAAGGATACATGAGCAGTTAACAAGTAGTTCAAAAAGAAGAGCTTCTGCTTTAGATGACGGAGAGGTAATGGGCTTAACTACTTAAAGTCGGTATGTACTCTTGTTGACATCTTTTTTTAAATAGAGGATCGAAGACGACGGTTTATATATTGGTTCTTGTGAAGAATCTGTCGGAACCTTGATCAAGAAAGCAGCCCTTAACTCATACAATGATTATCATAACCTGGACTATGACGAGAAATCCATTGTTGCGTAAGTTGAATAAAAATTGTTGCACATGAGATATTTCAGTTCTCTAACAGTAGCATCTATTAGTTTAGGTCTCAATTCTATCATCGACTTGTCTCATTTTTCTGCTCCTCAAAAACGCCTTTTTTCCGATGGTGACTGGAATGTCTTGCGCAGTAAATATACCACGCGCTTCTCTCCTGGGATCGACTTGAACCACAAGTTAAAATCAAAAATTGCTGAGATTGAAATTGTTTGTATTACTGAGACCAAGCTAAACAGTTCAATGCTTTAACAACAATTTATAAATAGGCCAGTAAACAAGAAATTGAAAAAGGCAGATTTCTCTCAAACCACAAAGAATCAAAAGCGAAAAGTAAAGTTGATTCCGATATCTTTAGCATTTATTCTCAATAGTAAGTTGTGCTATACTTAATACTGCAGTGCCATCGATTCTTATTCGTTTAATTTCTCTAGCCTTGAATTGATGGAATTTCAATCCTACGTATTCAGCAAAGATATCGACACCACTGAAACAGACGCTGTTGTAAAGATTTGGTCTCCGATGCTTGAAAGATTATTTAGAAGAACAGAATTGAGAACAAAGTGGTACGTAAAAATATAGCTGTTTATCCCTAAACATATCTACTATAACAAATTACTTAGGGGGGAAACGGTCGGTGATTCTGGAGATAGCTCAGATAATCTAGGCTTCAAAGTCGATTTAAGAGTGGTTAAGGATACACTTTCGAGAAGAAAGAAGGAAGCCGATAAGGCTAACTGTGAAATTTCGAGAATTGACCCTGGACTTGTAAAAATTACAAGCGATAGAACAAAGTTGTTAGTTGAGTCAAAAGCTGTATTAGATAAAATTGCTAAAGAAGACCCAAGAAGAGCGAAAGACATCTTAGTCCCTGCCTTACAGCTTACCGGTAATGTATTATTTTTTAAGGAGTGGAAAATTCTTTTCTCTAACTCGTAGTACTTTTTTTAGGCAATCATGCCACGCTCTATTCACTCAGTCTTGCCGCTAATGGACTTTATTTTGGTGTAAAAGAGGCGTCCGCTTATGTGCCTAACTTCATCTCTAATATGAACAACTTCAGAGACGTAATTCTTTTGCTATTTAAGTTCAAAGTAAGTACAAGAAGGGCACATTATATGATAAAATATTCTAACAAATAGGAAAGGCTGCTACTACGAATCTTCTGGCCTTCGGATTAAAAGGAGGTGATGATGGTGGTGGTAACAACAACAACAGCGACAACAATAGCAGCAATAACAGTAGCAATAACAACAACAACATCGGCGTCAATAGCAGCAGCAGCAGCAGCAGCAGCAGCAGCAGCAGAAGCAGAAGCAATAGCAGCAGCAGTAGCGTTAACAACAACAGCAATAACAACAGCAATAACAACAGCAACAACTGCGCTTCATGGGTCAGAGACACATGGATTCCCCCAAATAGTCAAAGAAAAACCAGGTTACCAAGCATTCCTACTTTGCTATATTTTTCCGATATGAATACCCGAACATAAGTTTTCGTCTCTCCTGTCTTCCTCCTTTAGCTATCTTATTATTATCACAATCCAACGTGTCATACCCACCAAAATATCCTCAGTAAATAATCTGTATCATTATATGTCATACCCATCAAAATATCCGCAGTAAATAATCTGTTTCACTATATCTAAATAGCTATTGCTTTTACGTAATAAATAAAGTTTAATTAATGCCAGTGTAACTTTACTCTTGAACAATTACAGTTTGGTTTAAACTCGTCTATTTTTTTATTTTTTCATCGAAACAAACACTTCTATGCATCAGAAGGAATAATGTTAGTTTATTAAACAATGTTATAAATGAGGTAATTCTCTTATTTAGTGAGTGGATTACCACAGATGTGTTAAATAGTTCCATGGTTTTCTTGAAAAAATCAAAGCAAATTTACAACTTCTTTTTTAAAGGGCCGCTCGAAAATTCCACGTAAAAGTATAGAATTATTCGTGACTCTGATGGACGGTTCAAAAAACATAATGAATGAAGTACCAGAGGGTCTCATTAAATATTTTCATTTCCTCAAGAAATATTTTCTCATTCGAAGAAAGAAAAATCTTGCTCAAAAAAATTATATTTCGTTATTGGCTGATTAAATTGATGTGAAAAAATAATGAGAATGAGATATAGTGAATGAAACCCCATACTGTATCAAGCCTGAACCGAGTTGGTGGTACGTCTCTACTAACTGAGACAATATTAGTTTATCATTAGTAATGATATTGTATTCAGTTATACCGTATCTGACCCACACTGAAAGATACTTAGCAGGAATATCGTTTGAAGCTTAGATAAGTAACTTCAAGTGTTTTGGTATCTTGTAACTTTGATGTTTGACTCGAGGTCGAAAAGATTCATTACTTGTTTCATAGCGCTGGCTATCTTGTCTGCTTCTATATCCATAGCCTCAACTCCGATCTCATCATATATGTTTCTTCCATGGGTGTCTTCATTTACGTATATTAATCTTAACATCTTATAATAAGAATCTGTGAGCCGTTTATTCATCTTACATATAAGCACACAGATATAAGAAATCTGCCAATTATTGTTTCAGCGAGTAGGGTCTTGCATATATTTGTCACTTATTATGGTCTCTGGGATGTGCAACCTCAATAAAGATGGATAAATAAACAAAACATTTAACGAAATAGATTTATTTATTCGCAAAAAAAAAAAAAGAAAAAAAAAATCAACAATCCAAGTGGTTATAATATGTTAGAGAAAAATCATTGACAAGAAATATTCAAAAACGTGCCTAGCCCGCCTGCCCTTTTTTCATTGACTGGAGAATTCCTAGATGTATTCAAATGATGACAGCTATACATTTTTTATCATGCAAACCGGTATCCAGAGTCAATACCGCTCTCTTCTACTTAACTGCAAAGTATACTAAAGAGAATCAGCACAGAATACATCCATGTTGGTTGCAGTAGGAGTCATCTTTCATATATGTGACGGATAGGTTATACCCTACACATTCTCAACCTCTCTGCTAGGTTACCAGTCGCAGATATTACTGGAAAAGATGAGCCCAGAGAAACATATATACCACAAGACCAACATATGTACCACATAACCAACTATAAGATTTGTAGAGGTGAGTTGAAGTAATAACAATATAGCTAACTAATATATTTAGATTACTTGCCTTTTTCATTGACTAGAGAATTCCTAGATGTATTCAAATGATGACAGCTATACATTTTTTATCATGCAAACCGGTATCCAGAGTCAATACCGCTCTCTTCTACTTAACTGCAAAGTATACTAAAGAGTATCATCACAGAATACATCCATGTTGGTAGCAGTAGGAGTCATCTTTCATATATGTGACGGATAGGTTATACCCTACACATTCTCAACCTCTCTGCTAGGTTACCAGTCGCAGATATTACTGGAAAAGATGAGCCCAAAGAAACGTATACACCACAAGACTAATTATAAGATTTGTAGAGCTGAGTTGAAGTAATAATAATATAGCTAATCAATATATTTAGATTACTTGCCTTTTTCATTAACTAGAGAATTATTAGATGTATTCAAATGATGACAGCTATACATTTTTTATCATGCAAACCGGTATCCAGAGTCAATACCGCTCTCTTCTACTTAACTGCAAAGTATACTAAAGAGAATCAGCACAGAATACATCCATGTTGGTTGCAGTAGGAGTCATCTTTCATATATGTGACGGATAGGTTATACCCTACACATTCTCAACCTCTCTGCTAGGTTACCAGTCGCAGATATTACTGGAAAAGATGAGCCCAGAGAAACATATATACCACAAGACCAACATATGTACCACATAACCAACTATAAGATTTGTAGAGGTGAGTTGAAGTAATAACAATATAGCTAACCAATATATTTAGATTACTTGCCTTTTTCATTGACTAGAGAATTCCTAGATGTATTCAAATGATGACAGCTATACATTTTTTATCATGCAAACCGGTATCCAGAGTCAATACCGCTCTCTTCTACTTAACTGCAAAGTATACTAAAGAGAATCAGCACAGAATACATCCATGTTGGTTGCAGTAAGAGTCATCTTTCATATATGTGACGGATAGGTTATACCCTACACATTCTCAACCTCTCTGCTAGGTTACCAGTCGCAGATATTACTGGAAAAGATGAGCCCAAAGAAACATATACACCACAAGACTAACTATAAGATTTGTAGAGGTGAGTTGAAGTAATAACAATATAGCTAACCAATATATTTAGATTACTTGCCTTTTTCATTGACTAGAGAATTCCTAGATGTATTCAAATGATGACAGCTATACATTTTTTATCATGCAAACCGGTATCCAGAGTCAATACCGCTCTCTTCTACTTAACTGCAAAGTATACTAAAGAGAATCAGCACAGAATACATCCATGTTGGTTGCAGTAAGAGTCATCTTTCATATATGTGACGGATAGGTTATACCCTACACATTCTCAACCTCTCTGCTAGGTTACCAGTCGCAGATATTACTGGAAAAGATGAGCCCAAAGAAACATATACACCACAAGACTAATTATAAGATTTGTAGAGCTGAGTTGAAGTAATAATAATATAGCTAATCAATATATTTAGATTACTTGCCTTTTTCATTAACTAGAGAATTATTAGATGTATTCAAATGATGACAGCTATACATTTTTTATCATGCAAACCGGTATCCAGAGTCAATACCGCTCTCTTCTACTTAACTGCAAAGTATACTAAAGAGAATCAGCACAGAATACATCCATGTTGGTTGCAGTAGGAGTCATCTTTCATATATGTGACGGATAGGTTATACCCTACACATTCTCAACCTCTCTGCTAGGTTACCAGTCGCAGATATTACTGGAAAAGATGAGCCCAGAGAAACATATATACCACAAGACCAACATATGTACCACATAACCAACTATAAGATTTGTAGAGGTGAGTTGAAGTAATAACAATATAGCTAACCAATATATTTAGATTACTTGCCTTTTTCATTGACTAGAGAATTCCTAGATGTATTCAAATGATGACAGCTATACATTTTTTATCATGCAAACCGGTATCCAGAGTCAATACCGCTCTCTTCTACTTAACTGCAAAGTATACTAAAGAGAATCAGCACAGAATACATCCATGTTGGTTGCAGTAAGAGTCATCTTTCATATGTGACGGATAGGTTATACCCTACACATTCTCAACCTCTCTGCTAGGTTACCAGTCGCAGATATTACTGGAAAAGATGAGCCCAGACAAACATATACACCACAAGACTAACTATAAGATTTGTAGAGGTGAGTTGAAGTAATGACAATATAGCTAATTAACATATTTAGATTACTTGCCTTTTTCTTTGACTAAAGAATTCAAATGATGACAGCCATGCTTTTCTTCTAGGTTACCAGCCGCAGCAATTACAGGAAAATATAAGGATGCTGCTCTTGTCGAATAAGCCCTTTCGTACAAAAAGCTAGACTTTGTATTTATAAAAATGTGGACCGAAGTAAGTTGTCGGCTTGTTATTTACGAGCTGCTTAATCTTTTGAAATTTGTTACTGAAACAAAAAATCCTTATTTCCGAACGAATACACACACAAAAAAAAAAAAAAAATGTGATCGTAGGCGCCAAAAAATGAAAAAAGCAACGTCATCTAAAAAAAATTGATTGGCCGGCAAAAAGTTTGAACGCACTAAGAAATTCTTGATTGGTCAAATAAAAAGTTTGATTTTTAGACTCAAATCACTGTAATAAGATCGGCCCGACTTATGTCTACAATCGAATATTACAATATGGGTGATACTACAACAAGAATCAAGGAGCAACAGAAACACAAAGATAAACCGTGCATTGACTGAGATTCCTTCGCGTAGAACTGCGTCTATGGAGCAATGTGTTTTGTATGTAACTTACATGTCGCAGCACATAGAAACATTTTAGAATTTTTATGATTTCGAAACTACAAAAGTCAAGTAGTTGAACTACCTCAGCTCCCAAAAAGCCATCGAAGAAAGTGTCAACATTTTAATAAATGGCGGAAAAAAGTTATTTGTAAATGTTCAATGATACACTGTTCCGTTCTATTGTGCCCACTCATCTGTTTTTAAATGCGCGATCTGTTAGGTTACAGGTAAAAGCTTCTAAAAACACAGGTGGTTTACCTGATTATCTAGGCACTGGTCAAAGAGAATATCCAATCAAACAGATGGCAAGTCTACACGGTATTTTACAATGACAATCCTGAGCTTGAATGTTATGATCTAATCATTTATTTCTCAACCAATAGCTGCGCGGTCACTATGGATATCGCAAGGGTTTGTGCATTGTTGTTTTCCCTGTTATTATGCAAATATATACCCAATGCACATACCCGTCGTGCTGTACCAGTAATTTATCAAAGATTGAATAGTGTTCAACACTGGTCGCAGCTCTACATAAGAAGGTCACTCACCCATTGGTAATTTATTTCCCGCCCACCTAAAGGTTAAATCCACACTTGGGCATTATTTCGAGTGTACTTTTTCCTTTATTCATTTAAATTAACAAGCACATCCAGGATCTTGTTCTTGTCTTCCGCTAGGTATTTGGATGGTATCGGGAAAATCACTAAAGAAAAAGAAAAAATGGTGATACGATGAGATGACTTGCAAATATAAACAAATAAAAACATGAACATACATGTCAACATCAGTTTCTTGAGATAAGGCGTTCTTTGCAATAGTTTGGAAAGCCTGTTCTACATTAATAGCTTCCTTAGCAGAAGTCTCGAAATAGCTTAAATTAGGGAGTTTAGTTAGATTGGATATAAACAAAATAAGGTTAGTTAGCTTACGGAACATTGCCCTTGGATTGACACCAAGCCATAGCACGCTTTTGGGAAACCATTCTTCTACTCTCTTCGACATCAATTTTGTTACCCAAGAGCACAAATGGGAAACGATCAGGGTCTCTAGGAGAGGCCTGAACCAAAAACTCATCGCGCCATTGGTCTATTTTATAGAATAGAATGAATTTACAATATATATACATAAAAAAAAAAAAATCATACCTAATGATTCGAAACTTCTGCTGTTATTCACATCATATGCAAGAACACAACAATCAGCTCCCCGATAGAATGCAACGCCCAATGATTGAAAACGTTCCTGGCCTGCTGTATCCCAGATCTATCCTTCATGTGTTTAGAATAATAAAAGAAAATAAAGGGTCTTTTGCTTAATCTGTTACCTGCATCGTAACAAGACGATCATCTACAAGGACTTCCTTGGTCAAAAAGTCGGCACCAATAGTAGCCTTATACTGATTAGAGAACTTTTTGTTCACATACTGATTCATCAAGGACGTTTTGCCGACACTAATGTTCACAAGATTTAGCTTCTTAACCCATAAAAAAAACCTTCTTTTCTTGTCTTACCCGCTATCACCGAGAATAATAACCTACGAGATGCAACTTTAGTTAACACACTGTTTCTAAAGGTTGGTTTCCTTTATTTATTACCTTTAAAAGTACTTTCTTACGTCCTGAAGCCATTATTTAAATATTTTGAGAAAATAAAGGAAAAGAAAAAGATAAAGAAAAAAAAATTGCGCTTTTTGTCACACACACACACACACACACACACACGCACGCACACACACAACAAGGCACTTGACCAGTGAAAAACTTAAAACCCCCCTTATTTGGGCCTTTTTTTTTTATATATCATCATTCATGTTTATTCGCTATCGCTACTACTACTATAATCACCGGCTTCAGTTCTTTGCATTGCCTTTTCAAATTGCTCAGCAAATTCGGCAATTGATTTACCGCTTGATAAGTCAATGACATCTTTGGGAATCATATTGGTAGCGAATTTGGGTGCGTTGCACGCAAGAGAGTTGGATTCAGCTTGGGAATTGATAAGACGGATTTCAGATACGCCCTTTTCAGTATCGACTAAAATGGATGGTTATGTTTTACTCGCACAATATTAAAAAGACACACACACACACACACACACACACTTACATGACATGAGTTCGCTCCAATCATAAAGTAAAGCATCAGTTGTATGATTAAATGGGTTAAAATCCACAATAAAGATTCTATCATTGTTACGTTGGATATACACATCAAACACATCTAAGAAAATATATATAAGCATTCAAGATTAATTTAGACATCATATTCACTTACAATTTGCGCTTTCAAATCCATCTCGAATGGTATCTTCGAAAAACTCGTAAATCTTTTGTTCAACATCTTGTGCCACATCCTTTAAAAATGCATAATAATTTAAATCTCTTTGAGTGATTCCAATAATTTCTTGGTTCTTGACAAAGCATCTAAACTCCATGGAAGGTTGTAAATCGTACCATTTGCGGAGTACGAGATTGTATTCGACCTTCTTTTCTGGTTCATCTACGCAATTTTCGTAAGCATGGTTTAAATCATGGTTGATGAAATCCGAGGATTTTAATAACAAAAACACATCAAAAGGCGATGTGCATTTTAACGACTGTGTGGCTGAAATCCATGCTGCGTCCTATCCTTTTTCCTGTATGAGCGAAAAGTTATACCATCTCTTTTTCTTTACATATTTACCCTAGGTGAGGTCCAGTTTAGTTTTGGAAACACGGCTCCTTCAAACTCATAGATAACTTCTCGGATCTCTTTTTCAACAAGTGGAAAATCAGGTATCTATATGATATACACTATCAGAAACATAGTAAACCATTATCAAATTTTGTTTTAATTACGTTGCTATCTGGTTCTTGATTAGGGAACTCGGTGATTTCTTCATCAGAGTCTAATTCTTCAAGCGTGGCTGCTCGAGGTTGACTATAGTTTTGGGTTAATATGCTTGTTTCAAAAGGAGATTTTGTAGACTATTACCCGTCTTCTGGCAAGTAAATGCCGTCTGCATTCAAGTAATCAACAAACTCGTTTGTCAAAGAAATGATCTTTGACTTGAAAGTATGTGCCTTAAATTGAGGATACCAATGACTAAAAGAGCAATTGTCTATATCTTGACAGGTGGTAGAAACCGTCTCGAGTAATTGGGCTTCCTTATGTTCGACTGACATGTTATTTTATGAAAAAATTAAATAAAAAAAAAAAAAATGGAGAAGTGACACTTTTTTATTTCTTTAATGACAAATACGTTTTTACAAGTCCGCGAAGTTCTTTGGAACTGTACCTGTGGGTTCACCTTCAGGTGTCTATAAGGTTATGTTAGTCATAATGGTTCACAACTTGATTACTAATTTACGTTACCACATAAGAAGAGGCCAAGCCTCCATCCACTCTAAAGTCAGTACCTGTCACAAAAGAACTTTCATCTGAGGCTAAAAAGAGTGCACCGTAGGCTTGTTCAATAGCCTCGCCTGTGAAATAAAGTATTTAATAAAATAATATGTTTCAAATCCTGTTGTTGTGTTTACCGAATCTGCCTTGGGGAACATGAACAAGACGACGCTGTTTCTTTTCTTCCGTGTTCAAGAAATCCATCAACAAAGGTGTTCGAATAGGTCCGGGACAGAGAGAGTTGAAACGAATGTTCTCGCGCGCATGTACCATGGCCAACTCGCGACTACATTAATTTATGAGTTACTCGTTTATTTCTTTATGTGCACATATAATATACTCACGTCATGGCTAATACGGCACCCTTTGAAGCAGTATCTATAAAATGAAAAATAAGCTACGAATTACGAAACGCTTAACATGAAACACTTACAAGCCAACTGGGGTGTAGCAGCTCCCATTAAAGCAACAAAACTGGCAGTGTTGATAATAGATCCGCCTCCACTTTTACGCATGGCAATAATAGCATGTTTACAGCCATACCATACACCCTTGACATTGATATCCATGGTCAGATCCCTATCAAAATAGAGAAAAAAATCAGCGTTTAGATACTGTTATCAGTAATGTGTCTTCAGAGTTACCAAACGCGATCCTCTGTGTTGAGAGCATTGTCATCTTCGGGATGCATGATACCAGCGTTATTAAACATAATGTCCAGTTTTCCTAAGGTGTGCGTTTAGCTTATTACACGCGACTTTTTTTTTTTGGTGATATTAAAAACTTACCAAATGTATTTACAGCCTTTTCAACCAAAGCTTTGATTTGCTCTTCCTTAGATACATCAACTTTAAATGCGATAGCAGAGCCGGCACCAGCAAGTTCGATAATTTTTGATACAGACTTTTGGACGCCCGCTTCGTTCACATCGGCACATACAACTTTGGCACCTTCTTTAGCAAAAAGGGCGGCTGTTTCAAACCCGATACCGCTGGAATAAAACTGTTACCAACTATCGACAGACATAAAAGCATTATTACACGTACCCTGCAGCACCAGTGACGATGGCTACCTTTCCTGAAAGTCTTCCGCTAGTCATTTTGTGTGAAAAAGTGTTTTGATATTAAGTAGAAAGAAAAAGATAAAGAGATAAGAAAAAGCGATGCAAAAATAATAATAAATGCTTTTTATTTCATTTTAGTGTGAGAAAATATATCTATCTACCATACGGAACAAATAAAATAGGGCGTCGCGAGATCAATTTCAGGGCCGGGTCGTACAGCTTTTTATGCTAAATATTTTCGTTTAATACGAGAGATAAACAAGTTAGACCTCGTGTCAAGTAAAAAACTTTACTGCCATTTTGGTCAAAAGTGAAAATTCGTTTCAGAATGTTGAATAGAGATGTCCTGCCGATACCCTTATAATTGGTGAGCGTTGAAGGCCAAAGCTTTCTTTAGTTTTTATTCGACACGAGAGACATTTCTGGGGGCGGGGATAAGATACTTGAATAACAGTTCTGTATCTAATAGTATGAACTAACCGAATTATCAATATATGTTTACGATATGACTGAATGAGGGTCTATTACAGGTTTTGAAATGTACATAGACGGGAGTTGTTATCTCTTTGTACAGTTTTCACACTTTTAATTCAGAAAATGTTAATTTTTTTTCAGACGAATCAAAATTTACTTTCAGACAGTATCTCCATGCTAAATTTGTTACAACTTTTGCAATTAAACAAATTATGGATCTTCCCGACATCAGGGGCTCGAACATTTCCAAGTGTTGTAGCAAGCAAGAAGGATTGGCATGTAAAACCAATCTCTATATCATTCAATTTGCCTGTAAATTAAGGAACCTATCCTTCTGCACCAGAAATAGCCTTTCATCGGGGCTTGTTTCTTCCATCTTTTTCCTTGACCAAAGAAGCATATCGGAATGCTTTTTTTTGTCGCGTTAATTAAACACTTCACAAAGCGATCAAAGGCACATTCTTCTACTTCTCAAAGGGAGATTTCTTCACTATTTTGATTTAAGTTTCGATTAAAGGGCCGCTCGTTGTCAAAGATACAGTTTTTGGTACAGAAAGTGAGCTTTTCCGACCTAATGTGTCATTTTTTTATTTTGTTAAATCTGATAACTGAAGAAGCGTTAGAGCGGCGAAAGCGAAATTTTTTTTTTAAAAAAAACAGAAACATGCAAAGATATTTAAGCATTAGCTTCTATTTAAATTAAAAACAATAACAGTCGAAGCCTTGGGGATACAAACAAAGCCTTTTTAGGATGACGCCATAAAACCTGTTTATAAATATACAATTAATTTGCATCAATGCATCGCTTGTATGTGAAATATGACATTGTCTATAAGTTTAACTAATGTCTTCCAAGTCGACAGGCCGAGGGAGAAAATTTGGCTAGTCACGATGAGAGATGATAGATTAAACCAGAAAGAATGGACTAACTGGTGGATCAATTTTAAGAAGATTACAGATGGCCGTCCAAGATTTAAGATTGAGTGACACAATCAAAAATGCACATGTGTTTATGAACTATAGAAGGAACTCTACATACGCGCCCTCCTTATTATTTTACATCGATAGGGACAAATAAATACCCTTTCTCTTTTTTTCTGAAAGATTAACACTTATTGGGTTTATCATTGTTTTATAAAAACGCTCAAAAAAATGACGGTGTGCTATGACAGCTCTCCATATAACTACTTAATTGTATTTGGTAAGTATATTAATCTTAATTCAGACTGTCACTGACACGCAACAGATTTTGACTGTAAACACATTAAATCAATGGGAGGCGTCACTGCCGAGATAGATATATCAGGAGGCTCACAATTTGTACAGTAAGTATATGCTTTCTGCACACATTAGAAGCTTTAATTAATTATGAACAGGGACCCTTCAAACATTTCGATACTTTACGACAGCATTACTGGAGTAATTATAGCTCGAGGAGATTCGGCTGATAAATGGCAGTGGGAAGAGCATCAAAGTCATTATTCATATGTTAGTAACGTGTTTATGGAACTTAACGCTATTTATTTGAAAAATCTGCAACCACCTTATAAACATGATATTCAAGATAAAGTTGTTATACAAAAAGTGATAACACTTTTACTTAATGAAGTTCAGCGTTATGAAAAAATATCAAACAGTTCAAACTTGGACTACTTACATTATGTTTTCAATCTACCCACAAATTGGGATGATGGCATACAAGAAAAATTAATCCGGCCTCTTTTTGTTCAAGCTGGTCTCATCAGCAAAGATGATCCCCGAGATAGATTAGTTTTTTTGACCAGATTGAAAGCCACATTCGAATACTTTCACGATTCTAAAGACGCAACGAATATACAAGTTGGACAGCAACATACTGTATGTTCTCTGGATTTTGATGACAGCTTACATGTAGATTTGGGTTTAGTGTCAGTTCATTATCCCTCTCTGACATCTGTTGATAGCAAATACGTCATAAAATCATCCAACTCAATTAGTTTCACCATCCCTTTAAACCAAAAGGATTTAAAAACACGGATAAAAGATTGTTTAGAAAAACGGTGTACTGCCACATTGACAGATGAATTGATCGATATGCTTACTTTTGAGATTTACGTCTATAAGGGCCCTGAAGGAAGTCCTAGGAAACATAACCTTGGAAATCGTAACATGCTCGACAGCAAGGTAAGGAAGACATTTGATTATTGTTACAAAGCACTAAAGTATCTTTCTTTTTTCTTTTTAGCTTTCGGTCGATACACCCTTTCGTGTCTACTTCGACTATCAGCCTTTAAAGGGATTACTTGATTTATATGATGACAAGTATGGATTAGAAAGTGACGATATTGATTGTATTCAATCAATAACCATTGGAGATATTTATGAAGACCTTACTAATCCTGTGGAATTGGGTTTTATAACCAAACTGGCTTTATTTACGAAGGACATCAGCAAAAGTAAACTTAAATCAATGATAGTTGTCTCTACACAAGTCATATATCAGCAATACAACAATATCATTTTGCTTAAGTGTATAGAAAAATGTGCAAATACATATGGAGAACACCAGGGTATTTTTTCATCGAACAATAGAGACTTTGTCTCTTCAAACTTTTTTGCCGCTGCGTGGCAAAGAATCCAAGGAAGCTTAGGAGTTATGAAAAAACAAATAAAAGAATCCATAAAATTCGCAGATCCAAAAATATTGCCTAATAGAATCAAGAGAGATGAGCAGTCTGGTGGCGCATTCGAACCCGAATATTTTGTTAGTTTAGGTAACAAGAGAATAATAAACACCTATGATACGATCAGCATACGTACCGTAATAGACCAACTATTAATCAGATTTCTATAAACAGAGATTCTTTCCGAAAATGTTAACATTATACTCTCAGTTACCGGAAAAGATACCAGTCCTCAACAATCTACAAAATCTATTCAATGGTATGATTTGTATAGTAGAAGTCAAATGCATTATAAGAACATTGGATTGATCTAGCTTTATACTTTTGCAGTGATATACAATCGTTAGACAAAGTTCTAGTACAATCAGACATCTATCAAAAACTAGCATTATGTATTTCCCAAAGGTACAATTGAATTTAATCGGCCATTTAACTTATAATATGACTTATTTAACTTCAATTAGAGTGAAAAATCAAATGGATGATATTATCAGTGATTGCCTTCAGTTGAACCCCAACTTTGATACGGATACAAACAATATAAGTTGGTTTATTAACTCCGGGTCGAAAAAACTTGAATGTCTTTTGGAAAAGGTTCAACTAAAAGAGATATTTGCAAAAAGGAATTGTGTCTTGGCCATTGCTGTTGAGACTGTCCGTCAAGCCAGTTATATTCTACTTTTTAAAATAATGTATTTACGCTATATTAATCAGCTGATTGAAGAGAATTTAAATGCAAATTTTAAAAATGATTGGGTAAACAAGAACATTGCCTATAACGTGTCTATCGACAAAAACGTATTGGATAATGTGTTTGGATCTAAAGAAGATTTGAACGAATTATTTTACGCAAGTGGAATTCTTCGAAAAGAAGATCAACATAGAAAAGTGCTATTTTCTACCTATGGCGAAGAAATATTTCCTACCATTCAACAAAAACTACCTGATCTGAAGTTCAAAATGAAAATGTACTTTGTAGTCGCCCAAATATATTCAACCCATATTCACGTTGCTCTACATCAAGCTGTCAGACTTAAATCTGTCGAAGAAAACGGAGTGTCCATTGTTGTTCAAGACAAGATTATACCAATCGACAATTTATACAAGGCTCTTTGTAAGATTCTCTGGACTAATATATCATCCGATATCGTCATCAATTATTGTGAACAGCACAACAATGAGACAAATACTTTAGTTTATGATTTCTATTCAACACAAAACCATGGTCAAATCCTAAAAACACTGGAATTAAGCGTACTGAAAATCGTAAGTGCAGCCTAATAAGTCTAAATCGCTTATTAATGATGTTTTACTTAGTTTAATGCGCAGAACACCAATTTAGACATGGATTACAAAAAAGAGATAAGTATCAATCATAAAAATTGTACTTGCAGTTTCACCCTTTCTTTCCGCACCATCATTGAAATGGGTATAAATCCTACCCTTCAAAGCGCCGCAAAGGTCATTGCGGCTTCATTAACAAGCGCTGAATTATTTGGAAGTTATGAGGTGGATTATTTATTTTTGCTGGGAAATCCTTTTTCTTTTTCTTCCGACTCGCAAGTTTATAATGCATACATTGTATTAATGCAAAATGCTATTTGTCTTGGTATCGAGTCCAAAGGAAAGGATACACAATTTATCTATTTACGAGACACGATTACTGATTTAGTGCAATCAACCGTTTATAATAAGAATTGCTTATATGAAAAGTTTACAATGGGAACATTACGTCAAGTACTTAAAGATACATATGCGGTGCGATTAAAAGACCATTTTGCCCATAAATTTGTTCCATTTTCTCGGATATCCAAATGTGAAAATGATACTGCAAGTGATATGGTGGGTGAAGGTAGCTTCTTGATAGTTTTTCGAAGGGGCCAAACCATTCCAATGACGGGGTTGACATTGAAAATAAATCTGGGTCATTTAATGCATCGTTATTCGACTTTGGTGGCAGGTAATTAACTTTATTCTTGTTTTCACAGCTTTCAGCAATAAAACTCATTTTTTTCTATCTAGAATTTATAAGAGTAGACACTTCAAACGAAAAATTACCTAATGATTCTGATATCTTGCCAAAAGATTCCCAAGGACCAAAATTTGATCTGTTCGGATATGAGGACAAAAACAATATCTCCTTTGAGCGGCTTGTACTTAACTTAAAGTACACTAACTACAATTATTCTTTACAGCTATCAATGCGAGAGACTGGGTATAAAGTTGAGGAATACATGTTTAAAGATATAGGGGACCCTTTAACGCTCGCTTATATCCATTCTCATTAATTGCAGTCAATACAGATTCATTGCCAATAGCTTACTAGATCCTGTCAACTTGCATTAGTTTTTCCAGCAGTAGTATAAGCGTGGAATAAAGACTAAGGAATGATTCTTTCTTTTGCACCCATTTAATAAAAATAAAATAAAAGCGCCTGGGGTGTTTCCAATTTTGAAGACAGCGTTACTATTTCTAGACAATTCGCAGCCTCAAGATGCCGTAAATTTAGTTGTTTTTTCAACTTAGTATGTATCAAAGGCAATCCATACCCACAATAATGGGGCACAAAAACCAAAGCCTAAATATACATATATATATATAACCAACAGGTAAACAGAAAAGTCTCGTGATTCCATTTAAAGAACCCCATTTTATTTTAGTCTCAAGACATGACTCGTTGTTAGACCACATCAGTTTGTTTGATTTTGATATACATGTGATAGGGAAGGAAAGGATAATAAGAGATATATAAAAAAAGTGTGATAATGACAGCACACTATGATGTACAAGAACAACTCTATTACTTCATCATAGACTTGATTAGTTATTACAATACACCCATCATGGTCTTTGTAATGACAACCAGTTTTATAATAAATATAACATTACACAGCCATTTCTTTCTTCTTCTTCTTTTCTGCAAAAGAAAAATTAAAATAAAAAATAAAAACCATGAGCAGACCCATTTCAAAAGGTATTCAACCGAATTATATCTTGCACAAGACACTGGCAAGACAATTCAAGGTTGATCGATTCTTGAGTGCTCTACCATTGAGTGCATGGCCTGATTTTACCAAAGTCGTAGATACCCATGTTTTACACCACAACAAGCATTTAAAATCAGGTCAAGAGACGTTTGATACTCTGGTAGCGTCGTTTCAGGTTATCAGCTATAAGAAATCGTTCCCTGCATTGTCTTCGTATTTTAGCCAAGTGCTTGCGTATTACATGGAAAAGAAAAAGGAGTTTGTGGATACGTATGATCATAAAGTGGAAAAGCACAAGCGTGAGATCGCTTTAAGTTCAGAGATGGTTGAAAAAGTGATGATGAATTTAAAAAAAGAAAGCCTTAGTTTGCATGAAAAATATTTACGAGGTGACATATTGACGGATTCAGAGAGCAAGAGATTAAGGTATGAGAAAGAAAAAGGTGATAAAGCTTGTATGTTACATGACGTAAGCGATTACTGATGGGTATGTATAGTACAAGCTTTTCTTCTATTATAAATACTATTGAATGCAGTGATTTAGAACAAAATTCAATTGCCAAAGAAGACTGGCACATGTTTTGTAAAGCGATCAAGGAAAAATACACTATTCATAAAAAGAAATTGAGCAAGAAAATCATTGAAAACTGGTACTTAATTGCCAAGGTAAATGAAAAGAAAAACCATTATCTCAAGTTATACTCATTCTTATACGTCCACTTGTGATATTAGTTGGCAGAAAATACAAAGAGTTTAGAAAAAAGTAGACAGCTTTTAGAAGTTATTTTGGTCAAAGAGAGAAATGATTATTGCAAAAAGATATACAAGATTTTTGAATTTGTGTAAAAAGGAACTTTTATATTTCGATTTGTTGCTATACTGATTTTTGATCGTTGTATTTATAGTCTTGATTTGTATGAAGAGAATGAATTCATGTTCAAAGAGGGGAACGAAGAAAAAGTGACCGAGCAAGATTACATATCAGCCATTTGGAGTCCTTTATTGAAAAAAGTTCATCATTTGCATGGAAAGTCCATTCGATTAAAGACACAAACACGGACAGGAAAAACTGACTATCGATTTGTTGTGGATGTCGGTAACAAACAGGTGGATTTGGGTGTAGGAGAAGCCATCCGCAGACTTGATGATTATCCAGGAAGATTGGTACGCGAAGGAAAAGATGTGGTAGACCGGTTTCTTCAAATCTGCTCTCAAAGCTCACCAGATCAATCCAGCAGCTTTATTCTTCAGACTGCAGGTAAAAATAAGATAAAAGCTTACTCGAATGAAAAAGCGATTTGTTACTGATATTATCAAAAAGGCCTCTGCGGTAAGCTATCATCTGTGCAAATAATTCAGCCCCAGGTGTATGCTGCAGTACCCCACTTTACTGTCGATATTCCTCCAAATATTTCATGCTTGGCGCCTTTTATCGATACATTAAGAATTTTGATAACAATGACAGTAAGTAAAAAATAAAATGAATAAAAAAGTGGCAAGATATTGTCATACTCATATGTATATCAGCAAAAAATGGAATGCATGGCACAAAAGATATTAATTTCACATGAATATGGGCAACCAAAGATTTCCAATAACTATAAATCATGGAGTGCGCAAACCTTTTATTTCCCAAAGACACACGAGTCTACTCGAAAACCCACACTTGTTCTAAAATAAATAAATAAAAATGTTTTAACTAGCTTAACAGAAAATATTTTTTTATTTGTTTTATTTTGTATTTATTTATGCGTATAAATCATCATCACCTCCTTCTTGACCAAAACCTGTACCTTCCTCGGTGGCAGATGCATTATTGGCACCCGAGCCACCTTGACCTTCAGGGAATTTGAAGGAACCAAAACCACGGGATTGTTGCAAGTTTTGAGCAAACATTTCATAGCGACGGATATCAGAATCGTTCACGGAACGACGAGCAAAACGCATAGCTTCTTCAAAGTGAGCACGTGTGATTTCAGCAAAAGCATCACTCTCATCTTCTTCATCCATACCAATATCTTCACCTGCTTCTTGTTTAACCTTGTTCTCTCTTTCTCTCTTAATATCACGTTCAATATCTTCACGGATGGCTAATTTAGCAGCACGTTGGCAGATCTCGCCTAAATCAGCACCGGAGAAGCCTTGTGTGTGTTTAGCAATTAAGCCTAAATCAACGTCGGGAGCAACAGGGGATTTTCTTAATTGAGCGGTAAGAATGGCAAGACGAGAGGTCTCATCAGGAAGAGGGATATAAATCAATTGATCAAGACGACCAGGACGCAATAAAGCAGGATCAATTTGATCAGGTCGGTTAGTAGCACCAATGACAAATACGTTCTTCTTAGCATTCATACCATCCATCTCAGTCAAAATCTGATTCAAGACACGATCACCAGCACCGCCAGCATCTCCACCTCCGCCACCTCTGGCCTTAGCAATAGAATCCAATTCATCAAAGAACATGACACAAGGAGCAGCAGCTCTAGCTTTATCAAATACATCACGAACATTAGCCTCAGATTCACCGAACCACATGGTTAAAAGTTCAGGACCCTTAATAGAGATGAAATTTGCTTGACATTCATTGGCAATGGCCTTGGCCAACAAGGTCTTACCGGTACCGGGGGGACCGTAGAAGAGAACACCCTTGGAGGGACTCATACCAAACTTCAAAAACTTTTCGGGATGCTCAACAGGGTATTGTACAGTTTCTTGTAATTCTTGCTTGACGTTTTCAAGACCACCAATATCGTTCCATTTAACGTTGGGAATTTCAACCACAGTTTCACGAAGTGCAGAGGGGTTAGAGACACCCAAGGCATAAGTGAAGTTCTCCATGGTGACAGCTAAAGAATCAAGAACCTCGGTATCGATGGTATCTTCTTCAAGATCAATCAGATCCATCTTTTCACGAATTTGTTGCATAGCGGCTTCAGAACAAAGAGAGGCAATATCAGCACCGACATAACCGTGAGTTTCAGAAGCAATCTTCTCAAGATCAACATCATCATCCAACTTCATATTTTTGGTATGAATGCGGAGAACTTCAAGTCGACCAGTTGGGTCAGGAATACCGATATCTACTTCACGATCGAAACGACCGAAACGACGTAAAGCAGGATCAATAGAGTTGGGTCGATTGGTAGCAGCGATTACCACGACGTTAGCACGAGCCTTCATACCATCCATCAAAGTCAATAATTGAGAGACAACACGACGTTCGACTTCACCATTGGTTTTATCACGCTTGGGAGCAATAGCATCAATTTCATCAATAAAGATGATAGCAGGAGAGTTAGACTCTGCTTCCTCAAAGGCTTTACGAAGATTGCTTTCGGATTCACCAGCCATCTTGGACATAATTTCGGGACCGTTGATCAAGAAGAAAAATGCACCTGTCTCGTTAGCGACGGCTCTGGCAATTAAAGTCTTACCGGTACCGGGAGGACCGAACATGAGAATACCACGAGGGGGTTTAATACCAATGGATTTAAAGAGTTGAGGATGACGAAGAGGTAATTCGACAAGTTCACGAATTTGGGCCATTTGTTTACGACAACCACCAATATCATCGTAACCAACATCACTAAGACCTTGTTCTTCGTCTTCACGCTTGATGGGGTCACCTTCACAATGAATCACTGTGTCTTGGGCAACCTATACGTGGCTGTGAGTATATATGCTGATAGAATAAAATAATATATACGTACGATACAGTAAGGTGCGGGATCGGTTTCTACAACTTTAAACTCCACAGCTCTCATACCACCACGAACGAGGAATGTATCACCGACACGTACAGGACGATATGCTTCCAAGAAATAAGGTTTCAAGAAGGTTTCGAACAAATTACCAGTTAAACCTTCAATTGTATCATCAATAGGAAGAACGTGAATACGTTTACCGTATTGGATATCAGGACAAGGATGGATAGTGATCACATCACCCAATCTCAAGCGAAGATTGTTACGTACGACTGCATAAAAAAAAGAAGTGTTTAATTAATTAAAAAAAAAAGATAAATAAAATATACCTTTGTTGACTCTGGCTTTGTTGTCCTCTACATCGTCATCGGATAATGCAATTAAGACGGTATCACGTCTCTTTTTACCTTTGACAATGACGGTATCACCTCTAAAGAGTTGTAACTTTTCCATAGTAGCGGGAGAGAGAGTGATCACAGAGTTATCATCACTGGTTGCGTCATCCACCATTAATTTATTGGGAGAAGCTTTACGACGCAAGATGGCTGTGGCAGGATCGTGTTCAGGATCGACCTTAGGAGCATCGGGTAAACCAGCATTAGGTCTATTATGAGGAAAGTGTGTTTGTTTTAGTGCGTACTCTTTTTACACTATAAATAATACTATATACTGTACACCAAGTTGGAGTGAGGTTCTGACATTTTTTTAATATGTTATAAAAAAGAAGAAAGAAAAAGAGTAAAATGTGTTATTTATTCATTTGAAGTGTTACGTGTTCCTTTTTTTTTTTCAAGCATTTTTGAACACCAGTCACTAATTAATAGTCTAAAAACTCCAGCAGAAACTTTTTTTTTAATCTATCCCTCCTTGATTCTGAAAAATGGATATTTTGCGAGCTTCGAGTATCGTCAAAGCATTGCCTTTTATATCCAAAACAATTGTGGATGATACACTTTATGAGAAAGTCTTGTCTTATTTAACCCTCGTCTTGTCACAATCCACAGACACTGATATTCAGACATTAAACGAAGCCAGTCCTATCTTTAAACACATGAAACAGGTACTCTTTAAAACACTAAGCGACTCCTTGTCTTTACTCATACACGCTTCTTCGTTTAGGCTTGCATAGATACACAAGACCAAGATTATCGTGTTACCACTTTATGCATACGTGTATTAGCCCAAGTGATTTATTACGCCCCGTTTCTTTTCACAGACCTACAAGAAAATTATGCTAGTTTACTCACATTAATCACTAACGGCATCAAGTCTTCCGAGGGTGCATTGCGTCGTGCCAGTATCGAAGCATGTCGATTATTTATTCATTGTCCTCAGGGCTATAAGTGGTTATTACACAATACACAAGCAACACGTGTGATTCCCTTGGCTTTGCTCGACCAAAGTAATTATGTCGTGGCCGAAGCATGTCAATTATTTGCTGCCTTGTTGACATTGGACGCCAAAGAATTACTGGAGGTGATGGATCCCTCTTCTTTTATCATTTCGATTTTAGACCCGCATTGCGATGATAAACAAGTGATTTCAGCCCTGGAGTTTTGTTGGGTCATGGTGAACATTCAACAACCAAATGCACTTATTTATCTCCGAACCAAGAAACTTGTAAGCTCCAAGCAAAAACAAAAACAAAAAAAAACTGCGTAAAAGCTGTTTAAAGACTAAGCTAAGCTCTTCAACTAGTTATATGGGGTAATGCCATTGTTATGCTCGGTGAATCGAATTATACGATACAGAGTGTTGGAAATTCTATCTGTGCTATTCAGTTGGGACAGAGATCCTTTAATAACGCTGGGTTTATCAGACATAGAATCCGAATTAGATACAACATATGAAAAAATGGTTTTTATTTCAAATACGATGATTCAACAAGCTGCCAACGCAGATGATTTAATGACGGCTGTGTCTTTGCTCGATACGACATTTGTCTTGTTGGGCCGTTGTAAAGAAAAGAACACACCGTTTGATACACTTTACTCGATATACGAAGCATGTCAAGCCGGAACACCTTTATTAAAGACAGACCGTTTAAAGAACAATGTATTGCAGCTTGTCTTACGTAGCATGCATACCTTGGTAAGAATTCTTCCGGAGACGATCCATGATGACCGATTCATTCATTTCTTTCGTGTGTTGGATAACGCCGTGTTTTATTCAGATCCACGTGTACTTAAATCTTGCTTGGATCTACTTACCACATCATTATATACGATGGCCGATCCAAACGTTTTAGCTCAATCGATGTACTCCCTTGTACATGTGCTGAGTGATGATTCAGTGCTTTTAGGCTGCAAAAGTCTTGTGATCGTGTTACAGGCATTGGATTCTTTATTGGCACATGAAGCCGTTGGCACTCTTGTCAACGAATCCGTGAGTTTCGTTTTTGATTATCCTTTTGGAGTATAGTTTATCTTACGTTCTAAACATAGTCAACTTCTGCTACATTGGTGGATGCATTGAGTATGCGATTTTTAGATACAGAATGGGATGTACGAGATGCTGTGATTCATTTTGTAGGAGGGTTGTTTCAAGAACCCGTGAATGATACCAAAGTACAGTTTGCTTGTACATTTGATTTGCCATTGCAAGTGTTCAGCCGTATACACGATGCAGAACCATACGTGCGTGCTTCTGCTGTACAAGTACTAACAGTAGGTCTTTCTAAGTTCTTCGCATAAAAAATGAAGTATTAACACGATGGAGTAGAATATGGTAAAATGTAAAGGAGGGTGGGATTACATCCAGGAACATCAAGTGAGTAAAGACTTGGCGGGGAAATTACCTAGTATGTTGTACGATTCTGAGGCGTTTGTGCGTCGAGCAGGATTAGATGCGATTATTTGCCTGGTTCGTAATCGATCTTGTGCAGGTATGACAATGGAAATTGAAGATTCTCAAAGCGAGACGTCACTAAAGTGGGTGTGTTTAAGAGAGAATGATTAATGAGACAAGCAAGTAGAGCTAACCCACGTTTCTCTTTCTAAAAGTCCAGTGATTATCAAAAAGCTTGTTTACGATGAAGATTCGGATGTACGTATCCGTGCATGTGCATTAATTGAGGCACTATGGAGATTAAACGGCGGAGAACACGAAGAAAAGAATGGGTTTATTCGTCATATTCGAGGAGCGGAATTGCTGGTGGAATGTGCGACGGATGTAAATCGGGTGGTGCGCATTGAAGCGTATCGTGTGATTGACAGTATTCTGAGTGACTACCCAGCGCAAGAAAAGGGACGGAAGAGGAAGTTTGAACACAAGGATGAATTCACATGCCAATTTTTGGAATTACTAAATACGGTCGATAGAGTGCGTTTAAAGGATTCACTTGATCCTGAACATTTGTATCAAGAAGCTTTTGATATCAATGCGGACATGATGACGCAATCTATTCTTCCCACCAATCCTGAAGATGATATCAATATGTTGGATTGCTATTAGAAAAATTACAAGGCCCGTGAAGAAACCCGATCATTTTGAATAAAATTTATGCGAATAAAATGATTGGATTAGATAAAAAAGATTCGATCTCAATCACCCGGTTTTTTTTTTGTTGTTATTCTTTGTGGCAAAGGGGAAAAGGGGGTAAACGTAGACACACGTTGTCTCCCTTCATCATTTTATTTCTCATTTTCTGCCTCACACAACAGTTTTTTTTATGCTTTTTCTGACTCGTGGTTGCCCTGACGACTGTGCCCATGCCAATCGCAAGTTAAAACCGAGATTTCAATACCAGAAAAAGAAAAAGAAAAAAGGCACATTTGTTGGGAGCACGTGGTTTCCTGCGGGGATTGGGAGGTGTCGAATACCCTAATTTAGAATGGGGGTGTTCCTCCCTCTTTTTTTTTTGCTTTTCTCTCTTTTTTCTCTTTCTTTTTTTTTCGTTTTTTATACATAAAAACTCCCTTTTTTATTTAATATGAATATTACCGACCATTATTCTTTTGACAACAACAATAATAGCAATGAACGCCGACCTTCTTTAATCGATCCAACGTCGAGCAGAACACTTTACCCGATTTCTTCATTTCGACATCATCCATACCAATTGGATAACAGCACACATTCGAGTCCTTCTAATTCGCGTAGAGGTTCTCTTACGGATCCTGCACTCCATGTGTCCTTTCGACCCACCACCTCACATTTATCATTTAATTCACCTCCTTCCTCTCCTTCCTCCCGAAGATCATCCATGGTTACAACCCCAGAAGGTGCCGGCGGAGTCAATACGCCTGTGCCTGTGATTAACCCAGCGTCGCCATGGAGACGGGAATCATTACCGTCCATCACCCACCTAACCAGCAAACCATCCGACTATCAGTTCAAACATGTTAGAATACAGGACAACCCTAGACGTCATTCTATTGCTGCTACGCCTAGGAAATCTAGACAAAATTCGCTATCTTGTACACCTTATGAGGAAGAAGAAGATGAGGAAGAGGAAGATGATCGCCGTATGATGAGAAGAGGCAGTGAACAAACACCTTATTCTCGCTCACCGGAGTTACGAGTGAGTCATAAATTGGCTGAACGTAAAAGAAGAAAGGAAATGAAGGATTTATTTGATGATTTAAGAGATTTACTACCTGTCGACAAAGGATTAAAGACAAGCAAATGGGAGATCTTGAGTAAAAGTAAGTTCTCATTTCTTTTTTATCATTTGTTCTGTATAACTAAACATTCTCTTCTATTCCTTCCGTAGCACTGGAGTATATTCGAATCTTGCATGAAAGAGAAGGCTTAATGGAAAGAGAAAAAGCTGACTTGTTGAATGAATTAAATTGCTTGAAGCGATAATCTGTTGCTTTCCCTTACCAACCCCACCTCTCCCCTTTTTTTTTCATCCCCTCCTAATTAATAATAAAAAAATTCTATTTTAACTGCCACGTGTCGCAAACTTTAAATGCCGAAAATATATAAAAAGAATTTGTTGTGTGTGTGTGTGTATGTGTTTGTGGCCCATAAAAATAGTAACAGGTAGTTCATAACAGCACCCATAAATGGAAGTCCGTTATAGCTGTATTTCCCCAGAGACGCCCTTCACGGGCAAATAAAATCATTTAGTCATTTCTTCTCCATTTGCATTAATGTGGTACAAGGCAATGTCCACGTTTTTATTACTTTAGCGCATGGATTTGAACCATGTGTGTACACAGCAATGATCGCTGACTATCATGTATACCTTATCAGTTCAGGTACACTAGACATCTAATCGTAACAAACATAATTTAGACCATTGCTATATTAATTGTTGGCTGAATAGTCCACTTACCACAAGAATATACTTAGCAGCAATCTGATAGATGTTGGCATAACATTATAGATTTGCTGCAATCAAGTTACATCTCAATCCCTGTGCATCTTTCTTTTAATGAGCCCAACATTCATACAAATCAAATAATGTATCAATGCAACGTAAACAAACAAGTTGTCAGACAGGTTTAAGTAAAATGTACAAAAGGATTAAAGAATTATAAAGTGCTCTTGCAAGAAATTGATTTTTCATGTATTGAAACAATAGCTTCGGTCAGTTGTGTAAAATCAAGTACTCTCTTTGAATCAATAGATTGGTCTCAAATACTTGAAGATGAAGTGGCCTATATTTAACACAGTAAAGCTCGTGATTAATCCTATGGACATACCGTAAGCAAGGTGATTGCAGCTGTTATCCACAAATCATAGAATAAAAGGAGAGGTAGGACAGAAGAAAGAAAGAAAGAACGCTGATAGATATGAAGAAAAAATATACGACAAGAAAGGTAAGGTCTAACAGTTATTACAGGAATGACAACAAATACGGATCTGACATGACTAAAAGCCATGTCCTGGATACAAGAAAAAGCTCAGCGCTGACCCTTAATGTGAGAGATTGGTCCATCTATTCGAGGACATAAACAAAGAAGCTTGAAACTACAAAAGCTTGAATGTGTTGGAAAAGGCAAATCATTTAATGTAGATGAGTATCAGCGCACCAGTCTCCACAACAACTGACTTGGGCGGATGCCCCCCCCCCCCAGACATGTAACCCGCACGATAAAATTGATGCGGAGTTTCCATCTCTCACTCTTTACCTACACTCGCACATAACAGGGCTCATAATGTTTCAAGCTGTCAAGATCTACTTGACAAATTTGATCGGACCAAAATACATTTACCGTGTAAAGATTAATCATTTACCAACACATGAAGTCGGATCCATTAAGCGATTTTTACAAACGTTTGATCTGAATACGTTTAAAAAGGCTCCCAAATGGGATTACGCCTACATGAATTTTGAGGTGAGTCGACGTTTTAGGTGTGTAAGAAGTAAATGATACTGATCATGGGACAAAAAATAGACTGAACAAGCAGCTCGTGAGGCCATGAGAAAGTTACAAGGCGTCGAGTTTAAGAAGAAACTGTTATCAACTGAATTTAGTAAAGTAGAAGAGCAAGTGTTTCGTTCAAGATTTGAGGGTAAGAAAAAGATTCTTCCGGACCTGGCCCTGGAAACAAGATCACCAGCAGAAAAGTTAGCAGATCAAGTGACACCCCTTTACAAGTAAGCTTTCTTTTCCCCCTGACAATCCACACACCCTTTCTTTTTCTTTTTTCCTGACTGTAGTATATAGAGTACCGTACCTGGATCAAGTGGCAAGAAAACATAAATTAGCCTATCGTTTCTTAAACACCCTCAGAAAGAAAGTCAGTACATTACCAGAGATATCAGACGAAGCAAAATTACAAGTCTCTTGGACAGATGCAATGTACGCTCCTCTTCTTTAAAAAATAGGATAGTGCACTTATAGTTTTTTTTTAGTGAAACCATGGACATCAAGTTATTGAAAACGATAAAATCACCATCAACACAAGGATACAGAACAAAATGCGAGTTTACGATCGGTAAAGACTTGCAAGGAGAAAAGACCGTGGGTTTTCTTTTGGGTCTCTATAGAGATGGTGTGACAGCTGTACTGAGCCCAGAAGACTGCTTGCATGTGTCGGATCAGGCCAAAAAAGTGGCTAAACTCATGGAGGTACATCTTTTTTTTTAAAAAAAAATAGACTCGAATCACATATTTGCTAACAGAGATAATAGGACTATGTGAAAGAGTCTAGATACGATGTCTACGACCGAGTTAATCAAATGGGAGTATGGCGTACCATCATGACGAAAACACAACGTACAGGCGATGGTAAAGAATAAGCATGGAAATATCTCTTAACATAGAACTCACATCTCCCTCCTATAGTCATGATACTAATTCAGATGAACACCTCGCAGCTGACGGACAGGCAAGTTCAAGCGGAAAAGGAGAAATTAATAGCATACTGGACTGCCAGGATGAAGACTACGACAGTCATGTTGCAAATATGGAACGGCGGCTCTAACGGAATTACGGATAAAGGCACAACCGAGATCTTGACAGGAGATGGTTATGTGTATGAGGAATTATTAGGTTACAAGTTTAGAATATCCAGTAACGCCTTTTTTCAAGTGAATACAGCAGCGACAGAACTTTTATATGCAAAGTGTGCTGAATGGACCAAATCGGATAAGAAAACCACATTGCTGGATTTATGCTGTGGCACAGGTACCATTGGTATCCTCATGTCGAAATGGGTGGATAAAGTGATTGGGATAGAGCTTATTCCGCAGGCAATTGTGGATGCCAAGGCCAATGCGTTGTTGAATAGTAAGCATAGAATAGATGAATAAGGGGATACGCATTGCTAAAATTAAGTACATATGTAGATGTGGTGAATGTAGAATATCACGCGAGTAAAGTAGAGGACAAGATGGATATTATTGTGCGAGAAAAGAATGAGAGTGTGATTGCAGTATTAGATCCACCTAGAAATGGCGTGCATACCAGCGTGATTAGGGCGATTCGAGAATCGGATGCGATTGAAAAGGTTATTTTTATATCGTGTGATGTTAAGCAGACGCTGCCTAATTTGATTGGTCTCTGTCGCCCGACATCCAATCGATTTAAGGGGATGCCTTTCAAGCCATCCAGGGCAGTCTGTATTGATCTCTTTCCGCACACTGAGCATTGTGAAATGATGATAGAATTTGTTCGTTTAAAAAACCCCGCCACACCTGCATAGTAAACACGTCATCTGTATAATTTTAAACTTTTTTTTTGTTTGTACACACACTGGGGCAGTTTTTCTCTCTCTCTCTCTTTTCTTACCTTCTTCCCCTTTCTTTTGTTTCTCAATTTTTTTTAATTTTTTTTATCTCCTTGTTATTCTAAGCAAACAAAATGGCTGATGAACTTGCAGGTTCATCTTTTTTAGGCACCAATAATTACTTTATGCCCAAGTCCAGGTCCATCTCTTTTGCGGTGGAAGAAGACCCCTGGAGTGCAGCAGGCTTTGATCCCGTAGATGAAATGAGACAACCTTTACATCAAACACAGGCCATGGATGAGGACATGGTTACTGAAGGCATCACGGCTGCTAATGTCTTGGGTAATTATATTAAAAAAAAAACTTGCCACTTTTTCTTGCATCTAAAACTCTTTTCTAGTCGGAGTTGATTTGCCAGAGATATTCGATACCGCTTATATTCGTGCAGGTCCTGTTGGTGACCGTGTCAGTATTGATTCGCTCCAAGTCATCATTGGTTTAGGAGGTCTTGGTCCACGTTTATATGAGCAAGTAGGTAAAGAAATTAAAAAAAACGAAATAGAAAGGAATGCCTTTTTTAAAGCGCATTATGTTTATTTTTTTCCTCCAATTAGATTTCCGCCATGATTGTGCCCTCAGGTGCAATGTATGTGACCCGAAATGAGTTTAATACTGCTTTAGCGCTCTTGGGTTGCGCACAAAAGAATATGGGTAAGTGGGCATCCGAATAAAGTTGTGTGTGTGTGAGTGTTAAATTTTGCGCAATTAGATTTATCGCTCGTTAAAGTGTATCAACATCGTAATGGTAAGACAACATCTATAATTTTAAATTGATTGAATATTAATTTTTTAATATTAAATTAGATCTGCCTGTGCCTTTATTATCTAACCTGGAAACGGTCTCCATTAAACGTGTGAACCCTTTGATGACCAGCAGCAAACCCAAATCTACCGGCTACGACGATGATCCATGGCGAGTTTCGTCTACACCGCCACGAAACGATTTTCCCGTCTATCAAGATGTTCCTATCAAAAGAAGCATCGCACCTAAACCCATGATTGTACAACCCGTAGCCGACAGACATATAGACAAAGTCTCCACTCAGGCGCTTGTCAAGGCCTCCACAGAGAGTTATCAATGGTTCTTGGACTTGGATCAAATCACAGTAGCCGTGGCAGAAAAGGAAGGGTTTTTATTTACACACGTCAACTATTGGGTTCATAGCACACAACGTCAAACGTCCGTAAGAAGAAGATATAGTGACTTTTATTGGTTTTGGGAAACGCTCTTAAAAAGGTATCCATTCCGTGTCGTGCCCAACTTACCACCTAAAAAGATCTCTGGCAGTAAGTTTATAGTTTGCATGTATTGTTAAAGGATGCTGACATTTCCATTTTTTTTCTTTCATTACGAAGAGGATAAGGCGTTTTTAGAAAAGAGATGTCAAGGTTTATCACGTTTTATAAATTGCGTTGTGCGACATCCAGTCTTAAAAAACGATGAAGAGGTTATATCATTCCTGACAGAACAAACTGTAAGAAACACAATGTGCATATTGATGAGTGTTGATATTGACACTTTCTATCATAGGAATTTGTAGCCTGGAGAAGAGCAAAATCCCCTTTGGTAGATGAAGAATTTGTGCGTCTCAACCCTCATACCGAGGATCTCGAAAGTTTCATACCCAAAGATTTAAATGACCGTCTCAATGAAATGAAGAAACGATTACCTCAATCCATTGAAAAGTATGACGAGCTGTGTAATGTAATGGATCGATGTATTCGATTAAAAGAAGCAAGAGCTCTAGAGATGAAGAAATACAATAATACCTTAAAGTAAGTCGCTTTTTCTTATATTTTTGCTCTAGTTATGCTGAAAATTCACATTATAGGGAATTGAGTGAAATCGAACATGTATGCTTTGTAGCTGACTGTCAGGCATGTACACAAGTAGTACGTGGCTATGAATCTGTTGGTACTTATATGAGCGAGGCCAGTACTATAATTGAATTGGATGTGGCTTCTGCCACGACAGGCGTCCTGGAGAACTTGAAGAGACACCGCGATATTTCTATTGCCTTTCTTGAGATGCTGGAAAGAAAAGGTCGACTGGAGTCCAACCAGATCAGCACGCTTTACAAAAAAGTGTCTGCAAATAAGGCTAAAGTGAACCAGAACCGAGGTGTACCTGGTTTGGAATCCGAAGTGGCTAGATTAGATGCCGTAATCAAGTCGGATTCGGAGCAATTGACCTACCAACAAAGACGTGACACTTATATTCAATACTGTGTAGCAACTGAAGCTTCTTACTTGCACAAGCAACAATCCTTTGTATCTTTACTCTATCAGAATTTCGTGCATGAACAACTTCAATATGCACGCAGATCTGTTGATAATTGGAAGGCTTTGGAAGCTGTTCTATGTGAAATGCCCAAACCCGAAGATTTTGCTTAAACCCCCCCCCCCAAAAAAAAACTTAATTGATTTCTCAAAAGATATACCCCACACCCACACACCCACACACCACGGCCCTTTCTCTCTCTATCTCTCTCTATTGGTCGCCCCTTTATATGTATAACCATCTGACACAAAATAAATGTTTTGTTTTTGAGAAAAAGTTAAAACTGCCACATAAATTACGACCAGGCACATACTTTATGTCGAAACAAATTTTATTGAATCCCACTGTGATTGACATTGTCATTGAGACAACAATTGGATCTGAAGGAAAATGCAACTATTTATACATTTACTATTTTAGACCGATATAGAATACATCACTCTGCGGCTGTACTTGTTGCTACAGAAAAACACGCATATGAGCCTCTATTTATGCCTCCATATTATTCATTTCCAAATTTAATTGAAGAGCGTTGGTCTAAAACTAAGCAATACAAACATCGTATTCTTCCGATAACGCAGATATTATTCCTCTACGTATCACGTAGACTGCCACTACAATTACCCTTGAAAAGTGTAAGAGGTAGATTCAACACGCTGAAGCTTATTGGGACAGATGTATCGATAAAGAAATATTTGTTCAAATTGAAGTAGTACAATTCCATCTGAAAACATACGCTGTTTCCTGGCCCCAAAGAATTCCTAGGCTGACCATCAATACTGTGCGCTCGCGCTTGATCTTAAATCATTGAAAGAACCAATAACCATTTTCACCAAGAAACCGACCAAGAACAAAGCCTATACGATGCCCTTTAGTGAATAATAACAGGTTTTTATAGGGATTCTATAGGGCTCTCTGACTTGCATCAGAGGCAGGATTTATGATAGCACTTGCGAATATAGTACTGGTCCCTTCATTAGTCTTGAGTTTTGAAGTAGAGTTTAAGATGGTAATCCTAAAGCTCGGGTTTTAGATGCAGTTACTTTATTTATTAAGAAGTTTGAAAAGTTTACATTAAAAGAAACCAGTGTTAAAAACTTGTAGGATGAATGTAACCTTTCATTTAAACGATTCAACTAAAATCGCAGATCGTGTAGCATGGGTTGAAGAGTAGAGTAAAACAAATACGAATTATCTTAAAAACTGTTTTTTTTTTTTGATGAATCCGGTTTTGATATCAACATGAGACATCCAGGAGAAAGGGCATATCAGCTATTGTGACTATTTCCAGCACCAGAGCAACACCACAGTCGTAGATGCAATTTCAGCGAGGTATGTCGAGTCAATGGAGCTTAGAAATCCGCAGGAGTACTCTTTAAAAAGGATAAGGATCGATTTTGCTAACCGTAAAACGAAAGCACCATCCAAGTCAATAAATAATGGTCCTAAAGGTACTGTCACGGGTCATTGTTTACATTTCATTCAGAAAACTATGGACGAAATGGGTTGCGTTCCTGAAATGAAAAAAATATTACATGGTAATGTACAACGCACCCATCCATACTATCGATGCAATAGACGCTATGATTACAAAAAGAGGGTATAAATGCGTTTATCTCCCGTCTTACTCTCCTAAGCTAAATACTAATGAGCGTATAAAAAAACAGGTTTGAGCAAGCAACATTTTTGTCGCACTTAAGCACTAAATTCATGCTGCATAAGCTTAATTAGAGCCCTCGCGAAAATTTCTTAGTTTGACAGGTGAAAAAGGCCTTTCGCGATTTAAGCACGTCAAAAATACAACACCTTTAAAAAAAAATGAAACATTGGAAACAAGTATCAACGCACAACTTGAATAGGAAGCTAGCTTTAAAGTTAAAAAACGACAAGAAGTTATGTATAGGATATTTCATTCTTCAAGTAAATTTTAATATGTTTTTCTATATACTAGGGGGGTTTGAGTTTTTTTTTAATATTTTATAATTTAATAGAAACCCTTGGCGTGGTTATCACAGACTTCACGGAGCTTGGTCTCGAGTTCCTTGGAGAGGACACCCTTGGCACGGATTTCCTCAAGGACTTCGGGATGTTGGGTAGCAACGTGGCTAATGAAATCCTTTTCCCATTCGACAACCTTACCGACGGGGATCTTATCAAGATAACCGTTGACACCAGCAAAGATGATGGGGACTTGAGCTTGGATAGACAAGGGAGAGTATTGAGGTTGCTTGAGCAATTCAGTGAGACGGGCACCACGGTTTAACAAGAATTGAGTGGAAGCATCCAAATCAGAACCGAATTGAGCGAAAGCGGCAACTTCACGATATTGGGCCAAGAAAAGCTTCATGGAACCAGCAACTTGCTTCATGGCCTTGGTTTGGGCAGCAGAACCGACACGAGAGACGGAAAGACCAACGTTAATTGCGGGACGAATACCCTTGAAGAAAAGTTCGGCTTCCAAGAAAATTTGACCATCAGTAATGGAAATAACGTTAGTGGGAATATAAGCAGAGACATCACCACCTTGGGTTTCAATGATGGGAAGGGCAGTCATGGAACCATAACCGAAAGCCTTGTTCATCTTGGCAGCACGTTCCAAAAGACGAGAATGGAGATAGAAAACATCACCAGGGTAAGCTTCACGACCAGGAGGACGACGGAGCAAGAGAGACATTTGACGGTAAGCAACAGCTTGCTTGGACAAATCATCATAAATGATCAAAGAGTGACGACCGTTATCACGGAACCATTCACCGAAGGCGGCACCGGAGAAAGGAGCGAGATATTGAAGAGGAGCAGCTTCAGAGGCAGTGGCAGCAACGACAATGGTGTACTTCATGGCATCTAAAATTATCGGTGTAAGTTATTTTACTACGCTTTCATTTATATATATATATATATATATAACCCTAAAAAAACACTTACCGTTCTCTTCGAGAGTACGGACCAATTGGGCAACAGTAGAACGCTTTTGACCGACAGCAACGTAGATACAGTACAACTTCTTGGCTTCATCAGAACCGTTGTTCCAGTTCTTTTGGTTAAGAATGGTATCGAGAGCGACAGCAGTCTTACCGGTTTGACGATCACCAATAATCAACTCACGTTGACCACGACCAATGGGGACCATGGAATCAACAGACTTGATACCAGTTTGCATAGGCTCGTTAACGGAGTGACGAGGTAAAATACCAGGAGCCTTAACTTGGACACGAGAGCGACCAACGGTGTCAAGAGGACCCTTACCATCAATGGGGTTACCAAGGGCATCAACGACACGACCAAGGATACCGGGACCAATTGGGACATCGACAATAGCACCAGTACGCTTAACGGTATCACCTTCCTTAATCAAACGATCGTTACCGAAAACGACAATACCAACATTATCGGCTTCCAAGTTAAGAGCCATACCCTAATTCATTTTTAGAATTAATAATCTATTTTACTTGTTTCCCTCTCCAGTACTTTTATATATGTATGTATGTTTTACCTTGAGACCACTGGAGAACTCAACCATCTCTTCGGCTTGACAGTTCTTTAAACCGTAAACACGGGCAATACCATCACCAATGGACAAGACACGACCAGTTTCTTGGAGATCAACTTCAGAGTTGGCACCCAAGATACGTTGTTCGAGGATGGAGGAAACTTCGGAAGTAGAAGGCTTGGCAGAAGCGTAGCTACGAGCAACAGTGGCGACAGCACCAAGGTTAAGACGGGCCTATTATTATATTTTACATTAGTTTTCACATTCCAAACTCTGTTTTTTTTCTCTCTTCTAAGCTTCTTTTTTTTTTTTTTTTTTTTTGGTCTAAAAAAGTGTTCATCAACATACAGCAGGTAAAACACCACGGGTGAGTACAGGACGAGCAATACGAGCAACGTTTCTAAGCATTTTGAGAGGGGTGGTTTTTAAATTAATAGAAAAAAGAAAAAAAAAAGCACTAATATAAAAAATAAATATTAAAATGCCAGGATGGACTACTTTTTTGCTCGGTTTTTTTTTGTCTCCAGGCACATCCCCGACCCACCCAGTTTAGTCTACGTCACTTCTTGCAATTTAACAACCGCCTCGTTTCTTCTGACATGAGTGACAACAGCATTCAGACCAATAGGTTCGTCCTAAAAAAAAAGAAGCTCCATTGTCCAAAAATTACTGTCATAATTAAGAAATTTTTGGTTGGTTATCTTTGTTAGGCTTCTAGATTTATGAAAGGACATTACCACCAATGTAATAACTTTGGAAAGCCTACCGGTGCTGGATTATGTTTCATGTAGTTGTGCAAGCTGAGAAAGCTATAAGTTATAATTTAAACTTGGCAGAATTACAGATTAAAGTTTAATGAAGGCTCGATAATCGCTCTTCTTAGGGGCAGCCAAAATGCACGTAGTCACAACGTAAGATATTTGTTTTGACTGTCCTTTAAACCTGGAAACAAGAATATACAATCAAAAACAATGTAATAATTATGAATAAATGTATATTGAACGACGTATACTTACTTTGACAATTCCACCTTCACTTTTTCGCCCTTGAACTCGTTTGATCTCAATCTCACGCAGAATTTGGTTGTCTCCAAGAGAACCGCTCGATAATTATTTCGTTATAATTCTATCTTAACAAAATGAGAGTGTAGCACTATGACTGAATCTAATTTCCAATGAATAAATATAAACTTTAAATACAATGATAATACTCGGGAGAATCAAAAAGTAGTAGCTGATGGATGATCGATAAAAAAATAATTTAAAAGGCTCTATTAAAACTATTTTTTTCTTTTACTGTCATCCTCTCAGCCCCATAATCACGAGACGATGTAAAATGTAATCAGACCTCGTCACATACACTACCTTGATTGCTATCGTTATTTTCTATTTTTTTTTTAATCTTTAAATTTTTTTTTTTCCTTTTTTGCTCTTTTTAACAAATGGTTAATGGATCTATTGTAGTTCGTGAAGTCAATATCGATGATTTGAAACATGTTTCTGCTGCTACTCTCGTTGTCAACCAGGCATACCGTTGTGAAGGAGGTTGGACTACCGAGAAAGAGATCGTCACTGGCCTACGCTGTACAGAACAAGACATGGCCTACTATATTACTCATCATGGCCAGCCAGATATTTTGTTCTTTGCCTTTGAAAACACAGAAATTGTGGGAACGATCAAGATACAACCTTTAAAAGACACTAATGAAGCGGAAATAGGACTCTTTGCAGTCAGTCCTATTCATCAGTCACGAGGTGTTGGGGGTCAACTTATACGAAACTCCCTGTTAACAATGATCAAGTTAGGATTTGATACAGCCGTGATTCAGGTACTGGAAAATCGACCTGATATCATTGCATGGTATAGAAAATTAGGATTTGAAAACCTATTAGGGGAACGTATTCCGTTTGGCTGGCCAGAGAAAAGTTTGGTACATGATCTTCATGTGTTGATACTAAGAAAGAAGTTAACCCTGAAGTGAAGGAACATAAATATCTGTGAAGCATTTCTATTGTGTCAAGCAATTTGTAAAATGTATAATAAAATATGGCATGCTTAGATTTCCTGTTGATCCATGCCAAAAATAAATTGACAACAAACAATAGATGGCGATGTTTGTAGATCGGTATAGTTTTTATATGAGGGAGGGGTAGGATTATTAAGTATAGATGTGAGCATGAGATAGTATTTGATATGCGAGACAATCAATAGCACAATCATGATGTACTACGGTGATCCGGATCATGCGCGCATGTTTTATTTTTTAAAAAGAAAGTTGAAATTGCATGTACTAAGAACGAGGTTGAATTAACAAGAGCCAATTGGACACTGCTTTTTACAACAATGTGAGTGGGTATCACCAAGAACATTTGATTAGATGTGAGTCTGATGGCAAAATGATTAAATTTATTTATGAGGGACATCGCCATCAGGAATTCAATAACAGAGAGTAAAAGAGGATACAGTGACTGAAAAAAAAAATAAGCCCTGCAAGAGTACGATCCTGAACTGTAACTTATTACCCAAACCTATTACATGTTAATTCTTCGTAGATGATAGTAATGAGATCATTGTATTTGATGGGAGATACTTTCTGGGATTCTAGGCAATGCATTATCGCCACATCTTTCTCAAAAACTTGGAGTTATTTATAAATCGTTCTAAAAATATCAAGCCCATAATCGATGGTATCGAGAGCCAAGAAGGGTAATATTATTCCAGGATATATAGAAATGGGGAGGCTACACAGCGGGGCGTTTTTGTATGATTATTATTTATTTACAGAAACGAGCAATTATTTAGACTCTGAGGGTCGTTGATTTAAATTCCTAAAAACTTAACAGCATTCACTTGATAAATATGGTATTTTTGTATCAATTTAAACGTTTTTTCCCTTTGAGTACTGTACCTGATTACACAAAAGAAATTTAGCTCACAGCGACAAAGCCTCTTCTTCAACTTTAATAATTTGGCATTGTTTTGATAAATGTAGAATAAGGCAATTTTGTTTATTGCAAACATTGGGAGGCCCAAAAGTGGAGAGTAAGGATATTCTTAGTGTAAATGCTTCCTCCAATTTCTAATAAGCTTGACATGGATGTCCTCACACATGTATGCTTTGGGATAGTTTTTTTTTTTTTTCTTTTTTTAATAACCATCATGACGACGTAAAAAAGTAAAGCCGTAAAACCATCGATGAGGGACAGGATCGAGTATGACGACATGGTTTGTTCAACTTTAATTCCATACGATAATTTAACGTTTGATTCTTGTGGTAGGGTAATGTAGACAATTAAGGGAATGATCAGTTGTACACTATAAATACATGGGATCATATGACAAGAGCAGAGCAATGTTTGGAAAATTTCCTTTTCGAACACGAGTCAAAATATTAGATGATGAATGCATAGGATTTATTAAAAAAAAAAGATGTAAAAAAGGGGGGTTTAGATAAATAGAAAAAATATACAGTAATAATAAAGAGAGAAAAAAAATAGTATGAGGTATAGTTGGTATAGAGTTTTGATGTACAGACATAAAAGATATATATATATAAAAAAAAGTGTATGTGTGTGTGTGTGTGTGTTTTTTTTCTTGGTTAATTGTCTTGAACAACAAAAGGCATAGTGTTATTGAGGTCGAAATTCATATAACAAGAGCCTGAATCATTCCAAAAGCTGTTTAGAGTGGTAGATTCATCCTCTAGTAATAAATCAGAAGGCTTTGTATCTTCCATGATGCTCATATCAATGTACTGTTCCATGTTATATGTGCTGAGTTCAGGCATAAACATTTGATGATTGATGTCAGAGAATTGTTCGATATCAAACAAGTCAGGGTAATGAATTGTCTTGTCAAAGGCATTGAACTGGAGATCAATTGTCTTCATATCTGGATGTTGTTGTTCTTGTTGTTCTTCCAAGACAGGATAAGTACAGCTTTGGAGACCATTCAAGAGGTTTTGTGTTTCAGCATCGTAGAAATGAGTATATTCTTGAGTGAGTAACATGGAAGGCTCAGGTTCACCAAACATGTAATCCTGGTTGAAGTTCATGGTGCCGATCACATCTTCTGGTCTAACCATAGTTTGATCCATCATGTTCATATTAGGAAAATCGGGTGACGCAGTAATACTACTGGCGGTGGTGTCAACAGTGGCAGACTTTCTCTTTTTGGAAAGGTGTTCATCCATATCAAGCTCCACTCCACTATCTTCTCGGTCATCTTCCGCAGTAGAAGAACCAGGCTCAACAGGATTACGCTTTTTACCGGGCTTAGGAGCGGGTCTAGGAGGACTATCGGCTGTCTTCCGACGCTTCAAGTCTGAAGAAGGATTAAATCGAATGATGAAGTTTTTGGGATCTGTCTTGGGTGTCACAACATGGTTAGGCGTAGACATGTTCTTCTTTTCTTGAGATGTCATGTTACGAATACGAGGAGCAGAAACAACAGCTTGTGCAGGAGTCTTGGTCTTTTTAGCCTCATAATCAGCAGGTACAGTAATCAAGATATTGGGACACATCGCATTGAGATGAGCATCTTCTTCAAAGGACTCATCACAATCATCAGAAGGAGAACGGTAGTATTGATTAGAAAGAGAGGAATACATGCCCATATCATGATGTCTTCTACTGTGACCACCGGCTTGGGAGAGATTATCAACAAAGATCTTTTCCATATTGACTTGAAGGGTCCAGTAACCACCTTTACCGGGATGGGCTTGGGTAGGACGACGATCAAATTTGACAAACCATTTCTTGTTTAATGACAAATTATGACGAATAGAATTCTAAAATAATTTATGCAAGTTAATGATCTGAAAATGGCACACACATATATATGATTATGTAATAAGTACCTGCCAACCCTTTTGACCACGCTTGTAGTAAGGATAAGCCTCCGAAATCCATTTATAAATGTCACTGAGAGTCAAGCGGCCATCTTTACTGGCCAAAATAGCATGAGCGATGAGAGTTGCATAAGAATAAGGTGGTTTTTCAAAGCGATCTGCTGGCTTCCACCAAGGAATGATTTGATGAGGCCAAGAGGATCTTGTTCTGGAAGGACACGTTTCGAGATCGTCATCGTCTTCAGGTTGGATACCAATAGGTTCAATTTTGAACTTGAGTTCGGAAGTCTTTTGGTGTTGAGGAGGTTGTTTTTTAGGGATGCTTTTGTCGTGTAATTTCTGTTCTCCAGGTTCACGGATAATAGAGAATTGCGACATGTGAGTTAATTGTTTTTTATCAGACATGATTGAGATGATATATAATAAAAGAGGATATATATATAAAAAAAAAGTAGAGGGTATATATACGTGTTTTTTTTATTATGCGTTATAAAAAAAAAAAGAAGAAGAATGAAATTTATTTTCGATAAAAAAGAAAAAAAAAATAAGAAGAGGTATGCTATAAATACCTTTTTTTTTTTTTGGGATGATGACAGTGTAATGGATTTTCCCTGCGGTTCTGTATCACGTTACAATGGATAGCATCATTTATTCATCTTATTTTCTCCGCGAAAAAAAAAAGAAGGTATAGGTCGCATGACAGACTACTGCCTCCTTGAAAAAAGGTGTGTTAGTTACCATAAAAGCGTTATATATGAATCTCAAACATCCAAGTTTAAAAAAAGCTAGAAGAGAGAGAGAGAGAGATAGATAGAGAGGGAGAGGATGACCCTGGGAAGGTACAAAGGTGAACCCTCATCATCTGTTCGTTTCATATTCATTTAACGAATTGGAATTATTCAATTATGATTGCAAATGAATAACACACTACCATAATTGTTCATGCTTGTACAACCTCAAAACCTAAATGTACTCCGAGTTTCTTCCCGTTAGTAAATACGCCATGACCTTTTTTTTTTTTTTTTTTTTTTTTTTTTCATTAAAACCTACTTGCTCTTACCATTGTTCCTTATGCTGTATTTATATCAATGTATTGTTTTAATTGTACGTGCGTTTATTTTAAATTATGTATAATAAAATAATAAATAAATAAACTATCGATCTGCAACGCAATTGATAGAATCACCGAATATACACGTATATATACTTTACACAGTAAAGTGGTGAAACCCACACTATGTCGCAGCAAGTTACAATACATGTACAGTTCTTTATAAAAAGTCCGAAAGAATTAACCCCCTCTCAACGAATTGCATTGTAAGTGGTCGCATTGTTACGAGTTTAATTACACCAGCACAATCAAGTGTTTCAGAAATTATATTTATAACTTTTTTATTATTTTTAAACTTTAGACTAGCACATCACTTCTCAAGACCCATTTGCTTCCCTCAGTCACTTCCATAGCTTCATGTAACAAGCAGTGCTGACCGTGACGATGCAGCAAAGCCATACCCTTTTCTGGTTGTACAACAATAGGGGCCGGTTTCCGATTCTTGGAGGAAGAATCCTTATAAAACACGGTTTCGCCACCCACCATATCTTGGTTCAGATAGATCAGTAAGGTCCAATCTGTCCATAAACCGGTCGCTTTATCTTGTACACTCTCATCGTAATGCGCACCAAATGAATGACCCTTCCTATAACGGTAAACCCGAATATTAGAGTTTAAGCCTTTTGGCACTTTTATGTTTCCCATTGCAGACGCTTGCACCACTGTTTCCATCCCCTTCCAGATCTCCTGTGCGAGGTCAGCATCCTCCAAGGCTTGTCTGTCATTATTACGAAACGCGTATCCTCGTTTAGGTTTATCCACATTTTCTTTCGGCGGTAAATTCTTTTCAAAGTATTGCACCAGTGCATCGCATTCTTTCCCATGCAAGAAATTAGGAATCACGTAAATCTGTTGTGCTTCTAATTCAGTCATTTCCAAATACTGCTTTTGTTCCAACTTGGGAAACGGTGCTAATGAAGCTGATTGTTCTCCCTTTTTCACTTGCTTCTTGGGCATGCTTTCGTCTCAAGAAAAAAAAAAAAAAAACACTGGTGTAAAAAGGGTAGGACGGTGAATTTTTTATTTTTATTTTATTTTATTGTGTTCACCTTGTCAGATCATTGACCCACTATGTATGTACAGTTGTGCTCGCGCGTGTGGCTATGCTATAGAACACAAAAAAATAGGCTTTGTCGTTGCTTTTGTGAAAACCGCAGTTAACGGAAACTCCTTGTGCTTCCCAATTCGAGTAACATCATGGGTTTTCATTAAGCCATCAAAAGGTATACGTTTTCCCGTGCTTCTGTGTGCACGACACTGAGGCTTACCCATTTATAAAAAAAAATAACTATCTTTTTTTAACAATCATTGAATTTTATAAACATTGAAACCCTGTGATGATCAAAAGCAAAAACTCTGGGTTTTTTAAAAAAAAGAATAATAAACAAGAACAACAATAGATCTATAGTTTTTCCACTACGATAAACATTTGTTCTAGAATCCAGCTAAAAAAAAAAAATATGTGATACAGGCATTTCCGGATAGGGTCATCCGAAAAAAGCTTTTTTTTTTGAAAAGATCGTGTACTATGTGAAAAAAACAGAGAATATGAGCAAACCATGACAAGATGTACCACGATTCGTGTATAATACTGCAATAACTCCCATATAATACGGTGATTGCCCTGATATAATAGTGCAGACTGAACTTAAATCCTCATTTCTGTTTAAAACGATCGGATTATCATGATGTAATTACTATCATGGCTGTATGTAACACACTCTCTATTTTGCTGTCTTTCTTTATTATTGTAAATGTACACATTACGCTCAGGCACTTTTTTTTTATAACTGTAATTACATGCGTACAACAAATATTTGTCAAAAAAAGTTTAGATAAACAATACGGGCATAAAGATAACATTGGGGTTATCCACAAGTGCTGCAAGATGATTAGACTTAAATTGTCGCTCATACTATCTGTGAGTCAAATGAACTTTTTAAGGTGCAGCAAACCCGATACTTCAACCAGGTTGCGTTCTAATGAAATTAAAAAAAAAGAAAAATGAGGTATGTGGTTTCATGACATGATATTTGTTGCATACCTTCATAATCAACGCAATGCGTGTTAATGATACAACCATGACACGCATTCCCCAACAAAATAAAAATAAAGTCTTCTCTTTTTTATATATATATATATATGTGTATTCATAATGCATATCATTCTCCCGGGAGGAAGAATATTTCATCGCATGCTACAGATATGACGTGCGAGTGATGTTTCTTACCAATGCGGCTAAATATGGTCACATTACCAGATTTTGTCATTTATGAAACCATGGCCGATTCAAATGAATTTGTCGCGTAATGTCATCCGAACGCCAAAAAAGCGGAGTTTTTGTATTTGGAAGTTCGTTTAATTAAGGCTATAAGGATGAGTGCTTGCTTCTATTACGAAGATGGGCAGGACACAAAAATAATGCAATACACTGAGTGGGTGTTAAAGTGAACCGGTCATCTGTACGTCTTGCTGTCAATCAATCCATATACGACTATTTAGTATCAGTGTTCTTTAGTGATATATACCAATCGTGAAAGGGCCATTATATAAAATTGTCACATTAGCTAGTGGTTCTTTAGGACCATCTTGTATCTATGTTGTAAGAATGCTCACGTTAACAAAAACGCAATTCTTAAAATAATATATACGGGTAAACTATTGCGAGAAACTATCTGAGTGGACAACTATGTACTCACCCATTCTTTAAGAAGCTATAGACTGCACCCTACCAATTGGTAATTGAATGGCCGTCTTATAATTCTAGTAGAGGCACAAATATTTAAAGAGCAAAGTATTACATATATTTTATTGGGGGAGAGGTTTTTGAATAAATTAATCAGACGTGCTTTGGATCTTCACAGGTACCATAGACTGGGTTACCCGAGATACGGCAATACAAGTCTTTTGAACAGGCCAAGTTTTGATCACAGACTATAATAGGCGAATAAGTTTATTGTTTCTTTTTTTGGAAAAGAGAATATGATAAATTACCTTGATGAATACCAGGAATTGCAGCAGCAGAGACACTAGTGGCTACAAAGAGACTGAAAGCAATGGTAATCATTTGGAATTTCATGTTGTTCGTTGTGTTTATTGCAAAAGAAAGAGGAAAAATAAGAAAAGAGAAGAATTGAAACAATTCTTTATAATTAAGAAAGAGACGACAACGGTACATAATTAAAGTGTCAACTGTAAATATTTAGAAAATCCACATTGCTGAGCTGGTTTCAAATTTTGGTTTGATCTTTTTACGAGTATTCACAATGAGAGTGTTGCTATTAACAACAGTTGCATTTTATGAACTATTTAAAAGTCTTAAAATTGAAAGATACTACCTCGTAGAGTATGGGACTATAGTTTAGTCAAACACGCCACATGTTATAATGAAATAAAAAGTCAGCTCAGGGCAGCCTTTATTTTTTTTTTTAATTTTCACGTCACAAAAATAGGGAAATACAGAACCCGCCCCTAATACACACACACACACACACACACACATCAACCTTTTTTTTTATACATACATATTAATTTTGTTCAATAGACTTAATGAATTCCGAATTTGATGATGTAAACAAAAGCATTTTTTGACCTTTGAAAAAAAAAAAAGGGCATGGAGAGCTAACATGTAATATATAGGTGTTGACCAATCAACCTGTCGTGATTGATAATGTAAGTTATTCTCTTTAGAATAAAACCATCCTGAAACCACATTCATCTAATAAATGTTCATCTTTAACAGGGATCAGGTGTTATCAAGGCAGGTTTTGCTGGTGAAGAACAACCCAAATGTTTCTTTCCTTCCATGTAAATATTTTTAAGCCAAAAATAACAAATAAAAATCGATTAATGATTTTTCATATATATGTAAATAGGGTGGGTCGACCAAAGCATGTTCGTATTATGGCAGGTGCAGTAGAAGGAGACACTTTTATCGGCAGAAAGGCACAAGAGTTGCGTGGATTATTAAAGATTAGATATCCCATCGAACATGGTATTGTGACTGATTGGGAAGACATGGAGCGTATTTGGCAATATATCTATACCGACGAGCTCAAGACACTTTCCGAAGAGGTAAGCGAGAGGTGATAGTGCATACAAAAAAGAAGAGAGACTGACATTTTATTAAAGCATCCTGTCTTGTTGACCGAGGCACCTTTGAATCCTCGAGCCAATCGAGATGCTGCTGCACAAATCTTTTTTGAAACTTTCAATGTGCCTGCATTGTTCACCTCAATTCAAGCCGTATTGAGTTTATACTCTTCAGGTAGAACCACAGGTATTGTTCTTGATTCGGGTGATGGTGTCACACATGCAGTGCCCGTCTATGAAGGTTTTGCTATTCCACATGCTATCCGTCGAGTCGATATTGCTGGAAGAGATGTGACCGAGTATTTACAATTATTATTAAGAAAGTCAGGCTATAATTTCCATACGACAGCAGAAAAGGAGGTTGTGCGCATCATTAAAGAAAAGACGTGTTATATCGCATTAAATCCAGCAAAGGAAGAGAAAGAAATGAGCGGTAAATTTGATGACTTTATGTTGCCTGATGGAAATGTCATCAAGGTAAGTTTTTCCACTCTTTTGATACATTCATGTTTATTAAAAACTATACTTTTGTATAGCTTGGTGCCGAACGATTCCGTGCGCCAGAAATTTTGTTCCAACCTGAATTGATTGGTGAGGAATACCCTGGAATTCATCAAGTGATTGTAGATTGTATTAGTCGTGCAGATCTTGATTTGAGAAAGTCACTTTATTCCAACGTTGTTTTATCTGGTGGTTCTACGTTATGTAAAGGCTTTGGTGAACGTCTTTTGAGTGAGATTAAGAAGCTTGCATTAAAGGATATCAAGATCAAGATTTATGCCCCTCCTGAGCGTAAATACAGTACATGGATTGGTGGTTCTATCTTGGCTTCCCTCAGTACTTTCAAAAAGATGTGGGTTTCTGCTGAAGAGTATCAAGAAGATCCCGATATCATTCACAAAAAGACGTTTTAAAATTTATAATATTTAAACTTTTTTATACCAAACCCCCCCTCACTCACCCGCTCCTAAAATGAACACACAGTCACACAATAAACAATTTTTTTGTTTTTGGCTTCCCCATCTTTCTCCCTTACACAACAACAATAACCTTTATAAAATATCAACGCGTTTTTTTTTAACCAATGGAGAGACAAAATAATCTAGGTCTTTTTACTCGTGTAAATATCTCTTTCTTCTATGCACTTTTTATTACTGGTCATTGACTTGTTTTCTTCTTTTAGAGAAGAGCAGCTGCTGCTTCAGATGCAACCAAACACATACAGACCACAACAACCGCTTTCAGACCTGCCGAGGTAACTCTTCAATGTTGTTGTTGTTATATATATTCAAATGCTAATAAAAACATATAATTAGTTGGGAATCAAACCAACCAAAGTAGAGGTAAAAAAAAAAGACAAAAACCTTCACCACTTCCCATGCTCATCTATATCAATAGAAACCTAAACCTGTAAAAAGACAAAGTGGCCGTATTGCTAAGCATATGCGACAAACCGTATTGAGATTAAATGTTGATGCAAAAGAAGACACACAGAAACCCGATGCAAAAGAAGATTGCAAAGACGATACACCACTGCACTCAAAAGAAGATACACAGCTGCACACGAAAGAAGATACACAGAAGCGCAGAGGAAAAGTCTTTCCTATAAGTAACGTCACCAAGAAGCAAAAGAGAGAGACAGTCAAGCAAATAACTTTGAAGGATTGTGCAGCCAAAATTAGCTCACCTGTATCAGTCCCGTCCGAATCAGAAAGCAAGGAGGAATCCTCGACAGAAGAAGCTTCCCCAGTAGAAGCCCTATCTGTTGAGGAAGAAACGCCGATTGAAGATGAATCCCCAGTTGAAAAAGAATTCCCAACCGAAGTGGAATCCCCAGTCGAAGTGGAATCCCCAGTCGAAGAGGAATCGCCAGTGCATGTTGAATTACAAACTGAAGAGGGATCGCCCACTGAACTCGAATCTCAAATCGATGAGTCATCAGTACAAGTCGAATTACCAGCTGTAGAGAAATCCTCAACAGTGCAAGTGGAATCGTCATCAGTGCAATTGGAATCGTCATTAGTGCAAGTGGAATCCTCATCAGTGCAAAGGGAAATAGAAAACTCTGAGGAATTACCTGCTCCATTCGAGTTTTCTTTTGAAGTTGCAGGAGAGTTACCATTGGAGACCAAGTCATCGCTTACAGAAAGACAATGCACGAGACAAGAGAGCTTCTATGACACCCCTTCACCCCCTTCTCTGCTGACCGAACCCAGTACGCCTCCCGTGCATCAGGAATATGTTGCACCTTACAAAACTCATATGACTGCCTCCGACCGAGCACGTATCGAAGCTGAAAAGACGTTGTTGGAGAAACTTCGTAAAGCCCTTGATATCGTCATCACCGATCGTATGGCTCGTAGTAAACCTACTTTATACCATCAAGTCGAACCCGTCTTGAGAAACTCGACTCGTAAAGATGTGACACTTTCACATGTGTCTAAAATGCTTTATTTGGCTCCCTCTCTATATGCCTTGGAAGCAAAAGAGTTGAGAGATTTTGGTGGGAAAGTGACAGAGGCATTTGCCATTGAGTTTGGAAAGGAGTGGGCGTGTCCCTTGATAGGTAAAGATTTGCAGAGACGAGCGGATATCATGAAGGATAGTTTAGATAGATATTTTGATACTCATAAAGAGGTAAAAACGATAGACTGAATTTTCTAGTATACGCATTTCAGATACTAATATACGCATATCACTTAGCCTGATGCTACTGTACCCGAGGTGAAGTTACCAAGATTGGCTCTTGTGGTGGATAAGGATGATTGGATCAATAATGCACATCTTCCTGCTGGTGTCAAGGCCTTATTGGACTCTCACAAGAAGATCAGTGAGGCTGAAGAAGAAAGCAAGAAACCCAAGCCTAAGCCTGTCGGTAGTGTCAAGGATCGTATGGCTGCCCTTCGTGCACGTGTAAGTTGAAAGTATAATGACCAATTGCCAATATATACTAATAACATGCTTATAGCTCGCTAAGAAGAATGCTTAAATATATGTAAATATATAAAGAAATGAAAAATGCATATACACACACATAACATCTATTTCATCGAAATAAAGAATAAACACCTTCATATTATACATGTAAAAAAGGTTTATTAATTTTTTTTTAAGTTTATATTTTTTTTTTAAATCTATACAAAAGCAAATCAAAGTACTTTATTAAAGGCTTTCTTCAGAGAATCAAAGCCTTCCTCGTCCACAAGCTCTGGGGTGAGACCCGCAGAGAGCAAGAGCTGTGCGACATACTTAGGAGCTTGGGGTACATCGATGGTTAAATCATCATAACCTTCCATAAACTGTTTAAAAGCTTTCACATAGATATCTCTTTCAATCAGATTTTCCGTATATAGGTAATCTATCAATTCCACTGTTCGATTCACATCCTCTGCCTTCTTTTCCACCACCGTCAACATCTGGATCACAAACAAGAAAAGATAATGTTCATCATCCAATTCTTTCACACATTCACAGAGTTCTTTTTTATCTCGGATATTAAAGTATTCCTCCAGAATGTTCTTGGCCTTACGTTTCACAGCATCATCCGATAACTTGGGCGAGGCAACAGGAGAAGTAGCAGTAACACTACGAGGAGCCAGTGTTAACTTTTTGCGTTCATCTGCCTTTTCTAAAGCACTAAACATGTTGGTAGCGGGACTGGATCGTCCATCGGGCTTCATATCCGTATTCATAGTGGGTTTAACACGACTTAAACTGGGGAAAGGACTATTACCAGGACCCAAAATATTGGTTCTACCTGTTCTACTTCTATCCACTTTGCCGAAACCTGTCAAATCATTGTCAGACTTCTGTTTACCTCCTGCTCCAGTACTACTTCCAGGAGACACGGTACTCCATCCATCACCACCACCAGTGCTACTACTACTGCCATTATTATTATTGTGGTTGTTGTGAGGTTGGAAATAATGATTATCTCTACCACCACGATAAGATCCAGTACGAGCCATATTATTATTATTGTTATTATTATTGTTGTTGTTGTTGTTGTATTGATTGTTGTTATTGTTGTTGTTGTTGGGTATATAGGGACCACGCGAGCTATTATTACGTCTCATATTGGCCGCTGCAGCTGCAGCTTCTTTTTCTTCCTTGGCTTTTTCAGCCATTTCATGAATCTTTGCAATCGTGGTAGGACCGACTTGATTACCACCACTTCGAGGAACCCAACGATCCTTTCTTAAATCAAGCAGATCTTGAATCATGAACTTGACACGCGAAGTAAGTTTAGGACTATTGACCATTTCATTCTTCATGCGACCAATCACAACATCAACCCACTTTGAAGTCTTGGCTTTACCGTCCAATGCTTTACCAATGGTCGTCAATAATTTACAGAGTGACTCGGCTTCTTCATCACCAGCATTGACAGGATCATTACATAATTTGATCATGCAACTGTACATGATACGTTCAGACAACATTTCAAGCTTGAATAACTCACCAATGAATTGAATGAGACCGAGACCTTGTCTCTTTGCTTTAGCAGCGATATAATACTCTTCCGTCATCATACCATCCACTTCGTCCACTTCGGGCATATTGACCTTCCAACCCTTTTCGAATTCAACTTGACAGCGGTTAAAGAGGTACTTTCGGAATAGTAAGACACCAGAAGAAGGCTCCTTGGCTTCATTCAAGATACCCGTATCACGAATCTCATCCGTCATAGAATCATACATGTGGCGACAGAGTTGAGCCCACATGGTAGCAAAGGCAGGCTCATCACAGGCTTTCTCAAACGTCAACTTCATGACAGTACGTAATGAACGACCATCGTCTTCCTTTTCTGATTGTTTAGCATAATCAAAGATTTGAGGTGCAATGGAAGCAAATTTCTCCAGTGTCAATTTGTTGAGTAAAGCATTGACTTTACGGATAATAAATTCTTGGGGCAAGACTTCGTTCTCAGCGGTGGGACCCGATGCAGCCATAGCCAAAGGAGTGGAGGATAAAATAGCAGGCACCCATCTGTTCTCACTCTTTTCAAGGGGCACGACTTGCTCAAAGGGAATAGTGGGAGCTCCTTGTTGTTGATGAAGGGTTGGATTACGAGTAATCTTCATGTTACTACCACCACGACCACCTCTTGTATTCATATTTCCGCCTCCTCTAGGAGTTTGGTTACTGTTGACACGAGGCGTTAAAGGACGACCCATATTGAATTTACCCATTTCCATACGACCATTATCACGCGAACCCATTCTGAACATGGGATCACCACCAACTACAGGAGCACCACGGCCTCTACCTGAAGATTGACGCATACCACCTGGTGTACGTATGCTATCACCCATTTCATTGCCAATAGCAGATAAATCCTCTTCGGTGTCCAAACAAAGTTGTTGAAACTGTAACAAGAATTCGATACTGTAAGTGAGTTTTCCGTCCTTGGAAGGAGGGGGAGCTTGTTGAATACCGGGAGGATATTGGATAGTGCTTGGATCTTTAATGATTTTGATGGGAGAGGGCCCACGAGCAATGTTAGCAGCAGTGGCAGCAGCGGCGGCAGCAGCAGCGGCAGCAGCAGCAGCAGCGGCTAATTGATCTTCTTCTGCTTGTTTCTTTGCCTTTTCCAATTCGGCCAAGACACGCTTTACTTCCCTCTCCTCTTCCTCTTTACGTTTTTCCTCCTCCAGTCTTTTCTTTTCCTCGTCTGCCAATCTCTTTTCCTCAGCCAATCGTTTCTCCTCCTGCAATCTCTTTTCTTCCTCCAGTCGTCTCTTTTCTACCTCCAGTCGTTCAATCTCTGCCAACTTTTCCCTTTCGATCCTTTCCTGTTCCTCTCTTTCTGCCTTCAACAGTGCTTCCTTTTCAGCCTCTTCACGTTCCCGTTTCTCACGTAATTCTCTGTCACGAATAGCAGGGTCGACAATGACAACCGCTTTGGAGACATGAGGGATAGGTACCTTGAAATCGAGCTTTTCTTCCTTGATTGCGGGTGAGCTTGTATTGGTAGTCAGAGACATGGGACTGGTATTGACAGCAGCACCTGTGGTGGGGTTAATGATAGCAATGACTTTACGTGCGGCAGGTTGGGTCATGGGCCTGGTGTTATTACTGGTGGGTACGACACTATATGGGGATACAGAGACTGGGTATTGAGGGTAATACTAACAGAGGGATGAATACATTTTGAACGAGATAGATGAAAAAAAAAAAATTAGTGCACTTACATAGGGACCGGGTGACCAACTGGCGGTCATTTGGATATTTTGTGGGGATGACGAATGAGGAATATGTGGAGAAAGATTATTCTTCTTTTGGTAGTTATTGATATTGGGTGAACGATGCACACTCATAGGCGAAGGAGGTAAATGTTGTTGCTGATGAGGCGAACTTTGCTGCTGTTGGTGCTGTTGTTGTTGATGATGTTGTTGTTGCTGCTGTTGATGTTGTTGTTGTTGCTGCTGCTGTTGCAGTTGCTGTTGTTGCAGTTGCTGTTGTTGCTGTTGCTGTTGCTGTTGCTGTTGTTGTTGGTGCTGTTGTGGAGGAGGAGGTCTATTATGATTATTATTGTAATTATTGTTCTTGTAGTTATTATAATAGCGATTATTATTATTATAGTCTCCCTGATTCAGATCTCGACGAGGCGCGTAAGGTTGGGTAAATAATCTAGCATCATTGGTTGTACGAGGCATATCTGACTTTTGTTGTTGATGTCTGATTTGTTGTTGTTGTTGTGCTGCTCTCTGTTATTTTATGTATTAGAAACAGATACGTATGACTATTTTTGAGATGCTTACATGTGTGGTATCAGTGACAGGTAAACTACCAAATTGGACTTCGGAAGGTCTCAATACAGGTATATCACCAGTTCTGCCTGCTGTGCTGGGTAGTGGGGTATTCAATGGCTGATTGATCGATCCAAACTGGATAGCTATACACCCTCATATTCAGTAACCCCTTTCTCTAACATACTCTTTATGAATCCTTTACCTGTATCGGTTGGTGGTGCCATCGGTAATTGCACAGGTGCTTTTTTATATGTATTCTCTTTTGGCTTGTATCTAATTTAGAGAAGAGAGAGCGAGTTAAGGATGAAATATAACCATCTCCTTGTTTTTTAATAATAAATCAGATGGAAAAAAAAAAAAAAAAAGTGTTAGCCATCATTAAAAAAAAAAGGATACGAATTCTTGTGTGGAGCATAACCCTGATGTTGCATGGAAGAAGAATGAAAAGTAGATGAACCTGAGTTTCTTAAAAGGGGTTCTGTGGTGGACTCTAGTTCCTGCTGCTGCTGCTGCTGCTGCGGTGAGTGGTCATGACCTCCTCGCGTTTGAGAAGACCTTGCTACTTGTGCATAATTCGGTGACTTGTGCACCCTGTTATTCTCGGTATTCCTATTCATAGTATCTATTCCCGAGTTGTTTAGTTTCTTTTTTTCTGTGTAAAAGAGAGTTGAAAAGAAACAGAAAGAAGAAAAAAAAAGGCCTGCCCCCACCATTTCCCCAAGCAGTAATTATAGACAACTTTGCGGACTTTAAATACATAGGTCCAAAAAAACCCGCGCTTTTCACATTGCTTTGTTGTTGTTGTTATTGTTGCTGAGAGAAGAAAAACAATAAATACTTCAGGGACCACTCTTCTTCTTTGTGTAGAGACAATTAACTGTGTGGCTTTTTTTAAATTGAGTCAAGTCTACAAAGTGATATTGATTGTATATGTGTGTACGGGGGGATTTTATAAACGCCGCAGTAAAATAATAACCATAATCAATCGCCTGACGTTCCACTTTCTCTCACACGCAATAAACCGTTCATTTGCCAGAACAATACACTTTTAATATCTGATTTACCGAAAACTTATCGTAGCATGTCTCTTTTTTTTTGCGGGCAAGCAAATATGACACTGGTGCTGGGAAGCATGAGCCCCTCCCCCTTATGATTTCAATGTCAGTCAGATGATGGCATAAATTGTTGTGGTGTGATTTTCTATAATTTTCTCGTGTTGACAGTTAGATAAATCATATGAGCTTTTTTTCTCTCTTTTTGCTTTGTTTTTATTATGGAGTGTTTTTTTTAAAAAAATGTGTATATATCAACGAGCAGAGGAATCTTCATCTATCAGTGCAACGATATCCGATAATTCCCTTAATATCTCTGGATCTGTTGTTGGTTTCAACATGGACAACATGAGCTTTTCTCGAACGACGGGCATATCCAAGATACGATTAGCAATCTCGTACACGGATAAGGTATCTTCCTCCTCTTGTAAACTGGACTTATAGGTAGATAAGGCTTCCAATGAAGGTCTCTTTTGCTGTTGTCCCACCAATGTGCGCCTTCGGATACCATCGCCACCACAAATCAAGGACCGAATTAATTCCATACCACGTTTCGTGACAAGCCCAAATTGTGGATTCCCGCTTTCTGCCAATGTGATACATAATCGAATGATCATCATACCGATACTCTTATTAATCTGTAACAGCTCTTGTTTCAAATGCTCGCTTTCGGCAATAGATACAATATTGTATAATCCAATGATCGTCAACTCTAATGTAGCCAATTGATTGGATGTCATGGCATTCATCACCCTACCATCGGTCGAAAAGAAATCACGTCGGATCACAGCGGTTAATTCTAACCAGATATGTTGTAATAACGAAAGGATCGGTTCCTGATCTAAGATCGAATGTAACAATTGTCGATTTTCATAATTCACCGTAAGTTTAGTCCAAGTCTCGATAGCTAGTAATGAATAATACGTATCCGGTCCATTGACAAGAAAATCGTGAATAAGTTGTGTGAATGTTGTGGCTGTTCTTTCTCCTTTTAGCACAAGAAACATGGATATATTGGAAAAGATCATGAGAATACTCTTGCGGAAATCCAATGTATCCATTTTACGTATACCCACAAACCAAGCTTCAGCTCCCTCCCGTGTCGTATTGATAATCTCCATCAGGATAGAAACAAACCGTCCGTGTTTAGCCAAATATTCCATGTTTTCATTCATAAATGACAGGTTACGCAAAATGTTAAAGATACAGAGACATCTCTCTCGCAGCGAAATCCAGATGTCGGAGGTGGAGTTTTCTAATTGAGGGATCAAACTCTTCATTTCATCCAATGACATGTCAAAGAGATCTGTATAAGTTAAATGGCTCTTGTTGACAGACGCTTCCTCCAACATATCGCTCTCTAAATAATCCAATAAAACATCTAATAAATCCTCGCATTGTGCCAAAGGCACATGAGCTGTCTGTTGTCCTACTTGAGGTTGTACCGTCAAAACCGTCAAGATATTCAAGGCATTGGTCATTTCCATCTTCATGCCTGATTTCAATGACATGATCAATGCTCCAATATCAATCACTCCCAATTCATTCAAATGAGGTACGGGTGGTTTGATTTCAAACTTGTCAAAATATTTCAAATCAATCCCTCCATACGTTTCAACATTACGCGTTTTCGGTATATAAGTTATTTGTTGTTGTGGCAACTTTTCGTTGTTTTCATGTGGCGAGGCGGGCACGGATCCCGTCGGTTTAGGTGAAGGTGTGGCGTTTACTAGTGGTGTATCCGCTCGTGTTTTCACCGTGGGACTCATTTGTGGAGGGGTCTCGATCTGCTGATGATGTTGACGGGGTGTTGATTGCGCACTACCCGGTGTCGCGGATTGTCGTGGAATAGGCGATGCATGTGCTTGCATAGGTGATTGCTGCTGCTGTTGTTGTTGTTGGATATACCCAGACATCGAAGGTGTGTTATAACTTTTGGCCGTTTGTTGTTGATCCTCAATGACGCCAGTGTCCTATAATTTTTTTTCCTGTCAAAAAAACATAACCAAAATATTTATATTTCTGTATTTCTGATGATGGTTATACCTGAGGTGATGCATAAGATGATATAGATGGATTGTTCAACGAAGGTGATGCGCTACCCATACTTTGCATCATGGCTTGTTGTTGTTGTTGTTGTTGTTGTTGCTGTTGTTGTTGTTGATGCTGTTGTTGTTGCTGTTGCTGCTGTTGTTGCTGTTGTTGTTGCTGTTGTTGGTGAAGCTGTTGCTGATGCTGTTGTTGTTGTTGCTGATGTTGTTGTTGTTGTTGTTGTTGTTGTTGTTGTTGTTGTTGCTGTTGTTGTTGTTGCTGTTGCTGTTGATGTTGCTGCTGCTGTTGTTGTTGGTGTTGTTGCATACTCATTTGTTGCATATAACGATTATTATTTGCCTGAGATGGAATGACACGCGCCATTTGAGGTGAAGGCAAAATACTATTTCCTTGCTGAAAGTTTTGTACAGGTGAGCCCATATTTGGATTCATGGGCGACACTATACAAGCGAATTTTGTTTAACGATTAATGTCCGCAAGTATACACACTCTTTTTTTTTTTACCAGCATAATCGGATCCATTTCGAGTCGTGGCGCCACCCGCTGTATGAGGACTATTACCAATGACAGGCGAAGAAGCGTTTCCTGTGAAATGAGCGTGATTGAGAGCAGGCGATTGACTAGGTGATTGCTTAGCTAAGAAAAAAAAAAGATGAGTGATTGAGATGGAGGAAAAAAGCCTATAAACTATACCTCTATTCATGGCCATGGCTGCTGCCGCTGCTTGTTGCTGTTGCTGTTGAAACATTAAGGCTTGTGGTGTGTTGGCCATCATGGCAGGGTTTCCTCCACCATACATGGCTCTATTTTGTTGGAATTGAGCTTGAAGAGCGGCTGTGTATGTTTTTATATATAAGGTTAGGTCCAAGGGACAATTGTATGGGAAAAAAAAAGAAAATATGAACCTTGATTATTGCCTAATGCCATCAAGTTTTGAGGCGAGTAGACAGACTGAGGGTGAGAGTTCTGACGCAAATGTTGCTGTTGTTGTTGCAAAGACATGCCGTTCATGAGAGAAGGATTCGCTTGAATAAATGGGTTCAAGCTGCTCAAGTCCGTGGAGTCGAGATTAGCGAAATCGTTGGGGCCAAAAGCTAAATTGGCACCTGAACCGAGATTGGCAGGATTGAAAGGAACAGCATTTAAAGGGTTAAACTGTTGCAAGTCACCTCCTCCACCGCCGCCATTGTTCTGTTGCTGAAAGGACATCATCATATTGGGGTTTTGACCTTGTCCATTATTCATGGCCATACTCTGTTGAGCAGCTGCGAAAAGTTTAGGATCCATTGAAGAAAAGTTGTTGAAATTGTCGCGTAATGTTTTCTTTTCTTTAGAAAAACTAAAAAATTATATGACGAAAATAAAAAAGTTAAGTATGAGAGGGTAAAACCCATCCACGTCATTCTTCATTGACTTACTCCCTTTTCTCTCTTTTTTAATATAATTTTTTTTTTATTGTTTTTCTATATTAGGAACACACACTCTTTCCAGTATAATAGAGTGAACAGACAAAAAAAGAGCCCACACTGAGAGAAGGGGAAACAGGGAAAAACCTAAAAAGTGACGTATAGTGTGACTGTTTATCTGTCAAGAGAGAGAGAGAGAGAGAGAGAGACAGAGAGAGCAGAGTCATCCCACATATTAACAACCTCCCAGTAAATGCATTATCGGGAGAAGAGGTTATCAGAGCACAGGATATACGCTCTGTTTTCTCGTATAGTTTTTATCTATGGTAAAAAATCAATCCCATTGAGAGCCAAAAAATGATTTTGACCCGTACCTCAAATGAACACAAGGTGTAAACAGACAAATATTATATAACTGAGGATCAAAATGGGAAGCGCGCGATTTATTTTATTTGCCAACCACACACACAAAAGACGGGTCCATTACTTTGTTCTTTTTTTCTTTCTTTCTTTCATTACCCGATCAATTTTTCAAAAGAAACATGTCTAGTAACTCATCACAAGAAGTACCTTTAATACCGAATATGTCTGCTATTCAATTCTTACGACAGACGAGTTCCATGTTAGATTTGTAAAGCTTCTCTTTTCTAGATCTTTCTTTTTTTTTTTTCATACAAACTAATATTTACATGTCCGTATAGACCTATAAGAACAACAGCCACTGCTGTGGTTTATTTTCATCGGTTTAATGTGTTTATGAGTAACCAAGAAAAAAACATTCATGTGGACGGATCGATCAATGCACAGGATGCTTTATATACCAATGAAGAAGTAAGCACGGAGAGAGAAAAAAATCACGTAAACTCCCTTTTTTTTTTTATTGTGATGGTAACACTTTTCTGGTATAGCTATTGACAACGACATGCCTTCAATTAGCTTGTAAAGCAACAGAGGTGCCTAGAAAGGTGCGAGATTTAGTTAATGTTGGATACAGGTAAAATTCGACTTTGTAAACATAGGTGTAATGTATGTATAATAATCGTCTATTTGCGCTATAGATACTATCACCCTAACAGCACTACATTAAACGTGAATGAGGTAAAAACAGACGAACAACCTTAAACCTAAAAAAAAAGTATATTGAAAACTCTTATGACAGAGTTATTTCAGAATGAGATCCTCGTTGGTGACAAGTGAGCTCTTGTTAGTGAGAGCTTTAGGGTTTGATTTGGAAATTGAATTACCATTTGCATATTGTTTGAATGTTTTAAGAGGATTAGGGTCTGTTCGATACTTCATCACAGACGAAGCTAGAAAGCAATCAAAGAGACACCACCATCACCCAGCTCAAAAGGAGATATGGAAGCGAATGGAACATGGTAAGCCTTAATGATTTGCAGATAAAAGATCCATCCCTAAACGTTCATAATAGACATGGATCCAGAGATGAGCACAATAGCAAGATTAGCGTGGATGTATGTTTGGGACAGTTTATGCTCTCCTAAAATCGCATTAACACATTCGATACCCGGTATCGGTCTGGGCTGTCTCTATCTGGCACTACGTACATCAAATGTCGAAATGTCCATGTCCATGAATGAATACGTTGATTTATGGGGCGCTTCTGAAAATATCTCGGTCCAAGCTGTGCGAAATGTCATTACCGACCTATTAGAATTTTATGACCATTTCCCTGTCAGTCATTTTGATACAAACGAAACTGTACAATAAAAAAAAACATTTGACTTTTTCTCTTTTTTATTAATATTATTACAAAACACCCATATTCTCTAATTTATGGCGTTCTACATAAGCCCAAAGTATGTTAGAAAACATGTATTTGCTCCATCTCTCTACTCCACTTACGTGTTTGTCTATGATCAGCGTCTTCTGCTTCACTATCTTCTCCATCGACATAATCATCCAAATTGAAATCTCTTGGTACTTCTTGTGTCTGAACAGAAGGTGCAAAAGGCATACTCCTGAGGTTATCAACGATTTTTGCTCTATGTACAAAAAGATGAGCATTATTATCAAATAAAATATGGCAAAAAAAGCTTACATGATATGGTCTAGGTATTCACGCGTATTATGATTGGTCATGTTATTGGAAGGGACTTCCAATTTGTATTCAGGGCCGTAATATTCGAAATAATTATTATACGGTAACTCTTCCTGTGTTAAATCCTCGCCTACAGCCAGACCGGTCTCGAATGTCCAGGTTCGAGCGACATTACGAATTGTGTATCCACCACCACCAACCATCATCATTGGTATATTGAAGGATTTAATGAACTCGACACAGGAAGCATGACCACGCATTGACAGATTGAAACAACCCAGACGATCGCCTGACAAGGAATCGCCACCGCATTGAAGCACAACAGCTCCAGGCTTATACCAATCCATAATGTGTTGAATTACAGGCTTAAATACACTCTTGTAGGTCTCATCATCAATACCGTCTCTCAGGGGAACATTTACTGCATAACGTTTTCCGTTTCCAAGTCCAGTATCCTTTATATCACCTGTACCAGGGAAAAACTCACCAAACTTGTGGAATGAGCAGGTCATGACACGATCTGTGGTATAAAATGCCTCTTCAACACCATCTCCATGATGGACATCAATATCAACATACAATACACGTTGATGGTATCTGTTGCACGAAAGGAAAAAAAAAAAACACATCAGACTTACCGCCATTATTACACCCACACACTCACACATACCTTAATAACTCCAATACGCCAAGTACGATATCATTCACATAACAGAACCCGGATGCCTCTGTCTTTTTGGCATGATGAAGTCCACCCGACCAATTAATGGCAATATCAGCTTCACCGTTTAATAATTTATTAGCAGCGCCTATAGAAAAAAATTAATTTTCCATCATTTAAAAAATGTTTACGTATACTGGCTCCTACCAATTGAACCACCCGCTGAAATCGAGCAAAATTCAAATAAACCATCAAATACAGGACAATCTTCACCCACATTGACTATCGATAATGTGTGTATAAAAGAAGTTAATAAATGTTTCGGGTAAATAAGAGAGTAAAAAAAAAAGGTAAATTACATCGTGCGATGCCTTGTTCCAAACCACCGTGTTGCATGGCAAGTAATTCCAAGTTGTCGGGAGTCACGTTTTGTAAAAAGTTGACATATTCATCAGAATGGAAACGAGTCATTTGATAAGCTGTACACCTTGTAGGTTTCTTATAATAGGGAGCAGATACATGTTACTTTTATGCTTCTTTTTTTTTATGCCATCTTATTATTTTTACCACTATATCGAGCTTTTTATATAATCCATAATTCACAACCATGTTATGCACCATGTGCATACGTTTAGGCTTCATATAATGTCCTATTTGAAAGGATTAGTCGTCTTTTCCCTAAAAGAGAAAAAAGCTTGTTTTATTACCAGGTCCATAATTGAAATTTCCAACGTCGTCTATAGAGAGAGAAAAAAGGTCAGTAACCTATATGCAAAGTGAGTGTTACATGTATTTTACGGTCATAGAAATAAGAAACTCTTCTTTTGGCACAATTGGCTAAACTATACGAGTTGGACATTCTAAATCTAATTGTTACAATAAAAAAAAAGATATGGAGAAGGGGCAGAAATGGTCAATCAACCCAGATTACTTTTTTTCTTTTTTTACGCGGCGAGAATATTGATTTTCCTGTGGTTTGAAACTCCTTTTAGAGCAGTCACGGTATGTGCATAAAGTTTCGATGGATACACTTCTATTGCTGTGTTCATTATTAGCTGTGAGTGGATTATAAAGAAAACAATAAATCTCGCCATCTGAAAAAATAATTTGTACATTTCACTTGCTGGCTTAAATAAAAGTTAAGCTGCCCATCTGTTTTTTTTAGCTACTTGAAGAAAAACAAAAGGGTATCTTTTATAACTAACAGTTACCATGTATCGTATACTTTTCTAGTAAAAAAACCCCGCCTTAAGTAAATTGGATACTCAGAATATGATCTTCATAAACGAAGAAGCCAAGGAGTAGATGCATGAGCAAAAATTTCTAAATTATTGGTGAAACCTGAATCCATCATCCAGATTTTTTAAGATTAACTTTAATTTCAGTGAATACGCCCTTCCATGAGCAAACAGGCCAAAGCTTGTAGAAGTAAGTCTTGCCACAAATGAATAACTCATAAGTATAATAAAGTGAGGAGTAAATGCCCCTTATAAACATATCGGTTACACAAGCATTTTGATGTCTGCTATAAATTGAAAAAAGTCAAAATAAAAATTAAAACGGGTATTTCTCTCTCCTTAACAATATGAAACACTTGCCCTTTGAAATTATAGAAGAAATACTAAGCCGCTTACCAAAAAAAGACCGTTATTGCTGCGCTTTTATTTGCAAGAGTTGGATTGTGCCTGTATTGCAATTACACTATAAAGATCTAATGCTGAGCTGCTATAATATCCAACTCATTAAAAAGCACCTGAAGCTGGACACGAGTGAACGACATTATTATTTCAAATTCGGCTATGCTGTTGAACGACTTGCAATCAAGAGTGATTCAACCATTATCAGTAGAGAGCCTGAATTCATGTTTGATAAGAATGAATTGATTATGGTATTGGGTTATTTGCCAAACATTACAACTTTGGACCTGTCTGAATATTGCTACATGAAATTGTATCTTCAATATATACTAGAAAGCACCTCTACTCGAATCTTAACAAAAGTGTCGTACATACCACCCGGTCAAGACATATCCGAAGAATTATTTGCCACTGCGCTATTCAGGTACAGAAAATCCATTACTAGGCTCAAACTAGACTATCAGCAAACAAACTTTAAAAGAAAACCTCCCTGTATCTTACTTTCAGGATGTGTGATTGGCCAATTTTTGAGTCTGACACACTTGGATCTGCAAAGTAGCCCTGAAGAAGAATTGTCAACCTTTAACATTCAAAAGATGTGTCCAGGTTTAATTTCATTAAAATACAGCAGAACCGCAGCTATTTCGTCCACCACGCTAGAACACATTTATCAAGACCCATTTTACAAAAAAAGAAGTAATTTGAAAACGTTTGAACTTACAGTATCGGCGATTCCATCAAACTATAACCCTTATATTATCGATTATATAGCACCTCAAGCTGATACAATCATGCTGAACCTAGTCCGAATGGATTTGCATGAATGGATAAGTGATATTGGAATGGATCAAGCTCTGTCCATTGTTCGCTCATTAAGTACTTTAAAGAGTGCAGGATTATGTTTTATACTGAACAAAGGGCATGGAAATGAAATACGGACTGCAGCCAATTTTTTTAAATTATTAAAAGCCTTCAAGGGAAGCAGAAAACTGTATTCCTACGCACTTATAACTGATCTCAGATCCTATCGTGACTCCATGAAATACGTTTTTGGGAATCCAATTCTGTACACTGATTCACTTGATGCTATGCGGAACGGATTGGAGTTTAGATATTGTATGGCCCAAGATGCAACACGATCTGAATACTTTGCCATAATTGACTCTATGATTGATCCTGATGCCATCATATCATTGAGAATTAATACAACAGAAGACAAGCTCGAAAAAGATCTTGTTTCTGTGACAGAACATGTTCTGTCCTGTTGTTCAAATATTCTGTACTTCGAATACAAGACTATTTCAACTATTTCCTCACAGGTAATTATCTCTGCAGATTCTTTTCAAGGCTTAGTACCGGGGCTGGATAATCCTATTGTACCCAGTAATACCAGAAAAAGATTGGAATGTGTTAAAACATATGGCCTTAGTTTCAATCAAGATTTGCTGGATAAAATTCTGGGTTATGTGGATATCAAATTTTTTTCTCATTACTTTACATTATCAACTCTCGTTGACGCAGGTCCCCATAAAATGGACTTTACAAAATTGGAGGAGTCAACATTAATTCATTTAAATATTGAACATCTACCGATTCCTTGGACGAAAGACTTGTACATATCTATCGAGTGTGGTGACAAGAGCAAAGTATTTGTTATAAATTTGAACGCTGGTGATCAATCATTCAAGATCGATGAATATCATGCATTGCCACACAAAAAAATGGCTGTTGAAATCAAGTGTCGTGAAGGTATGAGTGTGCTTTTTTGGCTTGAATGCTACATTTGTGTTGCTGCATTTGACGAGTGCAGACTTGTCAAGATTTCCCATACCCCTTTTACCAGAGCAGAAAACTTGTTCATGAAAACTATGTAATAAAAGTGGGCGATCCCAAGTTGTCCAGTATGTGGCTATTTTTCTATAAAAAAAAGGTGCAACATTTCTCTTCATCTTTATTTAATTAATTACAAATTTTTGCTCTGTAAAACACTTCTCGGACATCTTTGGGTCTCCCCACTGTTAATGCCAAATTTTGTTTTGTTATTTGTAAAAAAAATTTGTGTGAAAAAAAGAATTGAGCTCTATTTTTTTTTTGAGGAACTCTCTAATAGAAAAGATAATAAAAACAGATTCTGGATACACGTTAAATTCATCGAGGAGATAGCTTTTTTCTTTTATTAAAAATCGGAGCCAAAAATTGTTCATTATAAAATAGATGCACTGTATTATTGTTTAATAAATTTACCAAACAAAGTTCAGCACGTTCAAATTTTTTGCGTACGCCTTAAAAGGTGGCACGAAATTCTCCACAAAAGGAAATCGCGCGTCATTGATGTCCGATCGCTTGGTCTTGCAATTTTAGTGGAAGTCTGTAAATGTGTACTTCATCATTTCGATAAATTTATCATCTTCACCACCAGGCTCCTGATTCCATATCCACTTGCAAAAGCCTTCCTGTTTTGATTCAAAGCCTTACTGCAAAAATCAAATGCGAATTTGAGCTTTTTCAGTAATGTATTCCTTCTTCCCTCCTTCATATACCTTTGGTAAATTTCTTCTGTGATACTATCCACCTGTTCTGACCTGGTTGATGAAACACAAACGGCAACATGGTTTTTTAACAATGATTGGCCGTCTTCATGGACTTCGATAATTCCATTTTCTTCGGCTTCTAACTGTTCCGTCACTGATGATTGCTCCAAGACGAATTCCTGAGACATAACTTATGTTAGTTTTTTTTTTTTTTTTTTTTTTTTTTTTTTAAAAAAAAAAAAAGGAATCAAATTATCACGTACGTGCAAACAAGCAACTAGCTCAAACAGCTTTACAATTTGGGACCGATCTGACCACGACACAGGAATAGTTGCTGATCGGACCTCAACAAAACGCCACTTTGTAGGATCAATAATTGACGTCTCAGTTAGTGTCAGCGTGTCTTGAATAACTTGAATCCCAAATGCTTTCCTTCGTTTGATTGTCTGGTAAGATGCAGACTTATACGAATTAATCTGCTGCTTCAGGCCGCAAGTTGTTGCCTCAATAAGGGCCTCACAACACGTCAAACTATTTTTTAAAGTACCCAATTAAGGTATTTTTAAATGTGGATTTTTTTTTTCGTAAAATGTTACGTTTTTCCAAATGGAATCATTGTAATATAATCGTCCATATACAGACGATTAAAGAGAGCTTCATTTTTTTTTTCACTGTGAATTGATTTGATCGTTTCCAAATATAGAACTAAAATCTGATGGGTCCAAAAACACTCTATCAGATTTTAATTTCACACTTGAAAAAGTCGAAACAATTCACAGTGAAAAAAAAAATGAAGCTCTCTTTAATCGTCTGTATATGGACGATCAAATTACAATGATTCCATTTGGAAAAACGTAACATTTTACGAAAAAAAAAAAATCTATATTTAAAAATACCTTAAGTGGGTTCTTTAAAGAATAGTTTAATGTGCTTGGGAGTACCCTAAGCTTGAGGGTATCATCCATGGTGTGCCTAGTGTTCTCCGAAACATTGGAGCTAAATCGATAAACAAGCAAGGTTAGATTCATACGTAACTACTATTATTTGTTTACACCCCCTTACCCATATGACTCAACCAAAAGCAAGTTATGCTCAGTTTCGGGTACACGTCCGATGCCAATTACGCCATACAGAGTTTCACCAATTCCGCCACACAGAGCTTCATTAATACCATCCGCCCTTTTAACCTGAGCCTCTGTATTCTGGAAAAAGACAAATTTCCGAGAACTCATCGCACGCTCGCACCTTTTTTATCAAGATTAGTAAGAGATGGTTAGTGAGATGCACTGTGAGTATTATTTTTTATTCAATTTACCAAACAAAGCTTAGCATAATCCGAGCTTTTTGAGCGATGTATTCTGTCAGGAACGAAGAGGAACGAGACAGACAGTACAGGACTGAGAATGAGTAGCTCCTTAAAAGCAGGTTACTCATTTAAGCAACGTAAGATAAAAGAAAAGAATAAGCTATGGCAAATATTAGTCATAGCCTATGTGAATCATGACTGAAATAGTCGATTAACACAAGTATAAAATACGAAACAAAAAAAAAAAGATAAACTTTATTAAAATAGGTTAAAACCTGATATATATATCAGGTTCGGAACTTCAAATAAAGAAGTCCCAAGTATATGCGCATTATAATTCAACTACAACAGTCCTTCATGTGCAGCTGATATATTCCCTCTGTAATATTATCCTGTTCTGGCCTGCTTGACGAAACTCGAACGGCAACATGGTTTTTCAACAATGTAAGATCGTCATCATGTAATTTAGGTTTATGGGGCGATTGTATATTATTTTGGGGTGACTGCAGGTTATACGTTTTGTTGTAACGAACAAAACTTAGCTCATCAGTCTAAAAATAATATTAGTAGGCAATATCACATGTAACATGCAGTTATTCTTACGGTATTGGTGTTAGTAGTCTTATTGATCAAGTACAAAGATATTAGTTTAAGGCATTAAAAGGACAACGGTTTAAAATAAGACAATACTTACAACGGTGCTATTGCCGATCATTGTGGCTGCTGCATTTTCTATAACATATAAACGATGAGTGTCATGAGAATAAATAAAAATAGGTCCAGTGTTTGTTTACCTTGGCGTAAACGCCTCCTGTGCTTGTTTATTCCAATATGAGCTAACTCCGACCCAAACAACTCCCCTTCCCTTTCCACCCGATGCTGGGCTCTGGTCACAGACATTTCCTGCATCATGTCCTCGTGACGTTGCTTACATGTTTCGTACGTTACTTCAAAGGTTGTCTTCGGGCGTTTATTCTGAAGATAATCTGTACAGTTTTGAAGGTAACGTCGCGCATCTGGTGTGAAGCTTTGTTCATTAGACAAGCGTTCTATCGCCGTCAAATATGCTGTCCATAAGTGGTATAACATAACCACAAGTGTCATAAGATGACCACAAGTGGGATAAGATAACCACAAGTGGCATAAGGTAACCACAAGTGGTATAAAATAACCACAAGTGCCATAAGATAACGACAAGTGTCATAAAATAACGACAAATGTCATAAAATAACGACAAGTGCCATAAGACAACGACGCGTGTCATAAGATAACCACAAGTGGAATAAGATAACCACAAGTGGAATAATATAACCACAAGTGCCATAAGGTAACCACAAGTGGTATAAAATAACCACAAGTGCCATAAGATAACGACAAGTGTCATAAAATAACGACAAATGTCATAAAATAACGACAAGTGCCATAAGACAACGACGCGTGTCATAAGATAACCACAAGTGGAATAAGATAACCACAAGTGGAATAATATAACCACAAGTGCCATAAGGTAACCACAAGTGGTATAAAATAACCACAAGTGCCATAAGATAACGACAAGTTGAATAAGATAGCCACGTTGTCTCTTCACAAGCTCATCCGAAGGTATACTTTCCATGACAGCTTTAGGATTTCCCCAGTTCTTCATCTTGTCAGTAAGTAAATAGCTAGGGATGTAGTATTTGACAAAATATTACATAGAAAAGTAATGAGATAAAAGTATATTTTTATTAGAGGTCAAAAAATAGACTGCTATGAAATAATTGATCCTTTTTATATTGCACAACTCTCCTGAGTTTTAATGATGAGTCAACCTTTCTGGTTTTGGAATAGATCTAAACTTTGTTTCCCGCCTTAGGTTAAATGGACACTACTCGTTAGAATTGTTTCCAGATAACGTTGTCCCATATCAGTGGATCGGGAGCATGAGTATTCTAATAAATCTTAAGTATTACGAGACACTTATTTATCAGATCATGCAACGGTTACTGTAAAAGATGCATACTTGTTTGTCAAGTGTAATTGGCAATAGAACATAATAGTTGATCATTTATTCATTATCTTTGTAATGAATAAATTACGATCCCAAATGTGCTAAACCACACATATAGATTATACATATAATAAATTCATATCTCATCATCACTGATAAATGATAGCTAAATCATGATCAGGCATAAAAAAGGAATTCGCTAAAGCCGGTCACTATTTTAAAGTGTCACGGTATCGTAACACCAATGTCCAAACTTAAGACATGTTATTGTTATTATTTCTCTATTGACTATGCGTAGCACTAATTGTCCAATATAGATATTGTTATTGATAGCATACTCATATTGTTAAGAGTAGTATCCTCAGCCTCGTCCATTCCATTTATTATAAATACTCTTTATTATTCCTCTTCTTAAATCTTTAGTTAACTTTAACATCAATAAACTCTGACAAGAATTCTAATTGATCCTATTGTTTTTTTCTATCTTTTTTTCTGCAAAACTATCCTCTTTAAGCCTACTTTTGCTACACCAAATATAAAATGTCTTATCGATATTTGTATAGATATTTGGTTGTAGAAGCTAGGTATCCATTAATTCATACACTATTTCTTTATACTCTTTATCAGCAGTATAACTATATCAATATATAAGTAAATGAACCATTTATATTAATAGCTGTTCTATTCTCTCTCTGGGTAGCTAATCCATTGAGAGAACTATTAATATTAAGTTTCTCTTTCTTATAATTCTTGATTGATCTGAGAAGTTTCTCTTCTCGATCGGTGATATCGTAACTCAGTGGTATAGCATTCTGTATCCAACTGTCATTCGTATATCGTATTTAGGCCAATCATGCAATCTTTTATATAGAAGTATGTACTCGAAGTAGAAGTTGTATAGCAGTATACAAGCGTATGCTGATATGCAACATCAAAGGTTGTTTTAATTTCATAGTTTATTTATTTAAACGATTTGCTTAATTATTCTTAAGTGAATCGTACCCAAATACGACAAGGGATACTGTATTTTGACCTTATAGCGCTTGTTAAGTTAACGGCACCAATAACACTGGTGGGCATTTGAGGCCATCTCTTAGTCATGGTAATAGACTAACAGCATATAAGGGGTATTCCTTTAAAATGCGTTAGTTAAGGAGAAATGAAATCTTTCAAATAAAAAAAAGTCTCGCTCTTGTAAAAAAAGTAGAGCCTCTTCCTTGTAAAAAAAAAGCATCGCTCTTGTAAAAAAAATGAAGCGTCTCTCTTGTAAAAAAAAGCCTCGTTCTTGTAAAAAAAATGAAGCCCTTCTTTTTTACAAGAAAGAGGCTTCACTTTTCTTACAAGAGCGAGACATTTTTTTACAAGGAAGAGGTTTCACTTTTTTTACAAGAGCGAGGCTTTTTTTTTACAAAAGAGAGAATTGAAAGAGAAAAGAAAAATTTAACAGCGAGGCTTTATTTTTAATTTTTCATATCCCTATTTGATACTCCGGTTATAATAGGATGTTGCATAGAACTGCCCTTAGACGTAACAAATAATCACATATAAAACCAACTGTGATTCTTTAGAGAGACCGTTCCTTTCTTATAGCGTATAAATCTAATTACGTGCCAAAATATCTGCTCATTTTCTGGAGTTAGTTTCAAAGGATACTTCTGCAATGGACAACATTTTAATTAAAGATGGACAAGGAGGCGTGAACGATGAGCAGGGAAATGAGGTTGTTTAAATGTTAATGGACCTTGACTGCGAAAATTTCTCCCTAAAAAATACTACAGCATATGAAGAATATAGTGATGTCAAACCAAACCGAGCTAGAGCAGAAATAGGTTAAAAAGGAAGAGTTATTGGCAGACGAGACTGTCAGTACCGATCCTGAATACCTATTCGAAAGACGTATAGACGTTTAGAAGACGAAGATACAGAAAATGGGTTTTATGATTACACGCAGACGGATATATCTACTCGAGCAATTGTTAAAAAATTCGATATACCATCATCAACAGCGCAAATATGGATGAAACAAAATGAAAAGATCCTGTAACCCGCGCAAGTCACGTAATATGTCAAACTACCAAGACACTGATGCATCATGGTTATGATTTTTGTTAATTCGAGCACAGTCATTGCAGAAGCGCTTCTCACATATGATTTTGAGAAAGGTCAATGCAGATACGAGTTTACACTGTTATGACTAATTTGCTATGCCATTGTGTATTAATTTTGTGTATGGGAGAGTCTCAATTCTAGGTAAACATCACATACTGCTTGCTTTGTTCAAAAACTGTGTAAATGCTTCGGAAAAATGAATTCGTATTTATTATAGTATAGAAAAAAAAAAAAAAGGACCATGTGGAATATAGTATGAGTATGTCTGTTGTATTAAGATAAAAAAAAAAAAATGGGAGTGTTTATATGTCTTGGTTCTCTTTTGATTTAATCAGCGTCAACGAACATACGAGGAGCGATATTCATAGCCATTAATTCTTGGAATAAGAGTTTACAGGCATAAGGAATATGGATTTGAGAAATTCTTGTCTTATTTTTACAGGCACGACATTCAAAATTATTTTTCTTTAGGTTAGCAATGGCCATCAAACCGCAAATATCACAGACATGTACACGGTATGCATCTGAGGCATCGAACAAACGTTCCTTCAAAAACTGTGCAACACCATGACTGATCATACAATCTCTCTCCATCTCACCGAAACGAAGGCCACCATCTCTTGAACGACCTTCCACGGGCTGTCTAGTTAAAATTTGTACAGGACCTCTTGCTCTACTATGGATCTTATCGTCAACCATATGCTTCAAACGTTGATAATAGGTAGGACCCAAGAACACTTGCACATTTAATTTACGACCTGTGAAGCCGTTATACATGACCTCAAAACCACGAGATTGATAACCTTGAGCTTGGAGGGCGGCAGAAATAGCTTCGACTGTGACGTCAGTGAAAGGTGTAGCATCACCTTCGTTACCAGTCAAAGTAGAAACCTTACCGAGCAAACACTCAATCATGTGACCGATAGTCATACGAGAGGGAATGGCATGAGGATTAATAATGAGATCAGGTGTGATACCTTCAGAAGAGAAGGGGAAATCTTCTTGACGATAAGTCATACCGATAGTACCCTTCTGTCCGTGACGAGAAGCAAACTTATCACCCATTTGAGGCACACGAGTAGACCGAACACGTACTTTAACAAACTTCAAGCCATCTTGGTTAGTAGTCAACATGACCTGATCAACGATACCGGTTTCTGTGGATCTTAAGGGAGTAGAGGCATCACGCTTGTTATGTGTCGTGGTTCTTTGACCCAATTCTTCAGAATCAGCGGGAATAGGAGCAGTTTTTCCGATGATAATATCGTCACCAGAAACACGAGTACCAGGTGCGATGAGACCATCCTCTTCTAATTTCTCATAAGTTCCATGCTTCAAACGAAGCGTGTTATCACGAGTAGGTTTCTCGAATTCTTCCATAAACATCATACCAGATTTCTTTTCAGCATCCATGTAGGTACGGAAAAACAAGGATCTGAAAAGACCACGATCGATACTACTTTGGTTCATGATAACGGAATCTTCTTGGTTATAACCGGAATAACATAAAATAGCGACAATAGCATTTTGACCAGCTGGCAACTCTCTGAAACGTAAAAATTCCATAGAACGCGTAGTGGTAAGGGGCTTTTGGGGATAGTACAAAATATTGGCAAGTGTATCCATACGCGTTTGGAAATTCGTGAGATAAACACCCATAGCTTGCTTACCCATTGCAGATTGATAAGTATTACGAGGAGATTGATTGTGATCTGGGAAAGGAATAATACTAGCACAAATACCAAGAATCATACTAGGATGAATTTCACAATGGGTCCATGTGTGCGAGTAGCTACCGGTTTGGGATTTAACACGACTAGCCAAATCACGCGTCTCTTGAAGTGGAGCACCATATTGGGCAGTCATACGTGCTTCAGCTAAATCTTCAGGTGTCATACAGATCATAGCAGTTTCCTCTTCATCAGCATCCACATATTCGACAATACCATCAGCAATCATATTTTGCCAGCCAAATTCATCTTCAGTATCTTGGATACGCATAATATGTTCACGATTTAATCTCAATTGTTGATTTTCAACCAAGAACAAGGGTCTACAACAACGACCAGCATCGGTGTACATTCTTAATTCCTTTTCACGAATATCACGCACAATACTGACCTCAGGAGAGATATCGACTGAACGTCTCATTTGTTTAAGAGAATTGATCAACTCTCCGGGATCACGATGAATACCAATCCAGACACCATTCACAAATACCTTTGTGGCATCAGCAATACTGGTGGCACTTAATTCTTCCAAGTTCTCCATAGCCCATTCTTCCAAAAACATGATTAAAGGAGTAGCAGAAGAACCGACAGAAATATAAGACATCAAGGCCAAATTCTTAACAAGACCACACGCTTGACCTTCAGGGGTTTCGGCAGGACAGACAAGACCCCAATGGGTGTTATGTAATTGACGAGGTTTGGCAATCTTACCATCACGACCAATAGGTGTATTACAACGACGCAAATGGGATAAAGTAGAAGCAAATGTATATCTGTTTAAAACTTGAGAGACACCAGCACGGGCTTGCATTGCCTTCTTTTGATCACCCCAATTACCAGTAGCCAAAGAGTACTTTAAACCGTTGGTAATTGTGTTGGATTTGACAGCAAGAGTCAAATTGAATTCTCTGCTTGATTCAATACACTTTTGTAAATACTTAGCAACATCCTTTGTCAACTTCTTAAACAAAAGTCTGAAAAGACCAGCCATTAAAGGACCAGCAAGATCCATACGTTTTTTACCATAATGATCACGATCATCTAATTCACGACGTTCTAAAGCTGCCAATAACAAACGATGGATCATATAACCAAAGAAATAGGATTTACGAGTTTCAGTCTTGTATGCAGTACCAACATGAGGTAATAATTCTTTTTGGAGAATTTCAGAGGCATACTTGATACGTCTTTCTCTTGTGGCACCCACAGTGGTACCTCTTTTACCGATGAAATCCAAGGCAATATCTTGATCTTGAATGACAAAAGCCTCTTCGATAGAAGGTTTTAACAACTCCAACATTTCATAATCATTACGATCATAACAGATATGCTCCAATACATCTCTATCAGCTACTTGACCAAGAGCTCTGAATACAATGACAATAGGTACTTCAGAACGGATATATGGTAAAGCAGCACGAATACATTGACCAGAAGAGCCACGTTCAGCAGAAGCTCTCATCATTTTAATAAATAAAGGCGAAGCATTCTTGGATCCTTTCTCGGGTTGAGATCTGATTTCTGCAGTATATTGAAAGTTGGAAGGTGGTGCCTTGGAGAAGACATAGACTGTATTGGTTGCCATACGTTCTTGAGCAATCAAGACCTTTTCGGAACCATTGATGACGAAATAACCACCCATATCAAAGGAACATTCATTCAACTCGTGCATGGAACTCTCAGGCATATCATGAAGAATACAATAAGTAGATCTCAACATGATAGGGACCTGTCATTATCACTTTTTGTTTAGATTTTTCCCTCCCCTTTCGTCAATATACACGGCTTACCTTTCCAATGAAAACTTTGGTCATGGGAGGTCTATCAGACCCATTTTCATCTTGGAAGAGATCGTTGGGGTTTCTGTTCACATTGTTAGGATCATGAGGTGTTGCGATTTGTGTACGTTTGCTCATATCCACATATAAAGGAGACGCGTATCTAATTCAAATCGTTAATCTTCATTTTTCCCTATTTTGGTTAACTTGCGTAGTTTACGTTAAGTTACGAATACGCGCTTCTTGGGGAAACATGGGTTGCGTACTACCATCGGCTTCTGTCATTGTAGGTTTTGACAAATAAATCTGTCCGAAATCAATAATATATCGTTTCTATATCACAAAAAAATATGTAAGTACTGGAAAGAGAGAGAAAATATGTAGTAATTACAGTAACATCGCCGTCTCCACCAACATGTTGAAGCACAAGATTAGAGTTTTCATCGACTAATTCCTGCATGGTATTTTGTACAAATTCATCAAAAGAATCCAATTGTTGTCTAACGAGACCCTTCTCCTCAAAGAATGAAGAAATGACTGTCCAACAATCTTCTTGGCTGTTATAAAAAAAAAATTGATTTAGAACCGTGTTTTTGTCTGAAAATTTTTATGACTTACGTGATGGGTTCGTCTTCATACATTTCTTCACCATCAGGAAGAAAGTATTCTAATTATAACAGGCATTAATACGACACTTTAACTCTCGGGTTTAATCCAAAATACCATTTTCTGCCATTCTATAACTGTCATCCATGATATCGGTCATTATGAGGTCGTTTTTTTAAGAGGTGCTTCTTGTTCTGGTTGTAAGTTCTAAGCTTTTTCTGTTTGTCCAAAGGGGGGGAATTAACAAGTGTGTAATCAAAATACGTTTAAATTACTAATATTTTATAGAGAGAGAGAAAGAAAATAGTTTGTTAATGAGTCTTTTTGGTTAACGCTTTTTTGGATTCATGGTACGCACTCGAAACACACACACACACACACAATTGAAAAAGAGAGAATGAAGTGGAAGAAAAAAAAAAAAAAGTCGAATTCTATTTTCAATGAAAAAAATAAAAGACAAAAGATCAAAGAATGTAAGAAAAAAAAAACTCCCAAATCTTGCACTCTCGTAGCTCAGCTTGTCTTTCGGGAAGGGTGCGCTTTTTTTTTTCTCGAGCTATAAAGTGACTCTGTTTTTGCTGGGTTTTTAAATCACTAAACCAAAAGGAATGTTCTCGTATCCTTTAGCAATAAGGTATAGCAACTTGTCCATGGATTATGTGAGCGGTTTTATGTTGCAACCTCGATACTTTATTATCTTAAAGCCTAATAAAATCCTACATGGGATACGTGATTGGGGATAAATCACCATAATTAAGGATTAATCTGAAGTTTTCATGCATCTAGGCAATAATTTGTAGTCATGGTAAAAATAAAAACCCCAGCGACATCTTTATTGGTGAGGGAAAAAAGGTTGCGTAATTTATGGTGGTGTTTATAAGGTCTTATTTAAAATGTCTAACACCATTCTGCGACGGATCGGTACCATATCTCGTTGACTGAAATTAAAGGGTTCGTTTCTGGATAAACGTTCTGCAAATGTACAAGTAAAAGCGCCGCAATCAGACATGTTACCCTGTTGAGGAATATCTTTTGGTGTTTCTAACTTCCAATCAGATGTATCCAAAGGAGTCTTTTTCTTATCCAAATGTTCTTGTTGAAGGTAGTTCATAAATAGTTCTAATGAATGATCATGATTTCCACCCATTGAATCGTATACAATCACTGCTTTTCTTTTCATGTCGATCACGCCTAGTGTCCAATGGTATGATTGATTGATTGGTATAAATATTAAGTCTTTAGCGAATATGTCGACCTAAAAATGAGATATTAGAAAAAGCAAATATATGAGAAGCGTTTTCTTACTCGTTTTGTCCATCGTTTCACTTTTGCAAATCCTTGATCCCTGAGCGTTGAGCAGAAGAAACTACTGAAGCAATGAATTGAAGGGAATCCTTCTCGTGTTTGACGCTCGGATAACAATTCAAAGTAAAAATTGATAATTTCATCGTTAAGCCAAGTTTCTGGCTTGAGTCGATGGATATCTTTATAATCTACTGTCACCTTTTTGAATTGGGAAGCAGTACCGGTTTTTTTCCTTGATAGTGCTTCATCGATTATTTTGTTTTCTTTATCTGTTAAGGGTTTCACCATTTCTTTCACGACGACTGGCTTTGTCTTTTCAAATAGTTCATCGAATTCAGAAGTGTCTATATCCTGGCTACGGCTCTGTGCTGAATAATTAGTATGCCATTCATTTTTTCTGCAGTGCGTGTATTTACTTGTATGATTTGTCTTCTCACATTAAATAACTGTAAAGAATGAGACTTTTATATTTGACTACATTGTTGAAGAAGTTACCTCTTCGTCTATTTTATCGTTAATTTTTTGTGTAGGTGAATCAACTGTTAACTCTTGTAATTGTACCAAGATGGAGTCGAGCTCATCAGAATACTTTTTTGAAGAAGCTTGTCGTTCCTTTACTGCAGCTTGCATGGCGAGAAATGAAAAAGGGTTAACAAATGCTGATATATACTGCGAAAACGGAACGTGTTCTACAGGAGTTGTCAGTATATCCAATGAAACATATTTTCTTTAAATACGATCTATTACCGTATTCTAGTCTCTTCTTTGATCCCGGATAAGCAAAATCAAAAGTTGTTGTTTTAGAGACTTTCATTTGGGTGAAAAGAAAAAAAAAAGAAGAAAAGAAGAAAATACCGAAAAAGAATAGGGTGTGCGTAGCGTTCGCTCTCCCCTTTAAAACCTGTCTTACACACCTTTTTTACAGCTGAAAAAAAAAAAGATGCAAGCTTCTCCACTTTATGCTTCCATTGGCGCTTTAATTATTGACGACATTAAGTACCAAGATGGCACTAAAGTAACGAATGTTCTCGGCGGAGGAGGTGTATTCGCAATTTATGGTAAATAGGTTCGAATGTAATAATAAACCCTGGCTTTTAACTAACCATTCCTACGTAGGAATGAGACTTTGGTTAGATGGCCTTCAAACTAAAGATGCCGGTTACATTATCCACACTGGATTTGATTATCCTGAAGAAATAGACAACAAAATAAAAGCCCTGAATATCTCACTCAATTGCATTAATCACCCAGATAAACACACGACAAGAGGTTTAAATACTTTTGGGGAAGATGATCACAGAGATTTCGAATACATACATCCTATCATAAGAACCACGACATCTGACTTTAGTGATGATTGGATTCAGTCTGTAAAGATACTGCATTTGATTTCTTCGCACGAAAGAGCCATTGAAATAATAGATGAATGGAAAGAGAGAGAGATTTTGTTAAATTGTGTGGAAAGGACACAATTTTTATGGGAGCCTTTGCCTTGGGCTTGTTTACCTGAGGTATGAAAAGCATACATGTTTATGAGTTATCATTTATTTTTATGATTTTTTAGAATTTAGATAAAATTTATGACGCTACACAAAGAACAGAGATCATCACACCTAATCATGAAGAGATAGCTGCTATGCTTGGCTTGGACTTCAAAGTTGTATTAGTAGAAAATGGCAATGATCTAAAAAAGACGGTTGAATATTTGGGGAATATGTTCTTGGATGGATTATCATCTGCCCAAGATAAAGTACTAGTGATACGAGCCAGTAAGTATGGCACGATGATTATTACTTTGAAATCTCGGGCTATTCATTGGGTACCGGCCTATTGGAGCTGGTGGAGTTCGGAGGAACAGAAACATGTTGTAGATGTGACGGGTGCTGGTAATGCTTTTTGTGGTGGCTATGCGTATGGATGGGACCAAACACAGGGTGATCCTGTTGAATCTGCTTATTATGGTGCAGTTTCTGCTAGTTACGCAGTTGAGCAAATGGGTATGCCCTCTTACGAGACTGGGCACTGGAATAATGGTCCCGATCCAGCCCAAAGATTATCTATTTTAAGAACTAAATCATGTAAATTTTAGAGCATTAATTTATTATAAAAACTTTGTCATTATTATTAGAGCTTTTCTTCTTGTTCAATTTGTACATTTTTTTCCATCGATTGAAGAAAATCATATGTTTTTTCACATCGAGCATAACTATATTTGGCAGAGATATAACCACTAACCGCTGAAGCACCCATTGCAGAAAGCAAAGCTCTATTCTTGTCCAATCCGAACTTACGAGCTAAAGGCACTATTTTCCAAGAGTCAGTGTATGGTTTTCTTTTATACTATCATTTACATACACGAAACAAAAGCTGTTACAACTGGAAACCAAAAAATAAAAATAAAAATTGAATACATAAATTAAGTTGAAAAAATGTATTTTACCTGCAACGTAAACACCAGTTTTGTTAGCATTTTTCTGACACAATCTGGGTAAAATCCATTCCTGATACAGTTATTATTATTTAATACATAACAATACGTATTTGGGACTACTCACAGGATGTTCTCTTGCTATTCCTTCTTGTATAATTGACATGATTATTTGATAAACAAAAGAGAGAAAACTGCATTGACGAGCGGGAAAAGGTTTTAATCTCCCCACAAAAAGTGACGTAGCCGCTTGGGATTGTCCCCTGTGCTTTGGTCACGTGGTCTTTATAATTTTTGCAGCGCGAAGGGGTCCCACACAAAAAGTAAGAAACATATTTTTTTTTGTTCCCTAAATATCTTGTAAGCGAATAAACACACGAAACCCAATTGCCTGGCATTGACTCTTTTCCTCTAATTTAGCCTTCACCCCTTTCCACCAGATTTTTTTCTAACATGGCTTTCCGTTTGATTACCAAGAATGCTGCAACTGGTACATTAGACAAAGATATTATGGCTGTTTAGTAGATATTAACCAAGTATCTTTTTAGCTGCCCTTGTTGCCCGTCCCACCTTAATGAACGCTTCTCGTCAATCTTTGGGTGCTACTGCGTAAGTCAATGTCTCGATTTTTATTCTTATAGTAGTAGCTAATGTTTATTTCTTATTACTATTAGTGTCCGTCACTTCACCACCAAAAAAGAAGGTACATGCGCACAGCACACAGACACAAACTTTCAGCTTCAACTCGGACTAAACCTTATATTATATTATAGATGAGCCCAAGGAGAAGGCTAACAGCATTATCAACTCTCTTCCCGGTAACTCTTTCGTTTCCAAGACTGGTTTCCTTACTTTAGGTACTGGTGTTGCCACTTACTTGATTTCTAAGGAAATCTATGTCTTTAACGAAGAAACCTTGGTTCTTGTCTCCACTGGTGCTCTTCTCGGTCTTATCTTGAAGTACCTCAGAGAACCTTTCAACAGCATGGCCAACGAGCACATCAACGTAAATTCAAGTTTTTGACAGGGAAAAAAAAAAGGGAATCATGGCTGACATTTTGTTTTTATATAGCGTATCAAGAGCATCTTGGTTCAAGCTCGTGATGACCATAAGACTGCTGTCAATGAGCGTATCTCCGAAGTTGGACAAATGAAGGATCTTGTTGATGTTACCAAGGCCCTCTTTGAGCTCTCTCGTGAAACTGCCAAGTTAGAATCTGAAGCCTTTGTCTTGAAGCAACAAGTTGCTGTTGCTCATGAAGCCAAGGCTACTTTGGATTCTTGGGTTCGTCATGAAGCTAACGTCCGTGATCGCGAACAAAAGCAATTGGCTGCTTACTTGATCGAGAAGATCAACAAGGACTTGCAAGACTCCAAGATTCAACAACAAATTCTTGATCAAGCTATCTTGGATATCCAAAGTAAGTTTTTATTATGAGTATGTTTTGATGGTTTACTAATCAAAGCCGTTATTTAGGAATTGCCAAGACCAACTAGATTTATTAAAATGTCGCATCTTTTCTGTATATCGAATTAAAATAAAATAAATTTAAAAACACCCATTTATAATGCCTTCTCGTGATTTACCTTAATATTTACAATTGATTTTGCAGGTTATTAGCGAACCTTAGAAAAGTCATGGTCAACATGAGGTGCAGCCAGATATTTAAATTATTTTTCTCTGCGGTTGAATTTCAATATCCCTTTTTCTTTTTACCCAGAACATGTCGTTGAATAGTCAGTTAAAAAGTTTTAAAAAGTCGTTCAAGGCCAATGCGGATATTGCAGTAAAGCGTGCTGGTCAAGCAGCTCCCAGCAAAGAGTCAGTTTCAGCCAATGGCACTATTTCAAATAACACAAAGGCTTCATACGATTCCACCCACGAACCCAAAAAGAGAAAAAAGACGACTGGTACAAATTACTCGGACGATCAGAGATCTAGAGATTAACTAATTTACTGTATAGTCTACTCACAACCTGCTAATACTGGTACGGGTCACCATGCCATGAGTCAGTTATATACAGTCATACAATTCTTAAAAGTAAGCATCATTATTTACAATGGAATCTAGGGTTCTCATTATTAGATACTTGATATAGGACAGCGATCATCCTCAGTCGGTTGTTAGCATTGCTTCCCGTACAAAAGTAGACATTGCAAAGAACCCAGCCTTATGGGAGAAACTCGAGAATAACGACAAAATTGATTACGATCCAGTCAACAAGACATTTGCTTATAAGCCAACATACCAAATTAGAAGTAAAGAGGATCTATTGAGCTTGTTGATTCAGAAGAAGAATGAGGGTGGTATGGATTATAAGGATTTAAAGGATTCTTATTCCAAATTGAGTAGTGCAGTGGAGGAATTAGCAACAGAGGGGCAAATTCTTGTAGTTAGAAATAAAGACGGAAACCCACGTGTACTCTTTCATAATGATGCACAATACAACACAACCATTGATCCAGGTAAAAACAAATAGACAATGAAACAAACTATGACTATAACTTATGATCTTTTTATATAGAATTTAAAAAGATGTGGTCTGAAATCCATATTCCTGACGAAACTGATTTACCCAAGGCATTAGAGAATGGTAAGTGTAGCATTTGGATGAAATGGGTTTTCATACTAAACTTACGTGTAGCTGGTCTCAAGACAATGGAAGTGTTTGAAAAGAAGATCACATCGGATGTAAGCTTCCAAATACAGTGACAGTACATTGATATTGAACACCTCTTTATTTTAGACCAAACCAAAAAGATCAAAGACAAGAAACAAGCGAATCAAGATTACAAATACTCATTTATCTCATATAGATTTGTCAAAGGATTACGTTCCCAACAACAAGAAATAAATTGTGACAGATTTACAGCAGATGTTACATTTGGGCGGGGTTATTTAAGAATCAAAAATCGTTAAAAAATAAAACAAAAAATCCCCTTTTATTCTCTTGTTATTCTTATTAAGCTCATAATGCATGCTCAACATCGAAGGCGACCCTCTAAATCCATCTTACTACCACGCCTATCTACAAATACTACTAATAACACCGGCAATATTAATAGCAATGGTCAACCTAATTACGCACGACGAATGACTATTCATCTGCCAGAATCCACACCGGACACAACCTACTTGTACGGTTATGCACTTTTAATATCCACGTTTGTAATGTTTATGGCGTCTTTCTATTCAATTATCATCAGTCAATATATGCCAGATACAAATATAAAGGTAAACATATGGATCCAAACAATACATGGTCTTTTAACTCTCTACTTTGTTAGGTGCTGGACTGGATAAAGTATGATGATTATTACTGCCTCTTAATACCGATATCAGCACTTGTCTTTTTTTACTGGATAATGTGGAACTGGATGGGAATGAAGTTTTTTCGTCACAATTAATAAAATTGTGCGTAAATTTTGTTTATATGTCTCTGTTCACCAACTCAATGACATAAACGTAGTTAACTTAACTTGCTTTCTATCTAGACATGATCATACTTGCATGAAGGACATGGCAAAAAATATACTAAATGATATCTCGTACGATTTGGAAGATATATTCTGTCTGTACTGATAATAGACATATTAGGTTGTCCAACAGATCCACATACAGATCTAAACACTTTGGATATATGACTCTTTTCGATCATTGTTGTATTCAGGGCTAGATTGTTTCTGCGATTGAATGAGAGTGTGGATTAGAATTAGACACTAATACGTTGATCTGCTAATGGTCTGTATACATTGCCTATCAAGAAAAGCATAGTCCATATACAAATGTCACAAAAACTATTTGTCGTGCTCAACAAAAGCTACGTGCCACACAAGATGTTGCTAACGTACACTTATCTGGTTTTTATCCATTTGAATTTGATGCATTGAATCAAAAGCTAAAGAAAAGCAGTGAATAATTCCTAATTAGCTGGATATATGCGCACTACTTACAGTGACAAAAGTGCTATGTATCTCGCTGTTCTCGTCAGTTTCCATTATACAATGAGCTAGCTCGACTGAACCTCAACCAACGCATGTCTGTAAAAGGAAAGTGTCATATATTCTGATGATGGTTAATAAAGGCGTGTTAACGTCAACATTGTTATCAATTTATATATATTGATTACTGCATAACTAGTACAGGTGTGTCATCCTATCGATTCCTATTTTGTAGCAGTGGAACAAAAATGAAGTTGAGGTTCGCACTGTCACTTTCTCTTTTTATAAAAACATCATTCACTATTCCCTCAGGTGCAGCATACTCTTCATTTTTGTGCCTTTTATAAGAAGTTTCAGTGAAACAGCTTTTAAAAAAACAACTTGTTTGTAGGCACTTACAAGTTTGGAAGCTAACTTACATAAGCTATATATTATGTTGGTACTCTCAATCTATGGCTTTTTGTCATCGTTTTTATTTTCGCTTTCGGAATCACCGCTACCTCTTTTGCTTTTGGACGACATATTTATAGATGTTGTCTCAAAATATTTTAGGTGCATTGTTGTAGTTCTCAGAAGATTAAAAGGGACATAAAATATTCATAAAAAAATAAAGAGATCTATTGCTTTTCCTAATTGATTATATCAAAGATTAATCCTAAAATGCTTTTACAATTTATTGGAGGTTGGTTGGTCCCGAGAGACATGTGATGTTTTCAACTACTGGATTGGAGTGTCTTTCTTCTGACTACCACCCACACTCTCACACACGCGACTTTCAATTTCACAGTGATCAGTGGTTTTTTTTAGATCGCCCAGACCGGGTAAGATTGGGAGTACCAAATAAAGCAACCATTCTTTTTTTCAACTCTTTACAAAATGTCAAATGAAAGCTCAATACCAATAGATGACCCTGATACTTATTTTATCGAGTCAAGTGTTCCTGATGTTCGTGCTTTCGAACAAAAAACTAGGTAATATTACCAACATGGCATTCCTTCACATTACTAAATGAGAAACAATAGAAATGACATTGAGACACAAAAGAAAGAATTGCGCGCCATGGTTGGGTAATTATCACCTTGAGAACCGTTTTACTCGTTACCTGCCTTTAAACCCCTCTATCATTTATAGTGAACAGTACCTAGACCTCATTTCAGCGGCAGATGCCATCATCACCATGAGCAAGAACGCACAAACCATTCAAACCAATTTCGAACGTATGCAAGCTGCTAGTGATGTAGAAAGTATAAAGCTGAAGGCCAAAAGAATCTTACAAGAGCGAGGTGAACAAAATAACCAAAGTAAGACTTGTTGGACTTTAATGTAAAAAGAGTTCGATTTATTGACATGGGATGTAGCTCGCATAGACACCAATCGTAGATATGTGTATATTATAGCCGCTCTTGTTAAAGCATTGGCTGATGTGCCCGAACAGGTAGAAAAAATAAAATAAAAAATCGCAACGACAATTTAGCTTAAGATTTTTTAAAAAATATACATAGATATGGCATGCATTAGAGAATCACCGTTATCTTCATGCAAGCCGATTATTTACACTGGCCAAACAAGTTCACGAATATCTTGAAGAGGAGAAGGAAAAATCAACCATCGATATAGAAGTCGCTTTTCCAGTTATTCAAAGACAGTGGGATGCTGTCAGTGCATTTGGTCCCCAAATTGTTCAAAGATCAATTCACTATCTACGCGTTTCAGAACAAAGCCCAGAGGTAAACTTGTAACCGATGAATAAAAAAAAAGAGAGGGTGAATTAATAAATTGATTAGCATATAGCAGAAATTATGGTTGGATTAATGCTTCTAGACGGTCTTTCATATAAAGACACAGCAGAAAAGTTCTTAGAAATGCGATTTAGTTTGATTCGAGATATGATTGGTTGTTACACCAAGGGCATGGACAGTACAAATAATCGTGCCACGCATCAGTTAAGGGAGGCTACATTGATTATCAAGCGTACGTTACAACAGATTTATGAGGTGTTCTTTTCAAAAGAGGGACATACAATGGCTCTTATTGAATCGTATGTCACTACCTTCCAAAAGACTTTTTTGATACCTGCTCACAAAAGCCATGGTAATGAGACACCTAGCCAATCCGCTATCACACGTCTCTTTTCGCCAAGTTCCAATGTACATCTAATTGTTCGATATTTACCCGACTCTCTCCAGAACTACCTTCCCGATTTTGACCCTATGCCTCATCTCACAGAAGACGATGTGCAAAAGTTAGCAAAAATGTGGATCGAGCAAATTGAATCACTTTTTAAGGAAAAACTTCATGATATCCTTTCACCGATCCAAAACCAAGTTGAACTCATTCAGGTACGACAGAAACTGTGGGATTTATTGGATGAGGATGAAAACACAAAGAAAACAGCATGGCAAAAAGCCGCACAAAACTTACTTGGATCTCATTATTCGATATGGGATGGTCTCTACAGAGAAGGATTTAACTATAGTTTTAAATCAGTCATAGATAAAGCCTTAAATGAGCTATCGAATCAGCCCAATGCGATTATTTGGCCACTTGTTACAGATCCTGTCAAGTTGCAACAAACTAAAAAGGATTTCTTTGTCCCAATGCACATATGGCCAGGTGCCGATGCAAAGCAACAGAGTGCATTTACTCTACCAAACTTTGCATCCTCCAAAGAGATCGAAACCTTCAAGGCGTCGTTAAAAGAGACTGCAAATGACCGCACAGAAACCCTTTGTAAACTCCAAACGTCGTTTGATTCTTGTTTGGCAAAAATTAGAATAGATGTGCAAGCACATCTTATCCATTTCGATCATGACAATTTTCATGTAAAAAGGTAAAAAGAATAAGAATACTCTGCTAAGACAATATTGACATGGCTACAGTGATACAGATATGATCAAATCGTACTTCCAGGATAATTGTTATGAGGCTGCGCTAAAGTATTCTGCAAATGTGAATACACTTATCGGTAAAGTGACGTTATGGACAGATAAAAAGAAGAGTAAGTATACGATAATTTATACTATGTGTGAGTCTAATATAGAAATATATGGATAGGAAATGAACTGTCAATATTTTTGGGTAGACTCACGCGGAATATTGCGCTCCTCTCTAAAGAATTACCCAAGTCCTTGTTATTATCTGCCGAAACAACGCCCATCTTTGAACTACGTAGCAGAATTAACAAAGGTACATGCACAATATTAATGTAAAACATGAATTTACTATTAAAATCTGAGTTTTTAGATCCCAACTATACTACCATTCAAACAGACTTAATACGCACTTTCCATCAGGCACATGACCTCTGGATCGACTGGTTAGAAAAAGAATTTGCCCAAAAATTACGAATTATTTTGGCAACGACAAATTGGAATGACCAGTGTGCTTCAATTTCTATATGGGAGAGTAAGACACATATATACAAATACAAACAACATGTTTCTCATTGTTTCATTAGATATAGAAGAAGATATCAGATTACCAACACAAGCAACCAATGCAACTGTTAGAAGTTTATTCTATGTTTGCGAAGAGATCCAAAATATAAATAGCGCTGTTTTAGATCAGGTTTGTAAACTATTCAAGACAAATATGAACACTTCCATTGATATATATCTGTTTTAGCCAATCATGATTAAATTGAGACAACAATTGCAGAATGCCGTGGATGAAGTGTTCGACCACTTTTTATCAGACATTGAAACAGCTGATGTAACAGAGAACGGCTCCTTGCAACTGCTGTTTGACTACCTGTTTTTAAATACAATTTTACAAAACACAAAGAAATCAATCATTGGCAATAAACTGATCCAAAAGTTACAGGATCAGGTACGACAATTTCCTCATCAAATTCTCTTAACCGTGCTGACTTTTTCTGTAGATTGATCCAATTAATTGGGATAGTTACGAACCTCATGTTAAACCTTGTGTCAACAAATTCTATATCAAGCAATCATTAATATTCGGTGTGTTAACAAGCGCTACAAACGAAACATATGAACGGTTCGTATAATAATTATGGAAAAAATAATGTTTGTGTATTTATAGCTATAAATTATAGAGCACGTAAGGTGATGGCAAATCAACAACAAGGTCAATATAATGTTCTTCCTTTAGCTTCTCAGGCTACAAGATTCACACTTCTTCCCATCGGTCATTTAACGTCATCCTCTGTACGAACTAGATACAGCATTTCCTCATAATACAGTGCTTTCAATATAATAGATTGAGTAATTTTAACCATATTAAACACGATGTATATCTGAAGGAGTAAGCAATTCTGTAACTGTTCCCTTTCAAGTTAAACAAATATCAATTCGATTGTTTATATTTAAGTGTTATTATAATGTGCAAATAGCAAAGCAAGGGAATACGATATGGTAGGTAAGTAAAAGCCAGTTGTAATTTATAAACCATTAAGAAATTGGTAGAATTTATTAGCAGTCTTTCGAACGCTGGATCGCCTGGCTTCAAAACTCGAAGATAGGCAATACGGAAATGTCATTTAGGACAGCATCCCTCTCCAAGATATAGGAAGTGCCAAAATGGCAATACAGATCAAATTATTATTTTTTTGACAGAGGCATTATCTCTAAAGAAACAATATGAGTCATGTTGTATCTGAGACATAGCTATTCCAAATGATGCTTTGCTTAAAATAGCTAACATCAGCTCCAACATTGCTGCTCTTATTGGGCTCTCATAAACGTTGGTGTACGATAATAGGCTTGTAAAGGATGCATTCACGTAATATGGTCGATCAGCAGCGTCACAAAAAAAAAAATTGTTGGGACTTATTCGGGCAACGTACAACTTTTGAGAAACTTGTTGCTGACGAAATGCCAAACATAATGAAGGAATGTAGCTGTTCTTTGGAGGGTGGTTTTGTGTTAAAATTGTAAACTAAAGTTCTTCTTTTTTGATACGGGTTTCCAACATAATAGTGTGATTGGGGGTCTTCACTATTGATAATCACTTTTTTATTTTAATATATTTATGGTGATTCGTTAAATCTATTAATCTAAAAAAAGGATCAACAACAAAGGCTGATGCTTCAATGCCAGACTCATCTACAATTCCACCTCTACCGTCTTCATGAAAGAAACTGATTTTAAGAAGCGAAATATATGATGAAACAAAATTTTAAAAAGTTGGTAAAGAGTGGGCAAAAATCTGTGTTCTCAAAAAATTGGTAAATTGAGTGTATCACACTAATAAACTAGAGTCATCATACTCCACACACAAAATGACAAGGAGATTAGACGAATTGAGTATTTCAGCCTATGGGGAAAGTTTGAAATTTATTCTAACTGAATAAATTTGTTAGGAAATAGTTTTATGTCCTGCAACACTCATTATATTTTAGTGGTGTGTATGTGCATGTACTGACTGGTGCCTGAATTACCCAGGACCTGTTTAACAGTGCTATTTCTACTTATGTCTCTCTCCAAATCAATTAAACCCATTGCTTGGCAATTGAGTGATTACTTGTGCCATTGTTAAACCTTATATGTTTTAAGACGAATCAAATAAATTTTACTTCGACTTTTGTACTTATAATCCAATAAGGAAATGAGACTTGCTACAAGATAAGTCCTTTTTGCCTCTTTAGGCTGTATTGAGTGATCGAATTATATTTGAAGTCCCGTATTTTGCCTTTACGGTCATTGCGAGAGTATATTTATATGCACACACACAAAGTACTACAGTCGCACAGTTTGAAGCTATCAGATCGTTTTCAATAAAAAAATGCAATTGTGACTAAACTTCCCGTACCACACCGTTAAATTAAGTACTCAATCGGCCTGAGTAATTCTTTATGATTAAGAGACGCGGCAGCAACAAATGCAAGCGCGGCTCATAGGATGCCAATATTTTATAGCACATCTGCTCATCCACATCCTAAAATATCCATGTTCTGCGCTCTTTTAAATAAAAAAATGTTTATAACGCGCATTTCTTGTAGTGATCAATTTTTACCGCACAGTAATTGTAGGTGTAATACTTTTCTTGACTAAAAAAAATGAGGTATTAATTCAACCATTGTAAATTTAAGAGAGAGGGATTGTTTGTCATTTCTCAATAAAACTATCTTTCTAATGACAAAGATACTTTGACAATCTATTTTTGCATATGACTTTGGAGTCTCAATATGAGTTTTCATGATTAAGAGTTCAAAATAGGAAGTATAATTCCCCAACCAATGAGCTTTTGCTTTCCCTCGAGAATTAGATCTATAAATAGGATATTTCCTTCTTTATGGAACTATATTCCTTAATCGCTAGAAAATATAGGAAAAGCCAGAATATTACAGAATTATAGTCTGATCATAATTAGAAAAATGGAAAATTAATTAGCCAACATTTTATCATATAAGCTGTGTTTAGGATTTTGTAAGGATATTAAAGTTGGCAATTGTTATTATTACATAAACCAATGCACAATTGCACGAACAATCCCATGTATACAAGATCAGGAAATGCTGACGTTAGACCAATAGTATTATTTTTTCTGTATCATTAAAAACAGAATATGTCCTGTTTTTTAAAGTTACTCGTGTCGTGGATGCAAATTAGTGTTTTACCCGGCTATAAAATTTTTCTTTCGAATTTGGAACGGAGTACGAGTGCAACCGGGAAATCTCAATCTTTTGTGACATAGCGGTTGACTAAACATGGTTTTTAAACATGAGCTTAAATGATTAATTTGAATTCTGTTTTGATACAAGCTTATCTGGTGGCCCATGTTTAACTTCTGTATAAAAAGGAAAGGCATTTGAATGTTTAGCTTTTTTCTTCTACTCTTAATTATTTTCCAAATAATATGCAACTTACAGGAATTGGAGCCTTTATCCTTGCAACAGGAGCATTCGTGTCTGCTGCCACCACCACCACTAAAGCTACCTCAACCAAATCAACTGGTATTTTGGCTGTAGAATCGCCCAAATGGTTGCCTGATTTTGGCGTCCCTACTGGCGTCAACTCTGGTTACCCAACAGGTCCCATTGACACTACCAAAACAATTTCTCATACCAGTTTGAACCTCAAAAACTACCCTGAGCCTTGGACAGCACCCTCTACTACCCATCCTGAAGTAAAGGCTGTCATTGCCGCTTTGGATTGGACCAAGGTCCCTAAAGCCCCTGTGGTCAAAGTCAATGCCGCCGGCGAGATTGATATGACCTCTTATGACGCTGCTAAAGATCCTTATTGTTGGTGGTCTGATTCCAACTGTGTCAAGCCTAAAGCTTCTTACTTGCCTACCGATGTCTCTATCTGTCCTAATGCTGGTGACTGGGGTCTTAATTACGACGATGGTCCATATAACCCTATTGGAGATAAAGCTACCGATAAGTGGGCAGAGCCCGAACTTTATAACTTTTTAGCAAAGAACGGCAATCAAAAGGCAACTCTTTTCGTAAGTATTATATTTATCGTTTCATTATACAAACGTGATACTAATTTTTTGCATAAAGTATATCGGTTCTAATGTTGCCACATTCCCTGAAGCTGCTAAGCGTGCTATCAACGATGGTCATGTTCTTTGTGTTCATACTTGGTCCCATCCTCAAATGACTACTCAAACTAATGCCCAAGTTGTTGCCGAGCTTTACTGGACTCTTCGTGCTATCAAGGAAGCCACTGGTGTTACCACCAAGTGCTGGAGACCTCCTTTTGGCGATGTCGATGATCGTGTCCGTGCTATTGCTCACCAAATGGGTCTTCAAACTATGATCTGGGATCAAGATACCAACGATTGGGATATGCCCGGAGAAGGTGGAGGAAATTTAGCTCCTTCCAAGGTGGATGGCTATTTCCAAGGCTGGATCAACACCCGTAAGAAGGGTACCGATAAGACCGGTCATATTGTCCTTCAACATGAGCTTAACAATGCTACTGTAAAGATGGCCGAAAAGTGGTTGCCCAAGCTTCAAACCTCATTTAACGTTGTAACCATTCAAGAATGTTTGAATGTCGCTCAACCTTACTGGGAAAAGAACTGGATTTATCCTACTGAGAAAAACGCCACAATCTCTTCTAATAGTACTATTGCTTCTAATGCTACCGCTGCTCCCACTACTACTACCACCACACCCGCTGCAATCTCTACACCTTTAGTAACTGACATTGACCTTACTCCTGCTACAACCCCTGTTACTACTCCTGCCACAGCTCCCGCTGCAGATGTCAACTTGAGCAACAAGGGATCTTTAGAATCCTCTGCCACTCTTCTTACAACTAGCGGTGCCTCTCTTTTTGCTGTCGCTGCTTCCCTTGCGGCTTATTTATATTAATTGTTTTTTTTTAATTTTGCTAGGCATTGACATATTAATATAAACTGGGGTTTTCTTGCATAACAAAGCTTAAATTTGTTATTTTTTTGTACATAACATATTAAAAAAAAGTAAAAGATATTATTGATTAATAATACTTTTTTTAATTGAATCATGCTGTTTAACAATGAGAGTCCCGAGAATGTCTGATATTATGCTATCTAATTGCCGGGGGTTTTCATGTGCCTTTCAAATGGCCGTAAATTTTTTCGAAACAGTAGATGAAGTTAACCACTGTTTCTTCATATAAACCATCTATTTAGCTATCTCTTACGTTATTCTGAGTTAATCAAGTAAATAAGGAAAAAGAGTATTAATTCAAGACATGTTATATTAAATTCACAATCATTGACGTCTATCTGTCAATGATTACTATGTGGTCAATTATTTGACTGCTATCAAATGCATAGGATTTGTATTAATATTTAAAACTGATTGAGTGTCTCTTTGTCATTAGAACGATATAAAAAAAATACGGTCTCGTTATTTTGTCTTGAGACTAAAGTTGCTTGATAAAGAATACTCGATGTTTCTTATACAAGGTATTTCAAACGATTAGAGTACCTGTGTTACCAGCGATAATAAATATCGTTGATAGAAAATATGTGCTTTTACTTGTAATTTTCAAGCATAGATCCTTGTAAAAAACTGCAATGAGATTGAGTGGTGTTAGTCATGAATTAATTAAGCTATAAAATCAGACCCGATAATTGCCAATAATCACTTATAGGCATAACTGTCATTATTATACAATCTCCTTTCAAATTTACAGTTCCGATTGTTATTATGTTTAAGCGTTCGTAACAAATTATACCCTGTCTCTTTTTTCTTCTGTCTATTAACGAAAACGGTTACTATACCTCAAATAATAAACGATTGAATGATTATCGCTTATACTTGTACTTGGGTATCAAGCGCTACTTTTTCAAAGACTCATTAATAGGTATAGATTATCCCTACTAAGCCGATTATATATTTCAAATATGTTGAGCCGCATTATGGAGGCGATTAAAGAAACATCCCTTTAGAAGGCCACCTTGGCTTGATGTCTGATGTCTACTTATAATTTTGTCAAATTTTAAAACAATATGTCGGCTTCGTTTGAAATCATAGTGCGAATACTTGTTATAAATACCGAAGAAAAAATCACTGGGTATTTGCATTACGCCAACGGGATTCAGGTCATAGATGCTGGTACCATTGGATGTCATTTTTGAAGAAACTATCGACTTTTGTGTTTCATTCAAATTTGTAGTACGCCATTAAAAGTCATTGGCATACATCATTCTTACAGATAAACGCCCTACATGGCTCAGATTTAGGCTTCAATAATGCCTAATAATATTGATTTCGTAGTTTGACCTTACAATTACTTTAGTAAGCCACACAACTTGTTATAAATAAAAGTTAAAAGGTCACATATACTGACTTGGTGTTACAATCTATGCTTATTGATATAGGGGACCCTTCGCTTCGCTTTTTAAAAACAATCTCGTGACGATATTACGGCTGAGCGATACTAAAAAAAAATTAATTGATTGTACATCAGGCACATCCAAAGAGAATCGGTTTTTGCAATTGCCATTTCCAGATTTAATATTAAAATAAGGCACCAACTTACTACATATCATACGTAAGCGCAGCAAATTATAATCACAAACAAATGTCCCTAAAATGACAGTTGCATATTGAGTCCGCTTGTATTTATACCCCTTTTTAACTTGGTAGGATATAATATATCATCATTGTCATATGCATAAAATCATTTGTGATGCAGTTGCTACGCCGGTCTACTTGTACGACTTCCAGTAAAAACTTTCCCCCGGGTTGCTTATTACAGGATTTTTTTTAAATTTGATGGCTGAGAGGTTGGAAAAAAATCACCAAAAATAAGCCATTTGTCCATTTCTGTGAGAAAACAATAATCATCTAATTTTGGGGAATTATCTTATTTTTAGATTAAAAAGGTTACACTTGGTTATACAAAAAAAAAGTACCAACAAACGCAACGGTGTCGTGTAACGTTGATTCTGCGCTTCTTTTGTATATAAGCTCATAAAAGTGATTTCAGTTTTGAGTTCTATATTTCTTCCTTTTTTCATAGAAAAAAAACATTTTTAATTGCAAAATGTTGTACTCTTTGACATCTACAGCTGCTTTAGTTCTTGCTGCTGCTACCATTACTGGTGCGCAAAATACTTCGAGCACAAATGCAACTACCACTACTTCAACAGCGTCTGGTCCCCCTGCACAAGTTTCTCCTGCTTGGCTTTCGAGCGTCACTCCATTGTCCGGTAATGTCAAAGCTTACCCTGAAGGTGGAAATGGCACTCTTCCCACAGGCCCTCTTGCTTCTCTTACATTTGACTACTCTGGCTATCCTGAAGGCTGGAAATCTCCGTCTGCAACTAGCGCTGAGGTATTAGCAGCCGTAAATGCTATCGATTGGTCTGCTGTTCCTAACTCTGCTGTTCGTAAAGCTGATTCCAAAGGTGATCTTACCATGACTGGATATGATTCTGAAAAAGATCCTGATTGTTGGTGGAGTGCCAGTGGTTGTGTCAAATCAAAAAATGCCTTAATTCCTGCCGATGCTGCTGCCTGTCCTCAAGTTGGCGATTGGGGCTTAACCTACGATGATGGACCTTTAACAGCTGACGCTGGTACTTATGCTGAACCTCATCTTTACGATTTCTTAGCCGAACATAATCAAAAAGCGGGCCTCTTCTACATTGGATCTAATGTCATCGCTGCTCCTGCTGCTGCTCAAAGAGCTTTAGCTGATGGTCACACCCTTTGTGTACATACCTGGTCTCATCCTGCTATGACCTCACTTAGCAATAATAGTGTTGTTGCTGAATTATACTGGACTTTGAAGGCCATCAAAGAAGTTACGGGTGTAACTTCCAAATGCTGGAGACCACCCTATGGTGACGTAGATGATCGTGTTCGCGCTATTGCATGGCAAATGGGTCTTACTACCGTCCTTTGGGATCTTGACACTGATGATTGGAATATGCCTGGTGATGGCGGAGGAAACTTGTCACCCGAAACTGTTGATGGTTATTTCGAATCCTGGATTTCTAATAGAAAGAATGGCACTGACAAAACCGGACATATTGTTCTTCAGCACGAGTTAAATAATTCAACTGTCCTGATGGCAGAAAAATGGCTTCCTCAAGTGAAAGAAGCTTTTAATGTCGTTCCATGGAATCAATGCTTCAATATTTCCACTCCTTATTGGGAAACAAACTTTGTCTATCCTGTTAGTAATGGAAGTGTTCCAGTGGTTGCAACTGCATCTTCTTCAATTCCTGTATCTACTGCTGCTGTCACCTCTACTTCTCCTTCACCAGTAGCCAAGCCTTCTGCGTCTGACAACACTAATGCAAACGCTGTCCTTTCACCAGCAGAAAGTGCCGCGTCTCCTCGCATGTCAGTTTCAAGTCCCGTGGCTATATTTCTTGGCATGATCGCCATTGCTGCTTATGCAGTCTAAAATGTTTTGTTTGTGATATTCGTCATCCTATCTTTTCTTGTCACAATTACACAACATATATTTTGTAGATATCTTTCCTCTCCCTTATTTTTTACTCTTGTTATGACTGACTTAATAATAAAAACCCTAGTGTAACATATTATGCGTTGTTCCGGATATATCTAAAACGATTGGATATCATACACTTCGTTTCACTCTTTTTATCCGAGATATTTTTGGGAAAGCCGGAGTCTTGAGTTTGTAACTTTTTTTTTATGTTTTCTATAGGCGAAGGCGCTTTTAACTTCCAAGAGAAACAAGGTTGTACACTAATTTTTTAGACAAGATTGTACTCTATTTGTTATTGTGATTTACAATAAATATTTGGAGAACCGCCTATAAAATAGTTTTTATCCGGGTAAAAGTAGACCAAAAAAACTAACTATAACATAGACCTCCCCCTTTTTTTTAGCTTATTTATGTCCAAAAATGAAGCATTTATATTCGTCATCAGACTACAAAAAAAAATGCGTGACACAAGTTGATATGCATGCTGTGAAACAAACTCTCCTGCACTTTTATCTGGTTAAGTTTCAATTAACGAAAAGTATTTATAGGTCATAGCATCATCTATACCGCCTTTTACTAGTTTGTGATTGATAAAATTAACGCGAACGGACCAATTAAATCCAACTGGAAGATTCGAAGTGGATAGTCAATAAAACGAGGCATATGTTATTCTCTGAAAGAAATCAGTGAAAGTCAAATGTCAGAATTGCCAGGCGCCTTTTCCTTGTAAGGCATTAAAAGAGGAGCTGAGTAATTAAGGTTTCTATCTACGGTTAGTATCAACATCACAAAGTAAACATGAGAGTCTGATAAGTTAAACGGGAGCTATCATTGAAGTTACAAGAGATGGAGGCTCTAAGCTTCAACTTTATTATCCCATTGCACGTTGAATTCATTATAAAACTTTAGAATAGGTCCACGAGCCGAAACATAATAACAGGAATCAAATAAGTTATTTTGAGTAATTATAAGCATACACTATGTTCAGAAAATACCAGATCAAAATATAAAAAAAAATAGTTCACAACGTAAAAAAGTTAAGTTCTAGTTTAGTATTTTCGATTTAAATTAAAATAATTTGCTTGAGAACATTAGATCACTTATATTACATAATTCTATTAAAATCTAGCAAGTAATGTAGGCAAGATCTTTAAAGAAGTTTATTAAATAATAGTATAATAAACAGAAATAGGAGAAGATTACAATTGAGAGAAGCAAATGTAATTATCCAGTACGATTTAGTAAAGGCAATTATTTTCAAGCTTTTAAAGTGATTCAATTAAAATAAGGAACAGAGGAACAGATACAATTTACAATGACTAAAAAAAGCTTGTTTGACAAAAGCTTTATAACCCAAAATATTTTATAACTGTAAGAACGATGATTCATTTGTGATAGAGTAGGAAACAGATCAAATCCCAAAACTCTTTAGTCACACAGGGCTAATATTCCATTCTTCACTGCTGTAGAGTTAAAGCAGAGTTTTATTGGGTAATACTGTCCAATCACATTTCTATTTAAAACCGGAGTTCGTCCCCAGGCTTGTTAGCCTCGCCAAATTTTGGCAGAATCAATTCGGGTTTTACCATGCAAGAATTCATAAGCAGTTATTGTGTCTGTCAAGTACCAGCAGAGGACAGAGAAAAGCATATTTTAAATAAGCACGTCAGTGAAATTCTAGAAAATAGACTAAAACCTGTCTTTAAACGACAAACACAAATCCACCCAGTACTATCACACCAACCCGAACCTCGATACAGAGCAGCTTATGAGTACGATTTACATGAAAATCAAGAATGGAAGACAGGGAATACTCTAGACATATTGTTATGGATTGTTGAGAGAATATCTGCAAGTTCTTCAAACGCATTCAGATTGTAAACAATTTGTAGACTAATTGTTCTTCCTTAATGTAGGCGATAGACTTGGAAAAAAACCTGCACCTGATTATTCCACCTGTGCTAATTGTGCTCGATGATGTCGACATTGAGTATAAAGAATATGGTGTTAAAATGGTTCATGGGATCGTCAAGAAGCTTGATTCCAACCACATTGCGAAATTCGGTTTAGACAATGTGGTTTTTGAGGTAAACCTGATATTTAATATACGTATTCTTCTCTAATACTTCAATTAGTCCCTGTTTAAATGTTTATATCGTTTATCACAAGACCGAGACATCGAGATATTAAAATTGGCTTACCCATGTATACTGGATTTGATTGGATCGATAAAGAATGAAAGAACAAGATCTGGATTTTATGAACGTGTCTTGACAGATGGCATTATGACAGGTTATCAGCATGCAGGACAAAAGATAAAGTTTCTACCTATTTTGCTTCAGCCAATTGCAACAATTTATGATGCAATTGGAGCGATTGGTGTCCAGTATTTAAAAGCGATTATACCTATCCTATGTGATTCCATGTCAATGATTTCAAGTAATAATGAGATAATTCAAGGGATCAATCAACTGGCTGCAGAGTCATTGGTTACTGTCATAAAGAAGTGCTGGCCAAGGTAATACAAAAACCAACTAAAGTAGGTAACATGGAATTAAAAAGTGTTATTTCAGAATACCTGCTTATGAGGGGGCGATAATGCAAGCATTAGCAAAGTCGTGGTCTTATAACTTGACAAATAAAGGTAGACTATGAAAATTCATGTAGAATTAACAATAACCTTTTTTGTACAATAGACACAAAGATGTGTGGAACGTTGAAGCAATTGTATAAAGTATTCGAAGCTGCTTGTCAAGGACAAGAAATAGTAAGTTTGCAGTTTATCAATGATAGAAAATATTGACAGGGTGTGAATTTTAGGCGGATAAAGAAGCATTGATTGCTTATAATCCAAGTGTGTTTGAACCTCTCTTTTTGTGAATAAATTATTATATTTTCAACCTTCTTCCAAAGGCTGTCGTTTGTGTATATTTTACATTCTAAATTACTTTTTTAAAAAAATCTATAAGAATCTAATGTTCTTTTGTGTGTTGCTCAGGGATTCTTAAGCATCGAATACCAAGGTAAGTACAAATACTATCAATGACCAGTACAGCCCAACGGAGATACAAAACAAGAGCTAAAAAGAAATAAAACACAAGGAAGTGATATTCCGATTCAGGTGTGAAGATGGGTTCACTACAAAAAAAAATCGTTAGGACTGTCCTGAAAATTACGGTTTACTATAACATACATGGATGTGTAAATGGGCAAATTGGTAATGATAGCACCAATAACGAGAGGAATTAACAGACCAGTTGGGAATGGCGATTCAGATTTGGTGAGATGAGCTAAAATGATTTTAGAACAGATACGGCCAAATACAATACCAACCGCAAGTAAGAAAAGGGCGAAATGACCATGGGAAAGGATGAATGAGTAAGGAGATGTCACCCATAAATAATAAGCAGAGATATAAAGTACGATTGGCCAGTTATCCCAGAGCATGGATCTAATAAAAGGCTTTCCTTTCTCACGACAGGCTTTATACATGGCATAGAAACTAACAACGAATAAATATACATTTCTCATCGAACTTTATAGACTACTTACCAGACAGGAATATGAGTAAAAATAAACATGAATGCAACGAATCCAATATAAATATCATTTAAAGCCATATTTTCCAAAAAAGAGGGCAAATTATCGAACATCGTATTCAAAGGGGTTTGCCAGATGTGAGGACCATAGATTCCAGATAAAATATACATTATACATAATAAACAAACACCTTCTGTGGGCACGTTAACGTAGCCAAGATATAAAGTGCCTGTATGGAACTCTTCAATAGTGGATAAATAGAAGCCTGCAGTTGCAATGGCATAAATAATAACACCTTGTTTGGTGTGACCAACACCAAGTGCCGAGGTTTGAATAATAGCAGCAAAAGAACAGTTCAGGGCATCACAACCATGATCAAACAATTCACCCAAGGGACTCGAGGTACCTGTTCTTCTAGCTTGACGGCCGTCTACATTGTCAAATGTAGAGTACAACCATAAACCTAAAGCGAAAGAATAATACAACCAAGAAGGTCCAGCGTCTACTGCTTCCATGGTGGGCGTATAAATAAACACAAGACCAACATTGAAAATCATGAACAAGAGACCTGTCAAAGTGATGAGGTTGGGTCTACATGTTAAATTGTTAGCGGTTGTTTCGAATGTGTGCCTTAGTAATACTTTACGCCATATTCAAAGGAAAGAACTTTACAGACAAGTCCCAATAATGACGAAGTACATATTTAGACAAGAGAGATCTATCAATACTCGAATATTTATAAAGCTTCAGGTTGTCCAACTGCTGGTCTGACAAGACGGATGATGAAGCCATTTCGTATTCTGATTTAGAGACAACCGAGAAAAAAAAAAAAAAAAAAAAAAAAAAAAAAAAAAATAACAAAAACCAAAAACTGGGTTGCTTCAATAATTAACCTTTTCATTGGTCAGAAATAATTTTAATTTAGAGTACGGCAAGCATATCCTGGATTCTGCAAAACTTTTCTCTGGGTTTACCGAGTTTTTCACCCATTGCAAATTCGGCTGCTTCTATTTTTTTCCAATCCAAGTAAGAGACAGGTCGAATTTGACGTTCTTGAAATAATTTGGTCAAATCATCACCCTTGGGTGCCAACATTGGTTTACCATTTTTCAAATCGTCAACAATCGTATCTGCGGTTTCGTATGCATCGGTCATGGTGGATACAATCACACCGGTGGGTCCACGCTTAAGCCAACCGGCCGTATACATTCCTGGTAACTCATCCTTGCCATTCAGAATTTTTCCAAGATAGTTGGGTACACGTCCTTGACGCGAATCGAATGGAATACCCTCAATGGGCGCACTCTTGTACCCAATACTTGTCAAAATGACACCACATTCCTGTGTTTCAAATTCGCCTGTTCCAATTGCCTTCCTTGCATCCAAAGGTCCCTCTAAACGATTGATTTCATATTTGATTCCATTCACTCTATTTTCATTTGCTCTTTTTAAAACCTCCACTGGACTACGCAAAAATTTGGCTGTCCATGATTTGTCTGCTTCCTTTGTTGGTGATCCCTTTTCTAAAAGTGACATCAATCGCTTCAGAGGTCTGTTCTTACTAATAATAGATTGTGATTCGGTGATCTCCTTGCTAATAAAATTCATATCTGCATTAAATTGTACGCCAGGAATTGACATTTGCTCTCTGACTTCCTTGGACGTGAAAGATACCTGAACAGGGCCTCTACGTCCGACCACATGAACATGTTTAACTCTACTCTTGGAAAGCGTTTCGAGAGCATATTCTGTGATATCTGTCTTGCGTAAAGTATCGATAGGCGTTAATAAAATACGGGCAATATCTAAGGCAACATTGCCTTGTCCTACAACCACTGCGGTGTCTGTATCGTCCAATGGTAATTTGAAGTCGGTGTAGTCTGGATGTCCATTATACCAACCCACAAAATTTCTTGCTGATGCCACACCATATGTATCTTCACCTGGAATATTCATCTTTCGGTCCTCACTGGCACCATACGATAATAAGATAGCGTCGAAATTATTAGAAAGCTCTTTGACACTAATGTTCTTGCCAATCGTCACATTGCCGAAAAAACGAAAACGATCGTCTTCCGCTACTCTGTCAAAGGTAGACATGACATTCTAAACTATACACATGAATACTTCGTATAATTATTTTCCTATTGCTGAATGTGATCTACCTTCACTTCAGGGTGATCAGGGGCAACACCAAAACGAACCAGTCCATGAGGTGTAGGCAAGCTATCAAACATGTCAATTTGAGTATTGGGCCATTCTTTAAGTAGCCTATGTGCCGTATAGAAACCAGCAGGTCCACTTCCGACAATAGCCAACTTGAAAGGTGCTGAAACTTTGGAAATGACTGACATGTTATATTAATAAGCGGTTGTTATTGCCCTGGTTTAATTTTAAATTTATACCACAAAAAAAAGTTGTGTAACCTTCGACGACCATATACGCAAAGCTTCAACCAGGTGATTTTTGAAACTGTGTGGAAAAGTGTAAAATGTAAAGAAAATTGTTATTTTATTGCGTATTATAATTATGAATGTCTAATGGATTAATAGCTCTATTTAAAGAGAGAACTGAATTTTCCGGTAAGACTTTCCATAGCTGCATATATGCTTGCAGTAGAATCTACGGAAGCGTGGAGAAAATTCTCATCATCAAAATAAGATTCATCTTCATCGATAGGGTCTTCTGAACCCTCGTAATCAGGATCTAAATGGTATTCCTGCACATGTCTGGCTATGCGTGTAAAACTGAGAGGGCAATAAAACCAACAGGATGGACATCCCATAAGAGTACGACGGTGAGGCTGTTTCTTTGACCTCCAAACGTATTTCACGTTATGAGGTCGGCTCCTTCCTGCTTGTCTTGCAGGCAGCTCGGTGGAATGGAAAACCCGCAAGTGAGTTCTGAGAGAACTAGCATTTGCAAAGTACTTTTGACAGACATAGCAACCGCTTTCGACGTAGGCAGTGATTCTTGGGTTGACTTCGGGAACCATTGTAGAGCGTTCAGTATCGGACATAATAATTAATTTTTGTTTTCTAAGGATGGAGATATATTTGAAACTAGGATGTGTGCCTTTATATATGAAAATTATATTCATTATGATCATTTTGATTGTCAATTAATTAATGTATATGATATGAAGTCCAATACAATACATCTGTAAAGACGTTTTAATGCTTCTGTTTATAGAAAAACATTACAATACCACTTTTTTTTTATCTTTTCTTAGATAAGGCAAAAATATAGCATAAGCCAAAGTACTTTGGTAGAGTCGATTTTTATTTGCAAGCTATTAATCAATGAAGGTATTTATAGTTGTTTGTTTTTGGTATTGACATACTCCTTATAATGCATAAAAAAGTGTCTGCCAGAATAATGAATTTGAGCAATCGGACGTGATATCTACGACGATCACCCTTCATTCCCAAAATACTCTCAATTTTCTTGAGCGTATGATACCACCCGTAGTATTTTTAACCAGAATTCATTATATCTTAAAAAACTTTACTTTTGCTTATAGGTACAGTATTGCTTTAAAACAAACCAATTTTTTATTTCCTGCTCTTTATGCGTACTGACCTTTATTTACATCATTTCCACCGTAAGCGATGTCAAGCTTATTACTGCACTAGTAAAGCCTACACGGAGAATACGGGCCCTGTATGTTGCAGTTGTCAGAGAAAGAATCACAATAGCGCAGTGTTCTTATTATAAACCAACAAAAGTAAAAGAAATAACAGAAAGACTCAAAGAAACGAATTGACTGATCTCTCTGTTGTGGTCCAACACATCCTTTTCGAGATTTTTGTTACAAGTGAACTCAAGTTGAGAAGTGGAAGAAGTGATCAGTATGGATTACAATATTAGGAAACGATACATTCAGATAGACGTGGCAGGATTTAGATGAAAGTAAAAAGGTATGATTTATTAATATTCACCAAACAGAGCTGAAAATACCAATTTCCTTATATTATATTCTAAAGCGGTTCGTTTATCTCGGTGTCATTTATTTTCGCAAAATCGTCTGATAATACACATTTTCTTTGTTTATTGTGTACTTGTTCGCTAGTCGTGAAAGCCAAAAAGATTATTTGTTTGCTCGATCCAGAATATTCAAATGGTTGTGTAGGATACTACACGCACTACGCGATGCTGATTTTATCCTGTTGTACACAAAGGAGGGGTTTACATGAAGGAGCGACAAAGGGGCGTGTAACCTCATCTGTCGTAATTTAATAGCTCCTTTCTTGAAACATGACCCACCCCTTTTTATTATTTTATGGGTTTATATAATTAATTTTTCCCTATTTCTTGCTTTCTTTCTCTAAAAAAAAAGATGGAGAATAAACAACATCAAGCAGCTGTCCTTGAAGTGAACGAGGACTATGAGACATCTATCAGCTCCTCTTGTAGGACGAGTATGAGTAGTCTTGATAGCAATCATGATCATACTGCACCCTTGGAATTAGGTCTAGTTATTCATGCTCTCCAAACATCGCTTGTCGAGCAAAAAGAGGAGATGATTGTTGTAGAGGAACCTGTATTTGAGAATCCACAGGAAGAAGAAACACCCGTAGTAAATAAAAGAGAGGCAAAAATTATCACAGACTATCAATCGGATATTATTCCAGCAAGACCACCTACCTCGACCCATTCTGCCAACTTAATTGTCATTGGTCCTATCGTGCCAAAATCTGTCAAGGTCAACACATTAACACCACGCGAACAAGAGAAGGCCGACGAACCAATCTCAAAAGCAATTCATTATTTATTCAACAATCAATTTATGAAGGCTAAAAAATTGTTGGAGCAACAAGCAACCACAGATCCATTACATGCATTGGGTCTTGGATCTATGGTATTTTTGAAAGCACTTATGGTAAGAGGAATAAGGAGAGATTTAATATGTTTGACTAATAAAAAGAATTAGACAACAGACAAGCAAACAACAAATGAAGCTCTACAAGTCTTAATGTCTACCTATAATTTGGCAACAGCTCAGATTGATAATGCTACCAAAAAAAATGTTGGTGACACGGTGATTCAGTACTTTGCTTCATATTGTAACTACATCAAGTTCTCTCGTGGTACAGGTGTCCCAACACACGTTACGCCTGCAAAACCAAAGGCACTGGAAATGCACAAGGTACATACGGTTCCCAATGGCGTTTTACGTGCTCATGTTGCCAAAGCAGAAGCCTGTTTACAAATGGCCATTTTACATTTATTGAAAGAAAGTGTTTCTGGGTATATTAAATGCGGACTTAATTTAAAACGAGGTAAGGAGATCTACAAATACTTCTATTTTAGAAAAAACAAAAGGCTTATACAAACAAATAGCTTATGCCAGTTACAGTATTGTTTGGCAAGAATACAAACGTATGGGACAGCTGCATAACGAATACATTGATCGTGATACAATTTCAGGAATACAATTTGGTATTGGTTCAGTCCATTTGGTGTTAGCATCACTTCCTCAAAAGGTTCTACGAATTGTGGCCGCATTTGGATGGAAAGCCGACAAGCATCTAGGATTTGCTCTTTTAAAGTTGTGTCTAGAAGATAGACGAGCAAGATCTCCCATGGCATCACTGATGCTTCTGGCTTATTATACCGCGTTAACTGCATTATGCCCTCAAATACTATCGGATGAGTATACACAGCCTGCCATTGAAACACTTTTGGACGCTCAACGAACATATCCTAACTCTACCATCTTTTTATACTTTGCCGGTCGAACTTCACGACTAGCACGCAACCTGACCCTTTCAACACAATCCTTTTTATACGCGATTGAAACCAGTAAAAACGAGTGGGCTGAAGTCCAAGTGCTCCATATGTGCAACTATGAAATGGGATTAAACCACATGATGCAAAATAATTGGGAAGAAGCGTGCGAGATATTTCAATTCTTGTATACCGAAAGATACTGGTCGCAGGCTATTTTTCAATACCTGTGTGGAGCCTGTTTAGATATGATGGGCCAACGCACCGAAGCAATTTTGGCATTCGCGGAAGTGCCTTTACTGCTCAAAAAATCTTCACAGTCTAATGCCAGTACGTACTCTATTGAGCAGTATGTGCTTTGTAAAGTAAAACTCTTTCAATCCAGCGGATATCAAGATATGGACATGACGATGTGTGGACTGGAGTTTTTATATTTATATAATGCATATGAGTTTATGGATATGGTTCAACTAGAGCAAAATTTGGGATTGACCGATTACGCTTTGACACGAATTTTGGAGTCAGAAAAATTAGAGTATGGTATACGCACGCGAGAGTTGTTACCCGAGACACCGCCCCCACAGTACGACGATCAACGAGGAGCGTTACTTTTAATTAAAGCGTCTATATTAAATGCGATGGGGAGGTTTCAAGAATCAGTGATTCATTTGAATTGGATTATCGATAGGAAAGATAGAATAACTGCAGATAAATGGGTTGTCCCTTATGCTTATTGGTAGGCTTTTTTTTATTTATTTATTTTTCGTTTTTGTTCTTAAAGAAACTCCTTTTTTGGTAGGGAGGTCGGTATGACTTGCTGGAGTTTAAATCAAAAATCGAGAGGCAGAGAATTTTGGGAAATTGCTCTGGGTTATTCCAATTATGATTTTGAGTATAGATTAGCCATGGTAAAAAAAAAAGAAGCAAAAAAGTTTATTATTGAAACTAACATATATCTATGCTGATTCTATAGAGAGTTAATTTGGCGATTACAAGAGCGGATGAACTGGGCATTTACAAACCTGGGGTAAAAAAGACGCCTTCTGAGTTATATATACCATATAACAATACCGCAAGTATAAGTAGTATGGACGATGACGACTATACACCTATGTCATCCAAGATCTCAGAGCAGGACCAGAAGGTGGAAGAAATGGAGCACGTGGTTGCCCAATTAGATCTAGGTTCGAGTGTAATCGCTCCTTTATAACAATAATAAAATTTAATACTGTTTCTACTTCATTGATTGTTGTAGTTACAAATAAAAGACATAGGCTTATCTTTTTAGGCGGCTGATAAAAAAAAAAGTGCATTTAGCAACATAATGCTGGCGATGTAATCTATAATTGGTGTTTTTTTCGATATGATAGATACTTTCCTTATCTATTAGATAAATGTAACTTCTATGTTGTAATCTGACATTTTGGCTCTAGCACTTTTTTCCCAGATAAGAACTTTTTCGTTTATCTGCTAGCTAAAAATAATTAAACTTAAAAAAAAGGTACTCTTGATTTAGTGCTACCCTCCCCTTCGGATAAGATATTACTCCATATATCTAAATAATGCTATGTTTGTTAGTAATAAATGGAAACTCCTCCCAACTCCTTGCCCCGCTTTATCAACAGTGACCAATGAAAACCAAGTTACTTTTTCGGGCTGCTATTCTGATTGTTTATTTAGGAATGGCTGTTGGACCAAATATGACTTTATATTGTACACATGATCACAAGAAGCTAACTATGAATAAGCACAGAAATACGTGGGAATTTTGCTGGATAAAAAAAGGGAGAAAAATACAAAATGGCGGCATTGAAATATAAAGCTCATGGGAACTGCTATACTGTGAAGTTGAATTACGTATTGTTTTATTGATAAAGATGATAGTTATGACCAATAAAATAAAGAATAAAAGAGAAGATATACATTTTTTTTTCTATTTACAAAAAGGCGGGAGAGTTTTAAATGTCGATCAACGAACAAAGGTTTACTCGTACCCACAAGCATTAGCGGATGGAAGGGCAATACCACCAGTTGCGACGGGGTTAACCCAAGAATCGATATTCACATACATGGTATAAATGAGGATGCCAAAACCAAATACAATAAGCGCAATATCACCGATCTTGGTAATACGTTTGGTGGCAATCTTGTAATGGAAAAGTCCGGGAAAGATGAAAGAAATAGGCATGCAAGCAACAGAACCAACAAGTGACACGAACTTGTCCAAGTTAGAGGCACCTACACAGAAACTGACAATGGCACAAACAGTAACAACAAGAGTACGGACGAGATTCTTGGACATTTTAATTTTGAGATTGTTTTTGCCGGAACGATTACCAAAGACATAGTTTTCAATGATGGTCAAGGGAGGATAGAGCATGAAGGGAGAGGATAATGTCATAGCAATAGCATAGAGTAACTGGACAGTGACGGATAAAGGCATTCTGGGGAAATTGGCAACGACAGTGGCTTGAGTCATATCACCGTAAGCAATGTATCCCATACAACCAATTAAAAGAAAAACGAGTGTACAGATCAGCATAGCAATATTCAAAGCGCGAGGGAACTTTTCAGGTTCTTTCATTCCTTCCAGAATAGGGAGAACCATACCAATACCCTCATATGAAAAGACGGCAGTGCCAATCATAAGACCAAAGTTATTAGGATTGACAAGATGAATATTATTGCCTACGCCGTGTTGAGCAATCTGAGTTGAACTGAAATAAATGACACAAATGAGACCAAAACTAATGAAGACATCGGCCAAGATAGCAAGCCAAGATAAACGGGCAATCTTACGAACCCAACAAAATGGAATCATAAATGCTAAAAAAATCCAGATGTAATACTTGGATTCGAATGGAGTATTACAGTTATTCAGGGTATTCACAACGGTATTAACATTTCCAGAAATAAAGATGAAATAAGAAGCTACGAAACCCATCTGAGTAAGACAAATGAACAAGTGACTTATGTGTCTTAACCAGGCACCGTAAAGATGTTGAGCTACATCACCATATGAGCCTCCCACTTCATTTTGTGCTTTCACTAAAAGCTGGTAAGCAGCCAGACAAATAATTGCAATAACAATCATCAGGACAATGGATAAAGCTAAACCACCGTTAACAAATCTAGAGATAAGAAAGATAGATTAGATAGATGTTTGGGTAGCACAGACATGTAGTAAGACTTACGAGCCTGGTAAAAAAATGACACCGGTACCGATGAAAGCTTTTAACAACATGAACACTATTCTGCCGAAAGAAGCAGTTCCTTTTGGTACATGCTCCAATTGTTCTTCGCAAAATGAATTATCATATTGATTTTCTTGTTTATACTTTTCGATAGTATTAGAGTCAGGAGAAGAAATAGGTTTCACTTCAAAATTATTATTGGTAGTAGACATAATGGAAAAGAAGAAAAGACTAGTATTGTAGCAAAATAAAAACTGCTTCAATGATCCCCAAACCGCCTTGTATTTATAAACAAAATTCAGGAACGGCATTTGAATATCTTTTCTTCCTCTTATGGGCTGGAAAGTTATGCGTGTGAAAAACAGTTGGCACCAATCGAAAATTACTGCAAACTCTATCTCAACTTATGTCACCTCTGTAATTATTTGTTATAGGCCACACTTTTATTAGCACAATTCCCATTTAAAGGATTCACTGTGTGACTCTATTTCTTTCTTGTTTTTTTTTTTCACTGCTAGCTGAAACCAAAAAAAAAAAAAAAAAAATTGGGAAGCACAGCTTATCTTCTCATGATAAAGTCTATCCAGTTATTAGATACCAGCGTTATCGAACAACTAAGATCGTGAGTTTCTCAATAGTCGTCTTTCATTCTACCTAACACAAAAAGCTTCTTTAATTTAAGATCGCTTGTTATAACGACATTACCGCAATGCATAAAAGAACTCATTAACAACGGTAACCTTCGCCGCTCCCCCGAAAATTTTGGGAGCAACGATTAAACAGTTTCTTTTTTTATTAGCCATTGATGCCAATGCAACCAGCATTGATATTTCTTTGGATATCGAAAAGTTTAGCTTACAAGTAAATGATAATGGAGACGGCATTCTAAATATGAATAAAATCGGGCAAAGGCACAGTGAGTAAAAAACGGAATAGGGTGGTGTAACACTTACAAAAAAACTTCTCTTTTGTTTTCGTTTGCAGCTACTTCGAAATGCCATAAGCTTTCTGATACAGAGCAATTAAAGACATTTGGATTCCGCGGTGAAGGTAACTTAACCTTAATAAGGAAAAATGATAATCGTTTTCGACCCCACATTTATGAAATCTCACGCCCTATTAGCTTTAGCCTCGATTACAAATGAAGCATTGGTGCAAATCATTTCCAGACATTGCATGTCCAAAGATACTTTTGAGGGCTTCTGGAGGGTAAAATATGTAGATATATATCTTATCGGGTACTTGAACTGATTACTTTACCCCTCCTGGGATCACAATCTGTAGGATGGAAGACTTATTGGCGATAAGATTACACTCTCTAAACACACTAGAAAAATACAGCCAGGTACCACTGTTATTGTGCGGGATTTGTTTTACAAGGTAACAAGATAAACAAAAAGCAAATCCTGTTGTTCTCATATCTCCATTACGCAAACCAGTTTCCTGTACGTCGCAGGTATTTGTCCTCTTATCAATATGTCGTCATCATGGAGTCTGTGAAACGTTTAGTTTTGAAGTTTGCGTTATGTTTTCATCATATCCATTTCAACCTTATAGATAGTGCCCGTGGTGCCAAAGTCATGATGATTAAAAAGGTACATAAATCAAGTGTCACATTTAGAATACTAACACACACTCAAGTCAAATACAAGTTTGGATGTATTCCGCCAACTGTTCGGCCATGAAATAATAAAGGTTTTTTTATACAATCAACCCAGTTAAAATAGTTCTTATACAGGAACCAACCATATATAGAATATTAAATATGTAGACATGCACGAGGACAATATCAATGTCCAAGGTTTTTTCTCCACCCGAGGTTACCCAAATAAGGTGCGTTTTATCAAAAGAAAAAAAGGTTATCATAGAGATAGATACTTATATTAAAGTGGTATCATAGTCTCACCAGTACATATGTGAGTTTTTTTTTTTTTTTTTTTTTTTTTAAAAAAAAATCTTTAACCTTATATTTTAATTTAGTCGTCAATAATTACTTTGTACCCAACGATAATGGATTATACAAGATAGTATCTGGGCTATTCTCAAATAGTAGTTTTGTGACATCTTTAAGAGTAAGACAACCACCGAAATTTCGGGAAAAAGTTTTCATTTTTTTTTTTTATTTATTTATCTTTCTGGATAGGATTCATCTTCTAAAGGTAAGGGTCGACTAAGAACTCGTATACCTTAGACTAATTTATTATTAGCTCGAACCTCGATACAGAAATATCCAATATATTTTATAAAACTCACATGCCCTGACTGGAGTTACTACGACATTGACACTTATCTGGATGTATTGTCTGAGTTTTCTGCTTACCCTGTGATTAAGAATCTTGTGAGCCAATTCACCACACAGTTTTTAAAATCAGCAGGTTTAATACCACCCAAAAGAAAAGAAAACTCCCTTGATGAACATTGTAGTAAAAAAAGAACAGGCTCTACCATCATTGATCACAGTAGAGCCAGTAAATATGTACAGCATGCATCCTCTTCCGTCGGGACAAGTTCTACTACGAATAACACTACATCAAGTATACCCAATGGCTTTGTTAGCTGGTGGGATGACTGTCAAAAGAAGTTATATTACATTGACCCACGTACAGGCAACTCGTAAGGAAAAGGTTTTTGTAACACATCCCAAACGACCCTACTAAATTCCTTTTTCTCACTCAGATATCTTGCGCAAACACAAAACCCAGCCATTGACAGGTCTCGTTTAAAATTACACAAAACATCATCCAATAAGCGAGCGCGCGTTATGGCCCCCCCTCCTCCATTGTCATTAGATTTACCTCTCAAACTGTCCAAATCAGATCTGAAAAACGCTCACGTATTAGGCCAAGTGGATAAAAAGTACATCATCATCAAGCTGGTTGATACTTTCATCATGATTGATCAGCACGCGGCGGATGAACGTGTGAAACTGGAGCAAATGATGAGTCCCTCTTCCTTAACCCCCACCATGCTAGAACCCAGTATTTGCATCGACTTGGAATCCCCTTTTGAATATCATTTAGTGGCCGGGATGCGGGATTATTACAAGAGATGGGGGATTTATTTTCATGAGGAGGAGACTTCCCATTTCTTTGTTTCAAAAGCTCATCCACACCGAATCCGTGTGACACAACTGCCCACACTTATCTTGGATCGATGCTTGATGAACCAAGCCTTATTGAAAAAATTGATTCAGGATTATGCCTACTGGATAAAGGAACAGAATCAAGAGAGTTCAATCAATGTATGCCCCAAGGGTATCATGGAGATTTTAAAATCCAGAGCTTGCAGAAGTAAAAACATACAAATGTATTTAAAAAGAACACCTCTAATCCTTCTTACTAAAGGTGCCATAATGTTCAACGATGTCTTGAGCTTACAAGAATGCAAAGAAATTGTAGGAAATCTATCTCATTGTAAATTTCCCTTTCAGTGTGCTCATGGAAGGTAAAAATGAACATCTTGCGACTATGTTATAATTCTTATATCAAAAGTATTAGACCATCTGCTATTCCAATCCAACCAAAAACACAGCAAATGCATACACCCCAAAGACAAATTAACTGGGACAAACCATTTTTGAAACGATAAAAAGTTTTTTATGATTAAAAAAAAAATGAAGAAGGGAAAAAGAGTCTAATTTACAGTATAAAGGGGGGTTTGGGGGAATAAAAAATAAATAAAATTACATATATTCTTCAGGAGAAGGACAAGTACACATCAAGTTACGATCTCCATAAGCATCATCGATACGAGAGATCGAAGGCCAGAATTTCTTTTCGCGAAGATAAGGCATAGGGAAAGCAGCGGTTTCACGAGAGTAAGGACGATCCCATTTATCAGCCATTAAAGTCTTGATAGAATGAGGCGCGCTGTTTAACATGTTGTTACCCTTGGGTAATTTGCCATCGACCACCTGTTGAATTTCACCACGGATAGAAATCATAGCATCACAGAAGCGATCTAACTCTGCTTTACTTTCTGACTCGGTAGGTTCAATCATCAAAGTATTGGTGACGGGCCAAGACATAGTAGGACTATGGAATCCATAATCTTGAAGTCTCTTGGCAACATCAATGGCTTCAATACCCTTCTCAACAAAAGGTCGGATATCCACAATAAATTCATGACCACACATACCGTTCTCGTTGGTATACAAAATTTCGTAATGCTCTCCAAGACGACTGGCCATGTAGTTGGCGTTCAAGATAGCAAGCTTGGTAGCTTGGGTAAGACCTTCACCACCCATCATCTTAATATAGGCCCAAGAGATGGGCAAGATAGAGGCAGAACCATAAGGAGCAGCAGAAATGGGTCCGATAGCGTTTTGACCACCACAGGCAATGACAGGATGACCAGGAAGATAAGGCTCAAGCTCTTTGGTACAAGCAATAGGTCCCATACCAGGTCCTCCGCCACCGTGAGGAATACAGAATGTCTTGTGCAAGTTCATGTGACACACATCGGCACCGATTTCAGCGGGCTTGGTCAAACCAATTTGGGCATTCAAATTAGCACCATCCAAATAGACAAGACCACCTAAATCGTGTACGACTTGACATGCCTCAGAGACACCGGCTTCAAACATACCAAAAGTGGAGGGGTAGGTAATCATGACAGCAGCTAACTTATCCTTGTGCTTCTTGGCCTTGGCCTTCAAATCAGCCATATCTAAGTTACCATCAGCATCACATTGGACAATGACGACATCCATACCACACATAGCAGCAGAGGCAGGGTTGGTACCATGAGCGGAAACGGGGATCAAACAAACGTTACGGTGTTCATCACCACGAGCATGGTGGTAGGCACGGATCACACGAAGACCAGCGTATTCTCCTTGAGCACCAGAATTAGGTTGAAGAGAGACACCTTCGAAACCAGTGATTTCCTTTAAATCATCAGCAAGTTCATCAAGCATAGCGAGGTAACCTTCAGTTTGATCGACAGGAGCGAAAGGATGGATGTTTGCAAATTCAGGCCATGTAACGGGGATCATTTCGGTGGTGGCATTCAACTTCATAGTACAACTACCAAGGGCAATCATGGAGTGAACTAAAGAAAGATCCTTGCTTTCGAGATGATGGATATAACGAAGCATTTCAGTCTCAGAGTGATAAGAGTTGAAAACGGGATGTTGCAAGTAGGATGAAGTACGTTCCAATTGATGAGGGAAAGTGGTGACTTGGTTGTCAAGGACAGTGGCAAGTTGTTCCATGCTGACCTCAGGTGTGCCTTCCTTTTGGAAAACACCGATCAATTTAGCAAGTTCGTCTTGAGTAACAGCTTCATCCAAGGTAACACCAATGGTGTTGTTATCAATGGCACGGAGGTTGATACCAGCAGCAGCGGCCTTTTGAAGCACAGCAGAGGAGTTACCTACCTTGACAGAAAGGGTATCGAAAAAGTTACCGTCGTTCTCAATGGTATAACCAGAGGTACGAATACCTTGAGCCAAAACGGCTGTCAAGTGGTTGATACGTTGGGCAATGGCCTTGACACCCTCAGGACCGTGGTAAACAGCATACATGGCAGACATGTTTGCTAAAAGTGCTTGAGCGGTACAGATGTTACTGGTAGCCTTCTCACGACGAATATGTTGTTCTCTGGTTTGAAGGGCAAGACGGTAAGCGTTGTCACCAGCAGCGTCTTTGGAGACACCAATCAAACGACCAGGCATACGACGCTTGTGTTCATCTTTACAGGCAAAGAAAGCAGCATGAGGACCACCGAAACCCATGGGAACACCGAAACGTTGAGAGTTACCCAAGGCCATATCAGCACCGAATTCACCGGGGGACTTGAGTAAAGTCAAGGCCATCAAATCAGTAGCAACAGCAACTTGACCACCAGCAGCATGAACACTAGCAGTTAAATTCTCATAATCCTTTACGGAACCACGAGTATCAGGGTACTAGCCAAAAGAAAAAAGGTTTAGTTTTTTCTTCCCGTCACACACACACACACACACTTTATCTCTTTACCTGTAACAAGACACCAGCAAGACTCTTCTTGTGTTCATCAAACTTGTAATTGAAAGTATCTGCAATAACAACCTCAATGTTGAAGGATTCAGCACGAGTCTTTAAACAAGCAATGGTTTGAGGATGACAGTTTTCGTCGACAACAAAGAGGTTCTTCTTGCGACGACCAGCTTGCCATGCCATCAACATGGCCTCAGCAGCAGCGGTACCTTCATCTAAAAGAGAGGCATTGGCAATAGGTAAACCTGTTAAATCGGTAATCATGGTTTGGTAATTCAAGAGAGATTCTAAACGACCTTGAGCAATCTCGGGTTGATAAGGGGTATACTATATCTTTTTTATCAGAAAGCCATTTTAGTTTCTCTTATTTTTTAATGTTACCTGAGTGTACCAGGCAGGATTCTCGAGAATATTACGTAAGATAACGTTAGGAACAACGGTATCTGTATAACCTTGACCGATATAAGAACGGTTAATCTTGTTTTTGGATGCGACGCTCTTAAGACGGGCAAGTAATTGGCGTTCGGGGATGCCCTCACCAATGGCTAAAGGTTTAGGGGAGCGAATGGTAGGAGGGATGGTCTTTGCGAGCATTTCTTCAATGTTCTTGACGCCGAGTTGTTGTAACATGCCTTGAACCTCATTGCCCTCAGATCCGATATGACGACGAGGGAAAGTATCGAGAGGAGCTAATTTAGCAAGGACAGGCTTGGATGTGTGCTGAAGACGAATAAAAGGTCTTGTAGGTTGTCTTGCGGAAACCAATCGCTGTGTGGGCAAACGAGCAATAGCACCTTTAGATCTGATGGCAAGGCGAGACAACATTTCTAAAGTAATATATAAAGGTGTATGATAAAAGAGAAGAAAAAATAAAAAGAAAGCACGAAATTCTATTTATTTTTAATCTGGGCGCGTGAAAATGGCTTCCCTTTCCCCAAAGATGGCTCGTATCTATTGGCGAAGGCAGGTTTGATCTACCTACCATTACAGGCAAAATTCGGACCCGAGTACGTCCACTCTGTCAAAGTAGTCACTTTTTTTTTTTCAGGAAAAAAAAACTTGCCTTTTAAAGGTCGTTTTTATTGTTTTTTGCATTTTTACCCCTCATTTTTTCTGCTCTTTTAACACTCCACTTTTAGCACCCCCCAGTGTATACATGTTAAGACTTTTTGGTGATTCATCAAAGCATGTGTCTATCACGGATATATGTGCTGTTTTACATTTTATTGAGAATGGATTTGCATTCTATCCGGATTTTTGCTAATCTTTCAATTGATAGGGGACATCCCGATTTGTTTACATGTTGTTTTGTGTCACTCGCTAACAAAATTTTATTAAAAAATTCGCACGGCATCTACTTTTTTTTTCTTCATTTTGTGACAAGATCTACATCTATTTGCCGGGCTCTCAAACGTTTTTTTATTGTTGTTGTTGTTGTTGTTGTTGTTGTATAGCGTACACATACTGAAACAACAACAAAAAGGCTCACCGGGTATTCAATTATGTTAAACAATTAACGGGGATTATAAACTTCCCCTTTTTGTTTGAACAGGGCATATTTTACCCTTTTCGTTATCTTTTAACCACTCATGTATCCTTATTTCTGGCTCCTATAATAGAGAGCTTCTGATATCGAATTCCTATTAATGCTTTTAATATATTGCCTCCAAAGGACCTTATACAAGAGGAACTCGGGCTGAATTCAGTCTTCTCATAAAACGTCGTATTGACAGTTTTAACATGGCTAAAGAGCATCCCATGTCCATGCTTGACTCCTTATTGTTAGATTGAAATGGCTCATTTACAACTTATTTTAGCCATTTGCAGAAAATAATTGTTTGAAAGTCCACCGTTCTGAAAACAAAAGAGCACCGGTACATGGCTTTTTGCTTGCTGAGCAGAGATCACACTCATAATCGTTCTACGCATTCGTTAGAATATTCCAGCCATTGATGATGATGATGATGAAAATAAATATTACGTTCAGCTGAGCTTTGATTATATTCCTATTGTGGGAAATAAAACTTGTTTCTATAGAAAACTCTTTCTGGTGGTACATAAATGGCATCGATCACTACCGATTTCAACGAAATTTGCCAAGAATATTTACAGCCAAATGTGTCTTCTGGATGACTAATTTTTACCATTTGTTCTTTGATTACTGTACTGGACTGCACTATTGCTTAGCACTTATTTTTTTTTCGATGTAACGTTTCACCCGGCTAAAAAATATATATATATCTGAATGTAAAAAATATGCAGAGACCCTTTTTCCTTTTCATTATTTAAAGAAAGAAAGAAAGAAAAAAAGATGAAGTGGATGAATACGTTGATATTTTCCAAGATAATCTTGTGTCTTGAGCTATTTGCACAATCTGTAGTTCTGGCAACAGAAGCTGGTAATAAACAAGAAAGAAAAAAATGACAGTATCCATGCAATGCATACTAATCTATCATTTCTTTCATCAAAAGTGAGTAATGCGCAATACAAAAAGTTTCCACCTTCTGGTATTATGATAGGCTACACCGGACAGGTAGCTTGATAACCCAATTGACAACCAAAAACACCCATTTAACACAATAATTACAACAGAGTTTATTAGTAATTATTGTAGCCATTTTATTGATCCTTCTGACAGTACTTGTGTTCCGAAACGTGGGTCGAGTGATATTTGCCACCTCTTGGAAAATCGCTTTATCCTGCGTTGGTTTCTCCATGGCAAGTGTTGCCTTCCGATCATTCTCGTCGGGTTTTATAGTGAGCGAACAAAGTGCTTATTGTAAAGTATCACACAAGAACCCGTGTAACAAAAACATTCTAATTTTTTTTTTTTTTTTTTTTTTTTTTTTTTTGCATTTTAGACATCAGTTCTTATAACATCACCTCATACTTTATAGTCATTGGCGCTGCTGTTTGGATTCCATTTGGTTTTTGCAGAAGCGAAGAATATTTACCAGATCCTCCAATGGATGCTGAAAGACATCAGATACGAAGCACACATGGTCAGCAAAGAATGTTTACCCACAGACCTCATCAAGACGAAGATAACAATTCCATCCTAAATAATCAGGGAACACGTGAGGAATTACCATCTTATTTCGAAATGATGCGACCTCCATCTTATAAAAACATGAGCCTGCCTGCTGAAACACATGCTTTAAATGACATGAATGACAGTTCGCCATCGAATGAATCCACTCATCAGAGTCGTCCCCCTTCCATCAATGATCAGAGATATACTTCTGTGGTAGTAGATGAACACAGAACCATGCATACTAATTAGTGGCACTTCTCCAACGTGACCCACGTATCATTCCTGGCAACACGATCCGTGTAACAAACACCCGAAAAATCAATCTACGTACACTAATTATATGACAGCAGACACACCTACCTATATATTGTATATTATCCTTCCTATACCAAAGCCTAATGTCTGTTGTTTTTTGTAACTTTTTTCTTCTTCTTTGTCCGTAATAAACTGTAGTAATAATAGACCTTTTTATGGAGTATGCTAAGAAATTTGCAAAGGTGTTCCTTACACATCTCACATAAACATGATTAAAATACTTGCATTTTACGTTCACATGAAATACATGGTCTTAGATTACAGCACATATTATCGTTGAACTCTTAAAACAATCTACATGTGATTTTGTCATGTTACAACCCAAAATTAATTATGCATACTTAGATATCTGACACTTTAAACAGGCTTAAAGAGACAAAAATTGCTTCTCCTTTGTGCTGACTTTACTCAACAATATTTTTAGACTACTTTTTATATTTGCCAAATGGTTTTTATACCTTAATGAATAAAAAAAGGGCTTTTGCCAGACTTTGGTAGACACGAGTATAACCTTCTGGTAGAACACTCCCTCGTATCTTATTACAAAGTTATACGAGGTAATTAGCAGCACTATAAAAGTAAATACAATCAGATAAAGCGACTGGAGAAATCCGACCTAACTTCTTATGCATCTAATTTTCTCGTAGTATTCCAAACTGGTATTAAATACAAAAACTGCGAAGACAGATACAGGCGTGTATTTTGCTGGATGGGTTTATTGGCGCTTTACTAATGAAAACAATATCGAGTCGAAGTGCAATATCAAGCTATAACAGTTTTATTTAAAGACATGAAAAAAAAATTGAGACGTATTTATTATAATGAGAAAAGGGGAGCCATGTGATCATTTTTGGTGGGCCAATTCGGCGGGCGCGGTTCTTCGGAATCCCTGGGATTTTTATTTTTTTCTTGGCAGGCCTCGTTTATATATAAATGCATAATGTTTTTTCTGAAAAAAAAAAAGGATCTGATAAGAAAAAAAAAATGTCTGCTCCCACTTTATTAAACATCCATATCACACTTGACGAAAAAGAGCAAATCACACTCACCTTTTCACCCGAGAAGTATAACTGGGAAAATCTTGTGGATGCCATCATATCCAACAGTTCAACATGTATCGACTTACCCATCCTTCTATACTATCGGAACGGACCCACCATAGGGTCAGTAGAGAATGAAGAGCAACTCTCAAAATTGTCCAAGGTAAAAGAATTTTACACTCAAAGTGAGCTAGTCAAAGAAACAGCATTTGTCCGTTTGGGTAAGCTCGTGGCGACACACAAAGGAGAGATTGCTTCCAATCCATATATATCTCGATGTATTGGTATTATGGCCTCAGCAATTGCCCTAGACACAAATAACAAGGCCTTTGAGAATGAGTTTACAGCTTTGGAAAAGTTGATTTTGTCAGGACAAGATGACACACCTGTAATGACCACTCGACCACACGGCGAAGTAGGAAGATTCGGTCGCGGTCGCCATGGCGGTCGTCATGGCCGTAATCATGGAGACTTTGGTGGAAAGTGTTCTGAGCCCTTTCGTCGTGGAGATAATTCCGAAGAAGTGGATGTTTTAAGAGCACAATTATCCAATACACATATTGAAAAACGAGAGTTTAAAAGACACCATGGCGGTCTTTATCACTAAAAAGGGCCTTTATTTTTTCTTCTTCGCATAAAAGTAATAATAAAAACCCATTTATAACCAATGGATTCATATTCACTCATGTCATAAAAAAAAAAATGGAAATAATACAAAGTTTATTTTGAAAGCTATGGCGAATATATGGCTTTCTTGTGGTTGTAAACTCATAACTCGTTATTTTAAATTGAATTTTCTACATAACAAAACATCATTTTCGCACACGGTTTCAAGCCAAAAAATTACTCAGAATAATTGAAAATACAATATGGAAGTATAAAATCGAAATTTCGAAAAAATATTTGGAGGGCCCAAAATCGACCAAAACACCAAGGGTAACACTCGACAAAAATGACAAAATTTACAAATGCGTCATTTGCAACCCCTTCCCGCAACTTTCATAAAAAGTGTTATTATGTAACAATAGCCCAAATTAAACGCTTTTTTTACTGGTACAATTTGTGGCGCGGCTTTACTATGTAAATCATGAAATAAAGCGTATAGTTAAAAATACGGTTTTTATCAGACAAAGTTTTTATTTTACATAATAAAATTCAAAATAACTGCTTTAGAAATATTCTCCTTAATTTAAAGGTTGTTTTGGTTATAAGATTATCTTAGTAAAAGTCTCATATCCAGCGACTTTACATTGACACGAAAATTCTTTTTTATCAAATTGATCCAAAACAAAAAAAAAGAATCGTGGGGCATACGCCACATATATCGGAGACTGAAAACAACAACACACCTAATCTTTACAACTATTAATTGGAGTACCACGGTTACATTTATGTATGCGACATTCCAGCTTAAGAGTAAACCCTTTAAAAAGAAAGCGCAGCCTTATACTCATGTAAAATGAAAACTAAGACATAGAATTGTAACTGTGCGTTTTTCACAACATTAAGGGAACCTATTCAACATTTTACCATTCAACATGTAGGAAGAAACCGCTAATTGAGGTGGGGGAAAAGTATTATACACAAATGGGATAACTGGGGGGTTTTTTTTTTATTTGTTTCTAAAATAAAGTTTAAATATATAAAAAGAGGGGGAATTATTAGTCAAGATTTTCTTGTTGAGGGGTTTCGTCACTGATATAACTATAAGATTTTTCGTTGGTTTCTTCAAAAGCATAAAAATCTGCTACAACCAAAGGTCTCGTATTGATTTTCTATGATTAATATGAGTAAGGGGATTTTTTGTAGATATTTATATATGTATATATATAATACTTACGGTGGTATCAATATCGATGAGATCCTGGCTAGCATCCTCGCTAGAGTAAACGGGTTGAATTGAACGAACATATTCACGGATAGGGATCATAGCAGCGTTACGACACAATTCCTTTAAATCACTGCCAGACAAACCTGCAGTTCTTTGAACCAATTCATCCATCTTGAAATCAGGGGCCAATTGAATGTTCTTTAACAACAGTTCCAAAATGCTCTTTCTTTGAGACTCACTGGGTAATCGAACAGCAAAACGTTTGGGCATTCTTCTCAAAATGGCAGAATCGATATCGTTGGGTCTGTTAGTAGCACCCAAAATGACGATACGGCTATCCTCTCCTGTAGTCAAACCATCCCAGAGACTCATAAATTCAGCCTTCATCATACCTGTTGTTTCGTGATCTGTACTTCTACGTTCACGCAAGAACGAATCAATCTCATCAATAAAGACAATCGAGGGTTGTAACTTTCGGGCTAAAGTAAAGACGGCGGAAACTAGCTTGTTGGATTCACCATAATATTTATCGGTCAAGGTGGAAACATGGATGTTGATGAAGGTAGCACCACTTTCCTTGGCAAGCGCTTTGGCCATCATGGTCTTACCGCAACCAGGAGGACCGTATAATAAAACACCGCGAGGAGCTCCAAGTAAGCCGGAGGCAGACGTGAATAACTCGGGGTAACAAAGAGGGTAAATCACACTCTCACGAAGATCTTGAATGATGTGATCAAGACCACCGATTTCTAGAGTAAAGGTTTAATGGACAATCCCCTCATCTCAAATGTGTTTCTTACGTTTGAAGTTGACGCTAATTTCGTCAGCGTGAATCACTTCAGCTGCAATAATTTGTTCATATTCGGTCAACTTTAAATCCTTGGCCTACAACAACAAGTGAAAGTGTTAAAAAAAAAGAGATTCTCTTGTTTGTTTAATCATCATCCTTACACCTAGTTTACCAAGCACTTTATTACTTTTGGCTTTTGCTTCTTGACGCTTAGCCTTGGTTGGATCCAATGAACCTACAATGAATTTGAAGGCGAAATAAAAAGCGACTTGAGAGAGAGCAAATACAGCCACTGGGGAAGACAAGGTTAGTGACATGATAAATAGAAATAGTGTCTAAGGGGTACCATCTGCTGCATATTTTTTAGTCTCTGGACGTTGTAACCAAGATTTGATCATCATGAATAGCGATTACACACACAAAAAAAAAAAAAAAGAGAAAGTATGGGTAAAAGAAGAAAAGATAGAGCAGTCTATCTTTCACATGGAACTATATTATTTTTTATTTTTATTTTGTGACGTTTCCTACCCCGTTCCGAAGCTAGGTTTATGATTGGACCCTTAACATAGTTTGTAAAGTAACTTTTGAACTGTACAAGGGGGGGCTTACGAGAGAAAATAAATACAGCATGTTCAGGGCATTTAGATTGACTTTTTTTTTTTTATTAATACCTGAAATATGCATCCAGAAGATCCTTTACAGCCTATAACTCATTTCAACAGCAGCAGAAACCCCCGGGTCGAATTCAAACCCGGAAAAAAAATCGAATAAATTCACATGCAACCGTTACTGAATATCCTTTTTTTCCCCCTTCTTTTATTTCTTTTTAAAAAATGCAACCTTGGACTGAGAAAGGTGGTAGCAGTAGTCGTCATCAAAGTTCATTAAATTATGACCACACATTATCCCATATCAACCAACCACATCAGCAACAACAACAGCAGTCAAGTAAAGGTTTCCGTACTGCTCGCGATAGTGGTTCATCGTCCAACTATGTAGAGGAAGAAGAGACACGACAAAGATCAACATATGATTTCTCTCCTGTCTATACAAACAACAGCAATATGCTCAATTTGGGTGATGGAGCTGATGTAATGAATTTCTTGAATTCAAAAAGCTACAGTGATGAAGTTTATGGTGATGATTTAAGACCCGATTCAATGAGCTATATCAGCCACAGACATCAAATGGACACACAACATGGATTTGCGGAAAAGGAGAAAACACTGGCATTGTTAATGGAAACAGAAGATATTGTAGAGTATTTAAAAAAGACGACTTACACAGATGATATTTATGGAATTCCTGTCTTGGGTCAATATATCAAGGAAGCCAAAGAAGCTGTGGAAAATGGTGCGCATAGTAAAATAGCCGTGGAACGATTAAATATGATTCGAAATCATTTGGTAGAAAAATCTCACGGCGATTTCAACTTGGCCGCACAAAACGCTTTTAGAATAAATCCAAATGATTGGTCCTCAGATTTTCTTGACTCATAGTCTGTTGGATCGGAGTGAAAACTTTAACGTTTGGTGTAACCTTCCCTTTATGTATAATTCTCTCTTTTTCTGAACAATATAAAAAAAAAAATTTTTTATGTTATTTTTCTTCTTTTTTTTTTCTTTCATAACAAATAAAAAAAAGAAGATAGATATAAATATTTACATACTATAAATGAACGAACGTCGTAGACAAGAGGATAATATTTCAATCCATTCTTCTGTTTCTTCAACACCTACAGAATCCACGCCCTTGATTCTTGGAATCTCACATAGCGAGAAATATGTAGCAACCTGGAAAAGTGAATTTCAATGGTTGATCAAGAATGCTTTACCAATCGTATTTACCTTTTTATTACAAAACTCACTTCAAATGGCCTCCATCTTTACACTTGGTCACTTGGTAAGTCCATTGATAAAATATATTTATGATTGAATACTAAACCTTTTTTTTTTTAAAAAAAATAGGGTCCTACAGAATTAGCTGCCGCAGCACTTGCCAGTATGTTTGCTAGTGTTACTGCATGGAGTATTGCCTTTGGTACTGCTACTGCTCTCGATACATTATGCTCTCAGGCCTGGACAGGTGCCAAAGATAAAACTTTGGTGGGTGTACATTTACAACGAGCCTTGTGTATCCTTGGTCTGATGTTCATTCCTATTGCCTGTGTCTGGTGGAATTGTACCTCCCTCTTATTGAGTTTAAATCAGGATCCTCAATTAGCTGAACAAGCTGGTCTGTTCTTGCGTTGTTTGATGTTGGGTGCTCCTGCTTTTATTGCCTTTGAAGCCACCAAAAAGTATTTGCAAGCTCAAGGTATTATGCAAGCCTCTACCTTTGTCTTGATGTTTGTTTCTCCTCTTAATCTCGTCCTGAACTATACCTTTGTATACCTGCCTCCATTCGAATTGGGTTTCATGGGAGCTCCTTTGGCCACTAGTTGCAGTTATTGGTTGATGTTGACCTTATTGGTTTGTTATATTAAATTCGTAAAGGGTAGTGAAGCATGGGGTGGATGGACTTCAGAATGTTTAACAGGTTGGTGGCCCTTCTTAAAGATCTCCATTCCTTCTCTCTTGATGATCACTGCCGAATGGTGGGCTTTTGAATTATCTTCTTTGGCTGCCAGTTACTTGAGCACCCGAGACCTTGCTGCTCAATCCATCTTGTTAACCTCTGCTTCTGCTTTATATACCATTCCTTTCGGTATCTCCGTTGCTGCATCCAACCGTATTGGTAACGCATTAGGTGAAAGTAATGCTAACAAGGCCAAGATTGCATCGCGTGTAGCCTTTTTGTTTGCGGTAGTATTTGGTGCCATGAACTCGACCTTCTTCATGTTGGTACGACACAAGTTTGGGTATATTTTTACGTCAGATGATGATGTAGTTGCACTTGTAGCAAAGATTATACCCTTGGGAGCGCTCTTCCAGATCGCAGATGGCTTATCAGGTGTATGTGGTGGTGTTATCCGTGGTATGGGTCGTCAATCATTTGCCGCTTGGGTCAATTTGTTTTCTTACTATGTCGTTGCATTGCCCTTGGGTTATTACTTGACATTTGTATTGGATTGGGACTTGGCAGGTCTTTGGATTGGTTTGTGTTTAGCCTTATTCTTAGTGGCTTCTGGAGAAGTCATGTATTTGTTATGTGCGGACTGGAATACAGAAGTCAAGAGAACTCAGGAGCGTGTACATGCCGACGAAGATCATCTTCACGAAACGCTTAGTCACTTTGATGCCTAAAGCTCCATATTTTTACCCTCTATATACATAATTTTTACTTAGAATTTTAATTTTTCTCACACCCCCTCATCAGCATTTTAAACCATATTATACAAATAAAAATAAAAAGTGTTTCCATTGTATAACGTCATTATGTAATATATTTTGTTATTTATTGTCACACATTGCCCTACTAAAATGTCGCCATTTTCCTCGTTCAAGTGTAACCTCGTACGAAAAATGCATTGTTCCTTTCCGTCTTTCTGTTTACAAAGACCGAGATGCAGGTCCGCTAAATTTGCTTTTTTTTTTTCTACTATATATTAGTCACCTTGACTATATTCTTTGTCAACACTATACATAGCTTAATAAATGATATTCACAAATTAGGCTTCGTAACTCCTAAAAACTATAATTACAAAAAAAAAAAATAGGATTCATGAGTAGGTACCCGAAGAATGCGAGTCTTTTTTAAAATATAGGTCATCTTTAAAGTAACGTGAACAGAAGATAATAATAGCGTTTCTAAACTTTAAAACAGGGTTTAGTCATACACACTCATTGTGACAGCACATCGGTTACTTTTCGAACTTAATCTAGACTCTTTTTTCTTAAATATCATATACCTTTTTGCGATTATTGAATTGATTAAAATATTCATGACGTCTCGTTTTTAATCTATACAAAGAGAAATAACAGTTCTTTTATGACGTACTTTTAAAAAAGAATAATTCCCCGCCCCCCTCTTGCCTCCTGAATGCAAGAGGTATCCCTTAAAAAAAGATTCAATGTAATTATAGAACAATGAAAAAAAAAAACTGCCTCTGTATTAAACTTTTTATTATGGTATTTTTTAAAAAGTAATCTCGCCTACCCAGTTACGTCTTCTATAATGACACGTCTTAACTCTATAGTCTACAATTTTTCGAATGGGATAAACTGCCACTGCCGCCAGGACAAGACCCACGGACACAGCCACCGTGATGATCATCATATGCGTAGCAAAAATGACACCTTGTTGTCCTGCATTTACAATAATACTAAGTTCATTTGTATGCACCTTGGAGGTGAATGTACTGATCGACGATGCCACACCGACCGACCCCGGTACCAGAAACAATAGACCTGTAATCATATCCACAAACCCTACCGTCGGCCGAAATCTGGCGTAGAAATTCGATACAATAGCAACCGCAAAAGCCGATAGTACTGTCGCCACATGTTGGTACGAGGCCAAATACTGCAACGCAAAAAAATGAATGGCATGTGCCAATGCAGCCAAGAACACAATGACGGGGATTTTTCTTGGATGGCCTCGCAAGATGATGACATTAGCAATAGCAAAAATAGGCACAAAAGCGATATGGTAATAAGGCGAGATACCATTTTCGCACTGTTGGGTGTCGGCACTAATCAGGTCTAATGCAGGAAAGACGAGTTTATGGAAACTGGCACCAATCGCCAGCCCAAAGCCAATTAAGAGAGAATAAACAAGCGATGTGATCAATCTTAGAGTACCCGACGCAACTTCCCCTGCCGCAATTTCAAGAATAGAAACAAGTGTAGCATAGCCTGGCAAAATACTAACTACACCCCCAATAGAAAGTGCGTAAAAGCAAGATGTGGTAGTAGGAAAGCGGGCAGAAATGACGGCAGCTAGAAATCCAATGACTGCACTTAAAAGCACATCAAATATGCTGGCAAAGCGAGTGACTCTTTTGGAGACATGCTGAGTGCCTAAAGCAACAATGAAGCCCAGGATAAGACCAAATGCCATGTCGACTTCGCCTCCCGAGAAAAATAACGGCGTACTAGCGCTAGATGCAACTGCATAGGCTAACCATGTTAACCACATCGGATAAATTACTGGGTCTCGAGAGATGCCATCTAAAGTCTGGATGGCTTCGTCAATGGATACTTCGTCGCATAGAATGGATTCAAAAAGTTGATAGGTTTGTGTTAATTTATGAAGGTTTAGAACAGACTCTGTTTTAATAATCTGAACCGATGCAGCTAGGTTCTCTATAAAGGAAAAACGGGGTTAGTAGGAATAAAAAGAGAACCTTAATTAAAATAGAGAAGGGGACTTTTTTTTTTATACCTAAATCACCAAACGAAACGACTAGAAATCCCGGAAAGTAACCAAATTGAGCTTGTATATGGAACTTTTTTAACAAGAGTTGTAGACAATAATCCAATCGATGTGAAGGAGCTCCAGACGAGACTAATAATTTCGAAAATTTAAGCAAGAATACCGAAATGGCAGAAGTGGTAGACAAGGAAGATGACGATGCTGTGAATAAAGAATATATTAAATTTGTAGAATTGATAGATTGCGTTTTCGTTGTCGTGGTAGCGTTACAACAACAACAATTGTCGTCAGCATAAGGGTTTTCTGTAATTTCGTACATGGATTTCGATCGACTGTTTTTCTTTTTGATGCTTTTGTTAGTAGTATAATTTAAGAAATTCGACCAGTGGCTATGACCGGAATGAATGGAAGTTCCCTCCGATGAAGGCTTTTCTGTCAGTCGTGGTGGTGTTGTATTAGGTGATTGCTTACAATTTTCATGCATTTTTTTTTTTTTTTTATTAAAAGGTATAATAGGATAATTGATAAAAGAAAGTAGAAAAAGAAAACAGAAAATATAAAGAGAGAGAGAGAGAAAAAAAAAGCAGAACAAAAAATTCTATTATAGTTCTTACTATTCACATTCTTCATTTAATGTTTCTCTCCTTATAAACACAGATGGGGAATCCCTTTCTTTTTGATCACTTTACTATATTTGTATGTAAAACTCCCTCAACTATTTTGAAGAAGACAAAGCACGGTCTAAAAAAGGCGGATTGTTGAATACACATATATGTTTATATGAAATATGATGCCTACCTTTATATACTGGTTGACGCTCATATGCATTTGGACTGACTTCTCTTGGGTTTCTCTTCTTCTTCTTTTGTACTGTATGCTTATGCGTACATTTACCATTGATATGTGGGCGTTCATCCTCACTACTACTGGAATTATCACTATCACTGCTGCTACTGCTTTCGGATTCCGAGGATTCTCCAATTGCATGAGGTTTATGGTAAATACAGCAAACTTTTTTTAAAAAAAAAAATAGTTAGCAAAATGACGTTATCATAAGAATAATTTAATTTTACTTTTTGTTTTTTTCTTATTCATGTGTTCATTATCAATGACACTTTCATCCCATTGAATGGCTCTGGGTCTTCGAGAATTCATGTCGCCTCGTAATCTCAATACACCGACATGTTCTCCATCATCACCGGAATCTGTGTCTTCTCCGCTTTGTACTGCAATATCCTCTACAACCAGAGTTCGGGAACCATGAGCGGTTGTAGGTGTTTCTTCTCTCATTCTTGTGGACGTTTCTGTAAAAGGTGAATTACTCATTATTTTTAAGTTATAAAAGGGCAAAGAAAAAATATTTTTCGTTTTTTTTTGGCTTAATAAAGGTAAAATGTTGTCAAGGGATTATTTCAATGTCCGCGAGACACACTGCTACTACATGTCTAAGCGCAGTCAATTCGAAAAGTCGATATGCCCAAGAAGCATAATTGTAGTGGACACATTTGGTTACCAAATTTTAACTCAAGACTTTTGGATGTGCCTTTTTTAGCTGGTATAAAAAAGATGTTTCCGTAAAGACTTCTTAAGCTATTTTATCTTCAGTTCATAAAGTTAAAGCGCAAATTAAATTTTGTAAAATCATCGCAAAAAGGTTACAAAGAGATGCTGTTAGGATTGCGTGGGATCTGGAATCGAATGAAACCTCTTCGTTAAACTTTAACTAGATCACTTTATGCTCATCATCATTTACTTAGTAAAACTCGTCTCCATGCGACGAGCCAGCACAGTTGACCTAACTTGCTCAAAGGCTTTTCAGGTTTGATGATCTCAGCCATCCAATCAATATACCTGGCCGATAGAACATAAAAAAAAACCAATTGTCTTGCACAGTGCTTCTAACTGCTAGTCTCAAGTCGCATGGGCAATATTTCCTTGATGGTATAAAAATAAAAGATATGACAAGGCATGATTTTTATGGGTATGAGCTTTTTTCCAACTTTTTTTTTATTCAACAAACTTCATTTGAAGCAAGTATGCTAATGTCGTGTCAGCCGATGGCCTATCGATTGGATCATTTGATAATCCCATGGATAAAAGATCAAAGAATGCTTCGAATCGTGGATGAATTCTAGCAGAAGAAAAATCGACACTGCCGTCCTCTTTCCTTCGTAAGATTTCATGGTAAAATTCATCATCACTTAGATCTGCTGTTAATAACTCTGCAATAATGAGCGTGGCCATAAACACATCTGACGCTTTACAGAATTGGCGTTTCTTGATCATTTCGGGAGAAGAAACGTTTACTGTCCAGGCTACCTCTTCTTCTTCAAGATCAACAATGTCCCTATTATTAAACTCTATACATGAACTAGATAAAGAGATTAATCCTTGATTTTTGTGATACAAGATTGATAAATTGTTACCCAAAATCTGTCAACCATCCCGCTCCGGAAGAATCAATCTACATAACCGTTAGTTTAGTCATAAAACAAAAAGGATTTTGATTCGCTTACCAAGAAATTTTCCAGCTTAAGATCCACGATTCCAATACCTAACTCATGAGCATCGGTCAATGCAGAGAACAAACCAACGGATGCTTGTAGGGCTTCTGAAGGTTGAAAGGCGGCTTCTATAGAACCCATCTGTCATTTTAGTACATATTATTGAATTCGTATGATGGCTTGTGTTACCTCGTCTGTCTAAATAACTTCTAGCATCTCCATTGGCGACATACCTTTGTAATACATAAAGCTTTTTGGTATTACCCTTGATATCAGTCTCCACTCGATTTCGCTTGCAATAAGTCCATCCAATATATCGATTGATATTGCGACACACGGACAGTTTAGCTGCAAACTTTAATTCACTTTCGATTTGAAGGTAAAACGTATCAGGTTTGGTTCTTACACGTTTACTCTTGCAAGCGACCAACAAGTTCTTATATTTTGCTAGATGTACCATCCCCATTTGTCCCTCACCTAACACAGTATCCAATACTTGCAAATCCTCTGCGGGTATTTGGTGACCATGCTTCGGTATTTTCGTAGCTTTCGGCCTTTTTATAGTTTTTGTTTCTTCTGTTCTTATTAATGGCGAGTTGCAGATTGATTGTAATGGGGTATTGTCTTCTTTTTTGATCTCTACTTTACATTCTGATTCATTCTCTTCCTCTTCTGTAAAATCATCTCCCGCTGTTTCATACTCTTCTTCTGTGGCAATATAGTCTTCTGTGCCATCATCTTCTTCTGTGACAGTATATTCATCTATGGTATCATCTTCCTCTATTGCATCATCTTCTTCTATGGCATCATCTTCTGCTATAGTGACATCGCCTACATTTTCTCCCTCTATTTCTGTGTCCTCGTCTTCATCATCTATTCAACCAAATCAGTTTTTTTTCCCTCGTTTTTCCTATGAACTAAATGCAATTACCAAAGACTAATTTGTATCTCCTCGTTTTTCCGTTTTGATGATGTACTTCCAGCTGTTCCACTGATAAATCATATCTGATATCGGATGCGGCTAGTGTGGCGTCTGACAATCGCCTCTTCAGACAGGGGATTTCATCCTCACTCATCGGTTGATAGCTACTAATACTACTACTACCACTCTCGTTTAGTTCATTTACGTCAGAAAACTTGGTATCGGGAATGTCGCTGTTTTCAAAGTGTAGCTGTAAGAAAAGGTTGTCAAAAACGCGCCAAAGAAAAGTTTATCTAGGAATTGAACTTACTTGAACAAATTCAAAAGGCTCAGCTGAAGATTCTGACTTGATTTGTCTATATTCCATTGCTAATGTGCGAAAAGAAAAGAAGTGAAAAAAAAAACAGAAAGGAAAAATAAAATAAAAACCAAGCTGTCGGTCACTCAAATGGCAGGAACAACGTTTTTGGATTCCGAAAAAAAAGTGTTTCACTCTCTTGATGTGTAGCAACTAATAAAAAAGTGCCATTGTTATTTTATCTGACACAAACAGATAAAATATATGTTTTATGCTTTCCAGAGTATTACAAAGAATGTCAACAAGAAAAAAAAATAGTTATATATAGAAATCACGTGATGTTCCTGACAAAAATAAAAACAGGTGAGCGATCTCTTGACTTTTTTATCTGTTGTGTGGGGGAGGGGGGGGGATCAGCAGCCTTTTATTTTCTTTGCTTAACAAATAAAAAATGAATGGTAGCATCTCACTTAGACCTTTGCATTTACGAATACTATTTCCACATCTGTTGACGTTATCTAAAACTAACCCGAGAAGATATAAAGCACCCAAAGATATTACTCATTCCAAAGCCATTGACTTGGAACTCTATACTTATTTTGCTTTGCTTCTAAGAGACTTCATTCATCCTTGGTACAGATTGCTTTCCACTGATGAAGAACTTTCTGCTGAAATATTAAATATACTGACCTTAGTTGTTCAAAAACTAGAGAAACGTTTATGCGACGAGGTACATATATTTTATAAAAAGAGGGCCTGGAATTCTTTCCGTTTTCTTACTTATGTATTAGGTGGATTGGACAGAGCTTATACTATTAGATCTCCCAAAACTTCTCACCTTACACTATCACGATTTTCGACAAGCAAAAGCTCGTTTGTATATGGACCATGGAAGTGGCTGCGATTCTCTCAGCCAGTTATTTCATGGTATGCAACCTCACTTCGCCTTACAACCTATCGAAAATCGGGAGCAAGAGTATTTAAGACTCTTGACAGAATCCTTATTGAAAGCACTTCTGAAACCAGAAGATTATCAAAGTGATTGTGTGCGACATTTAGTTCGCGAAATCTTATCCAACTTGGTCCTGTTCAATTTGATTGAATCTTTGGCGGATCCTTATACCATCCATATGATCATTTGTAAGGTACAAAGCGAAACAAAAAAGAAAAAAAAGTTAAACACTTGTGGATCCTTTCTAATATATTGTAGCTCCTTTCCTCTTATGAAGCTTCTCTCGATGACCTAGAAGCATCTGGCCAGTTTGCCGAAACATTCTTCAGTGCACTGACAAACGGTCAATCTCCTACTAAATTCAAGGAAGGACTAGAAGATGCTAAGACCAGTACACCATTTATGAGCAGTCAGGATGTCAAGGATGCCGCTGCACTTGCTGCCGAGAATGCTAAACTTATTGCCAAAGAAAAGAAGGAGAGTTTGACTAAACAAATGCAGAGATTACAAGAAGAACGTCGATTAAAAGAAGGGATCGATCCAGTAAAAGACGAAGAACCTCATACAGCTACAAGTCGTCGTCGATTTTCATTTGGATATATTACTCTACAGGTGCTCATGGCACCATTTCGTACCTTTTGGTTTTACATAATGGCAACAATGACACAATCACAGGAAAGATATCAGCGTGTTAACCAACATAAGAAACGAACGAGACAGATGCGATTGGTGGAACCCTTGATGGAATTTGTGAATATTGCTCTATTGATAGAAGATAGACCGGCATTACAATGGGCTTGGCAAATGGTTGGCATGTTTTTCTGGCCATTGATTCGAGTGTTTGGTGGAGGTTTACTGATTGACAAGTAAAGTAATTTTCGGTACCTTAATAAATACTGATAAGCTAACCCATTGTTTTTTTTAAGGTTTCTTGAACAAACAGTGCTGCATCTCCTAAGCGAGGATCACATTGTGTTTTACCTACGGTTAGGAAGCGACCTGTTATGGCCTGATGGCGAGTTTTTACAGCGTGTGGATCCGCCGACACCTTTACAACGGGAACAAATGCGAGTGAGAGCAGAACGTTTACTGACTATTTCAATTCCAGGTAAGCTTTTACTTTTTCACAATTTGCATTATATATTTATTTTTGTCCTGTTAGCTAATATACGAGCCATCCTGTTTGAAACAACGGAACTTGATGAACTACAAAACCATATTCACGATACACTGGAGCCGGTACAAAACAAACAAATCAACAAACATTTGCTATACATTCTCATTGATTTAATCCTCACCAAAGTCTTGCCCGAATTACTTGTCAATCACTAATTTAACTTTATATCTATCATTCTGTATCTATATTTATATCCCTCCTTATTTGAGTCATACTTTAATATTATTCCCTCCACCCATCTTCATGTAAAAATTAAAAACTCTTGTTGTTATATGTATGGATGATTTTGAAATGAAAACACCTGCATTAAAATAGTAGTGGAATTTGATGCATTTCGTGGCAGATTTGATGGTATATGACGAATATTACCCTACAACTTTAATAGCGACTCTAGTATAAAATGTGGAGACCATTCCACTGTTATTAGGACTGTACGTATATCCATAATTAATCTGACATCGTCTATCCGTACCCATTAATCTCGCAATTGCCTATATTAAGATGTAGATATCAAACAATTACAATAAGTAGGACTGTATAAACCAAATTTTATTATATACAACAATTTCAGAAACGAAAGAAATTATTTAATACCGCCATTCTTAACAGTAGCGACCTTACATTGAACAGCTTCACCAGAAGCAGTTCTGATGAGAAGAGGCTTATCACCGTAAAGGGCAATAAGATCATCGTTTGTCTTTAATTCGGGTTGAACGGTTTCCCAGTACTTCTTCTTGGGGTTTAAGGTCTTCTCGGGCTCACCTTCCATTCCTTCAATATAAACTCTGTCACCAGCCTTAACCTTGGTAGGATCAACAGGACCTAATAATTCAACAGCAGATCCATCAGCGGCACTGGCACACAAGACCATACCGAAAGATTTGACACCACGCATACTGGCAGGCTTTAAGTTAGCCAAAACAAGAACCCAACGATTCTCCATTTCTTCGACGGGATACCAACGAACAAGACCTGAAACAATAGTACGAGGCTCCTCTTCTCCGATATCGATCTCTTCAACGTAAAGAGAATCAGCACCCTCGTGCTTCTTACAAGACTTGATGTAACCAACACGAATATCGATACGAGAAACAACGGGTTGATCAGTCTCGACAGCGGCAGCTAATTCATGTTAATTTTTTTCTCCTGTCTACAGTTCAATGATAATCCTATTAACTTACGTGCAGGTTCCTTCTTGGCCTTGACCTTCTTTTCCTTCTTGGGCTTACCGCCTTCAACAGGACCCTTGGCCTCGGAAGGAGCGGCAGCAGCAGCAGGAGCGGCCTCAGGCTTCTTGTTATCCTTCTTGGCTTCAGCACCCTTCTTGGCTTCAGCACCCTTCTTATCGCCCTTCTTCTAAAATACATTGTGAATATCACTAACTCTCATCGCTCCCATGATTCAACTTATATACTTACAGCAGCGACAACAGGAGCAGCAGGCTCAGGGACATCATCTAGGTTGATTTCGACCAAAGGGAAATCTTCGGTCAAGTTGTTTGCCTTAACAACGGTGTTTTGGACAAGATCGAACCAACGCAAAGTGTTGGGGGCAGAAGTGACCTTGATGTTTTTCTATTCTATATCGTCAGCTCCGTGTTGTATGGATTCCTTTTACTATAAGAAACTTACGCTATGAGAATATAAAAGACCAAAGATGACAATATCGACAATGGTGAGATGGTTGTTGACAAAGTAGGTGTTGGTCTTCAAGTGGTCATTGAGTTTTTTCTACAGTCATATAAGTAAGTAACAGCAAATGTCTGAGTAAAATAAAAAAAAAAGCGTACATCAATGTTGGAGACAATTTCCTTCTTACCGACACCGCGAAGAGATTGGTTAGTGTAAGATAACCATTCTTCGACCTATTTTAAATGTAAGTAACCCTTGGAGTAAAAAAGTTGACTGGACATACCAAAGCTTGTTCGGCCTTATCAGCACCGAGCAAAGAAGTCTTATCAGACTTGGAAACAAGGGACTTGATGATGGAGTTGGGGGCATCAACTTTCTCACCAGCAGCCTGACAGAGGAGGGGAGGGGGGAGGTTGTCAAAACGAGATTATATATACACGTGTGAGTAAAGATATACCTCTAAAACAAGCTCGGAGCCAGTCTCGAGCTTGGCATCAGACTTGGTCAATTTGTGAACCAAGACAACTTCAGTAGCGGTTTTCTCGGGAATGCGAAGAACAGCAGCCATTTTATATTTTAAGTAATAATAAGAAAGAGAACGCGTTCTTGCTGGAAAGAAAAAACTCTTACTGGGTGTGGCTTATATTGAGGCTCCGATCTGTAGTGGGGTGAGTCCGGTCACGACACACAAACATCATAAAGCGAAACATCTTTCTTCACTCTTTCTTTTTTTTTTTTTTCTTCTTCTTATAACAATCCCGGACTTTTTTTTAAAAAAAAACTTTAAATGTCTAAAGCCTCTTCTTTTGTACGTGAATATAAGTTGGTTATGGTTGGTGGTGGAGGTAATGACAAAAAACCAATTCATCTTTTTTTTTTTTTCTTCATCCGTTTTCTTATTCTATCATCATGTTGAATGAAGAAAAAAAAAAGGGTGGAGTTTTCTATCCTGCAAAAAATATTAAAAAATCATTGTTTTTATAGGTGTTGGTAAATCAGCCTTAACTATCCAGTTTATTCAATCACACTTTGTTGATGAATATGATCCCACTATCGAAGGTAATGTTTGATGATTAAAAAACAAAAGTAACACAAGAAAAATTAATTGTCCAACAGATTCATATCGTAAGCAATGTGTTATCGATTCAGAAACAGCCTTATTGGATGTACTCGATACAGCTGGTCAAGAAGAATACAGGTAAAGCATTCTAGATGAAATTAACCTACCGATAAATTAACATTTTTATTTTTATTTTCAGTGCTATGCGTGAACAATATATGAGAAATGGTGAAGGATTTTTACTAGTCTATTCTATTACTTCTCGCTTGTCATTTGAAGAAATTACAACATTTTATCAACAAATCTGTCGTGTTAAAGATCGTGATTACTTCCCAATGGTATTAGTCGGAAACAAGTGTGATTTAGAAGCTGATAGACAAGTATCGAGTCAAGAAGGAAGAGACTTGGCAAAGAATTTTGGATGTCAATTTATTGAAACCTCTGCAAAGCAAAGAATTCATGTCGATGAAGCCTTTTTTGAAGTTGTTCGTGACATTCGTAGATATAACAAAGAACAGGAGACACGGGGGCATGATCAATTTGGTATCCAAGATGCTCCTGATGTTGCTTCTGATAAATGTTGTATTTTGATGTAAAATCCTCCTCTTTTTTTTTTTCTTTTAATTACTAATTTACTTACTACTACTATTATTTATTCCCTTATGTTATTCTTTATTCATGCCCCCTTCCTACCTTCTTTTTTTATTAAAATCAAATATAATGTAACAACAGTAATTATTTCTTGTCAAAGCATATACACATGGCATCTTGAAGCAACAACGTGTCCATTTCAAATACAGTCGTGTAACATGAATTTAATTCATGTCATTTTGCTATTTACCTTTCTATACATCTTTCTATTCCTTACCAATTACATCATTTCATTCACTGTATACCCGTGTGTAATATTGCAAATTTATTATAGAAATACCTACACATGGATCATTTACTAGCTCCAAAATATTTTCGCGTATCACACAATTATACAAACCCACGAGGACCTCATTTTACCGTTCCGCTCCCCAATTCTCTACAAATCTGTTCGGACCTTCTACAATTAGGACGATTTCTTTCTTTTTATTGGACAGACCCTTTCTGTTGTCCTTACTTGATTTAGGCATTGTACTTCGATCTAATGATGCAATAACAGAAAGAGAGTAAACATGAATCCACTCTTCGTTCTAAGCTGTTAAACTCCGTCATATTGAACAATTCTTGTTTAAGTTCATTCAATAATAAAACAGAACGACCAATACGATATCATTAACAGTAATGCAATGGTTCAGAAAAACTAGCCTTAAAAGGGCTTCTTAACTTTTTTTTCTTTAGACGTATGTGTAGAATTTGTCCCGCTTCTATCTGTAATCTGGGTCTACACCTATATTGTTTATCGGGGAACGAGATGCTCAATATTGTTATATGCTACTGATAAATAATCACCATATTCAGCATTGCATGCATGTGAATCAATCAATAACTCTGAGTGGTTATGTGCAGATATTCCATCCTAAGTAAAGGCTCAAGAATTATGCATGATTGAATAATCACTTATATCATCCTGACATAAACCCAGCCTTTGTTTATCAGCCTATAAATAAACCGCGATCACCGATTTTTGGTTTCTTTGCTTTTTTTCTAGTATTCATGTATAACTCTATCTTTATGAAAGAAAATAGTAATTATCGTGAAAAAGTTAGTTAAAATTGACTTTTGTTTTTAACTAAAATGCTAAGATATGTCTTGATTTTCTTATCAACAAAAAAAATGTGTTCCAATTTTTGCGGGATATATGTGACATTACCAACAACTCAAATTATTGTTTATTTATCAAACGAGATGAAATATCCATATTTCTCGAAAAGATCATTTGATCCTTCAGTAAATACTTATAATATCTGCTTAGACGTTTTTATAACAAAAAATAATGCTAATTCTTCTAGCTTTGACGAGGAGCAAGGTAGATTAATTGTAATACAGAACGACAAAACTTCTGTAGAAGTCAAGATTGCTTTAGTAAAAATCAAAAATACTTTGCTGATGGTGGTCGGACAAAATTAAATATGCGTCGCACATAGAATCTTTAATTCTCAAACAGAATTATTGCCAACAATAACTCTTTATATCAGACTGGCGGCATCTCCCCTTCTCTAGATCAAATTCGTTTGATCAAAATGCTGATCCAAATTGAAGTCATTGATGATAACATCATATTAGCTGTCTCCAAATTCACCGAACCAGTAATACGCTTTGATGAGATAGTGGCCTTTTGGGGCACACAAGTGCAGTGCATTTATTAGAAATAATCAAGGCAAAGATCCGTGTGCCATTGATACAAAGCTCATGTTCAGTCTTGAGCTATTCATCAGCGGAATATTGCATAAAGAAACCAAATGGCCTGAGATAGTCATTCTTTATGGGCTTTTGGGTTTCGAAGGATTATGTATGTTATGTTTTACAACTACAGCATATACAGCCTATTTCCGATCGATGTTTCTTCTCTACGACTAAAAATTGATATTAATACATAACCTTTTACTCTCCCACAATTTGCAAACGGTTGTAAAAATCACTGGCAACATCCATATACAAGGAAATCATCCAGTACAGATAAAGTCTAGCCAGTAGTAGCAAAGCTTCCGAAGAGATTTTTTAAACATAGTTACTGTAATAAATAAAGTCGGGTGAATAATATACGTAGTTGAAAGCCTCTTTCACAAACACATCTTTATCACTATGTTGCCAATTTACACCATACTCTTTTAAGCAACCTTTTTCCGCGCAATTCCGTAAAAATATTGTATATAGATGTTTATACACATTTATTTTTATAAGACATCGATCCCAGTAGCAAGATAACTTAGTCATTACCTTCATTGTTTTAAGCGGAGAATCTGATCAATCGCATATTTAAGGATTTTTCACCTCACGGGCCGATCTTTTTTTCTATTCCTAATGCCAAATTTAATGAGATAAATGAGTTTCATTAGTTTGAGTTTCTGGCTTTTTGTTTACGGATAAACTAAAAAAATTTTATACTCAGGTGAGGTAAATGAGGTACGGATCATTGTCTCCGGCCTAGTATCACAGGTCTAAGCCTATTGACACGTATAAACCTTGGTCTGTATAAACTTTATAATCGATTTGTTTATGTAGGCTCTAAGAAAATGTACTTCGAAAAGTTATAAAAACGCTCTGTATAGAGCAACATGAAGAATGAAACTTAAAGGATTGAACCAGTCCGAGAATTAATCGAAGGGTGAATGCTGGTGAAACAGCCACGAAGGAAACGCCGCTAGTGTTCCCAAAGACGGGTTGCAACTAAAGCATAACTTATCATTAAACTATATTCTAATTCAACGATCGATCGTTGGACATATCATATATCACAAGCACTTATTGATAAATTGAATTGGGTGTTTCCGTTTTTTAGTACTTACATAGAACAATTGCGGGAAAAATATCTTAGGTAAGAATAACTTAAATGACTTTAACTTCCACTTTTTTGAAGTTAAGTTTATGGTATTCATTTCAGACTTTATGAATATAAGTGGCAAAGTCTTAAAATTTCGCACGATCGTTTCCATTATTACATTCTATTACATGCTGCTTATCCGAGAATTTGTTAAAAGCCCCTTGCCAGAACCTTGTGTATGTCTTGGCTACACCGTATGACGGTATAAATGCCTTTCCCCTTCACCTTATAGTTTAATATAATCTTGGGTATCCCCGATTATAATGGCAGGCCAACAAAACTTTTGCATAAGTATTACCAGAATAATGCATATTAGAGCTTATATATATATGTCGTATATAACATACATCTGATTTTATACTTACAAGCACAATGTAAAAATATGCATCTCAAGTAATTTCACCGCACGGCACTTTTCCCAATATGGGCATTTCCAAGACGTATTTTTGGGTTACACATTGTATATCACGAAACCAATCATCTGATAAATATAAGCATAACACTAAATAATATTTTTATTGGTACATATTGATTATTTCTTGAACATTTTGGACATCAAGCCAGATGCAATTGCCCCATAATCTACACCATCTTGTTGTTGTTGTTGTTGTGCTTGAGGGGGTACTTGATTATAGTTGTTACCTTGAGATTGTTGATAATTATTGTTGTGGGATTGTTGATTATTGTTTTGGGGAGGGGCACCATAACCGTGATAAGGATCATTGCTTTGGGATTGCTGGTTGGTCTTACCACTTGAACCGCCAAGAAGAGATCCTACCATAGCACCAATATTACCCATACCACCACTGCTTTGATTGTTTTGTTGTTGATGTTGTTGTTGTTGTTGGTTATTGTTACCGCCCGAAGCAGAGCCCATAAGCATACCCAACAAACTACCAATACCACCACTACTGGCGCTATTGTTTCCAGATTGGCCACCAGCACCGGCTGCTTGCTTAGACATATACAACTTGACAGCCATCATAGCAGCTTGTTGAATAGCTTGTCCCTTACCACTATCCTGACCACCTTGAGCATTACCACCACCGTTGCTATTTCCCAAAAGCTTAACAGCTTGAGACATTGCCATACTAATCATATCACTCATACCACCACCACTTTGTTGACTTCTTTCTAAAGCTTGGACAGCAGCAGCGTTACCGATAGCTTGAGGTGAGTTATTTTGGTTGGGATTATTCATAACTTGTTCATAAGACTCGTGAGCAGCTCTAATTTCGTGATCCTCGGCAGGTTGTTGGTTAGAACCCATAACTCTTGAGAGAGTGGAGGAGAAATGATCATCACCATCTAAAAACGCCAAAAAATTAATAAAGTTGTGTGACGAGCTAGACATGTAATTTTACCTTGACTGTAGCCTCCTTGTTGGCTATAGCCACCTTGATTGGAAGAGCTTCCTTGATAGCTTGCGGCTTCACCGCCTTGATAACTGGCTGCTTGGCCACCGTAGTTTTGATTGTATCCGCTCATATTTTTAAAATTAGTAAAAAGGAAAAAGTGGAAAAATCGGGCGGGTAGGGGTATTATACAAAATGAAAACCAGTCACCTTAGACGGACAAACAGCGTACCTTAAATTTGCATGAAACATTGCATAAAAGTGCAGTAGAGATGAATTCTTTTCAGCATACGTATACATGAAAATAAAAAAATTCGCGTTAAATTCATGTCTCTTGAAATGACATAGCGGACAGTACCTATTAAATCTTTTGAAATTGATAAAACATCCGTGTGTATGTATTGTCTAAATTTAGCCTAACTTTATATGGTTGGTGTGACCATGGTACTTTTGCTTTGTATTGAACATGTGTCGAATTTTTAGTTCGGACACTACCTAGTCCAGCGCATTTTTGCTGATACTCAAGGTGCTAATATATTTTGGCAAATCCAGCCGATAATCATTGGGTCAAATGGTTTTCAAATCGTCACATATATTGCTCAAAATACATGTTAATTTCTTGTTATATGTGTAAATTTTTAGGATGGGATTTTGACAGCAATCACTTTGGATTCAGCACTGCTGTGTTGTTACTCCATGTCTTTCTCACTCAAAGCATGCTTATTATTAGTGATATTAACAGCTCTTCCAAAGGGAATCTATAGCTTCTCAACCATAGAAACGGTGGAGTTGTTTCGAAATGAATCAGTTGTTAAAGAAGTCATTCTTGGTAAGTAGCTGTTGGCTTGCTTTATCCAGTATTCGCATAAATCTGGCTTCACTGCCATTATGCCAGTAAATACGAGCATCAACACTTAATTTATCCATTGCACTTTGTTAAACCCTGTTTTTTTTAAAACAAATTGTTGTAATTGTTGCTGCAAACACTTCTGCATAGAGCCAGGATGAAACTGGCTAGACTTGTCTTCCTACACTTGTGGTCTGAAAATATTTGGACTTGATATTCTGCTTAACCTAACATTGTAAACCCCATATTATATTGCGTCTTCGTATTTTCTATTACAATACTGGACTACTATTTGAGCAGGGTCTATCCATCATATTTATTTAGGACAGCGAAAAGCTTTTAGTTTTTTTTTTTTTTCATTGCAACAGCAGTCATTACAACAGTGATGAGGTGCGTGTAGTAATTTGTCGGTAAGTAAAAAGAGCCTGTTGGTGCGCAGACCTCTTTCCCCAATTAAAGTCTAATTTGTGGCTCCTTTATAAATAGAATTTTATTTGGCCACACGTAGTCCTTTTTCTTTTTCTTTCTCCTTATTCTTTTTATTCCCTTTTTTTCTTATCATATCCTTTTAGTATGGCTGTTGGAAAGTTAAGCGTTACCCCAGGTAAGTGATTGTGACTTGATAAAAGGCATCCGTTTTTAAACATGCAAGTACATAAATAGTAACCGTTCGCGGTCTCTCCACCTCTGGATTAAACGGTAAGGATTCCTATCAACTTGTGTTATTGTAATAATAATAATAATTTGTTTGAATAGATGCCCGTCTTTTTGTTGGATGTTATGTTCAAGAAAATGAAAAGCATAGAACTCACTCCGAGAGTGGCCCCGAACCTCTCTGGAAAAACGTATTGACTTGGTAGGTTCATAAATTAAGGATCTACAATGTGTGTCTAACGTGAATTTTTTTTTCATAAGTAATGTTCCCGAAGGTCAGAATTTTTTGCATATCGAGTTAGTTAACGAAAGTCCCAATAATGGTGGTATTCTTGCAACAAGCAAGATTGCTTTGAACCAAGTTTTTGAACAAGGTACTGAAACAAAATGGTCTCAATTAAACTCATCTTCTGGACAATCTCTCGGTGAAATTAAGTTGGATCTCTCTTTCTCTGTAATGTATACAGTATAAACAACATGTGCCAAGATTCTAATATTTATTGTTTTAGGGTACCAATTCCGTTAGCTCCGTCACTTCTTCTTTCGGTGGTATGAACTTGGCTGGTGGACAACAAGTTGCTTATCAACAAACTACCTCTCACTCTCAAACTATTTCTCACAACCAGTCTGAAAGCCGTCAAGGTTCATACTCTTCTTTAGGTCCCGCCAACCCTATTCCTTCTAATTATGGATCTGGAAGTCCTCCCCCTTTTACACCTCCAGCTGCCGTTTCTTATCCCGAAAAGAGCGGTAATAACTTCATGCCTGGTGGCGGTATGCCCGGTAGTGGTATGCCTGGAAGTGGTATGCCTTCTGCTGGTGGATTAGTTGCCGAACAAAGAGCCACTGTTAACACTGAGAATATGACTAAGGATGAATTTGAGGAAGCAAAGGCAAGAGGCGCTGTCCCTACTTGGATGGTAAGTGAAAAAAGTCTATTTAAACCCGTACTATTTGTGCTGATCGTTCGTGTCACACGTGTGATCTATTTTTACATAGAAATACGGTGGTGGTGTCTTGGCTGGTGCTGCCGCTTTAGGGCTCAGCGCATGGGGCGCTCATGAACTTAAAGAGCGTTATGATGAGAAAAAGGAAGAGGAGGAAAGACTCCAAAAGCAACAAGAAAAGCCAGCTGCTCACTTCCAACAACAAGGCCAAACTCCTTACACTATCCATAACCAACAAGGTCAACAACAACAACAGCAACAACATCAACAACAACAACATCAAAGCTATCCTCAACCTCCCCAACAACAGTTCCATTCTTCTGACAAGAAGGAACAAAAGTCTGAACACAAGAAGGAGAAGAAGGACAAGAAGAAGGACAAGAAATATAAGAAGCATGGTTCTGATTCTGATTCCTCTTCATCTGATTCCGATTCCTCTGACGATGAACGTAAGCAAAAGAAGGATAAGCATCACAAGAAGAGAGATAGTGACTGGAATTAAATAAGCGGCTTATCTGTGTCTTTAAAATAAACATAAAAAATGTAAAATATACGACTACTGTATTTCCAAGATTTATGCCAAGAGTTCTGATCAAATGATTGGATTTATTGAAGTAAATGAATTATGTCGGGCGTTTAAAAGGCAAAGGTTATTTCGACTGCCAACAATTTTGACAATTTGACTTGCTTACTACATATCATTTTGTATAAGCCTATGATAATGTTGTTATTTAAACGCATGTTCTGCAATAGTTTGATTTATGCTTAATTCAGCTTCTGCTGTCGTTAGTGGCAACCTGTTTACAAGATTCCGTGAGGCACAATCATCAAGTGGATTTCATTTATGAACAACTTAAAGCTACATCTGTTAGCAGAGCAATAGTAATAAATTTCAGAATTGTTCATAGCATAATTTTCTTTTGGCTGTACCTTTCCAAGACATCTGTGTATATGATAATGAAATAAGCATACTTTTCTTTTCAACCGTCATTTCCACCAATATTTAGATTGTTCCGGAAACTTTTTCTCTTCAGTTTTTCAAAGGCATAATTTTGAAAAACAACAAGATAATTGATTAACAGGTTTAACTCTACATCCACTAAACTAAGTAAAAGCAGAGAGTGATGACGGGTAGTAAATCTGTCCAATTTATCCAGCGATGAAACTCATGCCTCCATAAGAAAGGTATTTTAATATCTGGTTTTGTAGCTTAGTTGTTAGCGATTACGTAAACAATACAATGCTTTTGATTGGGTAAATACATTCACGTGACTCAAAATCACGTGTATATCACGTGATTTAGTATTTAAATTTAAAGAATATATTATTTTTTAAAATTTAGTATAACATCTGCTGATTTGGCCGAGTTGGTCTAAGGCGCCGCACTCAAGTTGCGGTCTCGCAAGAGGCGTGAGTTCGAATCTCACAGTCAGCATTTTTTTTTCATTTGAATATTTTCGTGAGACGTTTTGTCTTCGCGTTTTTTTTTTTTTTTTTTTTTTTTCTAATTTGGCTTTCATATTTTTGTTTAGTTTTTGCAATCACTTAGAGGTTATCTGATATTTTTACCATAGCTCGAACTACATAGCCTTTACAAAAAATTCAATATGAGCATAATAATGTCGAGAAAAAAATGTAAAAGTATGGCTACTATTTTTTATGCTGATAATAATACAAACAACCCAGCTAAAGCAGATATAAAACGATGATTGTTTACGCAGTCAAAACAATTAAATAAATACTTCAACCTGGTGATCTAAATTCCTGACTTATTGGTTTGCTTGTTGAGGATATTTACCCACTTTACATGTTGTAAATTCATATTAATTTGAAATAACTTTAATCAATGAATATTTCATCATCTGTTACCAAAAAAAAGATAGAGATGAGCAAAATAAATTTTATTGCATATGGAGGTTTTATAAGAAAGGGACCAAAAGCTAGCCAGAGAATATCGTGTAACACTGCAAGAACACACCAAAAAGCAAACTTTTTTTGTTTCCTTTCGATTGTAATGATGTGTTTATGGAATATCAGTGCGTTTCAGTATGAAATTTAATTGGAGTCACCAAGTCAGATTGCTTGATCTCCTTTAGGCCTCCTTGTTATCTACTAACATATAAAGCTAGAGAGTTTTAGTTTAGCGATAGCAAAAGGTGATCGAAATGACCTTCGTCAGTAAGTAATTTAAGTTTTCATGCTTTCCTTGCATTACATGCTTTAAGGCCGCTCAGCAAAAAGTTTATAAAAGCCGTCCATTTGCGCTGTCACAATCATATTTCCTTTTTTAATTGCAAAGAAGGTAAAATATTTTTTTTCATATAACATTAGTTCGCTAGTTTATTCATTTTGATTACGTTTTTATTACCTTTCACTTAATTAAAACTAAAGAAGAAATGATTGACTCGGACACAATAATGACAACTGTCACTGAAGTCACTGACTGCAGTACTTTTGACCCTCTTGCGTTTGATCTCTTGAAGGCTGTCACTCAGTTGTCAACTTTAGTTGAAGGCTCAACCTTTGCAGGTGTAGATCTTCAATTACTTCAATCACCAACTATAACAAACTCAAGATCACAATTACTTGACGTAGTGTCAAAATCAATGCTTAAACCAGAATGGACAACAAGTGTTGTACGTTTATTCCGACCTATTGTTATTGATCTCGTTGCTCGCTGGACTTTACCTGGGTTCACCACATTCTTAGACTCTGCTCCTTTATCACCAAACGCTAGCAGTACTGTATATAAAATTGAATTGGTTGCAAAGGCTTTTAGCACTGTGCTTCCCATTGTACCGCAAGTAAAAAGGTAATATATACATACTCAGCTCATATGCAACTATTCTTATACTAAACCTATCATGTAGCTTGGCTGTAACATACTTTACCCACTCAACCTCGTTATTCGAAAGATTGAATCACTTGAACACTTTCAGCGAAGCAGAAGTACGATAATTAAATGCAGATTATAATTCATTGAAAAACTAACCCCGACTATTGTAGGTCACATCATCTTTGACAGCTGAATTACAAGATTTACTCATCACAACATATAGACTACTTCATTTCTCTACATCAACTTTTACACCACTTTGGAATTGGGGACCCTTAGTTCAATTACTTCAATTCCCCAATGCATGTATTCGCTACACCACAGTCTTATGTCTCAGCAAAGTTTATGGATTAAGTGATGCCCAAATTAAGAACTTATTGACTTCAGTCGTGGGAGCCGGACACTCCCTGGATGAATCTGATGAGCCTCTTTATACTTTAATTGATGGAAATCGTGTTGATATTAGATTCTTAAGGTATGTTGTGTATCATAGTATTTGAAATGTTTTTTAACTTAATCCGATTTCTTAGTTTATGGGAACAACAACAATTAGCGGACGATCAGATTTCTTTCTTACACAACGACTATGATACGGAGCATAATCACCATAAGCTCTCTAATGACGATTTATGCCCACTTACTTGCAACTTGTGCGGTGTCTTGATTCCTAAAACAGTGAACTCTTCGGACAAAGAGGAATCTGTCAAGCATTTTTTCGACCCCAAGCTCGTACTGACGAATACAACATCCAAAAATTTACATGCTGTTAGTCTTGCATTATCCATTGGTGCACCCACATTATTAGAAGGTGTCACTGGTGCAGGTAAAACATCGCTCATTGAAGAACTTGCAAGTAGAACTGGAAGAGGAGCAGAGTTAGTGAAGATCCATTTGGGTGATCAAACGGATCCTAAGGTGTTGTTGGGTACCTATGTATCCACTTCGACTCCTGGTTCTTTCCGCTGGCAGGCTGGTGTTTTAACTACCGCCGTTTTGGAGGGCAGATGGGTCTTGATTGAAGATATCGATTTAGCTCCTGCCGAAGTTTTGTCTGTTCTTTTACCTCTTTTGGAAACAAGACATTTATTTATTCCATCTCGCGGTGAGAAGATCAAGGCTAAGGAAGGATTCCAATTATTTGGTACACGATCATTCATTCCCACTAGATCTGGAAAAGGAACTAGCTCAAGAGGCGGCGACTTAATGACGGGTGCTAATTTATGGACCAGAGTGCATGTTGAACCTCTTACTGTAGATGAATTGGAAGCAGTTGTGCGACAAAAGTTCACCCACATCGGTGATTTTGCTACACATGTTATGACTCTTTTCCAAACTGTGGTTGGTATGTATCAAGATCCCAACTTCTCGTCTTTAGCTTCATCAACAATGGGCCGTTTCCTTTCAACCCGTGATTTGATGAAATGGTGTCATCGTGTTGATTTATTGATCGGCGAAAAGTTAAATGATACAACAACTGTTGGCATGGATTTATCTCTTCGTCAAGATTTGTTCAGTGAAGCAAATGATTGTTTCTGTGGTATGATCCCCGATTATAACATCTGGATGACTGTTCTGGAAACGATCGGTAGACCACTTCAAATTTCAGAGGATTTAGTTCGTAATTACGTCGACCAATATAAGCCAACCTTGGATTTAGAAGATTCAACTATTCGTATCGGCCGTGTTAATTTGTCATCAATTGCTGCTAGCGGTAAGCAAAAGCAAAAGCAAGCAATGATTAAGCGTGAAAAGAAAAGACCTTTTGCAACAACTGGTCACGCTTTGCGTTTGATGGAAAGAATTGCTGTCTGTATTCACTTGACCGAACCTGTGTTATTAGTCGGTGAGACTGGTACTGGTAAAACTACCGTTGTTCAACATTTGGCTGATATGATTCATCAAAATTTAATTGTCGTAAATTTGTCTCAACAATCGGACAGTTCCGATTTGTTAGGTGGCTTCAAGCCTGTTGATGGTAAAGTATTGGCTATTCCCATGAAGGAAGACTTTGAGCGTCTTTTCGAGAAGACTTTTTCTGTCAAGAAAAACATCAAGTTTTTAGAAATGGTTCGCAAGACATTTATTCACCAAAAATGGGCCAATTTTGTCACTCTTCTTAAGCAAGCCGTGAAAATGTCTCAACAAAAATTCGAAGCAGAACAAAACGTCGAAAGCAAGAAGGTATCTTCTCCTACACTCCGTAACGCTTGGAAGGTTTTTACCAAGCGCGTCGAGGAATTTGAAGTTCAGCAAGTACAATCTCAAAACAAGTTCGTATTCAACTTTATGGAAGGTTCGCTTGTAAAGGCTGTTCGTCAAGGTGATTGGATTTTACTTGATGAAATCAATTTGGCCACAACCGAAACCCTCGAGTGTCTTTCAGGCCTCCTTCAAGATGCTCATGGATCCCTCTTGTTGACTGAGAAGGGTGATGTTGAACCTATCAAGCGTCACCCCAATTTCCGTCTCTTTGCTTGTATGAATCCTGCTACCGATGTAGGCAAGCGTGACTTACCTCCTGGTCTTCGTAACAGATTCACTGAATTCTATGTGTACCCTCCTGATGCCCGTTATGACGACCTTTTACAAATCGTTAAACAATACCTTGTTAGCATTGCCTCGGGTGACGAAAGATGTTATGATGATGTCGCAGAGTTCTACACTAGTGCTAAAAAATTGGCTGCTGAGCACAAGCTTGTGGATGGTGCAAATCAGCGTCCTCATTTCAGTATGCGTACCTTGGCTCGTGCCTTAACTTATGTTGCCCAGATTTTCCCTACTTATGGATTAAGACGTTCTCTTTACGAAGGCTTCTGTATGACTTTCTTAACTCAACTCGATAAAGAGAGTGAGGTTATGATGCGCGACCTGATCTTCAAAACTATATTGCGTGATGTGCCTAATCCTAAGAATCTCATCACTCAAATTCCCCGTCAGCCTGCCGAGGACTTTATCCAGTTTGGTTACTTCTGGTTGCAGCAAGGCCAATACCCACCTGAAGATGATACACGTTATATTTTGACTAAATCTGTCGAAGTTAAACTTTTCAACCTTGCACGTGTGATTATGTCCAGAAAATTCCCTGTCTTAATCCAAGGTCCTACATCTGCTGGTAAAACTTCAATGGTGGAATACATGGCCAAGAAGACTGGTCACCGTTTTGTTCGTATCAATAACCACGAACATACTGATCTTCAAGAATATCTTGGTACATATGTTTCGAACAGCGAAGGAAAGCTCGTTTTCCAAGAAGGTGTTTTAGTCGAAGCTCTTCGTAATGGTTACTGGATTGTTCTTGATGAACTTAATTTAGCTCCCTCTGATGTTTTGGAAGCCCTCAATCGTTTGCTCGATGATAACAGAGAATTATTAATTCCTGAAACTCAGGAAGTGGTTAAGCCCCATCCTCACTTTATGCTTTTCGCTACCCAAAATCCCGCTGGTCTCTATGGTGGTCGTAAGGCATTATCCAGAGCCTTCCGTAATCGTTTTCTCGAACTTCATTTCGATGATATCCCTGAAGATGAACTAGAGACTATTCTGTCAAGACGCTGTAGCATTGCTCCTACTTATTGTAACAAGCTTGTCAAGGTGTACAAGGAGTTGATGGAACGTAGACAAAGTACTCGTATTTTTGAACAAAAGCATGGTTTCATTACTCTCCGTGATCTTTTCCGTTGGGCCGGTCGTGACCCTCAAGGTTACCAAGAACTGGCCGAAAATGGTTACATGCTCTTAGCCGAAAGATGTCGTAAGGACGAAGAAAAGAAGGTCGTCAAAGAAGTTCTTGAGAAGATTATGAAGGTCAAAATTTCCGAGGACTCTATGTATGATTGTAGCAATCTTGAAGAGTATGCTATCTATGATCGCATGCTCACTGAGCATGCAGCCAAATCTGGCGAGGATACCAAACTTGTATGGACTAAGGCAATGCGTCGTTTATTCAACCTTGTAGCTCGTTGTCTTCAACATAATGAACCTGTTTTACTTGTTGGTGAAACTGGTTGTGGTAAGACTACTGTTTGTCAAATGCTTGCTGAAACCTATAACCGTGAACTTCATATTGTCAATTGTCATCAAAATACTGAAACCGGTGATTTGCTTGGTGGTCAACGTCCTGTTCGTATCAAAGAAACAAGCGAAGATCCCGATAAATCACAAGCCTTATTTGAATGGCATGATGGTCCTTTGGTGCAAGCAATGAAAGACGGTCACTTATTCTTACTTGATGAAATCTCTCTTGCCGATGATTCTGTACTTGAAAGATTAAATTCTGTCCTTGAACCTAGTCGTCTTCTGGTCCTTGCCGAAAAGGGTGGTAAGCATGTAGAGGAGCTCTATGGTACCAAAGATTTCCAATTTTTGGCTACTATGAACCCTGGTGGTGATTATGGTAAAAAGGAACTTTCTCCTGCCTTAAGAAATCGTTTTACCGAAATCTGGGTTCCCTCTGTCACTGATAGAGATGATTTGATTAAGATTATCGATGAACAGATGACACATCCCGCTCTCGCTGGCTATAGTGAGAAGATGCTTGATTTTATCTCCTGGTATACCCAAGCTCTTGGTCAAAGCCGTACAGTTGTGTCTCTTCGTGATGTTCTTTCATGGGTTAAATTTATCAATGTTGCTGTTGATTCTGGATTAAACCCTGAGTTGAGTTTCTCTCATGGTGGCTGTTTGGTATTGCTTGATGGTTTAGGTTCCCATGGTTCTTCTGGCTCTTATTTGACTGGCAGCACACTCAAAGATTTCAGGCTTAAATGCCTCCGTCATCTTTCTGGTAAGCCTAATGCAACAGAGCTTGAGATTTTGGGCGAGACTAAGGATAGAGTTCAATTTGCTGGTGATAAATTTGCTATTGGTCCTTTCCAAATTCCTCGCGGCCAGTTAGCCAAGACCGATATCAAATTTACATTGTTGGCTCCTACAACAGCCGATAATGCTATGCGCGTCATCCGTTCTATGCAATTGAAAAAGCCTATTTTGCTTGAAGGTAGTCCTGGTGTTGGTAAAACTAGTCTGGTCTCTGCTTTAGCCACGGCTTCTGGTCACAACTTGGTTCGTATCAATTTGTCTGAACAGACTGATTTGATGGATCTTTTTGGTTCTGATCTTCCTGTCGAAGGCGGTAACAGTGGCGAGTTTGCTTGGAGAGATGCTCCCTTCTTGCAAGCAATGAAAGCTGGTGACTGGGTTTTATTAGATGAATTGAATTTGGCTTCGCAATCTGTGTTAGAAGGCCTTAATTCTTGTTTGGATCATCGTGGTGCTGTTTATATCCCCGAACTCGACAGAGAATTCTTCTGTGATAAGAATTTCCGTGTATTTGGTGCTCAAAATCCTCTTCAACAAGGTGGTGGTCGTAAGGGTTTGCCTAAATCTTTCGTCAATCGTTTCACTCAAGTTTACGTCGAACAGTTGACTTCAGATGATCTTTTATTCATTTGTTCTCATTTATTCCCTGAATTTGAACCTACTACCATGGCCAAGATGATCGATTTTAACAACAAAATGTACGAAGAAACTATGATTCGCTGTAGTTTTGGTCGTAAGGGTAGTCCCTGGGAATTCAATTTACGTGATGTATTCCGTTGGCTGGAATTGATGCAGAAGGACAACGTTACCGATCCTGCAGAATATCTTGATATCATTTACATGCAACGTATGCGTACCCATGATGATCGCGTGCAAATTGTTCAACTTTACGAGTCCGTGTTTAACGTCAAGTATGACCGCTCTCGTAAGCCAAGCTATCATGTATCCGCCAATTCTCTCATTGTTGGACATTCCCGTTTGCCCAGAAGACAGACCGAAAGTTCTATCGATATATTTGAACATGAGGATCATATTTTACAATCATTCTTATCTCCTCTTGAGTCCTTAATGAAATGTGTAGAATCATCTTGGATGGCTATTGTTACTGGACCTTCTGCCTCCGGAAAAACATCACTTGTTCGTCTTTTAAGCAAAATGAGTGGCAATCGTTTGGAAGAATTTGCTATGAATAATAGTGTAGATACGATGGAATTACTTGGTGGTTTCGAACAAGTTGATTTGAACCGTCATCGTCAAGTTGTCATGGACAGTCTTCACGTAATGATCAGCAATGCATCAAAGAATTTACTGATGTATTTCGCTACCCTCTCCGCTGAAAGTGAGCAATTTGGTACTGTATTGCAACTGATTCGCCAACTAAATGATTCATGGTATGCTCTTGAAAGTAAGCATCAAATGAAGGTTATTTCTACCGACCCTAAAGCTGGCTCTTTGGATTATACCCTTGTCACCAATGTCATCAACTGCTTAAACTCTGCATCAGTGGTTGATGTACAAGCCAAAGAATCTATTGAAGCTGTTACTGTTCTTATTCAAAATCTTCAAAAACTCGAAAGTGATACTGTCGCTGGTAAGTTTGAATGGATTGATGGTCTTTTGATCAATGCTCTTGAAAAAGGTCACTGGCTTCTCATCGATAACGCCAATATGTGTAATCCCTCTGTTCTTGATCGTTTGAATCCTCTTTTTGAAAATGATGGTGTTCTTATGGTCAATGAAAGAGGTCTTGTTGATGGAACCGTGAAGGTCATTACACCTCACCCCAACTTCCGAATGTTTATGACTGTTGATCCTCAAAATGGTGAACTTTCTCGTGCCATGAGAAATCGTGGTATTGAAATTTCATTAGTTGACTCCAACTGGAACAAGAACACCCAAGATGTTACTAAGCTTGCCAATTCTCTTGGTGTTCGTGGACCTAAGTTGCCAATGATTTTAAATGGATTACAAGGTGCTGCAACTGCCCAACGTCGTCACTTCGCTAAGGGTGAAAATGTCAGAGACTACTTGTTGTTTGCTACTTACCTTGTTGAACGTCTCCAACGTGGTCAATCTCTTAAAAATGCAATTCGCGAATCTTTCTTCCAAGTATTTGTCGATATCAAGGAAGCCCCCGAAGCTCTTGTTGCTTTATTGGAACCCAACCCCGATGAAGATTTGCTGCAAAATATGCTTAGCCCTACCAATTCTCCTTTCCTTATTGGCGGTCTTTTGTTCCAAAATGATTCTGCTCTTGCAACCATTGCTCTTCAAGGTGCTTATCTCATCTACTTGTTGCAAACTCTTGATTCCGAAGATATTGCTCAGTTAAAGAAGATCGAAATTGCTGGTGATTATTTCTTAGAACATTTGACCTACCAAGATTATGGTCTTCGTATGCGTTGGTTGGCCTACATGTCTCAACAGGCAGTCAGCACCAAGTCTACCGTATTGGAGCGTTTAGGTTATTTAATGAAAGAAGTGTACGTTCATCCTACCTTTTTGGAATTGTCAAAGATCCAATCTGATATGAAAGAGGGTGTTTCTTATAATGCTTCTGTTTTGGAGTATACCCGTGACGCTTACCACTTATTGATTCGTCTCCACAAGCAAGAGTATGCCGATAAGAACATGCGCACTGCTACTCAACGTCTCAAGGTTGGTAATTTGACTTCTCTTCAACAGTCATATTGTTTCCATGAGGGCCGTTTGAGTGAAAGTCAACTTTTGCATCCCGTCGTCTCTAAGCTTTATCCTCTTTTCGAGTCTATCAAGTCTAGCTTTGCTACCTGGATCAATCAAGGATACTATCATGCTTGTCCTTCCTCGACATTTGAAGTCTTTAACAAAATTCTTGATGCCCGTGATTTCGCTTGGAACCTTACACAATTGGAAAGTCTCAGTCTCGATAATCTTTTGATCATCTTAAGAATTATGAAAGATCTTATGTCTGCCGAAGGTGTCAAATGCGCTCAAATGGATCCTATTTTCGGTCATATTGAAAATATCATGTCTGGCTTCGATTTTAACACCAGTAAATCTATGAAGGCTTTATGGAAATACTTCTGTCCCTCTACTTTGTCTTCCGAGTCTTTGCATGAACTTGAAGCCGAATTACACAAGATTAATGCTACTATGAACTCCTACAAGTTTGATTCCGAAGATGGACTTAGTCCTAAATCTCTTGTATTGCGTGCCAAATCTGAAGCCAAAGAAGCTTTGGTTGAAGGTATTGCTACACTATATGCCGTTGATGAAAACGATACCGAGAATGCTGAAAAGGTGTTGAAATCTCTCCGTAAGCTGCCTGAGTATATCAATCGTGAACTTGAATCGTCTGCACCCGCTGAAGGTGATATTAGAAGAGACACGTATTGGGATACTGCCTTAATGCCATTGTATGATTACACTAGTGTCGTCACTGAGATGGAACTTATTGCTAACCTTTATACTGCTGCCTGTGATTCTTCTGACACTGCAGCCATGGAGAAGCTGGTCGAAGAGATGTTAAAGTTCAGAAAATTCGCTTTCAACAAAACATCTCGACCCCCTCTCGATATGGTTCCCTATCAACGAATGATCTGGTTCTTGGACTCAGGTAATACTGAAAACATTGCCACAGCGCTTCCCGGTATGGTTCAAGATGCTGCCTATACTTATCATCAACGTCTTTGGCGTTCGAGTGTGTACCAGAAAGACCTTTACCAATTAACTCCTTCTGATGCAGAAGTTGTAAGTCTATATACTACCCTTCAATTTCATTTATTTTAAATTAACGAGCCCCTCTTTTTTTTTTACAGGATCTTGGTATCACTGAAGGTTCTCTCAGTCTTTTCGAAAGTGTAGAAACTCTTGCATGTTTGAACATTTTGAGTTCCGTGGATAAGATGCCTGCAGATGCTTATGAGAACGCTCTTACTCAGCTGAAGAATTTGAAGCACTTCCTCACTTCTAATGTCAATTTGAAGGATAGAAAAGCACTTGAAGTTGTTATGCTCATTGCTATGGCTCGTCAGGTATGGATCCTCCATTTAATTTATACTGTTCTGACATACTAACTTTGCTTTATGTAGTTGCTTAACGCTTCTTCCGAAGTTATTCCTAACGAACATTACATTGCCATCTCCGCTGAATTCACCAAGATAACTACTTTCACCAAGACACTTTTGAGATCTTCAATCTATTCTACTGAAAATATTAGCTCTCAATATGACGATGCTTTGTCGGTATTCACCGAAATCTCAAAAATTATGGAAGGTGTCGACTTCAATGGCTTTTATATCAACGCACTCATTTCTGTCAGTGATAGTATTCGCCATTTGAGAAGTAAGGATGATGTTGGTTTCTACTCTGCTGCTGGTAAGGCTCGTGTTCTTTTGGGCTTGGCTTTTGTATCTGCATACATCCCCGATTATCCCGTCGATCCTACGTCTGAGCCTCGTCTTCATGTCAACTTGTTGAACGTAAAGAAGCAAGAACACACTGATAATATTGAAATCCGTAGCAACATTGAAACTGTGTACACTGGTAACAATACCAACAAGACTATCAATCAAGAACAGTCTAATTTGAATAAGATCAACACTGAGCTTTCCCAAAGTGCCACTATTTTCTCTCTTCGCCCTGCCAAATCTCAGTTAGATGAAATCTTTGTCGATTTACGCTACCTTCAAAAGAGTATGCTCGATCGCAATGTTGAAAATTTGTTGCTTGATCTTGAAGCTAATGGTATCGATTCTGTATTACAACGTGAAAATCTTTTACAAGGCAATGCTCTTCAATTCGTTGACAGAGTTCATCACAAATTCCCCTTGTACAGAGATATTCTTCAACCTCTTATTGTCGCTGTTGATGATATCAAGTATGGTTTGCGTATTTTGACTGCTAATGCCAGAAAAGATTCCACCGACAAGTTCTTAGCTGAAGTTATCGAACTTCTTGTGCGTGATCCTGATGTATCTCATCATGATTATGACCTTGATTGGCACACTCTTGCTACACCCGAAAAGATCGCTAAACTCAAGAGAGTTGTATTCGAAAGAGCTCCCACAAACAGAAAATGGGCATTCTACCTTCGTCTTTTGATTGTCATTCTTCAACGTCTTGTAATTGGTGTCAACACTAATGCTTACATGAAGACAGACGATCTTATTTCCGTTAATGTTTTGTTCAGTGAAATTATCCAAGTCTGGAAATCCGCTGAAGAGTACAAGCGTAAAATGGCTGTTGAAAAGGAAGCTATGTTCAAAACTCGTGCAAGAAAATATGAGCCTCCTACTGATGAAGAGCTCGAAGAGCAGGATTTGAAGAAGATTTTTGCTGATTTTAACGAGGAGTTTGCTGATTTAGATATTGAAGATGACGGTCAAGCTAAAAAGACCTTTATTCCTACTGATGTCGAAGAAGCCTCTGTTTTGGATGACGAAGATGTCTATCGTATCGGTCATCTCCACAGAGTTCTGTTTGAAACCTACAACCGCGATAGTTGCGTTCGTTCCGATAAGTCCTGGGATCGCGAAACTATCCAGTCTTATGCTGTTGCCAGTCAACTTGCTACTATGGCTAACTCTGCTTTCACCAATGCTACCGATCGTATATGTAATGGTGGACATCTTCGTGTAACTTCCTTAACTATCAACCGTCTCGAATCTGAAAATTCCTTCGCCAAGACCAGTGATAACATTTACGATTTCTACCAAAGCGAAAATGTCGGTGAGGCTAAGCGTATCGAGCCTATCGTCAATCGCTTCAAGGCTCGTATTTTGGAACTCATTGAACAATGGCCTGAACATGCTATTCTTGAACAATTAGTTGTGATTTGTGATCGTATCTTGACTTTCTCTATTCTTTCACCTGTTGCCAAATTCTTGACTGGTGTTGAACTTTTGTTACAAAAGTCCGAAGATTGGGAAGCATATGCTGCTAAGCATGTCTCATTAAAGGATCAACGTGAAGAGTTAATCGCTTTAATTGTCAGTTGGAGACAACTCGAACTTAATTGCTGGCCTAAGCTTTTGGCTGCTCAAGAGCAATACCAACAAGATGCTGCTTTTACCTGGTGGTTCCATCTTTACGATACTGTCAATAACACATCTTTTGAGAGCGATTCTGAGGCCGAAAATACCAAGAATACCCGCGAATTATTGGGTGCTCTTGATCAATTTGTCCAATGTGCCTCGATTATTGAACTCGAACCTCGTCTCAAGATGATTGATAGTTTCTATCGTCAAACCAAGATTCAAGCACAGTTGTCTACTTTTGAAGGCGAGAAATTGAACTATGAAAGAACTGCAACTATTTTGCGCAACGTCTATTTGTACTACTCTCAATTCCAAGAACATGCTAACACCATGCTCGCTCAATTACGTAAGCCTATTGAAAAGGATTTGAAAGACTTTGTGAAAATCGCTACCTGGAAGGATGTCAACATTTATGCTCTTCGTCAAAGTGCTGCCAAAACACATAGACAACTCCATAAATGTATCCGTAAGTATCGTGAAGTTTTGAACAACTCCATGTTGACCATTATTGCAAACTATAATGAGGAGCATGCCATGTATCAATTTGGTGATGATAAGCGTTATGCCAAGGATGTGAACCGTGGTCTTGTTGATCAACTTTCCCAAGCAGATATCTGGACTGGTACTACTGTCATGCCTGAACCTAATACCGAATTCGATTGGTCTTCTGCTCCTGTTGTCAAGCAGCATTTGAGTAACCTTCAAGTTACATTAAACAGAATGCGCGCTTATTGTCGCAAGGATATCTTTATCGCTGATGATGAGACTAAAGAACTTCCTTTGGAAACCTTTATGACTGAAATGATTGAGCAGATCAAGTACTTCCAAAAAGAGACTCCTTCTATCATGACCGAAGAAAACAAGTCTACCGTCAAGAACCAAAAGCTTTTGAAGAAAAAGGCGTTAGTTGACTTTTTGAAAGAACTTCGCCGTATTGGTCTCAAGTCTCGTCCTGGTATTATGAAGGAGGCTAATGCTGATACTGCCATTCTTTTCCGTCAACAAGTTGCCGACTTGGAATCCGTTGTACAAAGCAGAGATCTTCAAAAAGAGAAGTTATCTAGTTACACTTGTGCAACTGCCGATATGGTCGAACAATGGAAGAAAGCTAACGATTACTATTATCGTTGTATTGCTAGAATGACTCATTTGAGAACAATTAGCAGTATCAATGTTAGTAAAGATCTTTCTATGCTTGAGGTTGAACGTTCATTGAGTGCCACTGAACATATGTTCAGTCTTACTGGTAAGGAGCGTACTATTTTGGCTCGTGTCGAAGAGCGTATGCAAATCCTTCAAGGTGGTGCTGTTCAACTTGCATCCTTGTATGACTCTTTCTCTCAAGGAAAGCCTATCGCTAGCGATGCTGAACTTGGCTGTCGCTTGACTAACCACAAGGTGCATATCGACAAACTTGCTTTGTTCATGAATCAAGCTGTGGCTGTCGTTACTCTTCAAGCTGGATCTATCGGTCAACAAACATTGAAGGACTTACAAGACATGGCTCGTGATATCAAGAAGATCCAAAAGACTATTGACTATTGTTATGTTCAACGTTATCTTTATCCTAGATCTGCTACTGGTCTTGAATTTTCTTTATTGACTACTGATGTTGAAGAATTGATCGAGTCTCATTCCGAAAAGATTGAATTGATCCATACCTTATTGATTAGTGCTATGCAAGTATTGCCTCAATCCAGCCATGTATTGTTCCCTATTACACAGTATATCGATAGTATTCGTCGCTTACCTATCAATCAAGTACAAGAAGAAGAAACCGAAAAGGTCACTATTGTTGATCTTCGTGAGAAGATTTATGGTTTGATTGATGTTGCTTTGGTGTCTATCCAAGATCTTAAAAAGGCCAATGCCCCCCTTGAGAAGCCCAAGTCTATCTTCACCGAAGAAGAAGAGGAAGAGGAGACTGAAGATATGGGTCAAGATTATATCCGTCATCAAAACAGTAAACAAGCTAAGCTTGCCAGTGCTCTTCATCTTGAATCTGCCTCCAAGCGATGTGTTGAAGTTTTGACGATTGCCCATAACCTTATGGCTCGTCCTGAATCTGCCGATGTTGTCGACGAGATCTCTCGTTTGTTACAAGAAACTTATCCTTTCCTCCAACAATACATGCTCATTGTCCAACATACTCTCAGTAAGATGTTAATTCATCACAAGACTATGGCTAAGATGACCTATTGTCTTGTTAATTCTTTCAGTATTATCATTACTAAGGGTTTCTGTATGCCTGCTGGTGCCGATGACGGTGAGGAGGGTGATGCCGATGGTACGATGAGTGGTACCGGTATGGGTGAAGGTGAAGGTAACAAGGACGTCAGTGAGGAAATTGAGGATGAAGAACAAGTTCTTGGTACTCAAAACGAAGAGCGTAAGAATGATGAAAAGGAAGATACCAAGGAAGAGAAGAATGGTATGGACATGGAGAACGACTTCGATGGTAATCTTGAAGATGCCGAACAAGATGACAAGGACGAAGACGACTCTGATAGCTCAGACGACGAAGAAGATCCTGATGAGCAAATTGGTGATGTCGATGACATGGATCCTGATGCTGTTGATGATAAGATGTGGGGCGATGAGGCCGAAGAAAACTTGAAGGAAAGTGATAAAACCGTTGAAGATCAAGGCAATCAAGAGCAAGAACAAGAGTCTGAAATTGTTGCTAAGGATGAAAACGATCAACAACCTGATTCCAAGGGCGAAAAGCCTGAAAAATCCGACAAGAATGAAAATCAACAAGAGGCTGATGGTGATGAAGGAGACGGTGATGAGGAGATGGATGATAAGGAGGAAGGTGATGAGGAGAATGAGGCCGAAGGAGAGGGCGAAGATGAGGATGACGTTGAGAACAAGGCTGGTGAGCAGCTCAATGCCGATATTCCTGAAGCCGAAACTTTAGAGCTTCCTGATGATATGAATATGGATGGTGACGACGATAATGAAGATGGAGGAGAAGAAGGTCAAGATATGAATGATCCCATGGATATGGATGAGCAAGCTCCCACTCAAGGTGAAGAACAACTTCCCGAAGAAGATGAGAATGCCGAAGCCTTCCATGATGCTTTAGATGATGTTGAGCAAGGTTTAGACGAAGACGAGGAAATGGCTGATGCCTCCGCTCAAATGGATACCGAAGTAGGTGAAGGTGAAGATGACGAGGAGAAGAATGGCTCCGGTGACGAAGAAAAGGAGGAAAATGAAGAAGTTGCTCCCGAAGTTGGTGATTCTGAACAACAAAAGAAGAATGGTCAAATTGAGGAAGATGAGCAAGATGCTGATGAAGAGAATAAGGCTCAAAACCGTGAGCAGCCTGATAGTGACGCTACCGCCGATAATCAATTTGGTGTCCAAGGTGAATCTGGAAAGCAAAGTAAGAGTTCAGCTGGTAAGAAGGAAGGTGAAGATGATACCGCTGATACGGCTGATGCTGAAGATGAAAAGGCTGATAAGCAAGAACAAAAGGGTAAATCCGAACGTGGTGCCAATCAGTCCAACGAAGAAGAAGCAGAGGATGCCGAGAAAGAAGAACAAGCCGAAGATGGTGCTGAGGAACAAGATGCCAGTCAAGCTCAAGCTAATCCTCAAAGAAGTTTGGGTGACGCATTAGAGAAATGGCGTAGAAGACTTGCCGATCTTGATGACGAGCCTGAAAATGAAGAAGAAGAGGCCGATTCAGAGAAAGAAAAGAAGACTGATAATCCTGATAACGAAGAAGCCAAGGTCAATGAAGATGATTCATTCGAGTATGTCAAAAATGATGACGAGGCTCACGATATGCAAACCATGGGTAATGCTCAACCGGATCAAATCCAAGATCTAAAGATGGGTGGCATGGATGAAGAAAAAGAAGATTCCAAGGAAACCTCTGGTGAAATGGAGGCCGATGAACAAATGGATGATGTTGATACTATGCCTTTAGCTCGTGATACACTTGACATGTCCGGTGCTGGTGATAACCAAGGTGCTATTCTCAGTAAGAAGCTTCCTGAACAACAAATGATGGAGGAGAATGATATCTTGACCATGGATGAATCTGTTTTATCTCGTGAACCCCTTGAACAAGAAGATATTGAGCGTATGAGAGATGAGCTTGAAACCCAGGTGTCCGACTGGCGTGAAGAAGGCCGTGATATCAACAAGGCTCGTGAACTCTGGCAAGGTTATGAAAATTTAACACACGATCTCGCTATGGGACTCTGTGAACAACTCCGTTTGATTCTTGAACCCACTCTTGCCACCAAGCTTAAGGGTGATTATCGTACTGGTAAACGTCTTAACATGAAGAAGATCATTCCTTATATTGCAAGTCAGTTTAAGAAGGATAAAATTTGGTTACGTCGTACCAAGCCTAGTAAACGTCAATACCAGGTCATGATCTCAGTCGATGATTCCAAGTCCATGTCTGAATCGCATTCCGTCCAACTTGCGTATGAAGCATTGTCTCTTATTTCTAAGGCATTATCCCAACTTGAGGTTGGTAATATCTCGATTACATCTTTCGGTGAGCGTGTCCGTTTGTTACATCCTTTCGATCAGCCTTTCACTGCTGAATCCGGTGCAAACGTTATCCAACAATTTACTTTTGCTCAACAAAAGACTTATGTCAAGAACTTGATTGAAACCTCTCTCGGCTTATTTGAAGGCGCTAAACACACTTCTGGTCCCGGTAACGCTGAGCTCTGGCAACTCCAATTGATTATTTCTGATGGTATTTGTGAAGATCATAATACACTCCGTGCACTTGTCCGAAACGCACTGGATCAACAAATTATGATGATCTTTATCGTCGTCGATAACAAGCCTGAAAAAGATTCCATCTTGAACATGACAAATGTCAAGTATACAGTCAAGGATGGTAAATATGGTATCCAAATGAACCCATACCTTGAAACATTCCCCTTCCAATATTTTATGGTCTTGCGTGATATCAATGCTCTTCCAGAGGTCTTATCCGATGCTTTAAGACAGTATTTCAGCTTTGTGTCCGCTTAGTTGTTTAGAATATTAGTTTATAGTCTATTTTTTATTTTGTGTTATATTTTTTTTGTATTATTTGGTTATTTTGAATTAAAAGGGTTTTTATGTTGAAAATTTGTATTGTTTCTTGTCTTGTTGGTCTGTCTTACTTATATTTCAGCTTTCCCTCTTCCGGCTTTTATAAAGTCTTTTATATATATAAGGTGAATGCTATACTCTATTGGGCATAGCAAATGTCTTGTGCTAATTGCAGCTGGAACATTTATTGTTATCGGTAAACAAGTAACTATAGCTTTTTACTTCTAAGAATAAATAAATAAAAAACTCCTTCATGACTTATAGGTGGATATCAAGCTTTTTATTTTAAATTACAAGGACCAAAGTATATCATAGTTTTATATTTACAATAGGAAGAAAATCCTATATTAATTTACAGTTATGTTTATCTGGACTGCAATCCATTAAATTCATATTTCATATGGCATCAACTTGATTCATAGAACACACAAATCCGAATTGTAATCCGGTAGACGCTCGTTATTATATTGCGGTAAACATTCTTCATATTCCAAACAATCAAGAAACTTTGGAGTAGGTAATGTGTTATCACTTGTCTGCTGGTTGTTAAATATGCTATCATAGGTCGAGTAGGCGTTAATTTTTTCAAAGGATCGAATTCCATATCCAAGTGTACCGAGACAAATCGTTATGTCTGGTAGATCCCACGTTTGTGACCATATCTTGCTCTTTCTTTTGATGCTGATTTTTAGCTGATACGTAATGGAAAACACTGTGCCATAAGTGAAGGTAGGTACGCTGTCTAAAGGAATATTTAATGATGTATCCAAAACAATTTCATTGGACAAGGATTCTCTTTTGTCGTTGCTTTGAGTGGACGTCAAATAGATGACTTTTTGACCGATTATATTGGTTAGGTATCGCTCTCCTGTATCCGTGGGTGTAGTTTTTTTCCAGGTCTGAATTTGGTGTAATTTAACATTCAGGCAATCAATTGATTTTCTCGGAATATTTCTGATTTTAACCGATATAGGCATCTCGTCACCAGGTACGTAATCCAAAGAAGTCAGTCGCACAGTTGCTGAGGAGCTTGCTGTTTCTGGACTTTCCTCACTTGATACATGTTGGGGCAATAAAAAGCTAGAAGGGCGTTCCGAAGTTGTAATTTGAATAGGCTCTTTCGATATGCTGGTTTCTAACATGGGCATGAATATGATCTCCTTCCAACTTGTGAGGATAGGTGTTTTTTCCCCTTCCAATTGAGAATCCAAGTGAACAGAAAGTTTGTAATTCGAATTGTACGACAACCCATATTTGACGGAAGCAGTACTGTACGACGGTGGAAATTGCACCATGGGTAGTTGAATAATAAAAGGGATTGTGATGTCTTGATTGGCTGTAAGGATTGACAATGATTGTACATCCTTTCTTTTCCAAAGTGTTCTTTGACTTCCAAACAATTGATTATGATATGCGGGATGAATACTTCCCGAGCAAAGGCTTTGTTCTGATGCATGGAACACAATTCGTAATTTATCCGCGATTATTAATTGTGCTTCTGTAATATGAATTTTGACAAAGCCTAAGTTCAATTAATTAAATTGGATGTTGCATTTTAGCTGTGATATTGCTTTTTATATATATGTATGTACCTTGAAACACGGATCCAGGGCCATACACTGTTTTATTTTGGATAGACCAACCAAAATCAGGTAAAAGATGAATTTCTAATGACATTTTTTTTTATATAGGCACTATTTTTGAATATAGAAATGATAATTAAAATTATGAGTGACGTTTATATACTTTTTTTTATTCGTAATTCGATATTTTTGTTCTCGGCGGAATATCCCAAGGATCGGCGGAAGAGTGGCCATACAGACAACCTAAAAAAAGGTTGGCATACCCAAAGCTTCAGCTGACCATTTCAAAATCCTTTTTCAGAATATACTCGAGTTGAATATCCTTAATTTTTTTTTTTTTTCATCTTTACCGCAGTACGTTAAAAATAAAGGCCCTGATCCAAATATTTATTCTGTAATCCCGGTAAAACCGTTTACAAAATATACCTGAGTGTGACAGAGCACAAAATCAAAAAAAAAAAAGATCGATGCCAAATCTGACTTGCTTGGCAGATCTTTCCTTAGCTGTGGTACAAACATAAACCACCCATTTTTTTTTTTGTACGTACTTGTCTTTACCAAGGTGCCAAGTATTAATTAGTTGTTGTCTTGAATGTGACGTTGCTTTTATTTTGTATATGATCTTGTCATACATATCCTGATCTATACTCAGGCTAACATGATCTTCATACATACGGTACCGCACATAAACACAGGATGTACATAAATATTTTTGCATAGGCGTAAATTCTTTATATTTTTATTAAGGTATATGGGCATAACATATGGGATATAGTATAATACTACAAGTATTTAAAATTACAATGGGCTTTTTTTTAAAAGAAATAAATGTACAAAAGTGAGGGAGCAATCATGTATCAACATCATTAGTTACTACTGCACTGCGTAGGTCCTTCATAACACGGTAATTTAATCGATTCATAGAGCGGTAAAGCATCTTCATATTCAATACTATCCATAAAAATTGGAGACGGCATAGGAGACTCAACAGAGGAATCGTCATTCCAGTGTGTGTAACTTTCCAACGCATCGGAAGATCGTATGCCATAGCCCAAAGTACCTACAACCACCTGGATCTTGATAACTTTGAGCGCCTGTTTCCATATACTTGAAAGTGACCCCTTATGCTCCAATCGAATATGCAATGTATACGATACCGACACTAAATTACCAACAAACGATGGTGTGAGATCGGCCGGCAGTAATAATTCGATATCAGTTGTGGAAGGAGTGTTCTTGGATGTCATTGCCAGAGCCTGTGTTTGGGAACAAACGGTTTTCACCTGATCTGGCACATCATGAAACGCAAGAATAGTTGTCAGTTGTTTTAATTCTGTTACTACTGTCATATCCTTATATTTTTTCTCTGGTGTCGACATGTTAATTTTTATGTTGGCCTTCAAGTAGTCACCTGGCACAAAGTTTAGAGTATATAACTTGATTGCAGCAGCCAATTCCTTGTTGATCGTTGTGTTCAATAGCATGGAAGATTTTAGTAAGCTGGTTTCTATAAATGGCATATAGACAACGGGTATCTCGATCTTATCTGGCAGATGCATGTCAACCGCAGTAGCTACCAGTTTGTACTCACATTGGTAGTAAAATTGTTTCACAGAAGGAGGGAATTGTACCATCGGTAATTGAAGTGTGAAGGGAAACGTGTAGGTGGATTTTGCAGATGCAGTACTATCGCATTGCAATATTTTCGCGACTGAGAAGATAGGTTTACGTGTAGAACGAACTATACCCGGTGTGATTGTGTAAGGTAAAATAGTCTCTACGCATGAAAAGGCGAGTTTGATCTTGGTAATGCGGCTGTGGGAAGGCATATTTTTAACAGTAACAAAACCTAAATTTCGATAGAATGGTAAGATACACGAATTAAGACTAGGTGATAGTCTTCAAGCTTTACCCTGAAAAACAGATCCAGGACCATAAACATGTTGTCCATTGATAGACCATCCAAATTCAGGTAAAATAGTCAGATGCATTGCCATTTTTTTTTATGTTTATAAAATGATGAAAAGAAAACTTTAAAAAAAAAGTGGTTATATATAATATTTTTCCAATTTGGGATTTCAACCTTGTGAAAAAAAAATGTCTTTACCTGGTATAGTTTTGTAAAATGCAAAGATTTACCAAGTCGACAAGACATATTGGCAACCTTATTTTTTCACTGCCAAGTATTTTTGCCCTATTATGTCTGTACTCTACAATCGACCAAAATAGGGACGGTCTTTCTTTGCCCTTGTTCAGAAAAATAATTGCCAGATATCAAGTGGGTTTTTGTTTTTTATTTATCATCAAGACGAATATTGACAGTGTATAACGATGAGGAAAAGCAACAGTAAAACTGTCGTGACATTTAATGCTGGCTCATGATTAAAATACTAGCTCGTACGTTCTATTTTCTATTAACCCTAAAACATCTTACTGATGTCACTATTTTTACCCATTGTTCCCTTTTTCACGGCGCAGCATGATGTTTGTATTTTCACACTTTACCGCAGTATTTTTTTTTTTTTTTCAAAAAGATTATGTGTCACCTTCATTACTTTTTTTCATTTCGTGCCTGAATCCATTAAACCTCCGAATCAACAAAGATTGAAAGAGAATTGTAGTGTAATTGTGACAATAAGGATCATCCCATGAATATACCATTTTTTTTTTACCTGGAATTCATTCTTTACATAAACAAGGTCGTACAAGATTGTATTTTGCAGATCTTGTTTGAGTTACACACAATATAAACAAAGGATAAATTTTTTCCGTTGCACGCACGCAAACAGTTTTTACCTTAAACTGATCAATAGAAACTTTATGGAGTTTTTATTTTTATTTCTATCAAATAACTAATACCTTTACAAGTAGCATTCATTACTTAATAAAATAGTGAGCTCTTATATTATAAAACATATCGTTCGTATTTGTACTTGTCATGAACACATCAGATCATTATTTTCATAAAAAAAAAAGAAAGAAAGAAAGAGAGAAGAACACAATGGCAACAAAATGATGATACGACGCGAGTGTTCACTGTGATGCTCTCCTTGCGACATACACTTCTTCTTATAACCCCAAGTTTCTTCTTTAAAAAAAAATCCTGTGATGTAAATCCCAACATTCTGAAAAAAAAAAAAAGTTCATGGTAGGACAAAACGCGAAAATATACACGTAAGCAAAGGCCCCCCGTCAAATCCATGCCAAGAGAATTTTCTATTGGCAAAGTTTTTTAAAGGGTCTTTCTACAAGAAGCCAAGAGGCCAAGAGAGACTTTATGACATCCACAGTATATCTTTTGATAATTACTATAAAACACCACTAACGTGCTTAATAAAGAAAATGCATCTACTATAAATTTACAGATTGCGTTTTTTTTTGTTGTTGTTTATGTTTATGACAATGCATTGTAGTTCACATTAAACTTTCTGCTATACGTCTTATCATTGTTTCAGGAAAAGCATAAACAAATCATGGCAACCGATAATATCAGGGGGGGAAAGGAGTTTCTCGTGGCCATGGCATCTTACATGGGGTAGGGGGAGAGAGTACCGTAACCCGGCGGAAATGGGATGAAATTTTTTTATTTGATGTTACACTACGGCGCATAATTCCAGTCAGGCCTTTTTTTTTTTCTTCTGGAACAAAGGCTTTTTTTTTTTTTGTTATTTTTTACCACCGACACATCGGGCGTGTTACAAGGAAAACTTAAACTTTATTCTTAAATGTCTAGATGAAAAAAATGTCGTCATAGTCTTTACAGAAAATAAGGGGAGCTTTCATCATCATGATATTAACTTTTATTAGCATGTTCCTGGAAAAAAAGTCAAACTAGATTGTACAAGGAAAATCATTTTTATAACAACAACATCAGGTGTGTCGATCATTAAAAGAAGAGCGGGAAAGCCTTAATTTTTTTTCTTTTTACACTTATTTGGGTAAAAGAGAGTCATTTTTTAATATTGTGTCATGATACATCATTTGTGATCCCATTATATTTTTCGGCGACTATTCTTTTTTTAAAAAAAAATTAAATAATGCTGAGCAACACAGGTTACTCACACGCGGTAGCTCATGGACTATGATAGGGGGATCTAAACAAACAAACAAAAAGATCTAATTTTAATAGGGAAATATCTAAATTTATTTATTTACAATAGAATAATAGGGAATGAGGGTATAATGTAATAGAGAGAGGGAATTTTGCTGCTCTTATAATAAAATGGTAGCATGTTCATAAGTGGGTAATTTACTATCTTCATAAAGCGGTAAAGCATCTTCATATTCAATATTTTTCATAAATTTTGGTGTGGGAGTGGCAGTAATCATGGTAGTGGTGGTGGTGGGAGTTTCAGCTTCAAATTCAGTATAGAGTTTGAGTTCATTGGAAGTACGAATACCATAACCTAAAGTACCAATCGTAATATGAATATCCTCCCAATTTACTGACAAGGACCAGATACCACCCAGTGGACCCTTTTGATCGACAGACACCTGTAACTTATAAGACACCTTGACGAGCTTTCCATAATCAAAAGTGGGTGTGATATCGGCAGGAATCTTGATCTCAAAGTCAGCATCAGAAACACCTTTCACTAACAGTAAATTTGACGTAGTGGAGGCAACAGTTTTGGTTTGGTCTGGGATTTCATTGGATCTTTCAATAAAGGACATGGTTTGAACTAATTCAAGTCGCACAGTGACATACTCCATTCCGCCGACAGAGGAGGACTTTTTCTTTTTGCTGCTTTCCACGTGGAGGGAGATGGGTATGTGATCACCCGGTACAAATTCTTGTGCTCCCATTCGAACATAGCCTGACAAGTCGCCCTTTTGAGCATGCATCTTGAGTGGCATCTTTAATAGACTGGTCTCGACAAAAGGCATACAAGTGACAGGCATCACACTTTTAATGGTGGGTGTATCGAGTGTAGGTGTATCCACAATAGCAATCAATTGAAATAGAGATTGATATTTACGATGACTGATAGAGGGAGGAAACTGGATCATTGGCATTTGAATGGTGAAGGGAAAGCTGTAATCAACATCTGGATCCAAATGATCGAGCTCTTTTGAGTCCCAGAGAGTATTCTGGATACTGAATAAAGTCTTTTTGGAGAATCTCGAGATATTTAAAGCAAATTCAAGTGCAGGAATTGCTTCTGTGGCATAGAATGCAAGACGCACTCTTTCGACAGGAAGACGTGTATGCATGTTTAATTTAACAAAACCTTGAAAGACAGAGCCAGGACCATAGATGGGTTGGCCATGGATAGACCAACCGAATTCAGGAAGTAACTCAATAGTTAAAGAACAATCAGAGGAGTTCATTTTTTTAAGTAAGATATATTTGTTTATATAGAATGAATAAAGAAAAGAAAGAGGGATCGACAAAAAATAGACTAGTATTTATAGATTTTTTTTTTTTGGCACGTTGAGTGGAGGAACCGCAGCATACGGTACAGAATTAAAAAAAAAAAAATGCCCAGCTTTGTACAACCACGTCATTTTCATGTACTTTACTGAATGTATTTATGAAGGAACTTGCGATGAAAATCAGAACGCAACATATCATTGACAAATCTCTTTTTAGGTTTATCGTCTAAACCTCTTGCTTGATTTTTGAAAATAACATCATCATCCCAACTAAAAGCAAAAAATAATGTCAGTGTACAAAACACAGGTATTGCCAAGAGAAAAAAAAGTTCTTACCGTCTTTTCACACTAAAGTCACGTTTTTCCTGTCCGATATTTAAGAGAGGATTACCTTCCATTGCCTCTTGCTCTTTTTCGGTCTGCTCCTCTTCCTTGATTTTAATCTCTTGACGTTCTTTTTCTTCAGCACGTTCCTGACGAATACGCTTTAGTGTTGCTAATAATTCTGCTGCATTGTCATCGTCATCGGAATCATCATCGTCGTCTGAATCATCATTGTCACTTTTTAGTTCAATGTTAGCAGAGATCCTTGCTGTATATGTATATATATACATCTTTTACCTGCTACTTGCATCCCCATCACTGTCTTGATCACTATCGTCTTTATCTAGCTTGGCTAACCTCTCTGCTTCAGCCATCAATTGTTGCTTTTCATGATTCGGTTCTTCGTCTTGTCGGATCAACCTTGAAGAAGACGGTCCTCCTTCCTTCTCTTCATAGTATTCCTGTTCCGCTCTTTTTAACTCGGCTAATAACTCTTCGCGATTACCGATTTCATCCACAGTGCCTTGTCCAGGTTGTCTGAACTTGAGCTTCGTATGCGAGGCAATGTCTCGAGCACTGTACTGGAAACTAGGTGCTTTGCTATCATTACCTCGTGCGGGATCAAATGTGGGACGAGCTGCCGTTGTCTATTATTATATACCCTTTTTATTTTAAAAACTAAGGACTTGTTTATATCCAATCATGGCACTTACCATGGTGTGATGTTTAAAAGTGTGGAATAAAAAAAAAAAAAAAAAAAAAAGGGAAAGCAAGAACAAAAAAAAAAAAAAAACGCGGAGCTGTGACATCACAATTAAGCGACTAGATACACCACTAGAGCTACTTGCACTTGTTGTGCGGTTGGGATTTCCAGCAATAATAATAAAGGAGAGAGCCCACTCCAACATAAAGTAATTTGATCTTGGGGGTATTCCTCTATGACACAGTTCAAGTAGCTTATAGTACCACACTTATTCACTAAACTATATGAATGTACTTTTAAAACAATTTGATACATTGGCAGACACAAGCCGTTTTGTTTTTCGCTTTACTTAGTGAGGACAGCTAATGTTTCCTTAGAAACAGCCAAAGTGCACGTAGTCACAGCGTAAGATCTGTGATTCGGCTATCCCTAAGAGACCCTTTTTTTTTTTTTTTTTGAAGGCATTTATTATACTGCGGGTGATTATATAATACTGCGGCGCTTTCTCGGAGAAAAAGGGAGGGACACGTTTTTTTTCTTCTTTGTGTTTAATTCTATGTAACTCAATCTTTCATTCAATAAATCACGAGTGAGACAATTCTATCGTCCGCCGAATTTTTTTTTTTTTTCAAGTAGCACGGATCGACGTCAAAAGTACGAGGGAGGGAACTTTCCATTTGATTTAGACACACTGTGGCATTGCACATGCTGTGTCCCCTCATGCTATTGGGGGGAGAGATGTAACGTGGAAGCTCTTATTAGCTTTCAAGCACACACACACACACACACAGAGAGAGAGAGAGAGAGAGTCCGGACCGGAAGAAGCGTGTGTTGTGATGTTATGAAGGAGGCGGGTATCCAGTTACGCAAATTCCTCAATTGCTAGCCTACTAGACTTGACGCACGATAAAAAGAAGCGTGGACACGTTCCAGCTGGTCACGGTCGTCGTGTGTGGGTTAGCATATAGAAAGCATCCAGGTGGTGGTGGTCTTGCTGGTGGACAACATTATCACCATATGAACATGGACAAGTACCATCCTGGATACTTTGGTAAGGTGGGTTATGCGTCAATTCCACTTGAAGGACAATATCCACTGGCGTCCTATTTGTTCATCTTGACACGATCTGGACTCTTGCCTCTGACGGTGTTCGTGAACAGTACAGGAACACGGAGAAGGTAAATTATCATTGATACACTCCCAAAAGGTGATGCATCATCCTATTTTAACAAAGGGATGGGGGATTAGAGGATTTTTTCTAATTAAGCATCATAAAAACAATAAGGCTATGGTAAGGTTGTTGGCAAAAGGGTACGATTTCTCAACCCGTCATTGTTCGTGCTCGTTTCGTTTCCCGCTTTAGCTGAAGGTTGCTGGTGGTTATTGTTTGAGCTTAATGCTTAAATTTTTTTTTTTTTTTGATAAAGTAAAATAAAAGAAGTCAATTGTATACATGGTTTTTTTTTGTTGTTTTTTTTATATAGAAATGCAAAAATAGTAAAAATTAAAAAAAAAAAAAAAAAACGAGTGCCGTTTTTTGGGGGATCAATTTGAATTTAAAAAAAATAATATTTTAAAAAAAGTGTGTGTAGTTTTGGTTTTGAAGTGTGTGCGTGAAAGTATTTAATAGCATATATCAATAAAAAAAAAAAAAAAAACTGTAATTTCTTTTTTTTTTCTTTACTTGGAAGAAGTATACTTGGTGACAGCCTTGGTACCTTCAGAGACGGCATGCTTGGCGAGTTCTCCAGGAAGAATAAGACGAACAGCGGTTTGAATTTCACGAGAAGAAATGGTGGAACGCTTGTTGTAGGCAGCTAACTTGGAAGCTTCAGAGGCAATACGTTCAAAGATATCGTTGACGAAAGAGTTCAAGATAGACATGGCCTTGTTGGAGATACCAGTATCGGGATGAACTTGCTTCAAGACCTTGTAGATATAAGAAGAATAGGTCTCACGACGAGTGACCTTTCTCTTCTTACCATCAGCCTTGACCTTGGTGGTCTTGGCAGGGGCTTTGGCAGCAGCAGCAGCAACGGATTCTTTAGGAGCCATTTTTTTTAATTTAGAATTTGAACAAGAAAAAGGGGACTTCTAGTGGGGGGCCCAGATTTCTGCTGGGTTTTATATAAGTTTTTTTTTTTTTTTTTTTTTTTTTTATTTTATTTTCCCCCCATTATTAATTTTTTTTTTTTTTTTTTTTTGTCAGTTCAAAAAAAAAAATTATGTTCATTTTGGGGCTTTTTGAGATAATCAATCGCGAAAACCAACACGAAACAACACGTGGATACAACCTTCTCTTTCAATCCCTACCATAAAAAAAAGTAACGATTTTTTTTTTTTTTTTTTTTTTTTTTTTTTTTACACCTTAGAGTCAAAAAAAAAAAAAGTAAAAAAAAAAAAAAAAAAAAAAAAAAAATGCGTGACGTTGATTTGCCAAAAACTTTTTTTTTTTTTTTTTTAAATCGTATATAAATTAATTTCTTTCTTGTTTTTTTTCGAGTTTTTCTGCTTGATTCCCTTTTTTTTTAATAAAACAAATTTCTTTTTATATCAAAAATGTCTGGTGGTAAATCTGGTGGAAAGTCTGCTTCTGGCTCCAAGTCTCAAACTCGTTCAGCTAAGGCTGGTCTCCAATTCCCCGTTGGTCGTATCCATCGTCTCTTGCGTCGTGGAAACTATGCCCAACGTGTTGGTGCTGGTGCTCCCGTCTACCTTGCTGCTGTTCTCGAATACCTCGCTGCTGAAATTCTCGAATTAGCCGGTAACGCTGCTCGTGATAACAAGAAGTCTCGTATTATCCCCCGTCATCTTCAATTAGCTATCCGTAACGATGAGGAATTAAACAAGTTGCTCGGTCACGTCACTATCGCTCAAGGTGGTGTCCTCCCCAACATTCACGCCTCTTTGTTGCCCACCAAGTCCAAGAAGGCCGGTGCTTCTCAAGAACTTTAAAATGTTATATATCACTCTTCTCTCTTCCGACACTCAACCCCATTCACCAACTTATGCGCACATAAAAAATCACATACGCTTTTTTTTCGTACAGTCAACAACAACATATTGATTCCTTCTTTTTTTTTCTTTTTTTTTTTTTTTTTAATTAAAATTGTCGCTTCACTCTAAAAAAGAATCAGGTCCCATTTTTATTTTCCTCACTTGTATTTTGTGTGAATGATGTGAGGATTGGAATAGTAAGAACTATGGATGTATGCTTATTCTAGTAGTGGGTAACTGTAGATGTATGCTTATTCTAGTAACGGGTATCCATAGATATATGTGTTGTAAGGGTAACGGGTATCCATAGATTTATATGTTGTAAGGGTAACGGGTATCCATAGATTTATATGTTGTAAGGGTAACGGGTATCCATAGATTTATATGTTGTAAGGGTAACGGGTATCCATAGATTTATATGTTGTAAGGGTAACAGGTAGTTATGGATGCAGATACTAGAGATAGACATGGAATGAAGAGATGCACGCACGCATACGAACATACTTAATAATAAACCAGAAAACATTGATTAGAGCGTATTGAGAAAAATAAGAGAGAGATGCTTTATTTTTTGAATAGAAGTAATGATGTTTTGGGGATATTTTTTTTTTGATTATAATAATAAAAAAAAAAAAGGGGGAGGAAGAAAAAAAGAGATGAAATTTATCCACCGAAACCGTAAAGAGTACGACCTTGTCTCTTGAGAGCATAAACGACATCCAAAGAGGTGACAGTCTTTCTCTTGGCATGTTCAGTATAAGTGACGGCATCACGAATGACATTTTCAAGGAAGACCTTGAGGACACCACGAGTTTCTTCGTAGATCAAACCAGAGATACGCTTGACACCACCACGACGAGCGAGACGACGAATAGCAGGCTTAGTAATACCTTGAATGTTGTCACGAAGAATCTTTCTGTGACGCTTAGCTCCTCCCTTTCCGAGTCCTTTACCACCTTTTCCACGACCAGTCATATTTAAATTATGTTAATTGAACAAGAAGAAGAAGAGAGAAAAAAAAAAAAAAAAAAAAAGTAAACCCCAGCTTACTCTTGCCCCCCTTTTTATACATTTTGACAAAAGTCACAATGAAAAATGTTGATTTTTTTTTTTTTTTTTTTTTTTGGATCGCCGTATATTTTTTTTTTTTTTTTTTTTTTTTGATGAAAAAAAAAAAAACGCGCGACGCTACCAAAAAAAAGATATATCTTTTTTTTCAATTTTTGTAGTTTTATTCAAAAAAAAAAAAAGAAGACTGATTGACCTGTAGCCCAAACAATGTAGCATTTTTTTTTTTTTTTTTTTTTTTACAACAGTTGTCTTCTCTTTTCAGTTGCATCCTATTTATTCACCATACATATTCACCTGTGTAAAAAAAAAAAAAGAAAAAGAATGATAAAGTACAAATAAAAACGTTAATTACATGACGATATTTTTTTTTTTATCATGAAAAAAAAAAAAAAAGCAAAATTAAAAGTCAGTCGATACATATAAATAGAGGAGGATTCCTCACGGCCCTAAAATAAGATTTTTTTTTTTCCTTTTTCTTTTTTTGAATCCTTATAAAAAAAATATTTATTAAATATGGCTCGTACTAAGCAAACAGCTCGTAAGTCTACCGGTGGTAAAGCTCCCCGTAAGCAATTGGCCACTAAGGCTGCCCGTAAATCCGCCCCTTCCACTGGTGGTGTCAAGAAGCCTCATCGTTACAGACCCGGTACCGTTGCTCTCCGTGAGATTCGTCGTTACCAAAAGTCTACTGAGCTTTTGATCCGTAAGCTCCCCTTCCAACGTCTCGTCCGTGAAATTGCTCAAGATTTCAAGACCGATTTACGTTTCCAATCTTCTGCTATTGGTGCCCTCCAAGAAGCCTCTGAAGCCTACCTTGTCTCTCTCTTTGAAGATACTAACTTGGCTGCTATCCATGCCAAGCGTGTCACTATCCAACCCAAGGATATTCAATTGGCCCGTCGTCTCCGTGGTGAACGCTCTTAAATACTTTTTTTTTTTTTAAAAAAAAAAAAATTATAAATACCATTTCTTTTTTTTTTCATAAATCCATAAAAAAAAAATCTTTCGGTGAAAAAAAAAATTATCACATTTTGTTATAGTCTTGGTGTTTTTTTTTTTTATTTCATTCTCAGTGTATTTGAAAATAAAATATATATATATACAAAAAGAAACAGTCCTTTTTTTTTTATATTATTATTTCATTACATGTCAAGTTACAGTATGTGTAACCCCGGGTAAATTTAGATCGTCCCTTCTCAAAAAGAAAACCTTAAATAGATTGCATATTTCCTTTTTTAAAATTAAAAAATGTCATTTCTCGTCACTGTAAAAAAAAAAATTATATATATATTTTTTTTTTCTGATTTATTTATTTACAAATTATTTTAATAGAAGAAAAAAAAAAAAAAATTAATCTCAATGCTGTCATTAATTTTTTCTTCTTTTTTTTTTAAAAAAGAGAACAATCAAGAAAAAAAAAAAAAAAAAATAGGGATATCAAATACAGAATCAAAAAAAAACATGATATTTTTTTTAAAAAAAAAGAGTATATTTTTCTTTTGTGTGTGCGTGTGTGTGGGTGAAAAAGTGATTTTGAGTGAATAGCTTTTTTTTTTTTTTTTTTTTTGGAGCAAATTTAAAGTTCTTGAGAAGCACCGGCCTTCTTGGACTTGGTAGGTAAAAGAGAGGCATGGATGTTGGGGAGGACACCACCTTGAGCGATAGTGACGTGACCAAGCAACTTGTTTAATTCTTCATCGTTACGGATAGCTAATTGAAGATGACGGGGGATGATACGAGACTTCTTGTTATCACGAGCAGCGTTACCGGCTAATTCGAGAATTTCAGCAGCGAGGTATTCGAGGACAGCAGCGAGGTAGACGGGAGCACCAGCACCAACACGTTGGGCATAGTTTCCACGACGCAAGAGACGATGGATACGACCAACGGGGAATTGGAGACCAGCCTTAGCTGAACGAGTTTGAGACTTGGAGCCAGAAGCAGACTTTCCACCAGATTTACCACCAGACATGTTTGATATAAAAAGAAAAGTTTTTTTGAAGGGAGTAAAAAAAAAAAAAAAGGGAAAAAAAAAAATCCAAAAAGGACGTCCCAATGCAAGCGTATTTATATAATTCTCATTATTTTAAACCCCGTCTTTTTTTTTTCTTTTTTTTTTTTTTTTTTTGAAAATATAAAAAAAGTACCTGTATGAACAGCTATTTTTAAAAAAAAAAAAATAAAGGGATTTTTTTTTACATGGTTAAATTGATAAAAGAGGTTTAATTCCGAGATAACTCGCGTTTGTTTCGTGATTTCACGACATTTTTATAATTGATATGAGAAAAAAAAAAAAAAGATGACACATGTGTAAAAAAAAAAAAAAAAAAAAAAAAGACGAAAAAGAAAAAAAAAAAAAAAAGAGAGTCACATAAATTAGAATTATATAAAAATGAACAAAATTTCTTGCCATTTCCAGTTTTTTCTTTTTTTTTTTTTTTTTTTTTTTTCTTTTCTTTCTTGAAAGTATAATATTATTTTAAAAAATGGCTGCTGATCTCCCCACCAAAGAACACAAGAAGACTGGACCCAAGGAAGGAAAGAAGAGAAAGGTCACTCGTCGTGAGACTTATTCTTCTTATATCTACAAGGTCTTGAAGCAAGTTCATCCCGATACTGGTATCTCCAACAAGGCCATGTCTATCTTGAACTCTTTCGTCAACGATATCTTTGAACGTATCGCCTCTGAAGCTTCCAAGTTAGCTGCCTACAACAAGCGTTCCACCATTTCTTCTCGTGAAATTCAAACCGCTGTTCGTCTTATTCTTCCTGGAGAACTCGCCAAGCATGCCGTTTCTGAAGGTACCAAGGCTGTCACCAAGTATACTTCTTCCAAGTAAATATCATTTCTCTCTCTTTTTCTTATATATACAAATATAAAAAAAAAAAAATTCCTTCATTTTACAAAAAAAAAAAAAAAAAACGCGAGTGTATATATGTGTGTGTGTGTGTGTTTATTATTTTAAAGTGGGAAGAGAAAAGATATCCGACGTGTCTTTTATACTTGTGAAATCTCCCATTTCTGCATAGAATGCATCAAGATCATCATCCAATGTTTCCTTCTTCTTTTCCTTCACCTCCTTCTTTTGCTCTACCACCACCATCGTCTCCTTTTCTTTTTTTAGTGCAGGTGAGTATTCGGATGGAAAGGCACTTTTATCCCAATAAGCAACACGTCCATCTACAACAGGAATGGACCATTCAGATTGTCCGTACACGGGTATAAAACTTTTTGGATTCGTAAAAGAAACCAACACGCGTCGTCCATCCACTTGTAATAATTCTCGTGCATATTCCAACGCCATCGATGCGTACTTTTATATATAAATGTCAGTTTTCTTGTGTAAGCACACACAAAATGATTGTACACTACCTTAATCTCACTAAACTCGATAAAGGCAAATTCACATGACATGCGGGTCATCTTGTCTCGAATCAATAATGTACGCACAACACCTTCCAAGGAAGACACGGCATTATAAATACTTTCTTCCGTTGAGAAATGGTCCAGTTGACGTATCAGTAACATGTTACTAGGCACAGTTGATACGTCTCTTGTACCATCATTGATCGAAACGGATTCTGTCTCATTGGTACGAATTTCCTTGGATGAAGCTATCTATTTCTGTTAGCTTCTTTTTTCTTTTTATTTAGACTTGACAGTAATTACCACTTACAAATGTACGAGTGCTTGCATTCTGTACAAGCACGACGAGAAATGACATTAAAGTTACCGCACTATTTGGAGTGAAGGTCCCCTAATGTCAGTCTTTTTTTTAATTGATCGTTAAAAAGCTTTTTTTTTTACCTTGAAGCAGCGCCATTCTTCCTTTTCTTCCTCTTGCTTATTCTTTTTACAATAGTCGACACGGACACGATATGAGTCCATGGAAAAGGTACGGTGACGTTCAACAAATTGAATGGCATGACCTACACTGGTGAAACGTACAAAGGCGAATTTACGAGAGTCACCTGTCTCACGGTCCTTGATGAGCGATACATCGTCGATACTGGCTTCCATTCGCTTCAACTTGTCTTCTATCTATCCAATGGGTGAATAAAGGAGCCTTTTTAGAAAGATAAAATAGCTTACATGGACTTCTCTCGCATTGTCAGGTAGGTTGCGCAAGACAACATTAATATTGGGTTCGATTTCATCCAGTCTTTTTCTCTAGAGATGCATTAGCTTTTTTTTTGGGTGTTTTTTTTCATCTAAAAGCCATCAGTGTGCACGGAATTGGGTTTTTTTTCTTACTGGCTCTTCTCGAGAGCGAGAATAAGGACTACGGGAACGTCTTCGGTATGAATGTCGACTCGACATGATGTTATTAAAATATTTATCCGAAAAAAAAAAAAGAAAGGAAGAAAAATTTCTTTTTTTTTCTTTTTGGGTATAAAATGGGGGGTGACTCCCCCCCCTTCCCCAAAATAATTTCTTTTTTTTCTTTCTTTCTTTCTTTCTTCTTTCTCTTTATTGTTGCAGTAGAGTCATGTCACAAGCACTACTTGAGTTTGCAGAACCCTTTCTCTCCAAGGTAGAAGCCATGGTACATGCGATTGCAGCTGATGTTCCTGTCGAAACAGACTGGGCACAGTCTTCGTTTGGGTCTTGGTAAGTGTGTAGCAGTTACATAAAAGAGGAAGAGATAGTTAATGAATTTAAGGGCAGGTACAACCACCCTCGTCAGCATGGAGTGGAACTCACCATTTTGGCTAGTATTTATGGGTGTGCAACCTACATCTTTTTCCGTCGTCTATTACGACCCGGTACCGAGAATTATAAATTATTGACAGAATTCGAACCAGCCCATAAAAGAGCGAGTTTAACCGAGAGAGCCTTGACATTCTCCCTTATTTGCTCTCTCTTGATGACCTTGACACATAAAATCATTCGTAGTCGAGTTTGGTTCATGATGCAACCATGTCATATGAGTGGTCTCTTGCTACTGATCACTCTAGTTTACCCAAACAAACGATCCCCTATCCCGCATGTCTTTTTTAACATTTATCTGCATTTGCAATGGGGTGCCTTGGCCGCTTTAGCATTTCCTGATCTACGAGAACATACCTTGATTGGAGAAACATTCAACTTTTTTGCAGGTAAAATCATCCCTACCCTACATCTTTTTTTTTGTATTTACTCACACAGACACTCCTATAAAGAACATATTTTACTGCTCGTGGTGCCTGTTTACATGATCTACAGCCGTCGCTATGCTGTTCTCCCCAAATCAAAGGAGATCTTATTTCTATCCTTCTTTTGTTACAGTTTCTTTCACACACCTGTTCTTCACATCATTTCGCTCATCTCTGGCTTCAACCTTAACTACATGTTTGCCCCACCTCCCAGTAAGTTTTTTTTTTATGTCTCTTATGATTGACTCAACCCATTTATTTTTTTTAAATAGTCAAGGTACTGTTGCAATTGGGTCCTTTGTACCGTATCGTCATGTACGCCGTTGCTTTTCTATTTAAATTTGTCACCCGATTTATTTGTGTAGAGACCGTTTTGGCCATCATGCCTCGTGAAAAGCCTTCAGAACCAGTTCGAAAAGTACCCTCTGTCAGATCGAAAAAGATCGATTAATATCTACAATCCCCTTTTAGAGTAGCACACACACACAAAATAAGGTTTATTTTTAGCTGCAATAAAAAAAAAAAAAAAATGGTGACAGCTTCAGTCATAAATATGGTTACACCTTGTGTTCCCTTTTTTTTTTTTAATTTTATATTAACCGATCATCCCTTTACTATAAGCTAAAGAACAGGCATTCCGGATTGACACATGTGTGCAAGGAGAAAAAAAAAAAAGGGGATAAATGAACCAACATGAAATACTCGTTTTTCTTTTAGCACTAAAGAAGCCCCCTCCTTTCGTTCTATTTATCAGCAGTATAATTTTTTTTTTTTAATATATAAGGTATATATGTATATACAGAGAGAGAAGTTTTTAAGGTGGAGTATCCCTTTTTAACCGTTGAAGTTCAATTTCCAATCTTAATTGCTCCAACTTCATTTCTTGCATACGTTCTTGATGATCCATCTTTTTAAGTTCGAGTTCCAATTCCATGATTTTGACTTTATCCTTTGTCATACCCTGTGTTCCATAGATTATGCATTCACTATAACAGATTTCAAAATGACATGTTTGAAAGGCCCTTCCCCCCTCCCCCCCCTCTATTTTTTTTTTTATTTTTACCTGCCACTTGATTTCTCTGCTGGATTTGATTTTCTCTTTTTAGCAGTGTAGGGTATAGGGTGATTGTTGTTCACCACCATCTCCGAAAGTGGACTCCTCCCCGTGGCTTTCATGGCGGATGAGTCGGATGGTTCCCTCTTCATATCCTCTTCCATCAAAGCCTCTTCATCTTCCGTCACTGTCAGTGCAGGGGGATTAACTTGCATAGGGGAATCTACTACTGTGAGTGCTGTAAAGATAGGCTTACATCGGTCATAATAAGGGAATTCCTTGTCTAATTTCTCTATGTGTGATGTATTTATTTAGTACGAGTCCCCTCCCTCCTTTTTCAACAAAAAAATAAAAAAACCTCGAAGTGTCGCCTCATCTTGTAATGTCAATTGATGTTGCCAGAGTTTAAATCGAGATTCTAACCAACGTACTTTAAATTTGATAGCTTCATGGTACATGACGTTTTTAAAGACTTGTTCTGCTACACGCTTGGAATAACCCGACTTGTTCTCCTTCCACTTGGCGTAATGACCCACTTGTTCCAAGTCAGTTAATAAAAGTCCGACGTCATCTTCTTTCCATTGAACATAACGTCTGGATGGTTCAGGGGTACTGGGTAAACCAGGTTCCACACTTTCGCTCATGTAAGTAGTGGACTGCAAAGGCATCTCTCTCTCTCTTCTTTTTATATCTATTTAAAGAGAGAAAAGAAAAGTGGAAAAAAGGGATTCTAAATTTTAAAAAAACAAACCCCCCCCCCCTCCCTCATAAAGTCCGATTTGCGCCCCTCCCCCACATATTCTCTCTCTTTCTCTCTCTCTTTTCTTGTACAGGGTAAAACAGTTGCCAGTTGACAGTTGATCATTTATGTCACAATGCGAGTTGTTAAACAAACGAAAATAAAATAAATAAAAAAAGAGACGTAGTATTATTTTGTACAATATGCTGTTGGGGATGGGATGGGAGAGGGGGTTATAAAAAATTAAATAGAAAAGGAGGCCATAAAGGTAGTTTCGGTGGTCTCAACGGTTTGATATCCACTAGGTGCCTTGATACCTAAAATCTCATTTAAACGAGTCTTATCATCTCCACTATGAGCCATTCTCTTTGCACGCAAGAACTTTGCACGCGCACTATTTTTTTTTTTTAAAAAAAAGGAAGCGGAGGGGGTGAGTGAGTTTTGATTTTCTAATGTATTGTGATCCCCCATAAGAAACTTACGCGTTACGGTAGACAGGTGCAGCAGGTGCTTCTTCCTTCTTGGCCTTCTTGGCCTTTTTAGCTTCCTTTTTGGCTGCCTTGGCTGCCTTTTTAGCCTTCTTTTCCTCCTTTCTAGCTCTCTTTGCCTTCTTTTCTTCGTCTTCCTCCTCTTCGTCGTCCTCTCTATCTCTCTTCTTGGACTTTTTCTCTTTCTTTTCCTTTTTCTCTTTCTTTTCCTTCTTTTCCTTCTTCTTTTCCTTCTTCGTTTCCTTCTTCGTTTCCTCTGTCTTTGTCTCGACAATAACCTCGACATCACCTTCCACACTGCCTTCTTCAGAAGGGGATGGGGAGGCATTTAAATCAGCCAACAAGCGAGAAAAGGCATCGGTATTACCAAGCCAATTATCAATGTTCTTTTTAGTAGCACCCACACCAAGCACATTGTCCTTGAGCTTGATCTTGACATGATCTTTGTTACCGTCTTCCTTCACACCCAAACCTTTACCAGGTGTCCATCCCATCTTTTGCATCATGCGGAACCCAAACTTGCTTTCATCTTTACTCCAAAATAAATTGTTGGGATCTTGACTAATACGTTGCTTTTCCTTTTGTCCTGCTAATCCCATGGTGTGTTTTTATGTTTTAAAAAAAAAGAAACGAAGAAAAAAAAAAAAAAAAAAAAAAGCTCAAAACTCTACCACCCCCCAATCATAAGCCACAAACGGCGACAATCGGTGTTGGAATTACATGAGCCAATCATGAAAAAGCAAAGACTTCCCCCCCAGTGCACACCTTTTGAGATTTAAAAAGCCGCCAGTTTAGGCTTTTTCAGAGGATACCTTTTTTTTTGATTTTTTTAAAAAAAAATCCTCTTGTTTGGGCGTTACGCTTACTGTATAGAGGTGCTTTTCCTCCAGAAAAATAAAATAAAAATAAAGATGCACCTCATCATGTGTATATGTATATATAAATGATAAATAATAAATTGAAATCCAGCCCTTTATTATACAGTTTACTTTTTTTTAAGAGGAGGATGATTTGACACGAGATACCAACGAGTGGACATCCTGCTTGCAGTTATCTAAATCAGTCTCGAGAGAAGTGGACTCGAGTGCTGGTAGTTCTTCCATGAGGGAAGCTAATTCAGCCTTGACCATATCGATGAAAGCTTGATGATTGGATTGAATCTGAGCTTGAACGGAAGTATAGTCTTGCAGGACGAGCTCTCTTTCCTTGTGTTGGTTCTCTAGGGATAATTTGACAGCAGAAGTGATATCTGTGTTTTGTAATTTGATGATTTGGGAGCGAATATGATCCAATTCTTCATATAAAGTAGCTAATTCGGTGTCGAACTCAGATTGAGTCTGTACCACTGATTTTTCAAGCGCTAATTTCTGAAGCACTTGTTTTTCCTTTAACAAGGTGATGGTGTGACATTCCTTTTCTATCGTGTGTTCTCGTCGTTTCAAGTCATCCATTTCTTTACGAGCACTAGTGGCTTCATCCTTGAGTTGTTTCACTCTATTCTCTGTTGTCACATAGGTCTTTTTGGTAGAGTCTAATAACTCTTGCTTACTTTCGAGGATTTGCATCACTTCTTGAATATCCGATCGTAGTTGCTTGTTGTTCTCGATAAATGTCTCGTTCTCTCTCTCACTGTTCTCTTTGTTTTCGCATACAGTTGTAAGCTACAAAAAAAAACTTGTATTTTTAATCTATACCCCCCTAAATCCTTTCTCTCTTTCTTTTTTTCTTCACTTACTTGTGCTCTCGTGCTCTTGATTTCCTTTTGGATCATCTCTAAATTCTCTTGCAACTCTTCAAGAACTCGTGTTGTACGAGAGCTAGAGGTAGAACGTGGAGAAGATAATCCGTGTAAGCTTCTGGGAAGTGAACTAGTTTGAAGCATCATGTATATATATTTAAAGAAGAAAAAAAGGAAAAAAAAAAAAAATAGAAATACAGCGCAAGGGAGTTTTATTTTTTTTCAAAAAATAAATATAAAAAATATATAGGCCTGACAGCTTTAATCTCCGATCAAAGCACCTTTTTATATATTTTATTTGGGGTGATGCATCAGGTGCTTTCCTCATGCAAAAAAAAAAAAAAAAAAGGAGGAAGGGAGATGACGACACACACAAAAAAAAAAAAAAGATTTTATCAAACCATCTTTTTTTGCCCTCTCTTTTTTTCTTTCTTTTTTTTTTTTTCTCACATTGTTACTTTTTTTATTTCTTTATAACTTTTTTTTTTCTACTAACCCGTAAATTTTTTTTTTTTTTTTTTTTTTTTTTTTTTGGGAAGAAAAAAAAAGATAGAGTCCATTGTCAAGGCAAAGGACTCTAAATAAATCATACAATAACTCAACGACTTTTTATCTCAAAAATTAACACACAACAAAAAAGGGGGAGGGAAAATAATTAAATAAAAAGAAAATAAAATCTTCCCACCCACACATGGAAATCCCTCAAAAAGATGTCATTGTCGGAGAGCAATGGTTAATTCTATCAAAAATAGGTGAAGGCTCTTTTGGAGAAGTATTCAAAGGTTTTTATAATTTTTATTTTTTTATTTTGCATGAATTTTTTTTTATTATTTTGTAACTCCCTTTTTTTTATTTTTATTTAAAGCTCAAGATGTAGAGTTGGGTGGTTTCTATGCTGTCAAAAGAGAGGCGTTAGATCTGGAGCATCCACAATTACATCATGAAAAATTCGTCTATGATCTTGTTGCAGGAGGACGTAAAGTTGTTTGGTTATAAATATATTTTGACATTTTTTTTAGTAACAAAACACATCTATATATATATATACACACACAGCTTGTATTCCCAAGTGTCACTGGTATGGCCAACACGATGGCTTTGACTGCATCGTGATTGATTTACTCGGGAAAAGCTTAAAACAGATGCAAGCGGACGAGACTCCGACATTAGCCCGTGTCATCGACATTGGTTGCCAACTCATCGCCTGTCTCGAACATATTCACGATAAAGGCATGGTCTATCGTGACATCAAGCCTGAGAATTTCTTGTATAATACCCAGGCTACCTCACTCTATGTCGTTGATTTTGGTTTAGCCACCTGGTGGAGAAACCCAAAGACAAAGAGAGCCTATCCGGAGAGTAAGAAACCCATCAAGTTCAAGACCGGTACAGCTCGTTATGCTTCACTGAATGTCCATCGTGGTCGAACACACAGTCGACGTGACGATATGGAGAGTTTGGCTTATGTCTTGCTTGACTTGCTATTGGCTGGCAATTTACCTTGGTCAGGTATCAAGGCACGTTCTTGTAAGGTGGGTTGGGATCGTTTGCAATCCGTGAAAGAATCCTTGTCTGCCGGGGATCTTTGTGTGGGATTACCCGTGGGTATCCAACACTTTATTGAGTATACACGTAACCTACGATTTATGGACAGACCAGATTATCGTTATCTTGCCTCGTTATTGATTGGATCCAATTTACGTGGTCCTTACTCAAAATTAGTAACAAGAAAAAAGAAGGATGTCTTTTTAATGGATTCACTTCTCAAGGAATTACCCATCGTCAATACAACGACGACTGATTCATTTTCTTACCGTAACAAATCTTCTGCTTCTTCCAATCATCGTACCTATTATAAGCGTTACTATGCTTGGAATACATCTCACACTTAAATTTCCACTGTTTATTATAATTATAATCCCCGTTTTTTCTCATCATTTTACTTTTATGGATGGTGGGAAATTATTTCTTAAAAAAAAAAAACATAAAGAACCCAAACTTTTTTTTTTTTTTTAAATTGCAACTTTAATTCTTTTTCTTCTTCTTCTTTTCAATGCTCGCTCGTATCAGTCGTCAAAAGGGCCTTGTTGCTCCTCGCTTGTTTGCCAGAACCATGGCCTCTAAAAGCTTTGTCAAATACAATTGGCAAGATCCCTTGAATCTCGAGTCCGTCCTCACCGAAGACGAAATCTCTATTCGTGACGCCGTCAAAAGTTATTGTCAAGACAAGTTACAACCCCGTGTCTTACAAGCCTACCGCAACGAGAGTGAGTGATTCTTTACCCTTTTATTTTTTTTAATTTTTTTTTCTAACCTCTTTTTTTTTTGCATACGAACGTAAAAAAAAAGAATTCGACAGAGAAATCATGTCTGAAATGGGTGAGTTGGGTTTCTTGGGTTCTACCATCGAAGGTTACGGTTGTGCTGGTGTTTCTTCCGTTGCCTATGGTTTAACTGCACGTGAAGTTGAAACGTAAATATTTTCAATCCGTCCCCCCCCCCCCCATTTTATTTATAAAATTTTCTAAAAACCCTGTTTATATATATTTGCATTTAGGGTGGATTCAGGTTACCGTTCTGCCATGTCTGTGCAATCCTCACTTGTCATGCATCCTATCTATGCTTACGGTACCGAAGAACAAAAGGAAAAGTACCTTCCTTCCTTGGGTAAGTACCTGTTCCCTTTTCATAAAATTAAAAAAAAACGGTTTCTAATCGTAACTTTTTCAAAACAAGCCAAGGGAGAAAAGGTGGGTTGTTTCGGTCTCACAGAACCCAACCATGGTTCTGATCCTGCAGGTATGGAAACCACTGCTCGTAAAGTAAACGGACACTACGTCTTGAACGGATCCAAGACATGGATCACCAACTCACCTATTGCCGATGTCTTTGTGATTTGGGCCAAGAACCTAGATGAAGATGGAGCGATTCGTGGATTTATTTTAGAAAAGGGGATGCCCGGTTTAGAAGCACCTGCTATCAAGGGTAAATTCTCTTTGCGTGCTTCCATCACGGGTATGATCATGATGGATAACGTTGAAATTCCTCTCACCAACATGTTACCTAACGCCAAGGGATTGGGTGGACCCTTTGGTTGTCTTAATAATGCGCGTTACGGTATCGCTTGGGGTGCTTTAGGTGCCGCTGAAGCCTGTCTGGATCAAGCACGTACCTACACTTTGGATCGTCACCAATTCGGTCGTCCTTTAGCCGCCAATCAATTGATCCAAAAGAAATTAGCTGATGCCAATACAGAGATCGCCTTGGGTTTACAGGCCTGTGTTCAAGTCGGTCGTCTCAAGGATGCTAAACAATTAGCCCCCGAAATGATCTCCATGATCAAACGTAATTCTTGTGGTAAGGCCATTCAAATCGCTCGTGATTGTCGTGATATGTTGGGTGGTAACGGTATCTCGGATGAATACCATATCATTCGTCATGCTGCTAATTTAGAAGCTGTCAATACCTATGAAGGCACTCACGATGTTCATGCTTTGATTCTGGGTAAAGCTATCACCGGTATCCCCGCTTTTGCCAATTAAACTTTTTTTAAAAAATATCACACTAAAAAAAAAAAAACTTTTTTGTTACCCCACACACACACACACAAAGCGAAAAAGAAAACCCGGGATCGTTTTTTAAAACCGGGTTGCCATTGAATCCTCTTTTTTTTTTTTGACATGTCAATTCCCACCATCATGACTAATAGAGGGTATGACGAAAAAAAAAAATATTTTTATTAAATTAATTATGGATGAATGCTTTTTTGTTGTTGTTGATTGTAGAGGTATTCTTGTAATGAAATCTTTCGTATAGGTTTCTTTTCTTCTTTTTTCAATGGTATAGGCCCCAATGAGTCATTTTCTTCCTTTTCATTCCCTTTGTCCACAATTTCCTTGCATGGTGGCACACCCGTCGTCTGGACTGTTTGTGCAGGTGGTGGTACATGGTTCACCACAACATCAGCAGGCGTATCATTCACTACAACAGCAGTAGGCGCATCGTTCACCACAACAGTAGGTACGTGTGTATCGCTTACCACTACCACAGTAGTAGTAGTAGTAGTAGCAGCAGCAGCAGCAGCAGCAGCAGCAGCAGCAGGTACATCGTTTACCACCTCAACAGGAGTAGTAGCAGGTGTATGACGAACAGAAGCCATAGGCGGCTGAGTAGGGTGGTAAAAGGGAGATGTATAAACATCATCCCTCTGTATCTGTTCTAAAGGCCCGACTTCCAACCTAGGAGACTCATACATACTGACGGATTCTCGACGATCCTCATAAGCACGTTGGATTTCGTCTCCGTCCAACAAGATGGTAGATGCATCACTCAATTCACCTTCATCCACCACAACAACAGGATGATGCATGTAGGGTATCTCGTTCGCGGCCATGGCATCCAGTAATAATTTGGCGGCTTCCATATCTTCGGGTGTAGCATCCACCAGGGCTCGATCACTATTGAATATCCGCATTTGCTGGTGGGTATTGTCGATATCCATCGGAGTCTCGTTGGTATAATCATGCGCATCTGTTTTATTTTTTTTTGTTTTTTAAAAAAGAAGAACTTGAGTGAGTAAAATAATAATAATAATAAAAAACGCGTTCATTTTTTTTTTTTTTTTTTACCTGGGGGTTCGTCAGAGACGTGTTTATTGAGGTAATCACGCATCCAGAGCTTTTTACGCGGTAAAACTGTCGATGCGGTGGGAGCGGAAGTGGTGGTGGTGGAGGAGGAAGAGTAAGGAATATGTTGATGGTGATGAGGATGGGATCGCTTGTGTCGGGATTGTTTCTTTCGACGTGACCTTGCTCTAGATTCTTCATCATCCGTCATATCATTGTTCGATTCTTCAAAGACCGATAAACTGGATAAAGAAGACAGTGATGAAAGATCCGCATGCTCGTCTTGATCATCACTACTGTTTTCTTCCAGTAAAGGTAAAGCGTCCTTATGGGGTAAATCATCACCTATATCAATATCTCCTTCCACATCCAGTAATTCATCATCCGATACTTCCTTGACTGAATCCAAAGCGGTAACGGACACATGGGTAGCAGGAGTAGGAGGAGGAGGAGGAAGAGGAGGAGGGGGCGAATTCGAAGTGATATCAATCAGACTATTTTCTTCGGATTTCTTTTTGGGTTCCTTTGGTTTTAACAAGATGATATTATCCGAAGCCCTTCTTTTCAAGGAAGGTAAGATATTGACGGCAGGTAACTTGAGTTTTTTCTCTTTTATAGGAGGTGCAATCTGTCGACGTAAATGTTCAATTAAACAACGTCGTTTATTCAAACAAGCACACGATCCAAATTCCTTTTCAAATCGTTCCAACATGACTCCGATCGTATGGCGTCGCTTACGTTCTTCCTCTTCATCAATCACTTGATGTTGACTCCCCTCGGATCCACCGTGACGTAGTTTATGTTGATGATGCCAATTCATATTTTCCTTCCAACTAATATGACCTCGTTGCCAGCCCCAACTGATCGTCACTTGCTGTCCCTTCTCGATAAAATGACGTGCAAATAATCCAAGATGAATCGTTTTATCGTCTCGTGGTAAAACCACATTGCGTAACTCGGCATTGGGATGACACGAACGTCGAATGTACCTGGCCTTGTTTCCAAATTGGCGTGTATCGATACATGCATCCAATGAAGGGTAAAACATCATGTGACTCAAGGGCGTACCCAACAAGACGAAATCATGGACAGGATCAAACTTGAATTCCGACTTGAGAAGGACATCCCCCGTCACTTGCATGAGATAACGTAAGGCAGGAATCGGTCGATGGGCGAACAGACCTTGATTGGAAACAGGTGTGTTGATCAAGACACCCTTTGTCAAGAAAGTCACGGTATCCATGGTGACAAACGGACCATGGTCGTATAACCCTTCCTGATGTTTCCATCGACCCCAACGTTCCTTGGCCTCACAAAAGATGGCATGCACATGACGTGATACGATGCGACTCTTGACATGTTTCTTTTTCTTCTTATTAAAGGAGGAAGGTTCGTCTTTAGCGTCCAATTGCTGAAGCTTGTTTTTGGCAATCGGGATACGTTTGGAGAGTTTAGGACGTTTTCGTTGACTGCATTGGTCACATAAGTAATGGTCCGGAATCGTGCTTTGAGAAATATGAACACAGTAAGCATGTTGCCACACGAGACAACGTTCACATTGAATGGTGAATCCATCATCTTCGGTTGAGGTACACACACATCGAATTAACCCCGTATCCATCGCACTGCTGTCTTCTTGCGCTCGTTTTGTTTCAAAAACTCTTTGTTGGGTCGTCATTCACTGCTTTTATTTTTCTTCCCACTCTTTTTCCCTTTTTTTTTTTCTTTTTTCTTTTTGCTTTTTATTCTGCTATGGTCAAAAAAAAAAAAAAAATGATCAAAATGGACTGATAGAATACCCATCTTTTTTTTTTTCGGGGATTCCATGATATACCATTTGAACCAATAAAAAACCCCCTTCATATAAAAAAAAATGTCGACTCAAAAGAAAGGGTTTCTATTTCCAAGGATGCTTTCTAAAGTAACATTCCAATATAAACCAAAGTGTTTTACCGGGTAACATACAAACATTTTTTTTCGTTTTATTAGACAATTCATTGGCGAGGAAAGGGGGGGGAGGGGGACGTTTTTTTTTTGTCGTTTAAAGATGGGTTATTAAAACTATAGGTTTTGTATTTTATCATCTGGTGTATATTGACTCTTTTATTTATAACTTTTGACTCATTTTAAACAAAAGGGGGCAATCACCTATTTTTTTTTAAACATCATGTTAAATATCCCCTCCATGATAAATGTAGTAACCAGCTTCCATCTTTTTTTATATATATATAAACAAGGGGATCGTGTTTTATCACTTTTAGCTTTCTTTTGACGCTGTAGAATTCACATAGTATCGGGATCGATCAACTTACAATAAAACATGTGTCTACCAAAAAAAAAAAAAAAAAAAAAAAATAACCCTGTTAGCATAGCATATTTATTGAATGCTCAAAGATTTAGACCGATTTATTGAATATCTGGGCCTATATCAACTCATGTAAAATATTACCTTTTTTTTTTCGTAGGTCATTTACGGGTGTAACTATCATCACCTGCAACAACTCATGTACTTTGGAACCGTCTATTATTATATCTAAAATAAAAAATAGGATCGAGTAAGCAACTAGCATTCATAGTATCCTGACGGATATATATATATAAATATAAAAAGAAACTTGTTCTTGCATATTTTTTTTTAAAAAAAAGAGGGTTTGTGTCAAGTAATAAAGCTTTATATGAAATACTCACAGGGAAGGACGAACTTCCTGCTTCTAGTTAAAAGCCGAGTAAGTCACATGCGTTATAACCCCCCCCCCCCTCGCGATGATATCTAGACGTCAAACCCTGATTCTAGACTAAATTGTCTATTTAAACTGGTAGTCTCTTAAAAAAAGTTTTTTTTTATACATCTCCAGAAAACGTAATAAAGATAAAAGACTATCATACATATTAAATAAATAAAAAATATCATAAAATAGGAATATAATATTGTTAAAAGGTCGGTTAGAAAAAATAATAAACAATTTAACCAATGTTATTGTAAGATTAATTGTATTCTTGAAAATATGTATATATAATCAGGGTTGATGTAATGGAGCACTCTTGTCGTCAGTTACCCTGTTTTTAAAGGGCATCACTGGTCCAAAAAAAAAAAAAAAAAAAAAAAAAAATACTACACTCGGTAACAATTCTGTCATCTGACTCAAGTAGGTATCCAAAACGACAATTCTTTCTATAAGAGACTACTCATACTAAGATCTGGTTGTTTGGCAATTCCAGACCTTCTTTTAACCAATGCCTAGGAAACAACAGCCTGCCTGTCTGCAAAAAAAAAAAAAAAAAAAAAAAAATGACGAGGTATTACATCTCAAGGACCTCAAAATAGGGTATCCATTCGAGTTATGCTTATTCAATGATTATTTAATAGTGAAATTTCCAGTTACACACCTGAAATAATAGTAATATTTATCAGAGGTGTGGATCTAGATTTCCGATAGACATCAAATGCAAAAAAAAAAAAAAAAAAAAAAAAAAATAATTATGAAATGCCTTTCATGTTTCTTCTGTAAAACTGCTCATTTCTGGAAAACTAACACAACACTGTACAATAATAACTTTTTTTTTTTTTTTTTTTCAAAATTAAAAAAAAAAAAAAAATGTCGTGCAAGCCTTTATTGAAGACATCAACCACTCTGTTACATACTATATAAGCCCTAGTTAAATGTTTGTTATATTGGCGGTTGCTCATGTATTCCACGATATGACACCAGGTTTTTGATTTATTCTGTAAAAGACACTTTTGGTTTAAAGAGGCGACAAGGAACACAGTTTTTTTTTTTTTTTTTTTTTTTTTGGCTGCTTTATAATCCCTTCTGCAATTTTTAGTTTTCGGGTAGAAAATCCTTCTCCATTATTCCTAATTCTGTTTAACCGGAGAATGCTTGGTTTAAGCCGAGTATGAGCACGACTAAACAAACTCTTCAACTTGTTAAAGAAAGGGGAAGGGAAGGATAAAAGTGGGCAAGGGAATTCTGGGAAAGCCCAAATTAAATGTCAAACCATCTAGTTACCTAGTTCAGCTTTTAACTATATACAGTGTAATTTCTCTTGCCAAATATATTTACAAAAAAAAGGGAAATTTTTTCCTCACAGTAGATTGTCAAATGACGTGTCAATTTTCCTTTGTCCCCCATATGTGCATGCAACCCCCTCTCATGGACGTATCAAGGGATGTAGGATTTCAAATAAACGACAAAAATGAAAGATAATCGATTCAGCGGGTGTCAAAGAACCCACTCCTAAAAAAAGAAAACCACCTGTCATCACGAGACTCTATGTAACCTTCCACAACCCTATGAGTTACCGAGAACACAAAGAAATTTAGTTAAATATGTAATAAAAGGATTATCACTCATGCAGGCATCTCCCCTCGTGTGTGTGTTTATCAAGATTTTGTTTTTCAATAAAGATGAGAAGCATAAATGATCAATTCGATGTATCATGGGGGGCGGAAGAATGAACAGATGTAATTCTAGCAGAAGAGAATTCCGTAAAAAAAAAAAGCATGAAGACATATGATAGCAGTCTGGCCTGCACAAAAAAAAAAAGAATCATTTCAATCGCAACGCTTTATCAGATATGCATAACAAAAAAGAGAGAGAGATTTATTAGTCATTTTCAGCAGGAGGGTACGAATAAAGTTCATTGTTTTAAAGTAGCGGAAACATATCTGTGCTTAAAAGTCAATGACGTGCCCACCGGCAAAACACCACGTGTGGGTAGTACAAAAAAAAAAAAAAAAAACCCCTCCCCCCTCTCCCTCCCTTCTTGTCAAAAATAAGTAATTTCCCCAAATAATTTTTTCCCTTTTTCCTTCTCCTTTTTAAAAATAAATAATTTTTTTTTTCTTTTTACTTTTTTCTGAAAAAAATAAAACAAGAAAAGCAGAAAATTACAAATGCCTGCTACTGCCTCACCCTTGATACCAGAAAAGACATCTGGTAGAGCCAAATGTAAGTTTCATATATGCTAAAGAGAGAGAGAGAGAAAAAGGGATAATTAAACGCAGATTCAAAAATAGATGTTGTCGGTGTATGTGCCATGGATAGAAAAGCTAGATCAAAGCCTATGCGACATATCCTGAATCGACTCTTATCGCATGGTGATTTTGAAATTGTCATTTTTGGTGACAAGACTATTTTGGATGAAGGTAAGAGAAAGAGAGAGTTAATAAAGTAAATAGAGAGAGAGAGAGAGAAACTAAATGAACAAAAACAGACGTCGAGAATTGGCCTGGTTGCGATTTCTTAATTTGCTTTTTCTCTGGTGGATTCCCAATGCACAAAGCTGTAGCCTATACGAAACTTCGAAAACCCTTCGAGGTAAATAATGTACATATGCAAACATTACTGTGGGATAGACGAGTAGTGTTGTCGATCCTTGATGCAATTGGTGTACCAACCCCTCCCCGTTTAGT